TTAGAGTTTCAAATGTTGTTGCGGTATCGATCGTATGCGTGGGAAGTGTTTACGAGAGTAAATCAGTGAAACATCGTGTAAAAGCGGTTGTTTTCTGAAACAATCTCGCTGAACATCTTTATGTTCGCGTAATACCTGATTGATTCTGTCAGCGCGATATGCTCAAGTAAAAGATTAAGCCATGCATGCTTTGATTCATCAATGAAATTGCGTACGGCTCATTAGAGCAGATATCACCTTATTCGGAATTCAGATATGGATAACTGCGGAAATACTGGAGCTAATACATGCAACTAAATCCCAACGCAAGGCGGGATGCAATTATTAGAACAGACCAAACGTTTTCGGACGTTGTTTGTTGACTCTGAATAAAGCAGTTTACTGTCAGTTTCGACTGACTCTATCCGAAAAGGGTGTCTGCCCTTTCAACTAGATGGTAGTTTATTGGACTACCATGGTTGTTACGGGTAACGGAGAATAAGGGTTCGACTCCGGAGAGGGAGCCTTAGAAACGGCTACCACGTCCAAGGAAGGCAGCAGGCGCGAAACTTATCCACTGTTAAGTATGAGATAGTGACTAAACATATAAAGACTCATCCTTTTGGATGAGTTATTTCAATGAGTTGAATACAAATGATTCTTCGAGTAGCAAGGAGAGGGCAAGTCTGGTGCCAGCAGCCGCGGTAATTCCAGCTCTCCTAGTGTATCTCGTTATTGCTGCGGTTAAAAAGCTCGTAGTTGGATCTAGGTTACGTGCTGCAGTTCGCAAATTGCGTTAACTGTGGTCGTGACTTCTAATTTGCTGGTTTGAGGTTGGGTCCGCCCTTCAACTGCCAGCAGGTTTACCTTGAATAAATCAGAGTGCTCAATACAGGCGCTTGCTTGAATAGCTCATCATGGAATAATGAAACAGGACTTCGGTTCTTTTTGTTGGTTCTAGAACTGATTTAATGGTTAAGAGGGACAAACCGGGGGCATTCGTATCATTACGCGAGAGGTGAAATTCGTGGACCGTAGTGAGACGCCCAACAGCGAAAGCATTTGCCAAGAATGTCTTCATTAATCAAGAACGAAAGTCAGAGGTTCGAAGGCGATTAGATACCGCCCTAGTTCTGACCGTAAACGATGCCATCTCGCGATTCGGAGGGTTTTTGCCCTGCCGAGGAGCTATCCGGAAACGAAAGTCTTTCGGTTCCGGGGGTAGTATGGTTGCAAAGCTGAAACTTAAAGAAATTGACGGAAGGGCACCACAAGGCGTGGAGCTTGCGGCTTAATTTGACTCAACACGGGAAACTCACCCGGTCCGGACACCATTAGGACTGACAGATTGAAAGCTCTTTCTCGATTTGGTGGTTGGTGGTGCATGGCCGTTCTTAGTTGGTGGAGTGATTTGTCTGGTTTATTCCGATAACGAGCGAGACTCTAGCCTGCTAAATAGTTGGCGAATCTTCGGGTTCGTATAACTTCTTAGAGGGATAAGCGGTGTTTAGCCGCACGAGATTGAGCGATAACAGGTCTGTGATGCCCTTAGATGTCCGGGGCTGCACGCGTGCTACACTGGTGGAGTCAGCGGGTTTTTCCTATGCCGAAAGGTATCGGTAAACCGTTGAAATTCTTCCATGTCCGGGATAGGGTATTGTAATTATTGCCCTTAAACGAGGAATGCCTAGTAAGTGTGAGTCATCAGCTCACGTTGATTACGTCCACAGTAAGGGAAGTCGGCAAACTAGATCCGTAACTTCGGGAAAAGGATTGGCTCCAGTGGTTGGAACGGTTGGCCAGTTGGTTGATGCTTGTCCGGCGCTGTTCTGTCTGTTTGATGCTTTCGGGCTGATGGCGGACTAGTGACAGTGTTTGCTTGTGGACGCCTTCTGGTGTGTGCTTTGACCTCGGTCTTAGTGTCCTGATCGTTCATCTAAACAACCGTACTGGAACCGGTACGGACTCAGGGAATCCGACTGTCTAATTAAAAACAGAGGTGACAGATGGTCCTTGCGGACGTTGACTGTCACTGATTTCTGCCCAGTGCTCTGAATGTTAAATCGTAGTAATTCGAGTAAGCGCGGGTAAACGGCAGGGAGTAACTATGACTCTCTTAAGGTAGCCAAATGCCTCGTCATTTAATTAGTGACGCGCATGAATGGATTAACGAGATTCCTACTGTCCCTAACTACTGTCTAGCGAAACCACAGCCAAGGGAACGGGCTTGGCAAAAATAGCGGGGAAAGAAGACCCTGTTGAGCTTGACTCTAGTTTGACATTGTGAAGAGTCATGAGAGGTGTAGCATAGGTGGGAGACCTCGGTCGCCAGTGAAATACCACCACTTTCATCGACTCTTTACTTATTCGGTTGAAAGAGGATTGGCCGTCAGGCCTTTTTTCGAAGCATTAAGCGGCGCCATTTTATGGCACCGTGACTCTCCTCGAAGACAGTGTCAAGCGGGGAGTTTGACTGGGGCGGTACATCTATCAAATCGTAACGTAGGTGTCCTAAGGCGAGCTCAGAGAGGACGGAAACCTCTCGTAGAGCAAAAGGGCAAAAGCTTGCTTGATCTAGACTTTCAGTACGAGTACAGACCGCGAAAGCGTGGCCTATCGATCCTTTTAATCCAGATTGTTTCTGGTAAGAGGTGTCAGAAAAGTTACCACAGGGATAACTGGCTTGTGGCAGCCAAGCGTCCATAGCGACGTTGCTTTTTGATCCTTCGATGTCGGCTCTTCCTATCATTGCGAAGCAGAATTCGCCAAGCGTTGGATTGTTCACCCACTAATAGGGAACGTGAGCTGGGTTTAGACCGTCGTGAGACAGGTTAGTTTTACCCTACTGTTGACTTGTTATTGCGAAAGTAATCCTGCTTAGTACGAGAGGAACAGCGGGTTCAAACATTTGGTTCATGGACTTGGTCGACAGGCCACTGGTCCGAAGCTACCATTTGAGAGATTATAACTGAACGCCTCTAAGTTAGAATCTCGCCTTGTCAAAACGAAAATTCTTTGCTTCCCGGTGTCGGGAGGCATCTCTATCTCGTGGCAACACGAGAGCTTATGCCCTATGTATGGCCTTGGCGTCGTAGTGAACTCTGCGGCGCCTGCCAACGCCAGATCACTCTGGTTCAATGTCGGGGCGCTAAATCACTTGCATACGACTTGGTCTCTTGGTCAAGGTGTTGTATTCAGTAGAGCAGTCATCTTATACTGCGATCTGTTGAGACTATCCTTTGATTGAGTTTTTTGTTTGCCTATTTTTGCAATAAAATTGTGTACGTTTGTCGCGCCGACATCTCTATTTCCACGTAAAAACAATTGTGTACGTTTGTCGCGTCGACATCTCTATTTTTTTCACGTAAAAACAATTGTGTACGTTTGTCGCGCCAACATCTCTACGCGGCCACCCTTTTTGTAAAACTACCATTTTATAATATTTCACGCGTTGAGAGATTGACTTCTTGCATAGCAATAACGTCGGATCAGAGGAACTGAAAGAGAGAGAGAGAGTTGACTTCTTGCATAGCAATAACGTCGGATCAGAGGAACTGAAAGAGAGAGAGAGAGAGAGAGAGAGAGAGATGGTTGAGAGTTACGAGAATGACATAATGAACATTGTACTTGGTTTATATAGTGACATTGAAATCCCGCCCACTCGGCCGTGCTCCACCGCCAACTCTTCCAGTTCCCGAATCTTCCTCTCAATCTCCTCCCGATTCTTCCGTCCACTCACTTATCACTCTTCTCTTTCACTTCATCGTTCGGATCGTTCATCAACATGTCATTGAGCTTTCCGTGCAGTTCGAGAAGAATCTCTTTCATCTCCGGCGTTCGCTCCGTTTTGCTCATTGTGCTCAGTAGCAGATCGACGGTTCTTTGTCTCTCCGCGCACAGAACCGAGAGTTGTCCGTGCTCTTGTTTCAGGCTAAACAAGTATTTTATTATTCAATCCATTCGAATCCAACTTACTTGGCATTCCGCTTCGAGGCCTTATTGAGTGATTTTCTGAGCATTTCGCACTCCTTTTCCACGTACTTGGGATCGGTGACTGTTGCCAGTTTCTCTTGCAGTCTGAAAGTGCGCTTTAATATCATATTCTGGATTTAATACTCACTTCTGCCTCTTTTCCAACCGTTCTGCCCGTTCCGCTTCCATTTGCACCACTCTCCTCTTTAGCTCATCTACGTCTTTGTCATTTTCCGACTGAGAATCTATCTTTCTGCAATCACCTCTGTAAGTGCTTCTCTCTCAAAAAGTGAGCCAACTCTTCCAGTTCCCGAATCTTCCTCTCAATCTCCTCCCGATTCTTCCGTCTCTTCAGCTCGTTCTCCTCGATGCGCTTGAGTTCTCTCTCCGTTTTCCGCACCGAACTCTTCAATTCCTCGTTCCTCTTCTCCGACTGTTTCAGTTTTGCGCGTGCTCCGTTGCACTTGTCACTCGCCTTTATGCACTTGTCGCAGCTCTTCAATACGACTTTCTGGGGCGGCGGCGGAGTCTCTCTTTCAGAAGAAGACGATGTACTGGGGTTACTCTTGTCGAGCACAGTTTTTGGCTCCCCTTTCGAAGTTTCTTCACTCATTTTCATTTCCTGTATCTTCTGTCGTTGCTCTTACAAAAACTCCAACAACTGCTCCCTTCGTTCCCATTTCGAGCATCAGAGTACGAACGATATTATGGACTTTATTCAACTTGCGACTGTTTCAAGATGACTTGTTTACAAAAATTTAGAACGTCAGAACGTAACCGAAACCATCTACTGAAGCTTGTCTTCTCTTCATTATTCTTTATTCTATCAGTCTTCTTTGAGCTTTGTGTTATTCGCATGTTCGCAACGTCAACGAGCAAGAATTCTGGAGCAGAGAATACGAAAACAAATTAAAGTTTGAATGGGAAAGGCGAAAACACGCTCACCCTGAAAGACGTTAAGAAGAATAACGAGAGCGGACGAAGTATACATTGTTGGAAAAAATTGCAATAGTAAAATTTATTAACTTTTCAAAAGTTGATTATGAAACATTATCCAGTTAGTGGAAGTTGCACGAAATCGAGGATAGATCCGCGGCAGTGAGGGCAGGTCTCGCCCTTGCTTTGATGCCACATTTCGACGCACTGAAAACGAGACAATATTAACTGCTCATTGAGTTTCACACTTACGTCTTCCTGGAATGTCATCCTGCAGCTCGTGCACTTCACCAATCGCATCGTGGCCGGGTCCATCCTTTCCAAACAGACCGGGCACTCCTCCAGATTCGTTTCGTACATGGCTTTCTCATACGCTTTCGTGAACTTGGCGGAAAGCGTCGGGAACTCCGGGAGCTCAAGCAGCTGATCTCGGGCGATGTTTTTTGTTTCCTAAACGTAAATATTGATAACTTTTACTCACTTATTGTATACTCACCTTGATCCTTTTAATGTTTTCCTGAAGGGTTCTCTCATAATCTTCTTGTCTCTCTTTGAACGTTTTGAGTTCCTCGGAGGCCAGCTGTTTCAATGCATCATCTTCTTCGGCCAATGATTCCAGTCTGCAAGAAATGGAGGGTTACTCGAAAAGCCTGCATAAACACTTACAGTTCGCATTGCTCATTGACTTTGCCAACTGGATCCGTCTCCTTCAACTCGGCCATTTTCTCTTCCAATTCGTGCAGCATCTCCTTCATCTCTTCCGTCAGCTCTGGTCCCTTCGGGGATTCAGAAGTGGCATCTCTTTCAGCCAGAAGCCGATCGATCAACTGTTGATTCTTCAAACACTTAATCGAGAACGCCGTAGTCTCTAAGTTCAGCCTGAAAACTGGAAATTATCATCTGGAATCGAAACACCATTCCTTACATTTCTATTTTCTCCTCTTGCCTCTTCATCTTCTTCTGCAGCTGTTGAACGTTCGTCACTTTCATCTGCTCCATCGCTCCTTTCAGCTTTTCCGCTTCCTGCACCATCTCAGTCTGGGCGGCGAGTTTCCTGAAAAAGATAGCAAATCAGTGACTGAATGTATGCTCGAACTCACTCTTCCATCTCCCGCATCTTCTTCTCCATCTCTTCCAGCTTCCGATCCTTTTCCTGTAGTTCTCTCTCCGTTTTCCGCAGTGCCGTCTTCAATTCCTCGTTGTTCTTCTCCGATTTCTTCAGCCTTTCCTTCACTTTCTCACACCGATCACTCGTTCTCACACACTTCTCGCACACCTTCGATTCGGGTTGTTGAGAGCTGTTCGGAGGCGAGAGTACTTTTTCCGGAGTCATCTTCCTGTGCCCCTTCTTCTTTTTGTCTTCTTTCTTTGCCGCCTTCGGGATGGTTGCAGGAGGATCGTTTTCTTTTTCAACTGTTTCTTCTGTTGCTTCCAATGCCGGCTGCTTCACTTCTCTCGGATCTTCTTCTTCTTCTTTCAGTCTCCTCTCTGTCTCGTCAGTTTGTTTGACGGCTTCAGGTGCCGGCTGCTCCACTTTCACCGGTTTGTTCATTGTTCTCTTGGCTTTCAGGACGGTTCGATCTTCTTCATTCCGCCTCGTAACTCGTTTCTCCGTCTTCTTCGCCACGGCCTTCACTTCCCGAACGGGGTCGAAACGTGGCTTGGGTTCATCGCAAAACTGACAGTGTAGACCTTCGAGCCGTTTGCACGACTTTTGGTTGTGCAGAAACTTGACAAACTGAAAGAATTTCAGGGTTTGAAATTAATTACTTGAAACCAATTACTTACATTTGGGAATCGGTTGAAGAAGCATAGGAGTTGGCAGTGCTCCAAAGCGTCGTAGAGATCGCATGAACGGAGAAACTTTGTTTTTCTGCACTTCACGACCCGATTGTAGGCGACGCGGACGTAGTCTTTGATCTCCGGAAAAATCTTGACCAGTCCAAGTCGGCCGAGTTCGTCGGCGAGGTCCTGCGCCGAGAAGCCATTCAACCCGACGTCCATGATGTCTTCCACAAAACGGTCGTCGAATTTGGAGAAATGCTCGAACACCAAACTCCTCGTCCTGGTATTCTCTTTCAGATTGAAGAAGTAAGCGCCCGGCTGTAACATTCAATATACAATTTGGACAAATCAGAGGTAAACTAACCAGACTGTGTAGGAAAGAGATCCTTCCGAGTTTGTTGAACACGGTCTTGACAACGTGCCACTCGTTCCTCTTAATCTTCTGGAACATTTTGAATCCTGTGATGATCTCTTGCAGCAATTCGAACAGAGCATCCGTCGCCAGGATGCACGCGTCGCCGGAAGAAGACATCACCGGCACCGCCGCGTTCTTGACTCTTTTGATTTGTGTGACAATGATCTGAAACGAGATGGATTATGATTTGAAGTCTCATTTTCACTCACATTGGTTTTGGGAATACTCGCGAGGAACGGCTCGTCGACTTCCATAATCGTTAGATCGTGACTCTTTAAAGTCGGCACTCCTTTCACGACTGAGAAAAGGTTGATCGCCTCTGAAGTCATCACAAACTTTCGTCCGTTGTCGTCGAACACTCTCAGCGTTGGCGGCAGTTCCTTTTTCGTCTGAAAGTTTACTGAAATGAACAGTCGATTCTCAATCAGGATTAGTACCTGAAGGGCCATTGGGAAGAACAATTCCTGTCGCTTCTGAATGAGTCTCTCGATGCTCTCAAACAGATCCGACGAGTATTGATAACTCTCCGTGAAGGCTTCCGCGTTGAATGGATACACAGAATGATAGCAGTGGGCGAGCAGTTCCGAGATGAAATGGTAATCGTGCGGATGGCATTTTGGGAACAGCTTCCTCCATTGACCGAGAACGTCATCGACTGTATCGACGGGGAACACAACTTCCCGGTCCTTGTTTGACTGCTCTCTCACAGTTCTCACCGTTTCCATGATATTATCCAAATCCGTTCCCAGGTTCACAACATTCGTGTGATCGAGGGGCACGTACTCGGCATACGTGGCCAGCATCTCTTCTTTCATTCGAATGAAGAGCATGAACGAGCATCGGATGAATGTGATACTCTGCAATAATTAGCACTTTAAGTCTGTCGTCTTTTTGTTCTACTTACCATCTCGTCATGATTATCAAAAACCCATTTTTTGAGCAATGTGAACAGGTCCATTTTGCAAATGTACATCTTGTCCATCTGGCCTTTGTAAATTGTTGGATGAATCTGAAAGTTGCTGATAAAATGGTCGCCTTGGAATTGAAAACGTACGTAGAATGGTTCCCCGGGGGTCACATCGAACACCTTATCGGCGCCCGTGAAGGCTCCGAACTTCATCAACGCTTCTTCCAATTCCTCCGCACTTCCGTACTGTCCTGAAATTGTTTTCAATCAATTGACGTTCTCGTTTCCCGCCGTTCAAACTCACTTGAACCATATCTCGTCTTTGCCAAAATTTCTTTACAGATCTGTTTTTGGTTCAACTCGGCCAAATGCAGCAAAGCCTTTGGAGCCGATTTCTCGAGAGCCATTTCGAAGCCCTTAAAAATGGATATTATTCGAAAACTGGAGAATTTGTGAACGAACCTCCGTCGGAAAGTAGTAGTTGGCGATTTTCATCAGCGCGGCGTACGAAATGAGATTGTTGCCCTCGCCGACTTTGGGGAGTCTTCCGTGTTGAATTGAGGCTTCCATGGTAACTTGGTGTTAAACTGAAATGAGACATTTTAAAGTTAAAAGCGAGTAACATTAGAATTTCAAATCAAACAATTGGATAATCAATCAAAAAGGACAGAGCACATCGCACTGTACGATAGACAACAAAAATGGAATGAAAGGAAGGTGGACCACTTGCTCGGAGAGTCCACAACCTCCACATACGCCACGTTCGCCTTAGTGAATGGAAACATCTACGCCTTTCGCGTCGTTAGGATGAGTCAGAAAACAATAAAATCGATCTTTGACGAAATGAACAGAGAGAACAGAGTCTGTTCTCTTCGCATCGGAAACTTATGAAAGAGCCAAATGAGTTCGCCAAGCTTGACACGGACAACCTTATAAGAGCTGTGCTGGACACACACAACGGAAAGAGAAACCGAAGAAAACAGAAGAAAAGAAGATGGATAGGCACTGTTTCAACGCTGAGCACACGGACCGAAAATGTTTGTGGTCTAAACGGAATGAGAACAGAATGTGTAGGAGCGGGACAAAATACTGGGCGGACCGTAGATGACAACAAAATGGAATGAAAGTGAGGTGGATCACTTGGTCGCAGAGTCCGCGACGCTCACCCTTTCGAAACATCGTTGCCTTGTCAGTAGGATATACGAAACATCGTTACCTTTTTAGGATATCTTTGCCTTCCGATTCATTTTGTTGGAGGCAATAAAAGATTGTTCACCGAGGCTAGTATACTGTATACAACCGTTTTTATGATAGATCCTCGGAGACAAATTGTTGGTCCCGATTAGTATTGTAGCAAAAGTGAACAAGGAAACTTCCAGAAACACAGACTTTAATGCTCAATGATAACAGAGAAGAAGATTATTAATTGGGTCCCCGTCCCACGCGAACATAGTCGAAGAGGGATCGACGACAACATGGACAAAGCTGATTTCCCGTCTGCGACCACAACTCGATGCACTGAAAACCATCAAATGTTGATAAGTTTCAAACGATCGCACTCACCGGTTCACAAATCATCTGCTGGCACGTGCTGCACTTCATGATGGACATTGTGGACGCATCCATCTTGTACAGACAGATCGGGCACTCTTCCAGACTCTCCAGGTACTGAGCTCGTGCGTATTTCGCATTGAACTCCTCAGTTAAAGTAGGATATTCTGGGAGTTCTAGCAGCTCTTCTTTCTTGATATCGAATGATTTCTGAATGAAACTATCAGTTTTTTATTGAATTACTTTTTATAAAATTCTCACTTCGATCATCGAAATATTTGCTTCCAGAGCTTTGAAGTACTTCTCAGACTTTGCCCTGAATGTGTCCACTTCTAGATTTATAAACTCTTTGATCCCTTGCTCTTCCACCAATGAGAGCACTCTGAAATCAAAAAAGGACTCTAAAAGAAACCAAAACCCTATTCCACTCACTTTTCACTCTTCTCTTTCACTTCATCGTTCGGATCGTTCATCAACATGTCATTGAGCTTTCCGTGCAGTTCGAGAAGAATCTCTTTCATCTCCGGCGTTCGCTCCGTTTTGCTCATTGTGCTCAGTAGCAGATCGACGGTTCTTTGTCTCTCCGCGCACAGAACCGAGAGTTGTCCGTGCTCTTGTTTCAGGCTAAACAAGTATTTTATTATTCAATCCATTCGAATCCAACTTACTTGGCATTCCGCTTCGAGGCCTTATTGAGTGATTTTCTGAGCATTTCGCACTCCTTTTCCACGTACTTGGGATCGGTGACTGTTGCCAGTTTCTCTTGCAGTCTGAAAGTGCGCTTTAATATCATATTCTGGATTTAATACTCACTTCTGCCTCTTTTCCAACCGTTCTGCCCGTTCCGCTTCCATTTGCACCACTCTCCTCTTTAGCTCATCTACGTCTTTGTCATTTTCCGACTGAGAATCTATCTTTCTGCAATCACCTCTGTAAGTGCTTCTCTCTCAAAGTGAGCCAACTCTTCCAGTTCCCGAATCTTCCTCTCAATCTCCTCCCGATTCTTCCGTCTCTTCAGCTCGTTCTCCTCGATGCGCTTGAGTTCTCTCTCCGTTTTCCGCACCGAACTCTTCAATTCCTCGTTCCTCTTCTCCGACTGTTTCAGTTTTGCGCGTGCTCCGTTGCACTTGTCACTCGCCTTTATGCACTTGTCGCAGCTCTTCAATACGACTTTCTGGGGCGGCGGCGGAGTCTCTCTTTCAGAAGAAGACGATGTACTGGGGTTACTCTTGTCGAGCACAGTTTTTGGCTCCGCTTTCGGAGCTTCTTCACTCATTTTCATTGCCTGTATCTTCTGTCGTTGCTCTTCTTCGGCTCTTTTAAGTGCCTCCAACTGCTCCCTTCGTTCCCATTTCGTTGCCATGGAGGCACTCATCACTGGCTCTTTCTTGGCGCTGAACCCTCTCAAGTACAGGGCTCCGGGCAGCAACGGCATCGGTATTTGCACAGATACAGTGAATCGAATGTCGGGAATCAGCTGAAAATGAGAGGGTTGAATCCCGCTGGAGGCTGGAGCTCTTTACCGTTATCCTTGTTTTATCGATGTCAAAGTCTTCGAGCACTTTTTTCAGCTCTTCCATGCCGATCATGTGACATCCGTAATTTGTTTTCCTCATTTGCCAATAATTTTTCAACTTCTCCCGATTCGCGTCACTGTCCATCCGCTGATTTTGGAGTAGAAGCGGCAGTACGGCTAACACTTCATCAGCAAACACCGCCTTGTGCACAACGCTCTCTGTTAGCTCCGTTGACACTGTGCGGAGGACGAAGGACGAGCACAAGAGCCGATTCTGTTTCTAAAACAAAATATTCATTTTACGGTCCGCAACGGTGCCTACAAACGTACCTCTAAGTCATTAATATACTCAATAACCGAATCGAAACCAGAAAGCTTTGCTCGGTTTGCAGGAACACTGACATATCGGGCGAACGAGTCCGTGATCTCGTCTGCCGTCTTTTTATCAACAAGCGACAACAGGATGCCCTTTTCATAACACTTGTTCTCCAGATCATTCATCACCTCCGTATCGTAGTTTGATAAGTCGCCACTGTAGATCGTCATACTCTTTGTATACATTTCGAAATTGTAAACAAACTCGCGACCATCCGCACAAACTATTTTTTGTTTTGGCTGAATTAGTTCCCTCCCATCTATAACAAATGTCGGATTACCAGATACGTATCAGTGATTTCAGTGATGCGCTTATAGTCCTCATGAATGAAATCGACGTTCACTTCCGAGATTGGAACATTATTCCACATTGTATTACTGAACAGTTTCACATTTGTGGGCCTACAAAGGTAGCACACAAGGCCCTCGACTCGTTTGCAAGCTCTTTGAATGTGCAGGAATTGGGTATACTTAAGTAGAAATAGTTGATTGGATGGCTAGAAACATGTCACTCACTCTTGGGAATCGTTGGAAGAAGCAGATGAGCTGGCAGTGCTCCACGGCGTCGAAGAGATCGCAAGTGCGCAGATGCTCCTCTTTCTTCGACTTCATCACTTTCCTATAAGCTAACTCGACGTAGTCGGCAATATCGGGAAAGTTGTCGAGGAGCCCCAAATGGCTCAGCTCGTTCTTCAGATTCTGAACAGTGAATCCGGTCGACTTGGCGTTCCGAACGTCTTTCGCTGGAACATTGTGATAGGGACCAAAGTAATCGAACGCGAACTGTCTTGCAGATTTCGCATTGTCGAGAGTAAGGAAATAGATGGAGTTCTCAAAATTGCAGCTGATGAGTTAATGATCAAAAGTAGCAAAAATTAGGTTCACTCACAACGCTCGCATTGAAGTACTCCTCCAGCTTGCGGAACATGTCCTCTACCACTCTCCACTCGGCGGGTTTAACCTTTTGGAACACTTTTAATCCGAATATAATGTCATGGAGCGAGAGGAAGAGCGCGTCGGAGGAGAGAGTGCAGTGGTTTCCAAGATGGGTGACAATCGGCACTGCCGCGTGTTTCGCACGTAGGATCGGAGTTATCACAAGCTGCAAAGATTTCATTATAACTTCAATATGCCTTCTGATAAACTGACCGATAATCCCTTTGGAAGTCGGTCGTAAGGCTCAGACACCTCCAGAGCACCCAAGTATTGTCCCTTGTCCTCTGAACGTTTGTCTGAGGTTTTAAACCTTTCCAGATCTTCCATCATTACAAACTGCAGTCCATTATCATCGAATAGTCTGATGAATCGGCTTGCCTTCCCCTGAAATACTCAAACTTTTAACCATACACCAAAATTAGCAAAGCGTACCGGGAGGAAAAGGGAAAGGCGCGATTCGATGATGCGTTCGATGCTTTCAAGCATGTTCGCCGTGAAGGCGTAAGACTCCAGATATAATTTCAGACATTTCTCACTGTTTCTCTCCTCGAAAACTTTATCAAGAAGGTTCTCGAGGGTGATAAGCTCCTCGGCCATCCACCCGGAAGGAACAAGTCTTTTCCAATGGCTCAGCATTGAGGGCAATGAGAAATTGCTGAGAACGTTTGCGAGGGAAGGAAGATCTTTCTGAAAGGTAATAATAAGGTTATGAATGAGGGGGTGGTCCTTTACCGCCTTCTGATTTATGGCGATATTCTCAAAGTCTTGTTCCAGCTGCTGCAGCTCTGTGTTGTCAGTGGATACGAACTCGGCGAAAGCTCCAAACTCTTCGGCTCTCATGCTAATGTAGCGATAGAAAATGAAGCTGGCATGCGGAATTTCCTGAAAGTTTGTTCGTGGCAACAACATTGCCGGTTTTCAACTGACCCAAAAACGGTATTTGCAGATAAGCCATTGTAAAATGTACGTGAACAAGTCCGCTTTGGAAACGACTTCCTGATTGTCCAATGTTCGATAGAATAGCGGATATAACTGAAAGTCTCAAGTGTGGATGAGTCTTCCCGCAAAAAAGAATACTCACTCGAGACGTGTCGCCACGTGTCAAACCGAATGCCTTCTCACATCCCAGAAACATTCGGTAAATTCTCAGATTCTGTGTCAGTTCTTCCGTCGTTCCGTACTGTCCTAAGACATTTATTCTCAACTTTCACTTTGTTTCATTTCAAGTTTACTCACTTAGTCTTCTATCCGAAATGTTTGGGTCAAACAGATTTCCGATGAGAAGTCCTTCAACATCTCCGGGAAGGGGATGTTCATTCTGTGGCAGTCTGTCCACGTGGATCGAGTCAATAATCTGAAAAAGAACAGATTCGGAGCAAACTGTCGGCTGTGAGCTAACCGCTTTCGGTATGTAGTTGAGGGCGACTTTTTTCATGTTTTCATACGTAACGATCACATTTGTTTTGTCCATTTTCTCTGCAAAACAAAGCTGAAATGTACGGCTGCATAGTGCACAATTACAGATAAGAAAACGAAGATAGTGAGCGACAGCTGAGGCAGGTCCTAACATGGCATTATAGTTACTGGTTTCAGCCTGATCGGCTTATCTGGACCTGAGATATGACAAAGTACACCTACTCCAAACAAAAACTCATGCTTTGTTGCTAGCCTAAACAAATACAGAAACTCCGTATCACCGGAACGCCGTTGAGTCGCTACGCAGCCAATTTGGCGACAGCCTACAGATCTCACGCGTTGAAATTTTAGGCTCGGCGTAGTATTCAGTGGGCAGAAAGTGTGCGTGGGTGTGCACAAAGAAACAACGTGTGTGTGAAGTGATACCCGTCCCTTGGAACGGAGAGAAAAAGAGACGGAGAGGAAGAGGCGAGATAGAGTGTGTGCAGAGTGTGACAATCCCTTCAGCCGGCGGCGCGCCCTCCAAGCCTTCTTGCGTGCGGAAAAACGTCAGATGCGTGCCGCCCTACGAATTCATCCTTCCTAATTTTTTGAGAATGTGTTCATCATGATTGAAACTCGCAAGCAGCAACGAGAAACTCGCAGAAATGTCTAGGGGACGCTGCCAAAACACTTTTTCTCGAAATATGACTGCTCGTGCGTGCTTTTTGTGTCTCTTTGTTAGCTTAAATACAACATAATGAACTCATTCTCGAGAAATCAAGTGAAATGAATCAGTATCGTTCCGACGGCACGCGTCTGAAGTCTTGGAACAGCCCAGGAACGCGCAGCGTGTTCTCCAAGCCGTTTCTGTGCGCCAAAGCTTGAAATGCGCGCTGTCGGAAGAGTTCTGATTCATTTTTCTTAATGTTCTGGAAATGAGTTCATTATGATAGAAACTAACAAAGAGACACAAAAAGAACGCACGAGCAGCCATATTTCGAAAAAAAACTGTTTTCGTGCTGAACCTCAGAAATTTTTGCGAGTTTTTTGTCGCTCTTTGTTAGTTTTGATCATGATGAACGTATTCATGAGGAGAATGAATAATATGAATCAGTTTTTCTCCGGCGGCACGCATCTAAAGTCTTAAAAAAAGACAAAATAAGCAAAATGGCTTAGGTTTCCGTGGCTTCAGCAGACTAGGCCATGGCCGTGGCCTCGCGACCCCGGCCCAAGATTTTCTATAAAATTTTGAAGAATTCTTCGTCACCCTCGCAAACAATCACCGTGCATTCTGTTAAATACCTTTTTCAACGTTGACTTTTAATTTTTCAGGTTGATCGAATGAATACACTTGCACAAAGACGCGCCATTTCACGGCGATCACTTGCCCAAGTGTTCCGGTTCTACGTCCCCGAAAGCGTTGGTGCACCGAGAAAAGTAAAACTCTAAATTTCCCAGTTTACAGCTTCGAGGATGGATAAAACTGGAAAACATTCCTGCCGGAGACGAAGAAATCGAGGGAAAGGGAGTCGATCTTCTGCAGTACATCCTCGACAACTCGATGTGTCAATTGAGTGAGTTTTAGCTTTCTGAGATCGAATATGATCGAAATATGATTGTAGGAATGTACGGAACAGCGGAAGAATTGGTTGAAAATCTCGAAATCTTCCGAAACTTCACGGGCTGTCACAAACTGATTCCACTTGATCCATGGGAGCCCACTGATGTTGGTTTTGTGTTGTTTACATGGCATAATGGAGCAAATGTGACTCTACCCTTTTGCAGTTTGCACCAAACCTTGAACTAAGCATCACAACTGACGAATATTGCAACAAATCGCTGTTTTATCATCTCCTCGAATCGTGGATTTTCAGAACACATCCAAAAGAAACGGTAATTTCCAAAAACCCATTGAAACGCTAAAATTTTTAATCAATATTCAGGGCGTTCCATTCGTTGGTGCCATGGTCGCGCGTTTCTTCAAAGTCGTCGAAAACAGATCGAATTGTGCGACAGAGTACTTTCCGTACGCCCATGATCTATCGACTCAAATGATGAACGAGATGTTGTGCACGGTGAAAACTGAACACGCGGTGAGACTGAAATGATTGAACAAATGTGAACGCCTTAAAGGTTTTTTTTAGCATGAGCTGATGCAGACAAAAGAGCCGTTCTCGCACGACACTGGCGAACAAATGTACGAAGCGTGGACGGGGCTCTTTACGAAGAATAAAGAAGAGTTAGGTGTAGAATTCAACACCGGGAAAGAGCTTTGTCGCCTCTTTTTCTCTGAAAACCATCCGCTCGAAAAGAACATACTCTACCGAACGCTCTATTGTTTCTTCGTTGCTCTCGTTCGCTCCATGGACAGACTTCAGGAAAAGTACCCGGATTACATCCGACCGCACAGTCAAGTAGTGAGTTTGCATCAAAGTATCATCAATTATGGTGCACGAGATGAGTGTTCAGAAAGGAAACAAACTGCCGATAACACTCAGAGTGTTCGTGGACGGTTGTAGAGAGTTTGCGATTTGTGAAGAGGTCGAAACGGCATTCAACGAACTCTACGGAAATAACTGTTCGATCGAAGAGGTTTCGCTCAAACTCGAAACAGTGGATTTGGTTGATGTGCTCAAAAGGGAAAGAAGCGACGAGATCCAGTACATCCGAGTGGAAATCAAGCGCACAGCTCATACAGCAGTTCCCATCGAAACGAAAACGGGAAAGTTTTTTATTCCTTCGGCAGATGCTTTCTTCGATGTTTTTCGAGAAATCTGTTTCGGGTTGAGACTGTTCCAGAAGGTCGAAAAGAAGCAATGGCAGTCTCTGATAGACCACTTTTCGAAATGGGGTTCTTTTATTTCAACGACGATAGGGTGAACTCATTTAATTAATGTGAATGGAAATTATGAGCCTCACACCTTCAGCCAATGTATTTCATGGAAACCGCAATGATCGAAGTAATGTCGAATGAATTGCACGGGACTTTCTCTGCTTCCAAGAAAACAAAGGCAAATTTCGTACGGAACGCAAAGTCGACCGGATTCACAGTGGAAATGCTCGAGAACGAACTCGTGCATCTGGGATTGGTCGAGAAATTCCCTGAAATTTGTGATTGTGCCCGACTCGCACACGAAAAAATTTCGGAAGACAAAAAGGGGGAGATTTTGAGGACAGTGGACCTGTTTGACGCAGTCGAGCACTGTCTACTTCTGTGCATCATCAAACAGTTTCCATATGTAAGAGTTCATGTCATTTACCGTCAGTTTCTGAATTCTGGTTCAGCTCATGAAGTTCCTCCATAACCAGCACGCATGCGATCGAGTGTTCGGCATCCAGTGCCCGCATTGCTTTTCAATTCCGTCCGTCGAGTTCAAGAACACCAAGTGGAATGTTGTGAAACCAGAACAAGTCGAACTAACGGAGTGCATTTTTAATCGTACGGGATATTTACCTTTGGTGCGTTCAAAATCACAGAATCCTTGTGAAAACTTTTTTTTCAGTGCCAACAATTGTTTCGCGGCCCCGACGGCTTTGAACTGCACTACAATCATTCGGTTTTCATCACAGCCGTGAGCATCTGTTGCCAAGAAGCGTCGAATGGAGACAAAGCGGCTCTGGAGAGGATGGAGTTGAACTTTTGGAATCAATGGGAAACGTACAAGTACCCATTCGAAGTGTTTCTCGTTGACACAACGGAAATCGGTTTCATTTTAAAATACATCAAAAATTGCGTTCGTAATCGAGAACTGAGGAGGTGCCCAGAAGTTATGGCTGATTTGGACTTTCTCACGAGCCTCACCAAGTTTACGGTATGTCGATTGAACGGCAGAGCCGTCAGTTGATTCCCTTCCGTTTCAGAATTGGTATCACTCGGCGCGTCTCTACCTGCGCACAGTCTCCATGACCTGGCAGACCGAGAACCAGTGCGTGTTCGCGAAAGAAGTCCTGGAGATGTTACCGATTCTGCTCAGGAGACAGAAGAACTCGATGCGTCAACTGGATTGTAAGTCATGGCCCCGTCTGCATTCAAATTTCAACGTGGTTATGTTCAGACATAATAAACAAGTATCGCAAGACATGGACAGTTGACATTGGCTATCTGACTATCAGCTTAGATGAACTAAACGATTTCCTTGAATATTTTGACATTGATAAAACACAATTAACTGTGAGTTTATGTCCTTTCATTCTAATCCTCCAATGGTTTTCTGTCTTTTTCTTCAGCTCGTCCCCGACATCTTATTTATGACAACTAAAAACTGTGCAAAAACACCGATGGTTCCAAGCAACGTATTCGGAAGTGATATGAGAAGGATGACAACTGCCCACGACATGCTTTCTTTCTATTTTCAAAGCGTTCTAAATGATTCCTGCTTTATCATCTGCTTAAATCGCGAACAATTGTATTTTCCAAAAGACGAAGAAACATTGCAGAAGATAATGATGCTTAGAAACGTAAGTCCGCAAATTTAACCGAGTTTCTCTGTTTCAAAACGAAAGCATTTTAATTCAGAGAACATTTGTTCCGTTCGATTTGTTGACCAACACATTGAGTGCCGGAAATGCAGTGAAAAACAAGAACGATGGCTCAGTGTTCCGGTGGTCGGAGGGCAAATCGTTGATCGAATTCTTCGATGCCGTCGAGTTTACCGATGCGTTCCGTGCACGAACGTCTTCCAATTTGGGCAGACAGCATCTTACTGAGGCCAAAGTTTCGGCTGAACTACTCAAACTCATCTATTTGCTCTCGAGAATCATGAAGAATGTGAGGGATTCCATAGGCGATGCGAGTTTCCTTTTGGATGAGCTCTCTCGCGACCGCCCCATCAAAATAAACGGAAATGATATAATTGTGAGATTCATGCATTTAATTTCAGAGAAAAACTTGCCAAATTTCAGCTTCTGGACTTGATATATGATAAAAAAGGAGAACCGGAATTCAGTTTGAAGGATGATATAAGATTGGGTGAGTTTGAACCTCGAAAAGTTAGAGTTAAAATAGTGAATCACTTCAGAAAATAGGAGCTGCACAGAATGGCAGATTATCCAAGAATTCGACAGATTGAAGAGAGAAGACCCGAAAAGCCGAAATGAGCGGAGCACTTTCATAGCCTACGAGGAAGACTGCTTACCGGATGATATCATGAAACTAATAATACCTGTTTTTGGGATTGCGGGAAAAGAACAATGTCAAAACGCGGTGGGAGAAGTTGTGCGAGGCAGACATGTTACTGTGAACTCCGGGACGGACAAGTAAGAATTCTCGTTTTTTAGATGCAAATACTCTCTTTTTACAGTGCCGAAACCGCGACGAAGAAAACATCGGTACTTCAGCAGAAAATGAAATCAGGCGATTTGAAAACTGCTCTCTCGCCTATTGAACTGAGACAATTGTGCGACGAGATGAGCGGCATGTCTCGCGACGAAAAACTGGAGGTTTTTGACAAAATATCTGGAATGATCGATTTGGATGCGCCCGTTGCAAATCTTATACGAGAAGAAGACGAGGAAATATCGGCGTCGTATAACAGAAGGAAGGCCGAAGAAGAAAGAAGGAAGGGGAGCAAGAATCGGAATGCGAAGACTCGTGTCAACATGGAAACTGATGATCCAGACGAGTGTCTCGCGAGTTTAAACGGAAAGCATGACATTCAAGAGCCATGTTCCGCGCTTTCCAAGAGGTTAGATGGTTCCACGAGACCCGATGAGCCGGGGACCAGCAGCCAGCCGAGCACGCAGAAAGCAACGAAGAAGAACAAGAAGAGTAAGACGGTTGCTCCGCCTGCTCCACCACCTCCGCGCGTCGTTAACTTTTGTGAAAAGTGCACGCGCACCAACGAACTGTGCGGCGAAATGAAGGAGAAAACGAAGAAGTTGAATGCGGAAGTTGAGGAATTGAATGAAAATGTTCGAAGTGCTCAAGGGAAGCTGACGGAAGCGAAGGAGAAGGAGCAGGAGAGTGAGAGAACGGAAGAGGAGATGGAGAAGAAGTTGAGGGAACTGAAGGAGTGAGTTCGAAGAGGTTGAGGGTTGATATACATAATCTAACTATTCACTTCAGGAAGTTTGCTGCTCAGACGGAACGAATCAGAGAAGCGGAAGAGCTGGAGAGCACGTTGGAAAAGTTGGAAAGGGAAGAGAAAGAACTGAAAATAGAGAATGAGAAGTGAGAGAAGATGAACATGAAATCCAATAAAAGTACATTTTCAGACTGGAGACTCAGTTATCCTCACTGAACACACACAGCCAGACTGAAGATATGAGCCGACTGACGAGAGCGCTTGAAGAGAAGCAGAATCAAAATGAAGAGTGAGCAATTTGACTAGTTTCAGTACAAAAGGAATGATTTTAGACTCGAGAAACAGGTCGTCCAACTGTCCATTTTGAGTTCGCAACGAGAGCGGACCCAGTACACATTGTTGGAAAAGCTGGCAGGAAGATAATTGTTTATTTGTTTTTGAAAAACTGCTTTTTGTCTTTGCCAACCGTCTTCAACAAATTGGTTATTTGGTACAGTAAACACTTTATTAGAAGCAGAAAAAGGAGAAATAATTAGAATTCGGTGTCCGGACGATTGGCGATGTACTCTTTGAGCCTCGCGAGCCCGTGGACCTTCTTGCGCAGAGCGGAGAGCTTCGGATGCTCTTTCGGGACGAAAAAACCCATTTTCTCAAGAGTAACCAGGTTATCGGCTACCACCAGATCCGCCCAAGTGAGTCCTGATTCCACCAGCCATCCCGACTCGCTCTTCTTCAGAATCCCCTCGAGAATCTTAAAGTACTGGTCCCTGGCCGGCTCGAACACTTCCGTCCTGATCTTCTCGACCTCGTCCACCGGTTTGTTGGCTCTCTGAGCCATAACGAATGTGCGGAATGGTTCCACGAAGTCCTTGTACTGATCGACAATGGCGTCCGCCCACGCGTTTTCTTCGGGAGTGTTTCCGGCGAACCCGAACTTGTTGGCGAGGTAACGGAGGATCGCAGACGACTGGGGGATCTCGAGACCATCGACTTTAAGCACCGGCAGCTGCCCGAACGGAGTCTCTGAAAGTGCACTGATTATGGGTGGTAACTTCTCACCGATTCACTCACTCTCCTTGATCTTCTCCCAGGATCCATCGGTTCGGTTGATCCTCTTGTCCTCGAACTTGACACCGGCCATATAGAACATTTGACGAGCGGGCTCCGCGTAGCCACGAGCGTCGAAGTAGACCAACTTGTAGGAAGGCATTCTGGGCAGAATAATGGAAAAATGAGCTCCTTTCTGCAGTTTTATACTCTCCGAAAGTTCGCTGCGTCTCTAGCGCGTTGCTAAGCGTCTCGTTTTGTGACCAGACACATTTCTAACGGCTTTCTGCCGGAGAAACACAGATTTGTGTGCTTGAGCACAGATTTTTGTGCTTGAGCACAGAATATCCGGATCAATAACGGCTTTGTCATCATTTTTCGTATCTAAAGTGCAAAGGATTCTTTGAATCATAACTGAAAGAAGAACTTTCGGAGAGAATAATCATTATAACGTTTACTTTTTAGTTAATCACTTACTGCTGAAAATGAAAATGCAAAATCTTGACGTGGGTCGGGAATTAGAAGAAATCAACTGAATTATGTAGACACGGGGTCTGAGAACATTTCGCTGCAAATCTGCGTTGATCTACGTAAAAACCTATGGAAATACCCGCTTGGTTGACGTGAACTTGCCCTTTCCAGTTCCAGTTCTCGAACACTTTCCCCTTCATTCTCATCATCGACAATTAAACAGAATGCTCGATGCAGAAATTATGATCCTTATTCAGGTATGCCCATTTTCAGCCTTTCAAATCCACCAAAACTGCTCTCAGAACAGTGTTTTGATGTTGATTGTGACGTGTCCGATATGGGCGTTTTGTGCAGCCAAAGTCAAAAAGGACAGAGGTCGGAAGACGTTGAAAACGACGAAAACGTCGAAGACGGTCTTGACATCGAAGGGAAACAACGAGAAAGTGGTAAGAGACTACCGTGGTCCTTGCCAATACGGAACTTTTTGGTTTTTGCAGAAGCCGCCAACAGTGGAAGTGCCAGAAAGTCCGAAGCCGCCAACAGTGGAAGTTCGGGAAAATCCGAAGCCGCCGAAGCAATCAAAAGCGGAAGATCCTGAGATTTCGGCAAAGGAAAAGACGCCTCCGAAACCGAAGAACAAAGAGAAATCAAAGCACTGGGAGGTGGAAGCAGAGGAAATTAAGAAGGAAATGGAGAAGTGCGAGAAGAGAAAAGTGTTCGATCTCGAAGAGCCAAAGACCCCGGAGAGCTGCTCCTTGTTGGAGAGCCCCACTCAGCAGACGGCGCCCTCGACGAACACGATCGCATCCGTCCTTTCGCCGCCGATCAAAAAGCCGAAGGGAACGATCGAGGGGGGATTCTACACGAGCGACGAGGACGAGGCCGAGGACAGCACTTACCGGTGGGACCAGCACGTTCCGGGCACGAAACCGCTTTCGGACTTTGACCTGAAACTGCTGGGACACCGACGGGAAATGGAACCGATTGCGGAGATAAAGGTAGAGACGAAGGCAAAGACGAAGGCGGCGGAGAACACGGAGGCGGCCAAGGACAAGGCTAAAACCTGAACTTTTTCAGATGTTTGTTGCTCTCTAATAAAGTCACCAAGTTTCTGAGTTTTCACTCAATTGGACCCACTAGATTACCTGATCCGAGCACTAGACTCACTAATGACTAGATTGCAGGGTCTATGAGGAAGGGCGCTGCAATCTGGCCATTTTTGACTTTACCACTACTGTAACAGGTTTTCAGGTTGTTCCAACTGTCTACATATCTTCTATGAGTCATATTCACTTAGTTTTCACTTCGAGCTTAGAGTCTTCGTTTGACTACCGTAACACTGCATGCAAGACGTTATATCTCAGTTGCCGATTTTTAACGGTATTTGCGTTCAAGTTGCTCGAGTAACTTCATCTTATTCCGCAGGGATGGATACATCTAGATCTGTGCAGAATAGATCCTCTGGCTCATCTTCAAACTCCGAAACTCCAGACATCTCTCGCCGTCCATTTTTACCCAATCAACAATTGCATAAGCACTAAAAATAAGTGGCACAGAAGTGCTACTTCTCCTTCTCACCAACATGCAACAACTTCTTCTCCCTCTTCTTCTTCTTCTCCTCCGTTTTCTTCCACTTTTCCCCATGGAATCAGTTGTAAATCATCAGAAATTGACGCGCGGAGCTCTTGCGCATTCTTGACGGCGTCCATCAACTCCCAAAGGACTGGTCACCGCCGTGAAATAGTGAGAGAGCGAGTACATAGTACCAGTATTTGACAAGAACTCCCATTCTTCTGGACAACAACTTCCCCCCCGAACAGAAAAGAGCAGACTACCGTACCGTTTGGGGGCTCCGAAAGTTCAAGAGTTTTGTTGTCGAATCGTTGAGGCGCACTATAGACAGTCAAGTGCCCTGAAACGAGGAGTAAACAGTCGACAAAGTGTCGAGAAGTACCAACTTTTTTGACGAGCTCAATCAAGAAGAAGAAGAATGGTTTCTATGGTTTCCAATGGTTTCTTTCCATCAAGTTTCATTATTTCAATAGTTTAAATAAGTTTCAATATTGTTTTAAACGTTTCAGTCAAATGCAATTCCATGCGAGCCAGTTGAAGCTCACACGAATGTTTCAAAGTCTGACGTGCTCCTTCACAAAGCAAAAAACTGAAAGAATGCATGAAAGAAAAGGCGCTTTGACACGTTTCTCTCGCTCTTTTTCCCGGATAATCTGCAAACGGACTGAAAGTAAAGTGACAACTTCTCCTCGTCGTCCCCCTTCTTCTTCTTCTTCTTCTTCTTCTTCTTCTTCTTCTTCTTCTTCTTCTTCTTCTTCTTCTTCTTCTTCTTCTTCTTCTTCTTCTTCTTCTTCTTCTCTGCAAATAGCACTTTGCGTGTCTGCCTCTCTCTTTTTCTTTCTCTCTCCTTCCGTTGCTCCTCCGTTCCGTGTTTTCACACAGCCTTCTCGCCCCTCCATCCATCCAGCCACTCCGTCAATTTTCGCCCCCTTTTGTGCTTGTCTACGCTGCTCACAAGTCGTTTTTTTCCAGACAGCTAGTTACATTATTACTACTTTTCGTGTTGTTGTTGTTGTGACGTCAGTTTTTGGACGGATTCTAGAATTTGGGTGGAAAATTGGGAGATCTGTTCATGCGAACAAGCTCTTTCGGAGTTGCGGCGCCGCTGACTTCACTACCCTACGCGCTTGTCGGAGACTTTCACAGGTAAACCAATTGCCGCGGTGGCGCAGTGAAAATGTTTTGGATTTTCAAACTTGACTTCCGCAGGTTCGAATCCCGCTGACTGATAAACGGCAAAAACACCTTCTGCTTCAAGTTGTGAAGTTCTCAATAGAGCGCGCTTGCCCTTTCCTGTCACATTGAATTCCAAATGAGCACTCACTGCACTTTTCCTTTTCCCACCCATTCCGTGAGTTCTATTGTGTTCTTCTGCTGCCTTCCGGCGTTGGTCGCCCAAAAAGTTCAGTGAGTGCTCGTGACTCACTGAAATTCTATATTTCTCTTCCGCTCTTCTGAATGATTCACGCCCCTCCCAGACGGCCTGACATTTGACGTCAAGCAGCTCGGATGTTTGATCGAAAAAGAGCTGTGTTTGGTAAGAAACGCCTAATTAGCAGTCAAAATTCTGCGAAAAACGGCCGCGGTGTCCTTGGAAAACAAATAAACGAAGGAAAAGAAGAAGAAGAAGAAGAAGAAGACTTCTTCTTTTTCCTTTGCTCGAAAGCATGCACACTTCTCGGTTCCTTCTTCTTCTTCTTCTTGGTGTAACGTCTCTTTCGGGTGTCCCCGGGAGGGCTGCTCGGCGAGCGAGCAAAAGCAAGCAGAATGTCGCAATTATATGCCAGATTTCTCATTTCTTCTCACTCGCCCTCTCTTTTTACACACTTTCAAGAACGCGCTATCGATTCTGGTCACGCTATTTCTAGGCCTTTTCGGCGAGATCAAAAATAATGCGAGATTGGAAGAGAAACCCGCACTAGTCCCCCGGCCATGTCGATTAACCGCCGATTTTTGCTGTTTTTTCGAAAAATTATCGTGTTTTTCGCTTTACAGAGAAAACGTTTCATTGTTTTGTTTTAGTCAGTAAAATACCAGTTTATCGTTATTTTTCCTCCAACGCGGTGATTGTTTCTGATCTCGTCCCGTGAACTGTCGGCTGCTTCTCTGGCAATTCGATATTAATCTAATTAGAAAGTTACTGATCTAAACGCGACCTAATTAGATTCGACTGTTTTTTCTTGGCGCAATCGAGATTTGAGCCAGCAGACGGTTGGCGTGAAACTTGATTTGAGCGCCTATTAATCTAATTAGAGGATTTATTAATCTAGCTAGACAATTTATTAATCTAATTAGGTGTCATATCAATCTTATTAGGCTGCCGTTAGATTAATAACGAAATGCCAGAGTTGTTCCGCCGGCCGGCGGCACGCTGCCCAAGCCTTTTTCCGCGCGCAAAAACTTCTGATGCGTGCTGTTTGCAGAATACTGATTTATCTTTCCTAATTTTTTGTGAATGAGTTCATTATGACTGAAACTCGCAAGCAGCAACGAGAAACGCGCAGAAATGTCTATAGTTCGTGTTTCTCTTCCATTTTCGCATTGTTTTTTATCTCCGTCCCCGAGCGGGAGCACATTAACTTCTACATGCCTCGCAGTATAATCCAAACTCATTCATCAAAATATTGCACATATTTTGCGGATAAGCAAATAAAAAATATCACTCAGAATAACACGTTTATCCATCAACGACCAATTTCGGAATCCGGCGACTTCCTGTCAGAAGGGAGCAAAAACAAAAAGTCCAAAATCTTTTGACCTCTAATCTCTTTGTTTTTTTTCGGGAGTTCCAGGTACTTCACACTCTGATTGCTTCTTCTCTCTTTCTCTCTTTCGGAGAGCTCATGAGAGCACATATGTTCTCCTCCACCCTCTCGCAGCCAGCTGAGCTCCCGGAGCCCGCGGCGGCCGGGGTGCTTATCAGTATCATCATCATGTGTGCAGTGACACGTGATGAAAAGTGAGAGAGGGAGAGAGAGAAGTAAAGTGAATTGTTTGTTTTCCGTCTCTCTCAATACATACTTTCAGTCCTTCCAGATATCTCTAAGCCTTGCTCACCGAGCCCCCGCCACCGCCACCGCTAATCCAATCCCTCCTCCTTCTTCTTCTTTTTCTTCTTCTTCTTCTTCTTCTCGCCTTTTTCCTTTTTCTTTTTCTCCAACGATTTTCTATGTTTTTTCACTTCCGTTTCGGCTTTTCGTGTCAAAATTTCGTTTCGAGTCTTCCAGGAGCGGCCAAAATTTCATAACTTTGTGTTGATCTGCTTTACTGAAAATTCAGGAAAACTGCTCGATTTTTCCACTCTTATTGTTTTTTTTCACACGATTCTATGGTAAACTATCAAATATTTATTGATTCTCCGGAAAAAGTACACTATTTCCTACAAAGATCACATTTTGGGCCACAGTTGAGGCCCAAATAAGTGGTGTGTACAAATAAGCTTATAACTCAAAAGTGAAGAATTTTTGTATAAAATGGTCAATTGCAAAGTTGTTCAACACAAAATTTGCAACAACTTTTCTGTTCCTAACTTTTTTGAATATTGCTTGGTTCTCAAATTGGCCTAACTTTTTCCGTTTGTTTCCTAGGCCACCACGTGAAATTGCAACTAAAGAGGTTAGACTAGTCAGCATACACTCGATTTCACTTCTCTTTCTCTCTTCCTCTCACCTCTTTTATTTTCTGACTGCAAAAGGCGAGTAGACCGCCCCGTAAATAGACACATGAGGCCACATGATATCGAGAAGAAGGAGACAGTTTTGGTGCTGGTCATCAAGCACCAGCTGGCCTAACTCAGAGTTTTCGGCCACCCCTCTCGGAGCCCTCGGAGTCTAACTCTTCCAATTTCCGCTCCTCTCGCTTTCGATCCTTTTCCGGTTGTTTACGCAGCCGCCTTATGCCTTTTTTCGTCTTTTTCGTCTCCATTTGACCCGATTTATTTACGAACCCCCCTAAAAATTGCCCCCATTTGTTGCGCACACAAAGTTGTAGCAGCTGACAGTCCTGATTTAGCTTCTGAACTATCAAAAGTTCATCCGGACCAGGAATAGGAAATAAATTTGGAAAGAAAAGTGAAAAGGAAATGGATTTCAAGGTTGAATGCACTGGGGAATTCCACATTTCCACATTGTCAGCTCACAAAATGATCGATGCTTTCTGATTTTTTGTTGCTTTTTCGAAGCAATGTATCTCAGCTGTGGGTAGAGATATCAAAAAGTGGTCAACTAAAGAAATGTACAAAATTTTTTCATGATCAATTTATAAGTTGAATATTTTCTGATATCTGCAGCGGCAGTTGAGATATATCGTCTGGAATGCATTCGTAGATGGCATTGAGGGATGACGTTCTGTTGTCGGTTCCGATTTGAGAAGGTCAAACGCATGTTTTACAAAAAATTGGTCTAGACTGGTTTGAGAAAGGCTTGCACATTCAAACATCTTTGCAAAACGCATAATTCGCAACCTCAAATGCTAGAAAACGTTTAGATTGAAAAACTACTGCCGTCACCCCGAATACCTTGCATTCAAGACAGTATATCTCATTTGCTAATTGAGATATCAAAAAGTTGTCAACTGACAAGTTGTTCATTGGAAAATTATACACATTTTATCAGTTGACAACTTTTTGATATCTCCACTTTCAGCTGAGGTACATAGTCTTGAACAAACTAGAACAGTTTTTCAACTTCAGTCCTTGGTCGATGTGGCCTTCAACTGGAATTTGGAATCTAGAATCCAAATATCATTGATTCTCAAACTACCAAAGGTTGATCCTTTCTCTCTCTCTCTCTCTTCGCAATTCGTCCGTTCGTGTCTCATCAAAAAAAGGGACCAAAACGAGACCGATTCGCTTCCGTTTCCTCTTCGTTCTGCCATTTTCCGTGTATGTGTCATCATCATTAATACCCTTTTTGGGTGTGTGTGTGTTCACTTCGTTTTCATATTTTCTCTCCAATCGTTGAAACGAAAAACGAGCAAGAAGAATTTCATTTCAGAATGTGGTTTCTACGTAGTCGAGTGTTTGGCGGATCCGGAGATCAGAGCGGCGGCAGGGAGAGAGGTGAGTTCTCACGGCCTAACTTTTCCCCGTCGGATTTCTAGTCCCTCGAATGTTTTCAGAAGAAAGCGACCCGTCTCGAATGATGGACACATCAAACTACCCAACTCGAGGGGTAAGTACTCGGCTGATAACTTTTCCTTCTTCTTCTCTCTTTTTGATAACATTGTGTGTTTCGTTTTTTCGTCCCCCCCCCCTCTAAACGTTTTCAACGAAACACCGTTGGCATGTCCTGGAAACCCGTCACTTTGCCTCTTTTCCCTCTCTCTCTCTCTCTCTCTCTCTCCCCCAAGAGACTGTAATTATTCGTCTTTCTTGTTATTCGATTACCTCCCAAATTGATAGTTACTCGTGTGTTGTTGACAAGTTTTGCGTGTGTGTGTGTGTGTAATAACTGATGCGAAATGGACGAGAAAACTCGCTGGCCACGCACTTTTTTGTTGATATTTTCAATTCGAGCAACAGCGAATGGCTCAACTTCTTTCTTTCTTCTTTTTGGTCAGATTTAAGTGCAACTTTTCCTCTTCAAACTTCTCTATATTAACTGTTTCTATCAAGCTCTTCTCAAAGGACCATAGAACACTCCCTGTCCGAATCCCAAGTCTCCAACAGGACAGCGAGCAGTTGTGGCCGTAGTCTAGAAAAGTTCTCGGCCATATTGTCGCCGCCACAATCTTTGGGTCTTTAAAAAGAAATGAGCATCAATTCACAGTGCAACGGAATCAAATTGTTAGCGCAGGGAAGAGTGTTCACACTTGAATTTTCTAGACCACGGCCACAATTCTGAGTAACTCTGACAATAGTAGATCAGTGAGACAGACACATAAATTCAGAGAGAACACGCAGTTTATAGAGTTTAGGTTGGTTTACTGTAGTCCCACATGATGTATTTGAATCCGATCGGAGCCAAACTTTGCAGGATCGATTGTCGTGAAACTTGAACCCAAAATACTTCAGCCCAAGTCCAAGAAGCCTGTAAGCTTGGGTTTGATCGGATTTCTACAAACGGGCCAAGAGTTCAGCCTTTCCCTATCCTCCTAAAATCAAAAAGCCCACTTCCCCTTTCTGTTCAGGCCTGGCCATCTAGGTAGTAATATGATAACCCCCTGCAAACACGAAAAGTCATGTGTCTCCTCCTCCTCCTCCTCCTCCTCTTCTCCGTCGATTGGTCACCGCTGCAATTCACCTGAAACACTTTGAGTACACTCAATTCTTCATTGTTACAAAAAGCGCTGACGGTTGACGGTCATTGCCTGAAAGGATTCAAAAGAAGGTCTTCGGGAGGTGTAATATGTACATGACAATGGCCGAGAGAACAAAGAGTACCGTAGTGCCATAGAAAACTGCAAAGCAAGAAGCAATGGCAAAATTTCTAAATAAATGGAGACGTTTACTCCTATTTGAGATGAATGAAAACGTCGGTTGAACTGGTTTTTCTCCGCCCGGCTGATGGACACTTTTTGAGAGTGGAAACGGGTGATAAGGCCATAAATAATGATCAGAGGTCGATGGTGTCTCCTTTTTTGTGTGGTGTGTTCAGTCCTCTAGTCCAGTCGTTTCCTTCTAGAACAAGACGTTGGTGTTTGTTCGGTTCAGTTGAAATTGCAAAGATTTCCACATGAAAATTCGTTTTTTTTTTGTGTTCCCTCACGGGCGCCTCCTTTCTCCTTTCCAAAACATTCAAGGTCTTCCCCCACTTCCTTTTCCTCTCGAACACCTTCCTCCTCGAAAGGTCGTGTCTTCCTCTTCTGCAATTAGACCTCGATGGGCTCCGCCCCCCCATCATCATCATTGTTACAACAACTGGAAGCTTCCCCCCCGCCACCGCGTTTGGCAGCTTGTCTCGAGGTCGGCGCCGCCCCTTTCCGATCATTTCTACTTCTTCTTCTCTCTTTCTTTCTCTTCCTCTCGCACAAACGTTCAAATGTCAACTTCTGTTTGCTCTCTTTCTCTCTCTCTTTCTCTCGCTTTCCGCGCGGCGCTTGCGGAAAGGGCGCGGAAGGGCGCTTGGCACACACGCACGCGCCGTGCGGCATAACGTGCTCTTTGAGCTGACTCACTTTTCAAAGTGTTCCTTCTTTCTCCTTTGCAAAATGATTCTTTCCGAATTTCCAGTAGTATCGCTTTAAAATACACCATTATACGTCAATTTCGAAAACTTCATGTTTGGTGTCTTGAACTTTGAAGACTCTAATTGCATGTTTTTGAGATCTGCTAGATGGCCTAGATTCCCAAATCTTTCAGACCAGATGGTATTGTTGTTGCTTTGCTTTTCCGTTTCCCGCCACTACTACTACTATGTTGTTGTTGTTGTTGTTGTTGTCACGGACGGCACGGAATGATCAAATTGCAAACAAAAAAACGACGACCCGGGGCGGATGATGCCTCCCCCGATCCGTTTGTCCGTCCTTGACGGCACGTGACGCACGTGAGATATCAGCAAGCGCCCGTATTACTCACACGAACTTCCTTCTTTTTTCGGGTTTCCCATCTCATCTCATCACTTTTTCAGCTAACTATTTCGGGTAATCATCGTCTGTGGCCTAGCTTTTCGAGCGTGACCTAGGCTTCGCATAGCACAATCTCATGACCATAATGGCCACCTAGAAGCCACCTGTCGTTATGAAATCGTGTGATCTTCTCGAAATTTTTCATTTTCAACGAAACCATGATTCTATTGTTGAGAAAAGAACGGTTGCCAAATCGTATTCGGTGAAATGTGTTGAGCGCCCAAAAAACAGTGTCGTTCAGTAAACTCGACTAGACTTTTGTGCCTTTTTGTTTGTAAAAGAAAGCAACGTTTCTGCAGTCGACACTTTTTCGAAACCCGTAGTAGAAGTAGTAGTAGTAACACATTGCCTACGCCGTCTAAATCTCCAGCCGATTCGTCAAATCTCTCGTGTTGATCCACCTCCACCCTCTCACGCACTCGCCCATTCAAACAAAAAGGACCATTGATTTTTGATTCTCTTCCTGTGTTCGCTTCGCTCTCACAAGACTCTTCTTCTTCTTCTTCTTCTTCTTCGTCATCACTTGTGTGTATGTGTGTGTGTGTGTGTGACAAAACGACGAAAGGGACGGACGGTTAGCTTTACCAGTGGGGTGGAGTTCGAGAGACTGCGGAAACGGGGCGAAAGTAGTATATTTGCCAACCGAACACCATGTATTTATTTACCCCCTTTTCACTCTTTTTCTCTCGTTTCCCCCTCCCTCCCTCTGCTTTTCTCAACGATTTTACCTACCGAAATTGAGAATCGAAACTCTCTAGGACACTGTGTTTTTGTTATCCACAAGTGTGAGAGTACAAGTTCGCTCCCAAAGTACACTTATTTTGTCGCCCTTTTTGGGGACGATGACTATGATGAGGGTAACAGTCTGCCTCTTCTTCTTCTCTTTCATTTTATTGCTTCGTATCATTGAACTCTCATCTACATTCAAATCGTTTGCAGCGAACAACAGCGACTTCTATGATGGGAGCTCGACAATCGACGACGTCACATCACGACACTTTCCAAGGTACGCCATACTTTTTGAGCGAAATGTTTTCTTGTCTCTTCTATCTTCCATGATTGGTCAAACCGATTGAGAAATACTATGAGAGATAAATTGTGAGCATCGACAGAGTCTGCTCAATAGCACAAAAGGCTTTTTTGAAGACGCCTCACTGTCCTAGTTAGGCTTTCAGAATTGAAAACTCTGAAAGCCATACCGGACAGCCACATCGGCTCCATCAAACATTTTGCTGTGGCGGTTGCGTGCATCAAGCCTGTCAGGTGATAAGAACGCACTGATAGGACGAGGACGTGTCCTCTCGGCTTCCCTTTGCACACTACGTGCCATTTCCAAATCAGTCATAGAACACTCGAAGACTGTGAACACGGTTACAACAATTGGGGCAAACGTTTGATTGTATAGTGTGGACGGATTATGGGGGGATGATCTGTACGTGGAAACTAAACTAAACCATGTCCTCTTTCTCATTTCTCTTTTTCTTTGTAGCTACTTAGTTTGTTTGCCTGGTCTTGGTGATGGCCTAGGATTTCTTCGGCCAATGAACATTTGACCTTGCGGATATTCAAATCTTCTTAGCTGACTGACAAAACAACCTCCAAACGTCAAGAAGCCGAGCGAGTAGTTTAAAAAATCTCATCGTCAAAGTGGGCGTGGCCTATTTTCAGATTAGCATCTGGGGTCGCTTTCACCATCAGTTTCGAGTAGATCGAAACGGATCTTTTGGTGTACACTTTGCATCTTTTTGAACTTCACAATGTTCTCTTGAATATCTGTCGATCCTCTTCCCATTACCGTAGGTGTTCACTCCGAGTCCCTTCAACCAGTCGTTTCCATTTTCCCATTGCGATGCCATCATCAAAACGAGAGGCAGGTCCAATGCGAATTGAGGAAGGTCGGCGAGCGAATGAACACAGAGAGTGGCCCTTTGTGTCGAAGAAACGACGATTGACGTGCGTCTGTCTATCCACTATTTTCGCTTTCGAACGAATAGAGATGAGAGAATGATGGCATGGACACGCATTTTACTGGTTTCCAGTATCCCGTACATTGCTCTCTTCGATTCGGATCTTTGAACCTTCTAGAACCGCTGCCGATGATCTTTTCTCTTTTCTGATCCGTTGTCCCGATCGTCTCTTGTCGCCGATCACAATTACAAGTTCTTCATAGAATTACAAAGCTGCGCTCATTTGAACTCTGATGAGCACAAGCCGCCGGCACTTTTTCCTTTTCGGCTCTGCGTTTCTGGAGCATGCTCGGCCACTTTATTATGTCATGTGCCACCCATTTCGGACGCTTTTGCTCTTTTTCTCCTCTGGGGAGCTCACTTGCTGACTTCTGACTTAACCAACCCAAACTTTCAGTTTCGGCAGAAAGTCAAAAGACGGACGCGAAAAAAACTTTCGCCGTCCGAGATTGTATCTTTTTTCCATCTTCTCATCATTTCACACTCGCTCACACAACCGAAATAACCTGTTCTCCCATCTTCAGTCACGTATTATTTACAAAAAAGTTAGCGAATGACCTTGAAAACTGCCGATCTCGTTCCGATCTAGACCAGTCAAACAGCCGCCGACTTCCCCGTGTTTCTCATTGGAATTCCTGCAAAAAAGGGGCAAATAGTGCCAATTACCATTGAGTGAATGAATATAATTGCAAAAGAGGGAGGATATGCGTGACTGTTATCACACTTATCCTCGCGCAACGCAACCGGTCTCCGCAAGCAACTTTATTGCGTGCTAATCACAAATGCGGAATGTTTTGACGCCTTTTTGTACTCCGCTTGTGATCACAGAATTTTTATGTCTAAAAATTGCACCAAAACAGTTTTTTTTGTCTGGAAAACATCTGAAAATATCTAAATTTTTTAATTTCAGAAACGGTAGACAATGAAAAGTACGCAAACACCGTTCAGACTTTGCTGGGCGCCAGTTTGTTTTTCGGTTTTTATTCATTAATTCTAGCCGCGAAACCCGCACATTTTCTTCACTTTTCCCACAAAAACAAGCGAATTTTCACGTTTTCCTCCAATTTTAACCCAGGGCGGTGCGATTTTCATGCATTCTCCGAAATGAATCACTTCTCTTTGTCTTTTCCGTTTCCCTTGTCTTGTGCGGGTAACCGACCCTATGCATTACATAATGCCGGACTCTTTTCCGAAACAAAGGTGCAGAATTTTAAGGCTTTTCTCTTTTTTGGTTTTTAGCAAAAATGGAAGGATAAGGAAGTTCTTGCCGCAAAAAATCGAGTCGCTCAAATGAGAATATTATTTTTACGCATCGATAAGGCCAGTTATGACTGGATACAATTGTGAATTGACAACGATAATGAGATATGTTGATGAAAAAGAAGGCAGGCCCGACTAGTTGTTTTCTGATTTTATCAATCCTTTCGTCTGCTGCATATACGACTTTTTCGCTCATGTTTTTGGTAGTTGGTAAATAACTTTACGTTAGTTTTACCTGTTTTTCTAAATTTCGGATCAAAATCAGTCACATTCTCGCGAAACTTTATATTTCTGAGGCTGTATTCGGTTATACAATCACTCGAATTCTTTTCCTCCAATTTCCGTCAAACCCGTTCCATTTAACACTGTTCCACTAATTTGGGAGAAAAGAAGTCGAGAATCGGCAGAAAAGATTGTAAACCTAAACTTGCGACAAGTTTCCTCCCCCCAAAGATCCTGCACGGCTGAACTTTCTAGACAGTATCTGTATAAATTTGCTGCTGATCGCGGAAGAGCAAAAGTATTTGCTCTAGACTCACGGGCTCACACACAGAAATAGGAGTAGAGTATTTCGGGAGTGCCTAGAGGGAAACGAGAGTTTCAAAGGAGACGGAGGGGATAGGTGTGTAATAAGTCAGGTTCGCCCCGTCGGAAATGATGAAAAAAGAAAGGGGAGGCGCGGGGTCGTTGCCCCGAGAGAGGAATACAGTTTAAACACAGAGATATAGATAGAAAAGAGTGGAAAGGAAGGGTTAGATCGGAAAAGAAAAACGACGTTGAAAGAAGAACTGGTTGTTGAGAGCGTCGGTGGGGCGCTGCCATTGCCCCTCGTCTCTCACCCCTCACAACCTTCAACCCGGCTGTCTTTCCTTACTTTTCGAAAACTTTCTCGGTTCCCCCACAGTCGGAGGAGTAGGCGGAAGTATGATGTCCTCGAAACCGTCGTCGAATCACATGATGATCGTCGTCTCGCATCTGTTTGGCACTGTCCAAGTCTCGTCTGAAGACATCAGAAGAAGCAGTTGTGGTCAGTTAACGTGCCGTTTTCTAAACTGTATCTCTTTTTTAACTCTGTGTTGGCGCGCAGTCTGATCACGTGTTTCCCAGCGGTAGTAGAATCATCTCTCGGCCGTCGCTAATTATTTTTGCGGTTTCTCTTTGCCTGCGCACCCGATAAAACAATTCGTGACTTCTTCATCTCCATCTTCTTGTTGATCGTTGCGAGACGAAAACGACGACTTCTTCGATCCTCTCTATTCGGCTTATCATCAGCTTTGTTAAGTGGAATTAGCTAATCGATCGGAAGAATTTCCATTTTCAACATTTCTTTTTGTTCTCCCATTCTTACATTTTGATCATCGAACCTGTAAATCTCAACCCAAAAATAACCTTAATTCAATCGAATTAAGAACCATCTGATGAAAATTGCAAAGATTAAACATTAAAGTTTGACTCAAATTGGATTAGTCAAAATGTTTCAGCCTTTTTGAATTTAGATCATAGGTTAGCTAAACATTTGTAATCCGATCTACAGTATCTGCTCATTGGCAAAAGGATTCCAAGAATCTAGACGATATTTGCCCTAGAACCTCGGATATCACGCTCTCACTTTTTCGATGGCATGTAACGTGAACTGTCTCTCTCTCGGCTCGGCTCCAGCTCATTCGCGCACTCTCCTTTGCGCCACTTGATCTAGACCCCCCCCCCCTCCGTTTCCACCCTCGCAATTTCATCTATGACACGGGCGCGACAGACGGAAAGAGTTGAGACCTCCCCGCGCACGCATTTCGCGCTTTTGTTCGTTTTGTTCGAAATGTTCGACATGGGCGCGTAAAAGAGGAGAGAGAAGCCATCTCTCTCTCTCTCTCTCTCTCTCTCTCTCTTTCTGTCTGTTTCGCCAGTACAACAATACCAATATGATGGTGATGGAGGGGAGGAAATGGAAGGGAAACGGGACGGACGGGCGAAGATCGGAATTATTTGTGTTTCTGCCTGCGAGGTTTTGTTCAGATATCGGCGCCGTTGGCAGTTGGACTGTTAGACTTGATGGCTCTTTGTAGTGTTCCTTGGTCTTAAGATTTTGAAGTTCTGTGGATCTTCGTCAAAACTTTTTGTCTTCCTATTTTGCTCCCTAATCTCGAATTCTAGACCTTCCATGAGCTCCTATTTCAGACCAATCTTTGAAAAAGAAAATAGTTTAGAGCTCGGCTCACCTGCGATCCCATTTCTGACTCATCCCTCCTGCGCTTCAAACTTTCTCGCACTCTTTTCCGTCGCTCTTCACAGCACACCTCGTTTTCCGCTCTCCCGTATAGATATGTACAGCAGTTTTAGCGGGGAAAAGCAACATCTCTTTTGTCTTTTTCCCTCTTTTCCGCATTTTTCCTTTTCTCGGAGCGTCAAGAAGAGAATTTGGTTGTTTTTAAAGTTTCTGGACCCTTTTCTCCTCATGCTCTCTGTTATTTTTCCCTCTCCTTTATTCTTATTCGCTGCCCCATCGTGATTTTGTAATTGTGCGCAGAAGGTCATCCACCGCAAAGATTCGCAAAAAGAAGGAGGCGATCACGACCATCATGCTGGATCCGGTCGGCCACTACCATCCCGGTATCGTTCACGTCGATAACGTCTTCATCGGGGAAGACGACGAAGCACTGTCGACGGACGTCGAAATGTCGGCGGACGACACGGCCGACGAGAGTCAGATGGCTCCGTTGCACGACGTGGCCATGATGATGTTCGAGGACGGCAGCGAGCACGAGAGCAGCTTCGGAGGACCCGATGACAACGAAGTGGACAGACTGACGACGTCGTCGTCGTCGGATCGATCCGTCGGCGGCGTCGAGGATTGGGACAATAGCAGTTGTGAGTATGAACGCAAGCAATTCGGGATTATTCTGTTGGGCTAATAATTGGAGCTCATTTGAAGCTACAATTCCTGAATGCATTTGTCCAAGAAAGTTATGATCTGTATTACGGGTTTCGCACTAGTTCGCCTAGAATCTCTAGATCATGCCTAACGAGTAAGCTGCATTTTTAGCAGAATTTCAGCTGCCTCAAGTTGACCAAATTTGTTTTTCTCGTGCTCTTTCTCTCCCACCCGCAGTTTCCGTTATCAATTGCCCTATCGGAATCAGTTACCGCTCTACCAGTCACCGTTGTAAGCAAGTACGCAAGCGAATGGTAGTACCTTGAAATTTAAAAATCAAAACATTGTTTTCTGCCCCAAAAATGACGAGTTTTTGAATGTCTAGAAGTGATAAGAGGAGGTAAACATGTAAACAAACATTTGCAATCGCTTGTTAGCCGCCGGCCACTGGACAGTCCCTCTCCGTCTGTTCCGCACACCTGTGTGTCGAGATTCACTTTCCCGGCCGGGCCTGTGCTAGGAGGAGGCTTGTCTTGCGAATCGAACTACCGAAATACAGGAGCGGCAGAGAGCGAAACAAGGCTTTCGCGCCCTCTCGATTTCTGTAGTCTTGCACCACTTTGATGAGGTCTGGTCCTCTTCTTTAGCTTCTTCGTTTCTACGTTTCGCTCCTCTTTCGCTTATTCATCGTTCTCTCGCTCGCCCTCCGCATCTCTTCCGCGCGCGCGCGCTCAGGCCGAGAAAGCGAAACGAGACGCGAAAGTGCGCGGCGGCGGTGGTGGCGCGCGCGCAAGGCTTTCTTCTATTCCTCCTCCTTATTCTTCTCTTCTGGCTTTGGCTGCTGCTGCTGGTTGCGCCGACCGACGGACAGACGGACGATCAAGCTGAGAGGCGCTTGGCAACACACACAGGAAGCTATTGATCCATTCCAATCGCTATTCCTCTACCTTCTCTCTAAAATTGCTTGTGTTCCAAAGCTCTAGACGCTTACTGACCTCTACTCGTCTCAGGGTCGTTCCCCGCCCGATTCTGGGTCACTAGGAGACTTTCGCCTTCGATTTCACAAAGTCTTCCTATTCACCACTCTCCTTTTCATATTCTACTGCTTGGTTCGGATTCGAACTCGATTCCTACTATTTCTATTCTTAGTCTTCTCACTACTGGCTCCTACAAAATGAGCAAGGACGCTGCTTTAAAAGCGGCTTCTGACGACGTTTCGCATAGACTCAGAAGCTTGCGGCCGAGAAGAACGGAGACGTTGGAGATGCTTCAGATGCCGTCGACTTCGACGTCAACCCTGACTCGGCTGCCACCGCACAAGCGCGCTTCACACCCCAATCCACTGAAGCGATGTCAAATTGATAACCTGCCGCCGTTGGCGGAGCAAAAACGGCGACGGAGCGTGGACTCGGCGTCCTCATCCGCCGCCCCAACACCTCCTTCCACTCCCGTTTCCACCTTCTCTGGTGGTGCCAGTATCTCGGCGAGCTCAAGACAAGTGCCGGTGATTGCCACCGAGCTGACGTCTCGTCTCAGCTCTCAATTGCTGCAAGATGTGGTCCAGTTGGCGTATGCTCAATCCACGAATGAGCACCAGTTTACGATCAATGTCGCCTCACTATTGTTTCAATGTATGACTGGGGGTACGGTTTTATGCATCTATTTTTATTCTGCTAGAGGCTTGAGGTCATTCGTTTTAAAAATTCGCAGTCCAGTTATACAGTGGGGATCCACTAGTGTAATATTTCCATTGTCTCGACTGTTCTCGCCGCTACCATGTCACGGCTTTTGGTACTGGTACAGTGTCTTTAACGATTCCCCTTGTTGGTGATCTTATTATTACAAAATCGCGACGGCGTCGTATTCACGTAGGCCCACCCAGACAGTACGAAATGATCCTCGATCAGCGCCCCCGGGGGGAAATGGGAACTGTATCGATGGCACTCACTCTTTTTTTTCGTCATTCCTGCCTTCTTTGTGTGCTTGTGACAAACACACATTTGATCGAATCCGCACCTCCACCGCAGTGATGACGACGCGTCAGCATGCGGAAAACAAACATTTGTTTATTTTTCCGGACGCTTTCCGCGCGGCAACAACTACGGCGCCTTTGGCATGATCCCTGGGGAATACGGAAGATCAGAAAAACATTAAAATGATAGGAAGAGCATGGTTTTAGGCATAGTTGTAACCGGGTCGGGTCGAACCACAGGAATTCACAAAGATAGAACTCATAGAGAAAAAATTTGTTTTCTTGGAATGTTATCAAACGATCCCGGTGACAACTGGTATTAGGAGGTGAGATTGAGAATCATGGAAGAGAAAAGAGAAAATCAAAAAATATACTAGAATCATATCATTTCTTTGCAGTGTCGCCATCGGAAGCATGCTCCTCTAGCTCGTCGTCGTACCGCGTGCCGCCCGTCTCCGGCTCCTCTTCGTCCGCAGCCAACTCTTCCGGCGGCTCCGCGTCCGTCCATCATCACTCGTCGCTCTCATCGCGGACGATTGGGGCGCGTGAACGAAAGAGTTACACGTCGGGCTCGGGGCGATCGGCGCCGATGCGCAGCCAGTCGCCAGCCAACCCCAGTTCAGTGGTGAGTATTTCCAACAGAAAAAGAGCGTCCTTTCTTTCTCCCCAATATCATCCGTTCAAAAAACAATCAATTTTGTTTGAGTAGAAACCAAAGGTGTCACCGACAAACACTCGCTTGTTTTTGTGGTGGTGATTACCCGATAATGATGATGATTGTTGAAATTGAAAGAGTACAAACACACACATATATCGATAACGATGGGTCGACTGACTCGCTCAGCTGAGAGGGGGAGAGAGAGTGGCCAAAACGTTTTCTTTTTTTGCGATGAAGACGTTGGGTGATGGTGGCGGCATCGGCCAGTTGATAAGGGAAGGAAGGAGCGAGAGGCAGAGGGGGAACTTGTTTTTGACACCCATTCTCACTCTCTTCCTTGATCTTTTGCTTCTTCTTTTTCGTCTTCCTCTCCTTCGTCGTCGAGACTGAAGAAGAAGCATCTTCTCTAATTGACTAACTTACTGTATGGCCAGTTATTTTTATTTTCCCCCTTCATGTATCGATCGGTCTATTTTTCGATTTTGAGGCGATGATAAGAACACCGCGATTAGATTGTGCGAAAAGAGCACTTGAATTATGAATTTTTTGTGTTTTTCGAGTCCAAACCATCAATTTTCAGATAAGCGGAATGGACGATCTGCTGCGACCGGAGCGCTTCGACCGAATCATGCACACGCCGCCGCCGGATCAGTACACACAGGAGCAGCACTCGTGGAACCCCGAAGACCGATCTCTGAACATATTCGTGAAGGACGAGGACAAGTTCACATTCCACCGCCATCCGGTCGCGCAGAGCACGGATTGCATTCGCGGCAAAGTCGGCTACAGTCGGGGATTCCACGTGTGGCAGATCGAATGGCCCGAACGGCAGCGGGGAACTCACGCGGTCGTGGGCGTAGCCACCAAAACGGCACCGCTTCACGCCACCGGGTACACGGCGCTGATTGGCACGACGAACGAGAGCTACGGATGGGATATCAGTGAGTGTTTGTGTGATTTTGGTATAAAGCAACTATTTGAAATTTCAGCGAGAAGAGAATGTCACCACGACTCGAAGCACACACTAACATGGAAATATCCGTTCAACGGCGCCCGTGAGCACTACCACGTTCCGGATAAGGTAAATTCATTCATTCACACGAATTCTCAATTCCACTTTCTTAGTTCTACTGCATTCTGGACATGGACGAAGGATACATGGCGTTTGCCACCGACGATGAATACTTGGGTGTCGCATTCCGCAACCTGAAGGGAAAAACGTTGTACCCAATCGTGGCGGCCGTGTGGGGACACTGCGAGATCAGCATGCGATACCTGGGATCTCTTGAACGTGAGCTCATTTCATTCTTCTCTTCTTCCTCCCCGCCGCCTTCTACTCAATCAACACCACAACGAAGAGCTCCGCCGCGCCGCCCGTCTCCGCCCCGCCCACTCTTCTACTCGCCCCTCTATAAATCGCCCCCTTCTCGAGCCCTCAGCTCTTCTCCGGCACTCATCACCGCTGCCGCTCATTCTCCTGTTCTCCCGTTCTCTCCTTTCTCGGATCTCGCCAAAATATTCTCGTTTTATGACTTGCAAGCAGGCGGCGGCTCCAGTTCTTCGAGCTCTTACTCTCTTTTCGAACCGCCCGCCGAATGGCAAAAGTTCGACGAAACGGGGGATTCGCCGAAGCACAGGGCTCATTCGGTGGACGTTCTGGATGAGACTCCGTGTGCTCCGACGGCTCCCGACGTTCCGTCGCTCTACCTGCCGGCTCCACCGTCTGCGCGCGCTCCGAACGAACTCTTTGGGCCGCCGCTCACTCCTGGAGATCGTCCCCAGCCAAAACCAAAAGAAAATGGGTTCAATTTGTTGCTCTAGGGAGTACGGTAGTTTTGAGAAGTTACAAGTTATAATACTCCAAAACCTTGTTTCATTCATTCATTTTGGCTGCTTCTGTCGCATTCGCCCGCCCGTCTTTCGAACCGTACCTTTATCGTGATACTTTTTGTTCTGGTCCCGACTTCATTAAAATCATTATTCTTGTGGTGTTGCTCTGAGAACATTCCGGAAACCAGTCCCCCGAGTAGATCCCCTCTCCCGAATCGATATAACGTGTTTTGTTCTTGCAGCCGAACCGCTATCGTTGTCCGAATTGTGTCGACGTCGCGTGCGCATCGAGCTAGGACCGCAACCTGAAGAGCACATTGAGCAGCTGATGTTGCCGCCGATCCTCAAGAGATATCTCATGTACCAGTGCTGATCGATCGGGACCACTTCGACCGCTTTTTAGCCCTCCTCCCAGTATTTTCATGAAGAAATCACGTTCGAATGACTTTTTCTCCCCCTCAGAATTGTGTGCCTTTATGATGTCGCTTTTCCTTCCAAATTTTGAACATTTTGTGTACCATCTTGTGTATAGTTGTGACTTTTAGCTTCTCCGCCCCGTCTATCCTCAACAACATCAAAATTTTGCTCCGAAACTGGAATTTTTCGGCATTTCCCACAAGCCCCGCCCCTTTTTTGCTACGGGTTTCCCCTTTCCTCCACTCGGTTCGTACATTTCTTTTCTTTTCGAAAAAATCTTTCGTCTCTTTCTCAACTATTGATTTGTGTTATATTGAATATTGTATGCAACCCAATCTCCCCTCTTACACGCTTTTTTCGAAGTTTTTGAAAAAAATTTGCCCGTCTTCTATCGATTTCCCACCATTTTTTGTACACTGACAAATGTGAACACGACCATATTTCACTTTTCGCTCGTTCTCTTTCTCTTTCCTCACTAACTTTTCGTATCGTTTTCTTTGTATTTTTCATTGTTTGTCCAATCAAAAATTCACAAAATCAGGGGTAAACTCTGCGTCTCTTCTCCCTTTCCCACCCACACACACTTTTTCGGTGATTTACGGATAATTTGCCTTTATTGTATTGCAAAACGATTTGATTTTATATGGAAAATGAACATTTTGCCCAGACATTTATGTTGTTTTCCACATTTTCAGACTGAATTTTACTGGTTTCAAGAAATTATTTAATTCAACTAACTTGTTGACAATTCTTTTTCATCATTTCATTCAGAATACACAAATGGACAATCAGAAAATTGACGCGAATTAGAAAACTATATTTGAAATACCGCCACTTTCTTGTTCACGTGGCCTAGAAAAACGCATGGCCGAAGCGATTTCGGCCACCGGGTCTCGCCACGATCTTCAGTTTTTCGCAACTTTTTCACAGTTTTGCGATGCAAAATGCTGGAAATCTTGCAGATATTGCAAAACTTTGGATATTTTGATGTTCTAAAAATTTTTCCCAGTTTTTTGACACCTAAAAATCAATATACCACGGGATTCTCCCTATGTGCAACTCTCTTTTCGAGTTTTTTAGGAATATAAAAATGTTTTCATTCCAGAAAACAACTATGGGTGGCGGAAAGTTTCGTCATCGTACGAGCAACAAAGGAGCCGCTAAATTCAATGCCGGATCTGCGTAAGTTTTGCCTATTTACGTGTAAAATTGAGAATGGCTAGGAAAAAAGGAATTTAAGCCTGTAGCCGCACTGTCTTTTTAATCTTGAATGTCACGAATTTAAGTATAAACAAAAGTCGAACAAGTATTTTGCAGATGTGAGAGCAACCCGACGCGCAGCAAGCATAGAGCCGCAGCAACAGCCGCTCGAAATGCTTCTTTCGGTGGAGCCGGCATGCTGGCCGTCGAAGACCGTCCGATGAACCCATCGGCCGACGAGATGCTCGCCGCTCTTCCGATCCAGTCGATGGACATCGGATCCTCGTCGAAAAGTATGGTTTCAGAAGGAGGACTCTCCAAACTCACCGAGTTCACCGCCTGCACCAATCCGGCGTTCGATTCTGTCAATCGTGTCTGGAAGTAAGCTTTTTGCATGTATTTTTGAAAGCTTCTTTTCAAATCCTTCTCAAAGTTATGTTTTTGATCTTTTCCAAAGCACGAGCCGTAGACTGATAGATTTCTATCTTCAGATCTGGGTCCTCTATTCAAGCAGAGGTTGTCTCGGTTTTGGCAGCAATTGCTGAGGTCATCAAGGAGCGGGACGGTAATAGACCTCCTTCCGAAGACCCTAGGTGCTAATTCTAGGTGATTTCAGGTAAGGAAACTGATGTGGAGTACTGCGCCGCGCTCATGACTGCGCTCGAGGGATCCTCGTTGGGCAATCCGAGAAGAACGGCCGCCATCGCCTATTTGCTCCATTTGATTGTGAGAAAAGTGCCGAAAGAGGTGCTCCAAGCGCAATTTCATCGATTTGTACAGGTAGGCGACTGGAAACGTGAAAACTGAACTGACCTTTCCCCATTTTCCAGATCCTGTACACGAAACTGCTCGAAAACGTGGACAGCACTGAAGGATCCGCTCTCAAGAACCTGATCTCGGTGCTCGGAATAATTCTGCGGGCTCAACCGGCGTCCGTCTGGTCCAGCGCGAACACCCGCAACATGCTCGTCTCCGTGGCCGCTCTGGCTGCTCACGACAAGCCGTGGGTCCGCACGATGGCTCGGCGAGTGATCCGCGCGGTGCTTACCGATCCGGTGACTGCCACGGATAACGGCCTGCATCCGGCAAGCGGAGCCGTTGGTCAGCTGATTCTCAATCACATCGAGAACTATCTAGGTGAGCGTTTTCTGTGATTTCTTACCAATTTCAACCGCATTTCCATTGCAGCTCGTTCTTCTGGCGACAACACGAACGTCGTTCGTTTCCTGTGCCTTCTGGAAGGAGTCATGCACAAGATGCCATCTACTCTGTTCAAAAATATGGCCGAAGCGATGCTCAAATGCTTTGCCATATCGGATCCGATGATCAAGTGCTCTTCCCTTCAATGTCTCCATCGTGCTCTCCAACGTCAACCGTGCGACTCGGCTCTTCCTACCGAAACGAACAGTTTGCTGCTCACTGCTCTCCGCCAGCTGGGCTCTTCTGTTACCGACGTCACAGTGACCGCCTACTGGATGCAAGCTCTCGCCGAGGCGCACGTGTGCCTGACTGCCAAGGATTCGAAGAAATCCATTCAGCAGGCCTTCCAATCTCTTCCGCTTTTCGTCAAATTATTCGAATCGGGAAATGAGCAATTGGCTCAAGTGACCTACCAGTCTCTGACCAGAGTTATCGAGAATTGTGTGCAAGACGATGCGGAATGCGGAAAGTTCCTGCTCGGGCAGCTCCACGCAGCAATGACCATGAAGTCGGCGTCCGTCTGGAAGTTCATCCTCCGAGCGCAGATGAAACTGTACGAGGCGTGCGGAGAAGGTCTCCAAGGACAAGAACTCACGAAGGTTATTCAGGATTTGGCCAAGCTCAGACAATCGGACGACTGCTTCTGCAAGACTGAACTGGACTTTGTAAGTGAAAGAAATTTACTAAAGCGGAAGTTATTTTCAAATTTCAGACGATCGGCGCCGCAGTCCGTCACATCGGTGTCGCCCACGTAATGGCTATTCTCTCGTTAGAAGTTGACCCCGATGCCGCGATTCTCTCCACGGACTTCACCCGTTCCTGGCTCCTTCCGGTGCTCCGTGTCAACATACACAATGCCCCCATCGCCCTTTTCACCACCCATTTCCTTCCAATCGCCATGAAGATTCACAGACGTCTTCCATCTCTCCAACCACAAGTTCAACGTCTCTACACGACATTCCAATTTCAGCTCTGGGAGCTGCTGCCCTCGTTCTGCGAATCTCCGTCAGATTTGGAGACCTCTTTCCCGGATATCGCTCCGATTCTCGGTGCTGCTCTCAATGAGCGAAAAGATTTGCGAATGACGGTGTTGAATGCGATCAGAAGAGCCCTCAGATTCTCGCTGCAGCCGGATGCGTCGCCGGAACGAGTGGAGGTGATGAGCAGATACGCGAAGAACTTCATGCCGATCTTCTTCAACATGTATACCGGATCGGTGGTTGACGGAGGATACGACGACAAGGGAGTGCGGCTCTCAGTGCTCGAGGCGATCCGTTTGTACACAGAAGTCACTCCTTCCGATCTCATAACTCGCTACGTGGACAGTGCCATCGACAAATCGAAAGACAACTCGGAAGAAGCGACGACGACGGCTTCTCAGAAGCAAGCACGCGTCCTGGACATTCTGTGTGCTCTTGCGAGAGTTGCCGAAATGGACAATGTGTCGAAGATTCTCGACACAATTCACCCATGGTTCAACTCCACCGATGTCAATGGACTTCAGAAGAAAGCGTACAGAATTCTTGAAGAAGTCATCCAAAGAAGGTCGTCTCCGGAAATCGAACATCTTCTGGAAACGCGCAACGATTATGTGGAGAATGCGCTGCTTAGACCGATTGAAACTATCACATTCCCGGCTAGAGCTTCTTATGTAAGTTTGAATTTCCAGTCTCATCGTGTATTGTTCAATTCCAGTGCTCCTGTGTTCATATGCTCTTCGATGGTTGCTCAACTATGAAAGAGATCACAGAGCTTACCGAGAAGCTCATTCGCAACATCATCCTGCTCCTGGACAAGGACAACAATGTGCACACTCGCACGAACGCATCCAAGTGCATTCAGTTTGTGTGCAACAAACTGCTCGATCTGATCGAGGACCCGAATGCCGATTCCCCAGCCGCTGTGCTCGACCCAGTTCTTTCTCAGCTCTATGAGCTCACTACGCTGACTGCATCCCAAAAAAGCAGTGGAGACATTCCGCTCCACGTCGCCCGTTCGTGCCTTGTCGCTGCCAACATCATCGCTCAGAAGCAGATCAAAGTGCTCAACACTATTGCCACGTCAAAAATGATTTCATTTGCTTGCTCTTGGATCGGGGAAGGGCGTGCCGCTGTCAGAATTCTGGCGATCCGTCTGATGCGTGTTCTCTGCCAGAAGATTCCAGAAGTTGTGCTCCAGCAGTTCCGTGAACAACTCCTCACTACTGTCTTCGAAGGACAGCTCACCAGCGATCTGACTATCAAAGTTCGCAAGGCAAACCGTCTACTTCTGGAGGTTCTCGTTGAGAAATTCGGAGCGAATGTGCTCGAGAAATACACGGATAAGCCAGATTGGCTGAAACAAATGAAGAACATTGATAAGATCAGAAAGCGTAAACTGAGAAAGGCCGCTTCTGGAGAGGATATGGAGCACGACGGAGACGATGACGATGGACAGAGTGCCATCAGCGGATCCAACGTCTCCGGAAGAACTGCAGGCGCAGACACTATCTTGGAGCTCCTGGAAGACTCTGACGAGGATAATGACAGCGATTCGGAGGAGCAATTGATGAAGAGAAGCCGCGTTGGAAGTGTCTGGCTGAAGAACGAGGGAGACGGAGACGTTCCGATGGATCTTCTCGACTCTTCAAGAATGATTGACCAGATTACGACGATGAATCCGGCGATTTTGGAGAGAAGAAAGAAGAAGGCGTTGGAGAAGCGAGAGAAAGTGGAGGCGGCATTCAAGTTCACGAGAGACGGAAAGCTGATTGTGGTGGATGGAGATGAGGACGAAAAAGACGATAGATTCAAGGGAGCCAAGAGGAAAATCAGAAACGGCTTGGACGAAATGGACGAGGAGGACGGACCGACGGTCGGCACGAAGAGGACGAAGCATAACAGCGACTCGGAGGACGGACTGTTGAGCGACGACGATGATGAGGGCGACAAGAAGACGTTTGTGAGCAAGGCGCCGTCGTACGGAGGAAAGGGAATCTACAGGTGAGAAATGGTCAAAATCAGCATTTATTCAATAGTTTTTCACTTCAAAATGTACAAATTATTGGCAGTGTTTATGAATGTACAGAGACGAATACATTGCTTCTTCCAGAGATACATCCGGAAAGTCGCAAGTGGGCAGTTCGGTTGGCGCCAAAAAGCATCAGCAATCGAAACAGCGTCAAAAGCAGCAGCAGACGGAACCAAAGAAAAAGGGTCTGCAGCCGTTCGCCTACGTTCCGTTGCGCAACAAAACCGCCAAACAGGACGTCCGACAGATTCTGAAGGCGAAGCGGAAGAGCGGAAAAGGCGGCGGAAAGAAGGTCACTTTCTAGAGGAGCTTCGAAAATTGAAATTCCATTGCTATATTTGTTGAGACTGGTAACTCATAATATCTATTCTATTGTAACCTTCTCTTGTTTTTCTTTGTTTTTTGTTAGTTGTAATCTCCGTTAATCTTCGTTAATGTGTTCCTCATAAACCTAGTTTTTCAAGAGCAACTACAAGCCAACGCGCGCATGCCGTGCACTCGCATTTTCCGGATCTCCCACGGGCTCAAAGCAATTATCAGGTCGATGCTACCGTAATGGCTCGGAGCACAAGTCGGCTCCGGGAGCATCGCGGCTTCGGACGCCGAGAACGCTCTTCTCATGAATCGGTACGTTTCGTCGGTTTCATAATGGGCGGCGCAAGAGCCGGAGCAGAAGTTCGCGTAGAATCCGGGCGGGCTCAGAATCCAATCGTTCCAGCCTGGAAGAGGAAATTCAAGTGGGAAAAGTTAGGCCACCAACCGATTTCGGTGAAGTTCACGTAAAAGGGAACGACGCAACATCCGGTGCAATCGCTCGGCGCTTCGGGGCCTTTCGGTCGGATTACGGTAACTTCGAGATGCGGAGCCGAGAGCAGAATCTCTTTCAGATCGAGCACTTTCAGAGACGTACTCAGCACTTCGATCTGAAAATGACTAGTGAAATTTCAGATTTTTCTGGCGGTCTGAGAGGTTTTCAGTCAAAATTTAGTGCAATGCCTCGACATTCGACTAGAAATGGGCAACAATTGATAAACTTTCGGAAAAATGACATTTTGCTCTCAAAATTTGAATATTGTCGATCCACGTACCTTGATCATCTGCCGATTGTGTTTTCTCGTCCAAATATGCACACTCTGGCTCACGTCGACCACCACTTTTTTCGTGTTCTCATCCAATTTGTCGTCGACTTCGAAGCGCTCCAAATATTTGATTTCCCCGAACATTTCGTCAACTTCATACGCACAAATACTGCCGATTATCGATTGATTTCCGAGGAATTGGGGCGCCAAATCGAAGATGAGATTGGCCGAAATTGTGTCCGAGTTGCGGATTTCGTCGAGTGAATACTGGAAACAATCGGGGACCGGCGTGGCGGCGGTCAGGCAGGACCAGGCTGAAAAAGTTGGAATCGGATAATATCAATTCAGAAGGTGTCTTGACAGATACCGTAAACAGTTCAAATGAATTGAAACGATTGAAGTTTGATGTGAATTGGAAGTGTCCATTTTGAGGTGTCACTTTCGTATATTATCAGTTCAAAACTACAGTAAGCCAGTTTGATGTTAGTGCTTTGGTCGGTTTGCACCTGAACTTGAAATCAAACCAAAACAGAACATGTCTTAGTGTTTTGAACAAAAATATGAACAAACAACTCGGGCACGTAAATATGATTATCTCCCCTCCCCCACATACGTTTCTTTTGGTGGTACTTTTGTTTGTACGTGCACCGTTATGTCACAAGGTACCTTTTTGCTCCAAAAAACTTTCTGTGAAAACTTCACGTTTAGTACATCATTTTTGCAATTGATCACTTTTTTGTAGGACCACTCCCAGGCAGAGCTGGGCAATTGGCCGGCCCGGGCTTTTTGTTGGCCGACAATTGACCTGGACTTTTGAACCACTTGCAATATTCCGATCGGACCCAAACTTTGCAGGATTGTTGGACTTGGATTGAGGGCCATTGGTTCCAAGTTTCAGCCCGATCGGATCGTCGGGTCCCGAGATATGTGGATCATTGGCCGATTTTTTCCAAAAAGCCCGTGCTTCCGGCCAATTTCGGTGAATGATCCACATATCTCGGAACCAGATGATCCTATCGGGCTGAAACTTGGTCCCAGTATGCTTCAACTCATGTCCAAGAAGCCTGCAAAGTTTGGATCCGATCGGAATATTGCAAGTGGTTCAAAGGGTCAGGTGAAGGGCCGGCCAATTGCCCAGCCCTGCTCCCAGGAGTACGGTAGCTCGGGAAAATGCGCGGCGAAATGAACACACTCCCAACTCGCACTGGCTACCGTAATCGTGGAAGTGAGCGAAAGACAACACAAAATATGGTCGACTTTGAGCACTCAAAACTACGGAAATCATCTGGGAAATGTGGAGATTATGGACAATTTGCGCACTTTTCTCATTGCTCTCCAAAACGAGCGTCTGTCGGATTCCGCCGCTGAAATCGCTGGTTCTCGACAGAAACGACGGAATCACGGGCGTGTGATGGAAGCGCGGAGGACGGTCGATGAGGTTCAGCGCGTTGAGCATGTGCCTCTGAAATCGATCGATTCGAAAGTGTGTCTGATCTCTTTCTCTCTCTCTCTTTCTCTTTCTCTCTCTCTCATTTCCCCTACCTTTTGACGTTCGATTGACAACACTGCCGACACATTGGGAATCAGGAAAATCAGGAGAAACATCCGCAAAAGTGGCATTTCGGGCAAGGGTTTGACCAGAAGAACACACTCTTATCGCGCACACTTTTCCGTCTTCTAGCTCATTTTTATCTGCTTAATCAGAGGATCCGAATTCTTTGAAAAGTGACAGTCAGTCAGACTGACATTCGGCCGCCGATAACGCAAGAAATGAACTTTTGCCCGCTCCGGAAGCCAATCAAACATCGCGCTCTGACGGCATGAAACGCACGTAAAAGCGTGCCTTTTCGGGGCTCGACGACACTATCACTGCCTGACGCTTGTGATGAGAAAGAAGGAACTGAAAAAGAAGAAGGGGCGAGTGATTGAAGGGATGATGAAATTGGCGTGATTGCCGCGAACAGACTACACAAACGATGATCGGTTTTTGCGGAAAAGGGACTTTGTTGTTTTGTAACGTGCATTTATCTGACTACCACTCTGTTTCTGTACTTTACCATTAATAGTTACCATATTTCGGCACAATATCTCCAGATAAGATAATCCAATTTGACAATTTTTCGATATCTCTTCAGACAGCTGAGATATGCGGCATTTGGCTTCACGGCGGCAATTGCATGTTATTGTATGGTAACTTGTACGTTCCTACAGTAATCCTAGCCTATTGCAAGGGTATTACACCCCCTAAACCCATTGTTTTGTACCCCTTCACTACTTCCACTCCATCAGCTTCCAATTTCCGTTCTCCTCTTGTTTTCGTGGTTTTTGACCAATCGATCGGTCCCCCCCCTCTCTCTTCTCACTTTTTTGCACGCAGTCCTTCAATTACTTTCAATTTTGATATCCAATTTTCAATTTCCGTCCAATTATGCACCCCAGGAGACGACGGGTCCGGGGAAATGAGGAAAGACAAGACACACAGGAAAAGGGGGACACCCATCCGGAAAGTGGCTGAATCATTTTGTTGAGAGGAAAGGGGACGATCGGATCAAAGACTACAGTCCCTTCTATCCAGGCCCGAATATCATCAATCCCCCAGCTTCTGCTCCTTTCTCTCTCTCTCTCTCTCTTGCTCGGCTCGCCGCTTCCGGTTGTACGAATTGTCTCATCAAAGCGGCGGCGGCGGCGGCTCGATGCTCTTCCCATTCGTGGTGCTCTTTAGCTCCATGTGCTGGTGGCTCCGCTTTAATTTGATCCCATCCCCGGCCGGCTCTCTGTCTCTCTTCCGCTTTCGCCGCGTGTCTGTGATGAGAAGCCGCCGCAGTGTATAGTTGAATGAAATGTTGGGCAAGGAACTTTGAAAAACAGTTTCCTTTTGGTCAAAAATGCGATAAAGGTGTGGCAATATTCATGCTTAACAACTTTTCAGTTGATCATTTCATTCCAAATACTGTCATTGTTGAGTTCTAGGGAGTTATAGGGCCAGTTGCTGAACACACCAATTCCTTCTCATTTCCTTGCTTTTTCTTCTTCTTCTTCTCTTCTCACAACAACAATTTATAAACAATATATAGGGAAATTCGCAAGCACGCACACTTACACTTCTTCTCCACAGACACACATCTGGTGCACACATGCATATGCTCATTCACTTCGCAATCTTCATGCTCCAGTGGCCGCGGAGAGCGCCTAACCCGGTAAGCTCTTGAACGAACTTAATTGGAAAGTCTACCGTAATCCCACACTCTCCCCTTATCCTCTTTTCCCTTTTCCTTCCAAAACTAGGCTCCGTTTCAGTGCATATCAGTTTCAGTCGGGTCCATTCCCATTTCCTGTTTCGTCCTCCTCCGTCCCATTCTCAAATGTCTTCTTCTTCTTCTTCTTCTTCTTGGCCATGAAGAGAAGAGTGCCAAAGTGTCGTTGCCCTTCTTCCAAACGGATTGTATTGCATTTATACATTTCTCGAGATTTTTTTTGGACTCTTATAGTGTACGACTGGAGGATACAGTACTCTTGAGAGTTTCTGAAACAATACTCTAGTAGACCTGAGTGCCGTTCATTCCGGACCATATATCTCAGGTGCCGATGGAGAAATCAAAAAGTTGTCAACTGATAAAATGTTTATAAACTCATTGTGTACATTTTATCAGTTGACAACTGTGTGATATCTTTACCGGCAGCCGAGATACATTGTCCTCAAAGAGGCAGTAGGCTAATTTCAAAAGTATGGATGTTTTGACGTGGATCGACGAAGAAGCCGACCGGAAAAACAAAATCCTTAACGACATAGGTCTAAAAACTGTTTCTAAAACCGGTAGAGCCATCTGAATGGTCCAAAAACGCTAACAGGTCTCCCAACTATTGTCCTAATAGCTTCTCCTTTGATATCAATTAGAGTTCGGACTGAACCTTTCCACTTATCAGCCGATATTGTTGCTCTTCTTATCAAAAGTTCTACGCTAGACTATGTGTAGGTTCTTAAAAGGATCAAATTTTGTTACCCAAATGTATAAAGCTACAATAAAGAAGGCGGTGGTCCAATTACAATGTCCCACCATCTTCCGATCCATCCATTCACGGCGACGGCTCGCTTTTTCCTCCTCGCCATGCACACACACACACACATGTGAACAGAAAGAGAGACATAGAGGGGGGAGTTGTCTCCGTCTCTCTCTCTCTCTCTTCCTCTTCTTCTTCTTCATTGACGACGTCCGCGCGCGCACGCGTGTGCGCCCTTCCTCTCTCTCTCTTTCTCTCTCTCTCTTTCGTCGCCAAATACACACACACACTTATAAATCGTATAGTCATTGGTGTTGGAGAAAGAGAGAAAGAGAAAGAGAGAGAGAGAGAGGGAGAGAGAGGGAGCTCCACACCAGGCCAACCACCATTCAGCTCACCAGCACACACACGGAGCTCTCTCTCTCTCTCTCTTGCTCTCTTTCTTTCTATGTGTGTGTGTGTGTGCACTTTTTTACACCCGTTGACGGCGGCGGACCGCGGACGGACCCCTCTCTCTGACACCAACCAGCCACCAGTTGTACTAATACTAACCTCCAACTTTTTGGGTCCACTTCTGAACTAATTGGCATCTTAAAAGGTTCTCGGAAACGGGGGTCAGACTCTATTCGAAACCTATAATTTCACTCCGAATTCATCACCCCTATAATTAGTCGCTCGGAGCTTAGAGACCAAACGCGAAAGCTCAGAGTTTGTCTGAAAAGTGTTTGCGTTATTCACCTGTTCCCTGTGATGACGTGGCAGTGTATTGGGTACATAGTACTGCCAAGTACGTTCTACGTCACAGTCCTCAATAGGTACTTGCCGCGACCCGAAAACAACAACAACACAGGAAATGAGGTCATGTTTGTTTTTGTTTTTGTTCCGATCTGAAAGCCAAACTTCCGCCCCTCTAACAGTTGTGTTTGTATAGCAACTGGAACAAAACCGACTGGTTTTGTTCTGGAGGAAAGAAGTTGCAAAGGTTTTCGGTTACTCTGATAGATTTCTGTTTCCCCGGGATCCTATGCCATCCAAGTTGTACTCTAGACGAACTAGGTCAACTGATAGGGACCATATCCATCCTAGACGTCTCTATCGGATCCTGGACTATCCTAAGCGTATTTTTTGGAATCCAACACAACCCGTTCCCCTTCTCCATAACAAAATTAACCCCCTTTCCTTCTCTCTCTCTCTCTCTTCCGATTCCAATTGTTATTCCGTCAGTGCGCGCCCAAAAAGTTGTGTTCACCGCCCTGTTTTGTATTCTGTTCGTCTCCTTCTCTCTCTCTCTCTCTCTCTCTCTCTCTCTCTCTCTCTCTCTCTCTGTCTCTCAGGCCGTGTGAATTCTGGTCCATAAGGTACTTTTTTGCAGCCCAAAAAGAACAGAAAGTGTTTTGACGTTGCAAAAAGTGTGTGTGTGTGTGTGTTTGCGAGAACCCAGAACCGGTCGGATTACAGTAGTAGAAGAAGAAGAAGAAGAAGAAGAAGAAGAAGTTGTTGTGAAAAGTGAGGAAAAGGCAGCCACTCTTAATGGCCACCCATTTGTGAGTCTAGACCTGAAAGCTCCAAATGGAGCACAGACGCACAGCTCGGAACGTCTATTTTTCAGTGGGGAAAAGTGGTGGTTTTTGGTTTGTTCACAACGGCGTCAATTCAAAACGATATACCTCAGCTGTCTGTAAAGATATGAAAAAGGTGTCAACAAGTAAAATGTGCAACGTGTTTTGATAAACAATTTATTAGTTGACAACTTTTTGATATCTCTACACACAGCTGAGATATACCTTCTTGAACAACAAGTTCGTTCCGACTTTCAGAGTACAGTAATCCTCGTCGCAAGACAACTTTTTTCGATATACTTTTGCAAAACTCGCTTGTTTTTTTGGTTTTCTCTGTTATTTTCCTTGCAAAACGCAAAACCGGACGAAATGCACCCCGGAATCACGTCAGAGAGCGCCACTTCCACACCAAACGAGCCGCCTATTTAAAGGGAGGAGTGACGGAGCGTCTGGAAGTTTTTCCAGAAGTTTCTCGCTCCAGACGTTCTGTGGCACGGTCCCAAGTCGCCCGGGGTCCTTAAACACTAAAAGATCCGTTCTAAAATGGAAAATGGAAAACAAGATTTCCCCCAAATCAAGACACAATGACGTTTACGGTCAACGGTCATCAGTATTGTCAGTTTTCTGATCTTTTCCTTTTTCGGACATCAACACAAACAACTCCTTCTTCTTCTTCTTCCTCTTCCTCTCTCTCCCTCTCTCTCTCTCTCTCTCTCTCTCCGGTGGTGTGCAAAAGAGTATCGTCTGCTTCTTTTTCCAGTGAGCTTCTAAAAATAACTGCTCCCCGTATCTCTTTTCCTCCCTCTTCCTCTTTTTCATCTCCGAGCACGACTCCCCCCCTGGTCTTCTTCTAGTACAACTGGCCACTCTCTCGCTCTCTGCGTCTCCCAATCTCTCGCCGATTGATTTTTTGCTATTCCATCGGGTCCAGAGAGCAGTGGTTCCGGCCGACTCCATTCATACTGATATTATAGATCTTTTTTCACCTTTTACATGTATTTTTGTCGCGGCAGCAGCTCTGACGGAGAAGAAGAAGAAGAAGAAGAAGAAGAAGAAGAAGCCGTGCTCTCTCCGCAGGTGGTCTCCATGACGACTGCCGAAAAGCCACAAAAAAGGCTTTCCTGGATGTGGTGGTGGCTTGATTACACCGCCTTTTCAGCTGCCTCCCTCCCTATTCATTTCTCTTCTTACTCCCCGCTTATTCAAGTCACCGCTTTTGTGGAGGAGCTTGAGTTGGCGGCCTAGAAATCGTTGTGCAAAAGTTAGGCCGTCAGTTTTTGTGGTGGGTGGCCTAGTAATAGAGAAAGTCAGGCCACGAGCTCTAGGTTAACATTTTTAGAAAGTTAGGCCATTTAGCTGCTTCTTAATAGTCCTCGCTACTTTTGTAAGCTGGCCTAGAAACCTTTGTGCAAAAGTTAGGCCATAGGCCATATACTTCCTCTTTCTCTTTCTCTCTTTCTCTTTTCCGATTACCATTCCTGTCACGAACTTTGATGACTTCTTCTTTTTCTTTTTCCATTACAAAGAGTGGTGTGACCCCGTTGAACTATCACTTTCTCTCTCTCTCTCTCTCTTCCACTTCTTCTTCTTCTTCTTCTTCTTTCCATTTTGAAACCAAGAAAATGGAAACGAAAGCGTTTTTTTTTGCGTTTCCAATGCATTTTTTATCTCGTTTAAGCGCCGGAGCCCCCCATTCGTTTCGTTCTTTTCCATCAAAATCGGCCAGAACACTTTTTGCCCCATTTTTGAGTTTAACCTTTTTGAAATGGCCTGTGATCTTCATCCATATTGTCCTCTTCCGCGTCAAGAGTACGCTACAAAGTACACTAACGTTCCGATTCTCCGTTTCGCGTTCAATTCCACTTACTCTGTCATATTTGAACTCATTTCAGCGCCTCTCCGAATTGCCACGTCATCAGCAAGCGGCTCTACAATCGCAGCTTCACTCTGAAAGTGCATTCATCTATAATATTCCAGAAAAGAGAGAGGAGATCTCTCTCTTTCTCTTGCTTCTTCTTCTTCTTTTTCCCTCCAAGTCTATGATGATCCCAAAGAGAAACCCGGGGCGGATTTGCACACACTTCTTCTTCGTCTTCTTCGTCTTCTTCTTCTTCTTCTTCTTCTTCTTCTCGCCGCCTTCCCGATGAGGAGAGCTCGAGCCTAAGCTCTGCCTTTACATACACGGTGCATCGACCAGATTTTTTTGTATTAGATGATGATCTAGAAAGTTGTTTAAGATATTTTTAGCCACCAAAAAAGCACGTGTTTCTCGGTCAATTTCCAATATTGTTCAAAAGTAAAAAAAAACGAACCAAAAGATAGTTTCATCCTCTTCAACTTTGTAATTGATCACTTTTCCCGATGATGCTCCTGCGCCCAGATATTTTCATTTTCGTGACTCTCACTTTTCTGGCACATGATTTCAGTTAGTCCCCTCATTTTCAAATAATTCTAAGGAACAGGTGTAGAAAAGAGAGAGAAAGAGAGAGAAAGAGAAAGAGAGAGTGGGAGTGAAAGTGATGGGCTAATGATAGACACAACGACATGTCATTTTCCTCCCTAAATGGGGTCAAAACCCACTTTTCATTCTCATTCTGTTCTCAACTCAACCTTTTCGCGCTTTCGGAGCCTATTTAGTCATTTCACTTCGAAATTGATCAGCTTTGAGCGCATTTCTAGCCCGCCAACCTCAAAAGTTGTCAAATTTATTCAATTCCAAGCTCCAACTTTTGGTTCCAATTTTACAAATGTTTGTTCCAAGAGCCACAGTAGTATTTTCATACTTCTAGAAATGGACAATATTCAAACTGTAGTCTAAACTTCCCCCCAACTATCATTCATTTTATTCTCCGTATCAATTCATTCGCCCTGCGCGCCACGCGTTTCTTTTCTCCTCCCTCAATACCGAATCGCCATCAAAACAACCAACTCTCTCTCTCTCTTTCTCTCTTTCTCTCTCTCTCTCTCCCACTCTCCGTTTCTGTTTGACAGTGCTTTCTGCTGCATGATTCGCGTCGTTTTCCGCGCGCGCGCCGCCACGAAAAGACCGTCTCGCATTTCGACCAATTCAAATATACCGTGGTTACGGAGAGGCGAAGGGACCGGCTGGCGGAAGAGAGAAAGAGAGAGAGAGAGAGAGAGAGAGAGAGAGAGAGAGAGAGAGAGTGCGCGGGAGGAGATCATCATTAGTATTATTCGTCCGTTCTCTCCTCCTCATCTCAAAGCTTTTGCCGTAAATCTCTGGGCCACAAATAGTCTCCAAGTGATATATAGCCTAGAAATCTCGTGTTCTAGGTTTCTATTCCAGGCGATGAAAAGATGCGCATAATTGATACTTTGAGTACCTAGTAACCTCCCGCAGCGTTTTCTAGGCCACCATTCTTCTTTAGGGAGTTGATACCTTTGGTACTTGTGGCCTAGAAACCTCTTTCTAGGCCACGCGACCTTGCCAACCAACAACTTCATTAGACTTTCAAATCGTCCCACGTCGCTGTGACTTCGACAGTTCCCCCTTTCCCCGGTGCCACGTCATCATGATTTTGACTTCTTCTTCTTCCTCTTCTTCTCCTACTCTCTCTCTATCTCCATTCCTCCTCGTGCTCTTTTCCGGGAGAGAGAGAGAAAGCAGGTGGGAGGTGAGCCCGCGCAAATATTGACTTTTTTTGGAGGAAATGAAAGAAATATACCACCCACTGTGCTCCCTCTCTCTCTCTCTCTCTCCCTCTTCCGGAACGAGAGAGAGAGAGAGAGGGAAAGAGAAAGAAAAAGTGTCCGGGATAGTGATCCGCCGTTCCGCGCGTCAATTGCCAAAGATCTTTGAGAATTACAATATCGGTTTGAAAAGAGAGGGGGGGTCTAACTTTATAAATCTGTATCTTGAGAACCAAATACAGTATCCATCTCAAATTTTGAGCCAAAATCACCGTGATTTTTGATTTTAACAAAACTTCAAAGCGCCAGACTCTCCCAAAACCTTTTCAAGAACTTAAGTTCAGTCACAGTCCCACAAGACCTTTGAAAGCTTCTCGAAATCGAAAACTTCGTTCCCCCTCTCTTTCTCTCTCTCTCTCCTTCTTCTTCTTCTCTCGATTGTAACAGGAACAGGTATTATGCATTCATTTTCATTTCAATGCCATTCCGTCCCTCTTCTTTTTCTTCTTCTTCTTCATAATTCGGGCGGTGATTTATGAGATGGAAGAGGGGAACGAACGCCTTCTTCTTCTTCTCCCTCTCCCTCCCCACATATATGTATATTGTACGTTCGCATTGTTTATACATATGTACATTTCATATAACACACAATACCAACTCTCTCTCTCTCTCTCTCTCTCACCGTCGATTCTTTTCTCTCTTTCTGTCCGTGTTGAATGGCGTAATGGAACAAAACAAAACAGAAGAAGAAGAAGAAGAAGAAGAAGAAAAAGGGTTTTTGATTAGATTCGGGCAAAAGATTGTAATAAGCGTGCGCGCGCGCGCCGCCGTCGCCAGTTTTGTACAATACCGAATCGGTGATATCATTTTCTTTTTCGATTTTCTGTGTTTGACCCGCGACTCGTCTGCGTCTCCGCCACACTGACTCATACTTTACCCACCAAAAAAAGTACACCAACATTCGTCTAATCATATCAGGCGAAAGTTAGTTTGACAAAGATATTGTCCACTTTTAATATTGTCGTCTTAAGAATGTTGTCGATTTTGAGAGACCCAACTTGGGAAATCGTGAGTGGTACGCTCTAAATTTTGAATTGTCAACGAACGTTTTTCTTCTCCAAATTGACGGTTTCCGTGAACACTGCTATTATCCAATTCCCCCAAACCAAACAAGTCAACTCATCATTTCGCAATGTTTTCCATTTTCCATTTTCCATCATTTTGACTCACACACACACACACACTCATTTCCTTCTTCTTCTTCTTCTTCTTCTTCTCCATCTTTTACGTCCAATTATGTCACCACAAGTGCGTAATTACCCCCCTTTCCTCTCTTTTTTTTTGGTGGTGGCGTCAAGAATTGTTCTTCGGAAGCTTCTTCTTCTTCTTCTTCTTCTCTCTCTCTCTCTCTCTCCTGTTTTTGTTGTTATTGTTCTTCCCTTTTTGTTCCGTTCTTAGTCAGCTGTACTATTGGAACATTGAGAGCAGCAGCAGAAATGTACAAGAAAGTGAGCGCTATTCATAGAAAAGAAGGGATGTATCTCAGCCGTTAGTTAAGATATCAAAAAATTGTCAACTGATAAAAGGTACATGAATAAATTTGGAACATTTTTGTAGTTGACAACTTTTTGATATCTCTACTAGCAGCTGAGATAGTGCTTTTCTAACTTTCTTGTACATTTAATCGTGTTATTTTTCCGTTCCAACGTCTTCTTTTCTCCAATAATTGATTCATTTTACAGTTGGCGGGTATTCCAAGCTTAGTGGTAGCTGCAGCGGCCGTCTCGCCCCGATCCTCGACTCGACCACTTCTCCAACTGCTCCCCAACTGAGCGGCACCTCCTCCGATCACGACGTCGACGCCGTCCGCCCTCCCTTCTCCCTCTCCCTCTTCTTCTGCCGTCCGTCGTCGTCCACCTCATCTGCTGCCGTCGCCGCCCACGCCATCACGACGACGACGGTGCACGAGGCGAGCGCGCCGCCGCAGCACCACCTCCACCATCAGCAGCAGAGCCGCAGCGGCATGACCGTCGCGAGTTACAGTATGGTGCTATGCGGCTCTTCTGATGATCACCGATATCGGGGGCGTATTGAGAAGTGAGTTGAACCGGTGTCGAGGATTACTGTAGTTGCACTTGGCAAGTTGGAGCTCACGTCATTTAAGACGCTATATCTCTGCTGCAAGACTTTTTCTACATTTTATTAATTGAAAACTTTTTAATATCTCCACCTACAACTGAGATACACTGCTTTAAACAGACGCTATACTTTCAGAGTAAAATTTGGCGTTCCCATCAACGAAGCATTCGCTCATGACATTCCGGCCACCCTCCTCATGCTTCTTCTCAAAGTGAACAAAGACGGACCGGCAAAAAAGGACATCTGGCGAGCTCCCGGGAATCAGGCACAAGTCAGGAAGCTCAGCCAGGTAATGCAGCACGGCCGACTCGTCAACATCGAGAACTTCACCGTCTACACGGCCGCGTCGGTCATCAAAAAGTTCCTTTCGAAGCTGCCGGGTGGCATTTTCGGGAGGGACAACGAGGAGACGCTGTTCAACAGCGCCTCCACCGGCATGGACATTGAGAAACAGCGGCAAGTGTTTTACAGGTGAGCAATATTACTCTATTAGAGAAGACTCTTGAAGATCAGTTGACAACCTGTACCGATTCAAATAAACCGTCTTCAGGATCTTTGGCTCGCTGCCCGTCGGCTCCCAGCACTTGCTCGTCCTGCTCTTCGGCACATTCCGCGTGGTCGCCGACTCCTCGGACGGTCACTCGAACGCGATGAACCCGAATGCGATTGCGATTTCAGTGGCGCCCTCGCTCTTCCACACGTGTATACACGACGGAAGGACGGTAAGCTGCCGGATCAAGAAGCGCCCCCGCTCATCTGATATTGTAGGCGCGAGTGGAGGACCTGCAACGCTTCAAGCTCGCCTCCAACATCGTCTGCTCGATCATCTGCTCGTTCGGCGACACGAAGCTTTTCCCGCGCGAGTGCTACGAGTACTACGCGCGGTACACGGGCCGAACGTTGCGGATCGACGAGAACCGAATGTTCACATTCCATAATCCGTCCAGTGAGTATTTCTACTGACACCTCCAACCCAATTTCCACTCCTGCTCCCTCTTTCTCTTCCCCGTGCACACACACACACCTCCTAACCCTTGAGCCAATTTCCAACCTTGCTCACAAACACACACCGAACACCAACTAACCGTAGAACGGGTACCGTATACTCTCTCTCTCTCTCTCTCCCTCTCTCTCTCCCTCTTCCTCTCTCTCTCTCTCTTAATCTCTCTATGTCTATCTATCACTCATTTTGATTGTCTCTAGAGGAACGTAAAGATGCATGCCTCACCACTTTTGTTTTTGTTTTCTTTTTTCATTTTTGCATGATGATGATAATGATAATGATCTCTCTCTCTCTCTCTCTTTCTCTCTGTGTCTCTTGGAATGAATAAACACTGGTGGTTGTACTTAGTTTTGAATGTTTTTTCTTCCTCATCGCATGACAGCACACACACACACAAACAAACAAACAAACAAAAACAAAAATACGCGTGGAAGATGACACCGGAATGATAATAACTTTCTGCTTTTGAGATGGTACTTGTGTGTTTGTGGTGGTCGTGGCCGAACTTTTACTCTTTTTCAGATTGGGTTTCTAGGCCAAGAGATGGATCAAGAAGCGTACCGTCTATTCAAGGCAATGTATCTCAGCTGACGGTAGAGATTTCAAAAGGTGATCAACTAAGAAAATGTAGACAATGTCTCGATAAGCAACATGTTATTTGACAACGTTTTGATATCTTCAAAAGCAGCTGAAATACCTCGCTTTGAATGGGGAGGCAAGCGTTCTGCAGAGCTCTGTTGGTCGTCCATTCAAAACGATGTATCTCAGCTGCCGGTAGACATATCAAATAGTTGTCAATTGATAAAATGTACACAATATCCTACTGAGCAATTTCTTAGTTTACCACTTTTTGATATCTTTACCGGCAGCTGAGATACATCAATTTGAATAGACGGTATTCAGGTGCCAAGTTCCAGAAGGATACTCATGGTTACTATACCTTCAGAGGAACATTATAATGATTTTTTTGGGTTACTGTACCTGTAGATGGCCTAGAAACCCAAACCTCGGCCACCACCTCATCTTACCGTCTCAAATGCCGTGGAAACCGCATCCCGAAAACATAATAAAATGAATATAGTGTTGGTGGTTGGTGTGCTCTCTCCGCTCGTGTCATTGTCCAAATGGTAACCGGTTTCGTCTCTCACTTCAGACCGTCGTGCACGTGGCGAAGAGTTCTCCGCGTTGGCGGCCAAATGCGCCGGCGCCTACTCGCTCGCCGCCCTCCATCTCGCCGAAGAATCGTCGCCGGAGCCGTCATTGGCGCCGCCCGTACCCGGAAAGAAGCCGCCACGTGGCGTCGGACGGGCCGGGAGCCTGAAGCAACACGCGTTGACGCAGACGACGGACCACCCGAAGCGGAGCGTCTCGATCGCCGCCAAAGAGCCCTACCCGACCGATCTGAGGACGTCTGTCAGCTGCGATTTTTGATGTTCTTTCCTCGTTTTTCTTTCATTTCATTTTAATTTCAATTCTCTGGAATCTGAACAGTTGCCCCCAACCAATCATTTTGTGGCCTAACATTTGTGCGATTTGCGATCGGTGTGAATATCTCTTGCGTTCTTCGTTCCCATTCAGTTCTCGTTTTGCGGTAGAACGCACTTTGTTCACTCGCCGATCGCAAAGGTCCTCGTCGAAGTCCCCGCCCGAAACCAATTTGCGTTATGTGTCCAATTCTCCTAATTTCCTTGCTCATTGAAAAAAAGAAACAGACCGACTTCATTAATCTCCTCCTCCTTCTCCTCGTCCCATTCCCCCGCCGTTTTGCCTTATTCGAATTTGCGATAATCATAATCAAAACGAAGCAAATGCGTTCCGCTGAGAATTCTCAATGGAGCGCACTTTCAGCAGAAGAGATCAAAATGAATGTCCCGCCCGTCCCCGAAATGTTTTCGTTCTCCCTCGTTTCTCTCATCGATGTTACGTGTCAATTCGTTCCGAAAAGCCGTTCCGTTCCTTTTCCTCCTCCTCCTCCTCCTTTTTGCTTTCCATTTCCTTTCCCTTCCCGCTCCCGAACAAAAATCGATTTACATACCTGGAATATGTGTGTTTTACGTCAGTTCCCAATCAATCAATCATTCAATAAAATGACCGGATAGAGCCCCGATTGGTGTTGAAACCCCTCGTTTCAGGCTGTTTTTCGGTGCGCGTGCCCGTCACGATCCAGGAGAATGAGCCGATGCGGAGCAGCCAGCCGAGCACCAGCCGAGCCGGCGCTCAGAAGCCGATGCCCACAATGGCGCGGCTCAACAATCGGCTCAGCAGCAGCGTCGGAGAGGTGAGACAGCAACCGCACTCCGATGAGAAAGGTGTGGCATTGATTCTTAGGTGCTGCTCGAGGCGGTCTCCGACGTGGAAGAACTCAGCGACCTCGCCGACATCATCCGTCCGCTGACTGCTTGCGGCGGCGATCGTTCGCTTTCCTACCTCCAATACGTGCACGAGAATCAGGCAAAACGAATGAAATCGCGCAGTGAATGGTTCCTTTCGCCCGTGTCTTCCGCCAAAAAGTACCAAACGTCGTCGAAATCCGTCGACTATTTCGGCGCCGTCTCCATCGAAGAATCACCGTCTCCGAAGCCACTTCCCAAGCCGGCCAGGGCTCCATTACAGGTAAGGACAGCCTTGAATTTCATTCTATAAACGGATTTCAGACGAGTTCCAAGTCGAACATCTCAAACACTTCTGAGGACAGCGTTCCCACTCGCCGGAGATCTTTGAAAATGCAAATGCGCGCCGCCGCGTTCGCCAACAACCCGAGTGTAAGTTCGTTCCATCGAAAACTCTACAAATCTACCGCAACCTTTTTCAGCATTCCCTGGACTATCAAGAGATCGGACCGTCTTCTCTGCGCCGCGCCGGCGATTCAAACCCCCGTCTGCGAAGTCACACATCCGTCGAGGCGGACACGTGGCTGACGGAAGTGGTCCCGCACGATGAGATCCCGAAAAAGCGACGAAGTCTGAAGAAAAAGACGTCAACGCAATTCTAGATAACATCACGCCTACGCAAACTTACCTTTTCATTGGATTGTTAAATAATTTAATTAATTATCGATATTTCTATTTATTTGCCCATTTTCACTTTGTAAAACGCCCAAAGTCTTTCATCCGAACCGCCCACAAGTCTTTCTGTTTTCTCCAAAACTCACATATTCATCCAGTCTGTCATGCAACTTTTTCACTTTCAATCGCCACATTTTTCACAAATTCTAGGCCTTTTCTCTTTTTTTTGTCTTCTCGCCCACTCAATCCCAAATACCTCACTGCTCAATCTCGTTCGCCGCAAACGTAAACAATTCAAAAGTAATTCACAAATCGCCCACTTTTTCAGCCATTTGCTTTATTCAAAATTGTGTATTTATACTATGCATTATGTAAAAAGTCATTCAATAAACCTGCTTTTCTCAATTAGAAAGACACAATATAACAGAAATTTAACAAGAAACTCAATAAAGTATAATCTAAATAACCGAATTTTGGGGACCACCGCCCATCTTACTCACAATCAGTTTGGAGCACACAAATTGGCTCGGAATGTCCGTCGGAGGGTCCAGATGCTTGCCGAGCTCATCTCCGATCATTTTGACGTCTTCTGCGGGGAATTTTATTGATTTGGCCGCGTGATTTACAAATGAGATCAAGTCTTTTCTGCAACAATGCCTCTTTTTGCAGTGATTTTGTGAAAATGACAAACTTTTGCACAATAACACACGCATTCGGCCCGGCGTCGAACGTGTAGGCGGCCCGAATCGTGTCCCGATTGAACTGTTCGACAGTGTCCATCAAATGCCACGACGCTTCGTTCAGGTACCGAATGGGCGGACTCGAATCGAGACAGACTGCGTGGAATTGGTTGCTGTCCGTCATTATCACTTTCGCCAGCGCCTCAAAGTCTCTCGCCACGAACGCCTTCTTGATCTCCTCTATTCTCTCAGGTACGATTTCTTCGACTCGTCGCTTGAGGAGGGTCGAAGTGGCTGCCGTTCGACGCATTCCCTCCGACGATCCCACCTTTTTTCGGCCGTCGTCGAACACCAGAATCACACAGAACAAGTCTGGCCACGTCGACGTTCCGATTCTCTGCAAGAAAGAGCTGGTTCTGGCTGTTGTTCTTCGTGAAGATCCCAAACCACTGCGACACAATCCATTCCGTCGGCCTTCTCTCCTTTTTGCCAGTGTACGAGCCCTCCGAACATGCTTCTGCAGGCGCTTCCCGATCCGATTCGAGCCAGACGGTTCGCCTGCGCGTCGTCCAATTTGAGAAGGTGTTGAAGGGCGAGGGCGATTGCCGCGAAGCCGGCGGCCGAAGAAGCGAGTCCGGCTGCCACGGGGAAGTTCGTCGTGGAAATTACCTGGAAATCAGCGGGGATATTGTCAGAATCAAGAAAAAAGACCAACCTGAAAGTGGAAAGAAACCGGTGGAAGTGGCTCATTTCCATTCTTTTCTGGGCCCTTTTCCTTCCGTTTTCTCAGCAATCGAAGGGCTTCGTTGAACACTGTTTTATAGCGTTTGTTCGACGACAATTCCACGTGGCGCCCGTTTATTTCTATCTGAAATTGAGCATTTCGCATTTTTCAAACGAAAAACTCGCTCACCGTGTGCTCCCCGGCGCCGACGATCATCCGAATCGTCGTTGTTGCTGTTAACCGATCGACAGTTAGTGAGATGGAGTCATTTAAGGGAAGGATCAGCTGCTCGTCCCGCTTGCCCCAGTACTTGACGAGAGCGATGTTCATCGGAACTAGCACGGTCACTTCTGACGTCATCGGCGTTGCTCCTCCTTCATTAATGACCATTCTGCAAAGATTCTGAATAACTAAATGAGAAACGGGTTAACTTAGCGTAAAAGATGGAACAATTAATGACAATTCTAGTGGTAAAAATGACTGGAAATCCAACACGTTCCAACCTCAAAGCGTTTTAGACAATTTAAAATTCTTCACTAAAACTCTTTTCAAGCGTTGATTTACTGATTACAAGAAGGTTTGGAAGTACGGTTAGGCCTGACATATAAAAAAAAAAAAATAGTTTGATTGGGGCTGGGATTATGCTATACACGTAGACAGCAAGAAAAATGTGTGAAAACGGGCGAAACATTAAAAAATAAAACTTTTACGTGTGAACCGACAAAAATGAGAGATATTTAGTTGAGAGGAACAGAAAGAGAGTGCATGAAATCGAGAGGGCGACTAGAGAGGGTAGAGAATTGTTGAGGGAGGATGGCCGTGGCCAAGTTATTCTTCGTCCATCGAAGTTCTTCTGAGCACCGGCACCGGGAATCCGTGCTTCGAGTCCTTCGCCGGCCACTCGTACGTCTTGTTGATCAGCTCGTCGTACTCGACACTGTACAAGTTCTGGCGGATGAACATTTCCTGAAAGCCATGGATTTGTTTGCTTTTGTGATGAAATCGTGCTTACCATGTCCTCTGGTTTCGGATGAAGTGTGGCCAAATCGTGTCTGTAACAATACTCTCCGACCTCGACGGCAATCTTGACCGACAACTCGCGAATGTCTTTGAGACGTGGATACACACGCGAATACGTGTAGAGAGACTTCTCGGAGACGGCGTCTGCGACCATTCGGGCGGCCAAAAGGAACAGTTTGTCTGGGATGTTCTTCGTGCAGAAAAGGACGGCTCCGAGGGCGACTCCCGGGAAGATGTACGCGTTGTTTCCCTGTCCCGGCTTGAACAGTTTTCCATTCAGCTCCACGTTTTCGAATGGAGATCCGGAGGCGAAGAGCACGGCGCCCTGAAATGGAAAAAGTTTATGAAAGGATCAGATAACTACTACTCACATTGGTGCATCGATAGGCGGTCTCGGCGGTGCACTCCGCTTTGCTTGTCGGATTCGACAACGCAAAAATGATGGGGCGCGGGTTGATCGCTGCCATCTCCTTGATGATCTCCTCGGTGAACGCGCCGGCGACTGTGGATGCTCCGATAAGTGCTCCCGGTTTGACAGTTCGCACCACTTCTAGAAGGTTCTTCGTGTCCGGAAGGTCTTTCGCAAACTTGACGTGTCTCTCGCCGAGGCTTTTAATTCGCGAGGTGGTGATGAGTCCGTCTATGTCGACCATGTAGATGCGTCCGCACGCCTCCTCCTCCGTCAAACCTTCGTCGATCATCTGACGCACGCACATCTCGGCGACTCCGGTGGCCGCTCCTCCGGCTCCGAGGAACACGATTTTCTCCTGCGACAACTTCTTTTTAGTCACACGAGTCGAGGCGAGAAGGCCGGCAACGACGACGGCCGCAGTTCCTATGAAATCAAATTTTATTAAAATTGTTCAGTAATGTTGTTTTTTACCTTGAATATCATCGTTGAACATGCAATATTCTTCCTTGTATCTGTCCAGAAGACGGTACGCATTCTGGTTTCCAAAGTCCTCGAACTGGATGAGAGTGTCCCTGCCGAATCGTTTCGTCGCCGCTTTCATGAAGTTATCGACGAGGGTGTCGTACTCCGGACCTCTGACTCTCTTTCTTCTGAGTCCAGTGTAGAACGGATCGTTGAGCAGCTCGTTATTGTCGGTTCCCACGTCGAGAATGACCGGAAGGCACCATTCCGGACGGATTCCGGCCAACGCCACATAAAGTGCCAGCTTTCCGACGGGAATTCCGATTCCATAGGTTCCCAAGTCTCCCAATCCGAGAATGCGTTCTCCGTCGGTGATCACAATCGCCTTGACGGTCTCCGCGGGCCAGTTGGCGAGAATTTGGTAGATTTTCGAGATGCTGTTGTCGTTGATCGTAATGTACAGTCCCTTCGGATTACGGTAGATGAATCCAAAGTGCTGGCAGGCTTGTCCGACAGTCGGAGTGTACACAATCGGCATGAGCTCCTTGACGTTGTCGCACAGCACCCGGTAGTACAGCTTCTCGTTTCTATCCTGCAGAGAATCCAGCTGGATGTACTTGGCCAGATTGTCCGGTTGCTGACGGAGCTTCGTAATGATACGGTACGCTTGCTGCTCCTCAGTCATGAACGCGGGAGGCAGCAGTCCGTGGATTCCGAGATATTGACGTTCGTTGAGCGAAAACGCCATTCCCTTGTTGAGTCCGGGCGTCTTGAGAAGGTCGATTCCACGTTTCGACGGGGTGATCCGTTCCGGGCGATACAGCTTGTGAAGGGCGAGGGTCTTCGGATCCGAAAGATCCGGCTCACTCTTCTCGCTACTGCACAAAGCTGTCGTGGAGATGCGACGAAGACTGGAAGAGAAGGAATATGCTCTTTGCTGCCTTTTTCAGTCAAAATCCGCAAAACGTGCGGATTCTCGTGTTTTTAAAACAACATTTTCCGTTTTTCCCACCAGAATCTGCCATTATGCCGTCTAAATACCAAATTCTAACCTGGCCGCGGGTGAAAGACGACTCAACATGGTGAGAACTCGGGCGGCTCCGAGAGCACGAAGTTGGAGAAGGTGATGTTTCTGCAAGAAAAAACCACGCAATGAGGCGAATCAGGACGAGTAATCACACGTGAAATGCGTGATAAATTAAAGAAGTTAAAGAGAGGAAAGTCAAAAATCAGGCGGAAAATGAGCGGAATTGATAAGGAGAAGAGCGAGAGTGCGCGGACGGGAATTGCGTAGGAAAAATGAGTCATTAATGAAATTGGTACCTTTTGAATGGCCTTAGAATGACATTACAGACCGGAAAAGGTCGAACACCGCTTGGGAAGATCTCTAAGCGTTTCATGCTTGAAGGCGCATACTTTCGTACTCTCTGGAGCTCAAAAAGCCGGACAAGAAGCCAGAAAAGGGGCGCCCGTCTCGTTTTCTATCGATCCACGTATACATCTCGGATGAAGACGAGAGAGTATCCTCGGAGGAGTGCGCACAGAAAAACGGACGGCGCCAACCGATTGTTCGGAAAAAAAACTGGAAAACAGCTGGAACGAGATTGAAAAATTGAAAAGAACGACTCTCTTGAAATTGGGGAAATCATTGAGGAAGTGGAAGACGAGTAAGTGCTCTTGGGCTCGCGGAGCCGCCAGAGAGCGTAAAAGAGGAGCGAGAGAAGGGAGGACAGAGAACGAGGCAAAAGCGCGGTCTCTTTTCCCATTTCTTGCTGATTCTATTGGAAAATGTTTACTTTTTTGCGTTTTTTGTCATATTGGGAGGTGGGAAGAGACGGACGCAGGCACGACCTTCAACATCGAATTACTTCAATTGTGCGGGCGTACAGTTCGTATCGTGGTCTTTGAATTTGTGTCGTTCGAGAGTTCTTGATTGAAACCTTTATATTAGATTTTTGTTGAAAATCGTGTTTTTTTTTTGAAAATGAAACTGGAAGGAATCTTTTCTTTGAAGCTGCAATGAAGTTTCTAAAGATAATTTTTAGGAACTCCACCTCATTTTCTGGTTTACGACTAATTTAGTCGATTAAAGATGATTTTCCTTCTCTAATTTTTCTTACAAATATTTCCCAAAACAAGAGTCAGCTGGCGGCTCAACACGTGTGCCTGGCCGAACTCACGAACTTGATAGATGAGAAAAATGCGAAAAATAACAGAAAAGTGGCGGATTATGTGATCTTTGTGTCTCTGGCGGCCGGGCCAATGATTGGTAAACTGAAAACTTCTTAACATGATAAGAAAAAACTGGAAAATGATCGGGGAATGTCCGAAACTCAGAAAAAATCCGCGAATAAAGTGGGCGGCCTGAGATTTTCTACTCGAAAATCTTCGGCCAGCACGCTGGATTTCAGTTCTGTACACAAAAAAAACACAGAAAACATCTTTATTACAAATTAATGTTATTAATGAGCGTATCTTTCAGAAAATTCATTTAAATCTTTCAGGATAATCTAAAATAACAAGATTTCTGAAAACATGCCAGAAAAATATAAGCAAGATTGGGGTTAGACTAATAATGCAAAGAAATGGAAAGCAAAGGAGTGAATCATCCAAAAAATCGGGGTCAATTCATCATTGGGGGACAAAGAGCAAATATAGATTTATTACTTTTTGCTTTTTCGCCTTTTTGCCACGAAAAGAGATCAGAGATAATCAGATTGTGTAATGAGATTTCGTGTAGAGGGGGGATGACTATATATATTTGCATGGAAAGTACATAATTTTCTTCTAAAGCTCTAATTTTAGCGTTTCTTCAACGCAGCAAGCTCTCTTTTCGTTTTCAGCTTGTTTCGGGGGTTTTTGACTTCGCGGCCGTCCTCCAGACGAATCACGTACTCCGTCATTACGCCCTTTCCGCGGAAGTACGCATCGTACACTTTTTGTCGTCCCAGAGAACTTTCACCTGAAAAAGGTTAGTGTAATATGATAACAATGGACTTATTCGTACCCTCGATCCGTACTGATGATCTCCGTTTTCACAATGAAGACACTCGCACGACTGAATGTCCTCGGCGCCGTTGTCTCTGCTGACACTGCTGTCCAAAAAATCCACGACGACCGTTACCTTCTTTTCGGATCTCACGATCGTTCCCTTCGAAAAGCTGCCGCGAACCTCCTCGTTCTCCACAAAAACCTCGTCGCCGCACTTTACATTCGTGTAGTTCTGACCCGATTTGTTCACGAGGTACGAGTGCTCGTGCCGCTGGCAAATCACCGCCGCACAACGCGGAAAATCTCGAATTTCGCATGCGAAGCCAACGCGGCGAGCACAAGTGACGTGGGTCATTGTGGGAAGCATCGCCGTAGTCTGCTCCTCGATACACAGCACACAGGGCGCAAGTCCTTCGGTGAGCCGACGGCACACGACGCATTCCCACCGAGAGTTCTCGTACAAATCGCCCAATTCGCTTTTGTACTCCTCGCAGAGCATCGGCATTCCGGCCGTGATCGAGTGCTGTCGGAGCGCGGGTAGTGTGAAGCAGGCGGTCGGACCGAACGGTCTGTTGAAGGCGGTGCGACGGTTGAAGATGGCACAGATGACGTGCGCCCACGTGGAATCGTTTCCGATCTGGCAGGGGATGAGAGCTCCGCCGCGAAGCTCGCAGAAATGACACGAAGTGTTTCGGATCTCGACGTCGGTGCGGTTCCGGCAACGGGGACACTTCCACGTGGCGCCGAGCGACGGCTCATCGCCAGAGCAGCAGAGGGAGTGCACGGTCACGTTGCAATTCTCGCAGGTCAGCAGACGATCGGGCTCCTCGCGAGCATCCTCTCGCTTCGTGTCCGTCTTCGAGAAGCACCAGGAGGCGGCCAAACGGCGGGAGGTCTCCGGGATGTCCCACGTGAAAGCGACCATGTGCATCGGCTGGAAGTACTGACAGACTGAGCAATGCGGCCATTCGCGCTGTTTGTCCGCGTTCAGCCCCTTCTCTCGGTAGAAATCGATTCGGTGGTCCGAACGGATCAATTCTAGAATATTAGATTATTTCAATGGTTGTTTTTTCACAAACTCACTCGTCTCTCGCTTGAAACGTCTCATCAGCTCATCGTAGTCGGGTTTGATTTGCAAGTTGTGGATCTCGTAATTTGGGTGAGCGCGCATGAACGCAGAGATTTCGGGCTCGGAGCCAGAGCCGTCTGAAAAATAGAAAAATAGAACGTTCGTACAATCGGATAAACCCCTACCGGAACAGCTGCCATCGGTGCCCGTGGATGTTCCGAGCCGTGCTCTCTTCGCCGCTGTCATCGTCGCCACCGCCCGTCCGGCCGGCCGTTTCTTTGCCAGCTCCTTTTTCGACTTTGGCGTCCACGCCAGCCGGCCGCCTCCGTACCAGTAGCTCCACCACGTGGTCACTTCGTCCGGACGATACTTGGCCATGAAATGGCTCATGTCGATTTTGACGGAATCCCGATTGCAATCGCAAAGCAGTGCGTCTTTTCCGTAGTCCACCCATCGATCGGTGGCAAAGTTCGTCGATTCGGCGAGATTGTATCCGAGGTTGAAGCCCATGTGGTAGCCACGTGGAAAAGTAATGATGAACTCGTTGGGCCGCTGAATCATCGTCGCGTACGGGATCTTTGCAGTGCGCAAAAGTTCCGGCGTAACAATATAAGTTTTGTGGCGCAAAAACGCTTTGCACTGTGGCGCGTACTCCTCCTGCGCGTGGAATGTCTGACTCATGAAGCGCTCGAAGCGGTCGGCGTGCTCCGAACTGATGGCGAACCAGTACTTGGGCGCGCCAAAGTGCACAAAGTTGATCGAGTACAAGTCCATGTCCTCGGCGTGCCACGGAAACGTCGTTTTGTACATACCAAAGTACAAGTACACCGTGTTCACGCCGCTTATTTTGTGGCCGTAGTCGCTGAGAATCGTGCCCAGCCGATTCATGTTCCACTCGTCCACGTTCGCGTCGTAGAAGCTGCCCTCTGTGTCCGCACCGTAAATCGGTTCTCCTTTGAGGATATTTGCAAAATAAAGGCTTCCAGTTCGGCTCCTTCGACGCCAGGCCTCGGGTTACGGTACTGGGCGGAGTTGGCTTGCTGACGGAACTCGCGCACCGGCATCTTCTTGCGGCACGTCACGTTCCGCTTGAAATAGGCGCCCGGCTTCTCCGTCGGTTCGATGGTTTCACGGGCTGGCCTGGAAGAAGTCAGTTGGGAGTCAGTTTTTTCAAAACTTAAATACTAACTGATTGATTTCGTACTCGTCCACATCGGAGAAATCTTTTTTCGAAGGCCGCGGAGTCCATCCCTCAGGCGCCACAATCTTGGCGATTCCGGCCTTGAGATGGGCGCCCTCCTTCTCGATTTTCCTAATGTACCGATTGAAATCCTTGAACTCTTCCAGTGTCGGATAGAATGTGAGCACTGCGGATGTTCCGGTCGGCTCGTGCAGTGGGTGATCTCTGAGATGCCTAAACAGATGGTTTGATGCGGACTTTTGATTCTTAGCTCACTTTGCAGAAACATTGATCGGAGTGCGTCCGTCAGTGAAAATTGTCGGCGACAACGGACGATCTTTCTCATCTGAGACAGATCTGAATGATGAGGAAGAGGACGGGCTGTTGACGACGTCTTCCGGGAGAAGAGGTCCGGATGATGTGCTTGGCACACTTGACGGCGACGGAAGCGGAACGAGAACCGGATGATGGAAGCAGTCCATTGTGGGTTCTGAAAGAATCGGAGATTGGGAATTTGAAGGAAAGGGAAGAAGATGCGAGAAATTGAACGTCAAAAAGGTCGTGGAGTAGGAATAGTATGCGTTTAGAAGACTGTGGGACTTGCTCGTCGACGTCAAGTCGCACAGTCTTCTGAATGATGAGACCAGGCAAACATGCTCTACTGATCATCGGCAACGTGAATGTTTCCCTTTACATCTACAGCAAAACATCACTAGAAGACCAGAGGTCACCAGAAACGTACAATAACTACGAAAATTTGTGCGTTTCCAATAGCGTTCCTTTAAAGTACACCCTTTATCACCTTTATCAACTATCATATCACCTTCATCCCTTTATCTCACAACCTAGCACGAAAGTGGGCGAAAGTGAGAGAGAAACGGAGAGAAGGAAAGCAAGAGAAACGAGATGATTGATTACTTTCGTACCCCTCTTATTTGATATCAACCGTATCTGTTTTGATACTTTTTTTGTGATATATAATATCAAGAACCGCAGGAAACTGATGCAAAGCCAGCCGTCCAAGCTTCAGAGGTAAAATGAAGATCAATTGAGAAAACAAGACTATGCCAAATGGAACAAGAAACCAGATTACAGTAAAAAGAGCCCAAAAAATCGAAGGACTGGAAGGAAGTGAGAAATCGATACAGTGTGGCGGGTGTACGTGCCGAAAATGCAATTGTGTGGCGAATTCTTCATTTTCAGCTGTCACGAATGACCGAGATGACGGCGTCAGACTTTTCCGAAAAGTGTACTGAATTCACGAGAATTACACGCAGAAAGTACATAATAGGGACTAGTATGAACTTGGAAAAATTGGAAATTTCGCCGAGTCTGTAGATGCAATTTCCGGTGCGCTAACGGTGAAAGTTAATGGAGAAACTGAAAGGCTTATTCAGTCGGGCAATAAAAGTGGTTTAAAAAACCTATAAAGATCGGTTTTCAACCAGTTTTTTACCCGACCGAGTAATCTCATAAGCAATTGTTAGCACAGAAATGCAAAAATCTGTTGAAAACAACAAAGTTAACTTAAGTTCTAGAGATCTAGATGATGTTTGAGGTCTGGTTCCCATTTTTTCCATTCAAAGATCTCTTTGCAGAATATTATGAAAATGTAATCGAAAATTTAGAAAATCTTGGAGATGATCATTGAGTCCCAAGACTTCTCGTCGTTTCGGCTAATTTTAGACAGATCCCTTCTCCCCGGACACCCGCTCCCATGTTCAAAAACACGAAAACACAAAAGAAATGCCCGTTTGAAACACTATTTCAACTCTAAATTTCAGCCGATTTTCCAGCAGACAGCCGTCAAAAAGCGAGCGTAATTAATCAGGAAAAGTCGGGAGCAAAACGCGACGCAGAGAGGAAGAAAATGAGCCGTGGAAAACGAGTCGGAAAATGGAGGATTCGGTGAAACGTGCCAAAGTGGCAAGTGCATGAGAATGGGAGACACGGCCTGAGAAATAGAGGCTGAGAAAGAGGGGAAAAGATGAGTTTGGGGAGAGAATGTGCGGAAGACGGAGACGCAGACACGCCGAGACGCCGATAGACTCACTCTCTTTTTCGTTCTCTCTTTTTTCGCCAAAGTTACATGGGTGGCAGAGAGAATGAGAGAAAAACAGAATATTTAGCGGGGAGGCGAAGGAAAAGAGAAAGAAAAGTGATCGAAAATTAGTCGACCGCGCGGAAATTGCGGAAGTTTTAGGGGCAGAAGCCGGCCCGCGCGAAAGAAGTGCTAAATGAGAAAGGTTGGGAAACGGAAGTGTACGCGAGGAAATACGGTCTACTTTTTGGTTTTAATTTATCTCTGGGCACAGGTTCAAAGTCCTAATCCCCACTATTTCCGGCTTGGACTACTCTAACTGATCACGAAACTTTTAATACATTTTAAGTTCTACTCAACTTGATACGCGAATCTGAGTGACATGCCGGCGGAAAAATGACAATCTTTATCTGGAACACGCACGCCGGCCGGCTACCCTCCCTGATCAGAATTTGGCGTGCGGAAGCAATAGAACGCGTCCGCCGTCCCCTCTGCTTAGACTTGAAAATAACAAACAAGAAAATAGTTATCAGTCTTCTGCTTCGCTCCAACTTCGTCGACCCGTCATTCCAGCCATTGAGACGTTCGAAGCCGCTGAAACACGAAATTTCTCAATCGGAGACCCGGAAAATATGCATATTATCCTCTTCTCATCTAGCAGTTTTTGTTTCTTTTGGTTCTTACTTATTATAGGGGCACCGCACAGAAATGGCGCTCTGTTGAGAAACTCTTTTTGCAGTGCAAATTGACCGACCTCGGGGCCGAGTTTGAAAAGTTAGGCCACGTTTTCAGTGGAAAATTACTTCGCGGCCTAGAAATTCGACCAGATTGCGAACAGCGCGCCGTTTCTGTCTGGTGCCCCTATGACATGTCCGCAAAAACTACATTCAAAAAGAGGACTGAAAGCAAAAGACTCGAAACATTTTGCTCAAAACTCTTTCCCACTGTATTCGGTTCCACACCAGTTATAAAAGAAAGCCGGCCGTTGCAAAAAAAATCTGATTGATTATTATTATAGGGGCACCGGACAGAAAGGGCGCGCTGTTCGGCAATCTGGCCGAATTTCTAGGCCGCGAAGTAATTTTCCACTGAAAATGTGGCCTAACTTTACAAACTCGGCCCCGAGGTCGGTCAATTTGCACTGCAAAGGGAGTTTCTCAACAGAGCGCCATTTCTGTGCGGTGTCCCTAATATTATTAATTAAAAAAAAATAATTTATTAATGGTCAGAAAGAGTTTCTTGTTTTGAAACCGCTCAGCATACTGATTGCGAGAAGCCGCCGATTCGTGTCCACGTCTGCATCAGTTTGAACTGCTCCCTGAAATATTTTTGTTAGTTATTTGAATGCTATTCTCTACCGTCAAAATAATTCCAGCCCTACTCCCTCTTGACCCAGCGTGACAGTGCTGACTATTCTGTTGGTCTCGGTGAATCTTCTGACTGAATTCTATTCAGGATCAGGAGATGCGCAGTCTACCGAGAAGCTCAGATGTGAGCGAAAACTTCGGATATGTGAGCGATAACTTCGGAAATGACGTTTTTAAATCAAGAGTTGAGAACATCGATTAGTAGGAGAGAGGGCGCGATAGACGAACTTTTCGCGATGTGTCAAAATGTCAGTATGTCCCGAAACAAAGCTGGTAAGAATGAAAACTAACCGGATATCGATTGTGCCCGTAGGAAATATTTGTCACGTAAAAAAGAGAATCAACGTATTTCAACAAGTTTTCGAGAAACAATTTCTGTAGATCAAACGCTAAGAGACCTACGTAATGCGCGCATTCATCGACTTCAGCAATTCAGTTCGATCCCTGGTACGACGATTCCCCCAATCTACTGTTGAAAAAAAGGTTCGACATTCGAATCGGAGTTGGCAGCGAGCCAAGGACACGCCCCCCAAACAGTTTTCACTGCAATTGCCGCATGCTGTTTGGGGGGCGTGTCCTTGGCTCGCTGCCGCCTCTGACTCGAATGTCGAACCTATTATTTTTCAACAGTACCCGAATTTCTCGCAACGATATGAAGGACGAAGCCGCGAGATCGGAGAAAGCGAAGGCTCTCGAGGAGGTGTCACAGACGATGCTCAGCATTTTCTCCCGTCACATCGACACGTTGACGACGCGCACCGAACAATTCAAAGAATCACTGATAGAGTTGGCGACGGAGCACAAAAAGCGGAAGGCGGAGCTGTTGGCGAAGAAGATCGTCTGAAATTGGTTGCAACAATTGCAATTTTCACCATATTTCCGGAATATTCTGCTATTTTGCACTTATTTTGTTTTATCCAATCAGATGCAATCGATCGAATAAACTTGATGCACAAGTCTAAAAAGAGCGTTTTATTCAGATTCTTGTGATTAGGGCGCTGAAGAAGGTTTAATCGTATTGAAATTTCGAAAAAAAACTGTATTTTTTCGTCAAAACTTCCTGATTTCATTGAGAAAATCAAGGAACTCTCGAAGATAGATTCTTCGGAAGAAAAGCAAAAAAAAAATTACAAAAATTGCGACCACTTCTGCACCTTTAGTTAATCGTGGCGAGACCGAAATGTCGGGCGTCACGCGCCTTTAAAAACCGCGCTGATTACGGTAACACTCACATCACTGCTCACCTTTGGCCTATTTTCGGTCATTTCTCCACGTTCCTGATGCCGGCACCGCGCGTTTTTTCAGATTCTCTCCACCTCTTGTTGGTAAAAGATATTTCAATTCTTCTTTTTTTTTCACCGAACTCCTTCTCCTTTTCATCATGTTTCTACAGAAAATCTAATTTCTTCGCTCGCGGTGATGCATTTCATATAGTTTTGTGATCCGTTGGCTGAATTTTGTGTCTGTCTCTGCATTTGCATTTTATTTTTCAAAATTCTCAATTTTCCAGTAATTTTTTTGCTCAGTTTGTCCCTTTCGCTTTATTTCCCATAATCCTTGCTCGACTCGGTCATTTTGTAGCTGCGCTCTTCAAATATTACTATTGCTATAATTTTTTTCGGCTAGAAACGCGTGTTTTGCCCTTTTCGGACGGCTTTGATTCTCGCCGTTTCCCCTATTTGCGCATAATGTTAGGCTCGGAATGCGGCTCGGCTCTGACGATTATCCGGCTTCTATTCTACTTTCATCTCTTTATTTCGTCTACTCTCACTTCTTTTATCAGCGGAAGCCGCATGCCCGTTTCCGACTTCCACTATCAATTTTCTATTCTCGTTGGGTGAGCTCATTAAAGGCACGGAATGGTGCCATTGTTTGCGGTTTTGAGGTTTAAAAAACGCTGCACACATGTAGGGTAGAAGAATGACCATGATTTATTAATTGCTACAAAAATGTTTGTCCTTATTCATCAATTTCGCTAAACTTCTTAACATCCTGGTAAACCACCCTCACAAAGCCATAAAAGAATTATGTCCGGGTGCGGCTTGTCCCTTTCGCTACAAAAAATCGCTCTCCCTTCAGTCGTCATGCCCGTCTCGCACCGATTTCTTCTTATCTTGCCGCCTCCCCCCATGGTCGTGGTCGTCGTTGTCATACATTCGAAGGGAGACGACAGAAACGGACGGTTGGCCTGGCCGGACGGACGGCCATTCATTCGCTCGCATCGCACTCACAACGCACCCCTCTATTCGCTGGTGAGAAGAAGAAGAGAAAGAACAACAGAGGGTCGCCGTTGCGTTGTTTGCGAGGCGATCGGGTGGATGGTGGTGGCGCAGGTGCAAAGCCATTACTAGACTAGGACCGTAGCTGAAGGAGATGTGACCCTCTGACATCAGAACAGAAGGGGAGAGGAGGTCTGAAGAGTTTGCGCTAGTCTCAGACAACAGATGTTATTATTACTGTTTGCCTGGCGGGCAGCCAAGTCGTCCATATGCTGATCGCACCTGCGCTCCAATCCGATCGTCAAAATGGACAATAGAAGATGGCTACGTCATATTAGTGCACCTAAAGTACGTCATATTACTGCACCTAATTATAGAGAAATGACCATCTTTCTATTTGGCCAAGACTACAGGCAATGGCAACAACGACAACAGTAGGCAGATTAGATCTTCAAAATAACGAAATAGAAAGTGTTGGTTTAACCAAAAATGTGTCTTGGCAACGTTCTCTTCTCGTTCATAGATGGCCATGGCCCATGGGTCACGAGTGATATACCGGTAGGAGATGAAACATTCAAAATGGAAATTTTTTGATTGATATAGGCTCAATGAAGTGCCATTGTCGTCCTGGCTTCATGAACATCTGCCTGCTCTGTGTAATTAAGATTTATCTGAGCCTGTTATCCTAGATTGACTTCTATGTGTCACTCTATCCAATCGGCCGATTCCCAGTCTGTTTAAAAGCGTTTGAGATTCTTATTGTTACTGGAACGATATGGGCTTCGAATTCTTGTTGAAGAATTTCTTCTATTCCTCCTAGCCCACCAAAACATTCGGTTCTCGACTGACAAAATCCCATTCGACCACACATTAGTCCTCTGAGGGTGAATTGGCAGGCTCTTGCTCTTCTCGCCACGTCATTCGGTTGTCTCTTCATCCAGTTCTCTCTAATGGCCATTGTATTTCTCTGTTGAACTTATCAAACCCATCATGATCGTTCATTTGTTCATCGCTTGCTCGCTCGCTGGTCCATCACACACCCGCAGCATTTGCTTCGTTCGCTCCACCCTCTCACCGAACAGTCCCTAGAAAAGAGGCCAATCAGTCGTCATCGGATTCATTCCACAATCCCACACCCCACTCAACAGAGTCTGCAGTCCAGTGCTCTTCTGCCTTCCCCAGCCACTACTTATTCTCTTTCCTTCTTCGTCCAGGTCCCAATAGACCCACCAGCCAACACTCTTCTCCTAGTCTTCTTCTTCTTCTTTTTCTTCTTCTTCTTTTCTTGCATTGCATCTCGTGGCCGCGGGAAAGAAGAGAAAGACGCGAACGAAAACGAGTTGTTTGCCACTCGCCTATCGATCGCGCCTCAGTGTATGTTCAGCACTCGCCCTCAGTCGCAAAATGCGCGCGCCTCGTCTCTCTTTTGCCCCGGCCAGCAGCCACACAGACTCAACCAACCGCCCTTACTAACAACACATCAAAAACGATTCTCATTCTTCAGTTGGCCACAACCTACCTATTTTGTGACGATCAATACCTTGCGATCAGCAGATAGACCTGAACAACACTCGACAACTCCTAGAATTTCAGTCTGTCTCGTTAGGGGTCAGTTAGGTCTCCGCGCGGAAACTGGGTTACTGTAGAATTACGAAAGTGCACAAGTCGTGAGCCGATTCCGTTGCAAACTGGAAAATGGGTTCTCGTAGACCTCTAGAAATTCTTCACAACCCCTGGACTTTCTCCGGAGGTCCCTTGACCCGGGGCTGATCTTTCGCATCCATCGTGTGCTGCCTCCACTCACACATACACATCTCATCATTCGCCGTCTCTGCCCGCCCCTCAGCAGCCCTTGCCTCCACCAATGCATCGGCCAAAGCAGTCATTCATTGCCTCCGACAGAGCGCGTGCGCGTAGCCTTCCCTCCTCTCCTTTCCCTCCCGTTGTGTTGTGTTCAGCAGTCGCCGTTTTCCGACCGCTTTGCATTCGCAACGCGCTGCGGCTCTGCGTTGTGTACGCCATAGCAGTCGGGGCAGGCAGGCAGCCATCCAACACACACACCCCGTCGCTTCGCTTCCCCTTCCCCACATACACATTGAGGCTGGCTGGCTGGCTGACTGCCCAACACACATACGCCTTCGCTTCGCTCAATCGCCTTCCCCGCGCTCGCTCATACACATACACTCAGTGGAGGGAAGGACGACCGACAGGGCAGCAGGCCTAGTGCTGTGTGTCTCCTTGCTGTGCCCCCGCCCCTTCCCTTCATTCGCTTGCTTCGCGGCCATTGCCTTCACTCTTTTCTTCTTCTATCTTCTACTACCCCGTCGTCTTCTTCATTCTTCCTCTCATTTCATAATCTTAGACTTATGTTCTCTTCTACAGAGACTTACAACCAATCCAACTAACGATGGCTAAGGCTGCTGCTGGAAAGAAGGCATCTCCTGTCAAGAAGGTCAAGAAGGGAGGAAAGGGAAAGGACCCGAACGCACCGAAGCGCGCCATGTCCGCCTTCTTCTTCTGGATGCAGGAGAACCGCGACCGCATCAAGAAGCCGGGAATGGGAGTCGCTGACGTCGCCAAGGCCGCCGGAGTCGAGTGGGGCAAGCTCACCGACAAGTCGGTAAGTAGCACAAACTCCTGAGAGTCGAGAACATCCCTAATTTGAATGTTTCCTTCAGAAGTGGGAGAAGAAGGCTGCCGACGACAAAAAGAGATACGAGGTCGACATCGCCAGTTACAAGAAGAAGAACCAACCGCAGTAAATGGGAGACATTGACGTTCCTCTTCATGTATCCCCTGTGTTCTGAATCAAATGATACTCAACGTTCAACCCTCCTCCATCCACCCTAAACTCCCCAAAATTGTTTCAATCCATTCTCATTTAATTTTTTGCTGGTGTTTTGTGCTCTCAAGTTGTGTGGCGTCGCCTGTTTAGATCTCAACCCCCAATTCCTCTTGAATACGGCCCCATCGTCTATCACTCCTTGATCACAACATCACCTTTATTATGAAGACCAAAAAATAATGAATTACTACCACAATGTGCCCCCTGAATTTCTCGAGAAAACTGTTTCATCCTTTCTTTTGTCAAACCTTTTATCAACGCTCTCCATTGTTGGCTGTATTCTGTCGATTCTGAATCGCGCTTCTTCAATAAATGGTCGTACGGCACAATTCCCTCGTTCTCGTTGTCTCGGGCGGTTGCTTGCGAATGAAAGCGCTGTGATCACGCGACTGAAGAGCGGTCTCTCCGCCGATTCTCTCTTTATTTAAATTCTCTCGTTTCGCGCCGCCGATCGCGTGATGCGGAGGGGGCGTGGCTTGGCAACGGGCCAAGCGCAAGGGCGAGCAGACGGGCGGAATGAATGCAAATGGAACAAGAAAAGATGACGATCGGAGGGTCTCGCCACGAAAAGCAGGATTACGGTAGGGAATCCTTTGCGTGACCTTCTGCTGATGAAAAGAAGACGTCCTTCTGGGCAATGATTGAATGAAGAAAAGTTAGAAAATTGTGAATATTCTGATATTTATTTCCAATACATTCTTTATTTGCATATGACTCCGGATTATAAAAACTTAGCGATTTTCTCCGGATTATTCTGTTTTCCCCGAAAATGACGAATTGCCACGTCACAAGCCAAAAAAAATCGAATTTTAAACTGGCGCGCAAAGCCACTCTTGACGTCTTTGCCGTGCTGGCGCGTTTTGCCTTTTTCGCGCAGAAAAACGATTTTTCGACTGCTTTTCACCCATTTTCGGATCGAATGTTTTGTCGATTTTACGCTTATGAAAACGGCGACACAGATTTCCACAAAATTTTCTATTCCAGGGTAGCGAATCTCAGCGAAATGGTGATCAAGTTCACGTCGAACAGTGTGACACCGCCGGCGATGATTTATATGGGAGTGGACAAGGTGGAAAACGAGGATCTGATCAAAGTAAGGCTTCAAAAATTGTGAAAAATTATGAAACAAGAAGGTTCAATCGAAACTTGATAAAATTTGATTAGATTCATTCAAATTTTCTGGTTTTACAGTACGGATGGCCGGAAGACGTGTGGTTCCACGTGGACAAGCTCTCCTCCGCCCACGTCTACCTCCGTCTCCCGCCCGGAATGTCGATCGAAGCGATTCCGGCGGAGCTCCTCGAAGATTGCTGCCAACTCGTCAAGCAGAACTCGATCGAGGGATGCAAACTCAACAACGTGGCCATCGTATACACGATGTGGTCGAACCTCAAAAAGACGGGCGACATGGCCGTCGGACAGGTTTGCCGCTGAATTTCGTGGAAAAGTGTTGAAGAGACAAGCCATTCCAGGTCGGATTCCACAGTCATAAGGCCGTGAAGCACACGGTCGTCGAGAAGAAGTGCAACGAAATTGTGAACCGATTGGAAAAGACGAGATGGAAGGGCGACATCGATTATAAGTGAGATTTCGGAAAGAAAATTGAGTCAACGCGTGTTAGAAGCTTTTGATTTGAGTGCTTAGTTGATTTCCAAATATGTGAACAGAAAATTGAGTTTTTCGAACGAAGCTGAGCCATTCATAAAAAGTCTGGCCTGACCTGACTCTTGTGATTTTCTGATCGGCTCCAAACTCTGCAGGCTTTTTAGACGTGAATCGAAGAAATTTCGGGTCAATTTTCAGACCGATCGGCCAGAAACGTGGCCCAAGAACACTTCGATCCAATTGCAAGAAGCCTGCGAAGTTCGGCTCAGATCGGTTATTTGCAACTGAACCGAAAGTTCAGGCATTGACAAATCCTCGTTTAACATGAGTCGGCCTTATTTCTTTTCGGTAAATCTCCAATTCAAAGGATCCCATAAGCCTGAAAAAAAAGCCTGACAATCGAGAAAAGTCCAAATATTAAATAAAATGAGACCAATTCTAAACGGTTTCGTTTTGCAGAGAAGAACGCGATGCGCGCGACGCGAAAGAGCGTCAGAAGCAAAAGAAACTGGATCAGGAACGGAAGGACCGCGAGAAGAGGGATATGTTGGCTAGGAACGAGGCGAAGCGGATACAAAATTACGAGGACGTCGACTGGGACGCCGGTGCGGCTCGAAACGACGACGACGCCGGCAATCTTTCCGATGATTTTATGTGATCGCCATGAAAAAATTGATATTTTTCTAATTCATCGATTTTTGTGCGTAAAATTCAAATTCTGTTGAAAACTAGATTACTAGAGAAGAACGATTAGCGAGCATTGCAATTAAAAAGTTCAAGCACACAAAAATTATAGAAAAACCGTAAAAAATAGGGGGCGAAACATCAGAAAACAGACAGCAGAAGAGAAGAGAAATGGCAGCAGATGATGTGGAAAACAAAAGGAAATGGGACAGAAAAATGGGGGTTTTAGCTGGGAAAAAGTGATATTACTCTGGCAACGAAATTATAAAAACTGAAAAGTGTGCTCTAAAAGCTATGAGGCTCTATTAAACTATTAAAAAGAGCAGAAAAGAGGAGAAAAACACTGCTTGTTTTGTAGCGGATGACGTGGAAATCTCCATGGCGGCGGCGGCCTCTGATATTCCGCCTTCCTCAACTTTATCGAATCGCATAACCGGAGTGTCGTCGGGAATTGCATTGTGATGTTTGTAGGCCGGATCTTCGTTCGGATCCGCCGCGACTCCCCCGATTACTCGAATTGGCTCCGTCTCTTTCTCTTCTTCATCCTCTTCTTCCGAATCTTTGTCAGGTCCTTCCGGAGCACGATTGGATCCTTCAAAGTACACCAATTCCGGTTCTTTCCCTGCCCCGCTGACCAAAAGATGATCGGCCTCGAACTCGAGGTTTTTGTTTGGCCGCGCTCTCGGAACACTAGGATACTCGGCCGGAAGAAGCGGCACCGGCTCGTTCTTCTCGAGGATCGGACGGACGTGCACGTTGGCGCTATCGTTGACCATCGGAAGACCCTCCTCGATCACTTTTGGAGACGGCTCCGAGTGGACAGAGTCTGCTGGAGCCGCCACTTTGTGCAGGAGTCGAGCGCGGATGTCGGCGAACTGACGCGGAGTACAGAAGACCGCCTCGAGGTCGTCGGCCGCCTTCCCCACTGTTGAGTTCCAGTGGATCCCTGAAAAGAAACGATCTTGGTTGGACTGGAGAACGGGAAGAAATCAGGGATGAATAAAGGGCCGGGCATTAACAATAATTACGGCTTTTTCGACCTTATGGGGTTATTCAGTCTGTGAAAAAAATGATTGTTTTCCGTTTTTTTTTCGTTTTTTTACGTCAAAAAATTCAATTCAGCGATGTAAAAAAAACGAAAAAAACGGAAAACAAACATACGCTGAATAGCCCCATTACATCTAAAATCTGTAAAATGTTATCGGAATATTTCAACTGAGTCAAAAGTTAATTCCTCAATCCCTGGAAGAAATGGAATCGCACGTACCCATCTCGCCGATCATGACCGTTCTCATCTGTGAGATCTTCTTTGCCGACTCCTTCTCCGGATAGGTCGTGTGGCAGACGGGCGTCGTTCCCTCCAGATTCGAGACTCCCTTCAGCACGTGTTCGCAATAGAACTTTTGCGAGACTCGCTTCTCCGCCGTGCTTATCTCGTTGTTCACGAATTTCTGAAAGTTTTCGCTCTGCGACGCAAATCCGTCGGTGCGCAGGTCGTAGAAACTGAAAAACTAGGAAATTGTTGGAAGAATCGCCTTGTAAACTGACCCCAGCAGCTTTTCGGTCTGATTCTGACTCCACTCCTCCCAATCGCCCATCGCCGGTACCAATTTCTTGTCGCACACGTGTTTCCAACCGCTTTCGGTCGGGTCGATCACGAAAACGTCGCCGACGCCGTAGTCGAATATCGCGAGAGTGTCGACGGTGAATCGCCAGCGATTCCGCGGTGCGCCGAGCACCGAACGCCACTCGTGCAGCACAATCGGCTCCGCCTTCACCGAGTACGTGCTCCGATTGCTGCTCGAGTCGCCGATTTCGAGTCGGTATGCGCCCCAGCCGCCGTCTTCGATCGGGTAGAGAGCACAGTTCGACGAGCCGTACGTGGCAACGCATTTCGAGTAGAGCTGAAAGAAAAGTTATCCGATCGGGACCCAACTTTGCAAAATTATCAATCTTGATTTGAAGTATCTACTTGGTAAGTTTTTTTAGTCCGATTGGATTATCTGCCCCCATAATTGTTAGTGCTCGTACCTCGTGCAGTTTGCAGCTCACTTCTCCGCTCACATAAACCGCTTTCTTCTGAAGAAGAATATTGCGGACGAACGAGCCGACGGGTACGAAAAGACAATCATTGGCGCTGAGGAACCCGATGATATCCTCGACCTGAACCCACTTTCATTAGGTTTAAATTTGAGCTCGGAATAGTCCAGTCCAAACCGTTTTGAATAGTCCGGTGACTCGAAGGGCTTTCATCCAGCTCCACTGGTAAGTGAGTCCTTCGCTGCGGATCACCTATAATAATGTCTAAAGAAGATGATTCCGCTGGTTAAATACCTTCGCGTGCTTCCCGTCCGTCCGTTCCCACGGCGGCGTCAAATGCGAAAATTTGGATGGCATCTTCAGCCGCGCCACATCACTTTCCTGCAGCTAATACTCTGATTTTCGATGAAAAAATAAGCGGGGCTTACAGTTATGGCATCTAGACACGGATCGGATTGTGGATGTGAGGCGGCTGTGAAGAGAGGAACGAGCAGGAGCAGGAGGGGAAGAGCGAGCCGAGGATCGACCGGTTTTCGCAGCCGCATCTTATGACGGCCTGGAATGGGGAATCTCGGATGAAAGAGAACATTTTAAGCGTTCGAATGACAACAATTAGCTGTCAGGCTATTCAAAACAGATCTAAAAAACCAATAAACTTTCGACTTCTTGATGGAAGTAAGACCTTTCAGAAGAAATTGTCAAAATGGCAAGGAAAACAATCCAGGTTATGCCTATGCCTCAAGAGTTTGTAATAGTCAAGTGATGGGCGTTTTGGTGACTCAGCAGTTCCATTAGGCTGATTTTGTTTATGCAACTTTACAGTATCACTGGATAGAAGCCTGTAGACACGCAAATTATAATGTAAAGCACTTTAACTTCAAAATGGATGAGCTCAACACGATTGTCAGTCTAGGTATGGAGCACACAATTAGACAAAAGGATATCATAAAAGCGAATTTCGATCGAACTTTCAAATGCAACACTTGAGGACACCTGACCACGACACTTTTTTTTCGATGGAACGAGCGTGAGTGTGTGGATTTACGAGTTTGTGAGACTTTCGGAGCGATAAAACAAGTCGAGCGGATCTCTATCTCTGCTCGTTTCGAAACATCCGGAAAACGCCAACGACTCCCGACCGAGAGCGTGACTATTTTCTCGTCGCGAGCTCACACAATGAGCATAATAAGAGCAAGATTGGGTCCATCTTCTTCCTCTTTTTCGCTTTTTTTTTGTGTGCCCTGTTTAGCCACAGACGAAAAACCGAACCCAAAAAAAAGAGAAAAAAAGAGCAGAGCATCAGAAAAGTGAGAAAAACGAGGCAAACTCTGGCTCCGAGAGACAATTGACTTCCTTCCGTTTCCTTTCGCGTCACACGGACACTTTTCGGAGCCCGAATAGGAAAAGAAAAGAGGCGGAACGGCCCGATGTCATCAAAAGAGACGGACCCACTTTTGTGGTAAACAAAACGAGCAACAAAAACTTTCGTGCTCCCTCTCATTTTTGCCCATAAAAATGTTCTGCTCTGAGCGCAGGATTAATGAGGAAGCGGACTAACGAACCGACTCGTTTCCTACCAACTTTCAGGGAACATTCCGGAAAGTGGGGATGGAAGGGAGTGGGGTTCTCTGAAGGTCGAACAGTTTTGATTAGAGGTGGTAGTGCACGGATAATTGGATAATTTGAGGATCGGCCGCAAGATTCATCCACGTGGAAGACAATTGGAAGTGCGCTCTATCGAACAATATTGTTTCATTATTAGGAGCTACAGTTAGGTTCAGTCTGGAAAGTACTACAAAAGTATTAAGAAACGCTGTTAAAACAAACTGAATTCCCTGTTTACACAGAAAATCTAATCAACTGAAAACGAGAGAGGTGAAAATCGTATTCGTAGATTGTTTGGGTCGCTTTTTATACAAAGCTCCTTGCCTTCGTCGTCGTCGTTGTCGTGTCGTCTGCGAACAGAAAGGAAAACAAGATTTGGTGGTGTTCGTTGCCTTCGTCGGAAAGAAATATCAGGCGATAAACAGATGGAATTGCGCTGAACACTAACCAGAAAAAGAAGAAGAAACGGAAGAGTTTGGCGACGGGCCCCAAAAAGGAGCAGAGACGGGAGCAGATGGCGACCGACGGAGAGATTCAAAAGGGTGATAAGTGGAAGACGATGGCGAACGGAAAGAAACCAGAAGACGTCACTGAAGTTTAGAAGACGTCAGTGAAAGATGATTTCAAATTGTTCGACTTTCTTTCAAATGCAACACCGACACACAATCCGGAAGTCGTCTGGAGTCTGGATGTCTCAGAATCAGAATCCCTTGTTTCCTTCTGATTTTCGAGCTTCCTAGCTAGGTCTGCACATCAAACTAGTAAGATTTGACCAGAAATCAAGAAAAAAACGACGTTACGAGTTTCCCAAAAAAAACTGGGAAGAACTCTTCGAACTGCGAAGAAAGGCGCCAATTACTGCGACACCCAAAACGAGAGAAAAACGAGGACGTCGTCAAAATGGCTTCAGAATTGAAGAGAAGACGTTCTGACGGAGCTCAACGAGAAGAAGAGAAACGTCAAGCGCTTTCTCACTCACTTTTTCCTTGCGGATCAAAAAAGTAAAGGAGCACTTTTTTTTACGAAAAAAAGCGAAGTAAATCTTCAGATGAGAGAAGAGAAGAATTTCAACGCGGAGAGGTGGAAAGAAGAACGTCATTTTATACATTTTTCCGGGAATTTTTCATAAGAGGAACCTTCGGCTGACCTGATCCAAAGGCAATAAAAAATTCGAAAGGACCGGAACATTATTAGCAATTCATAACCGAGTCGAGCCGATGGGGACATACATATATTTGTACTTAATCATATGAGAAAGAGCTCCCGTCCGTTTGTGTCTCTTTCTCTTTCTTCTGAGGCCTCCCCTAACAAAAAGAGGACGACAGGGATGGATGAGTATTGAAAACGAAAGGAAACGGCCATAAAGGGCTCCGGCAAAGCTGCCCGCCCCCTCATTATTCGGTCAGATTGATGAGCGAGCACGTTGCAAACCGAACATGGGCTCCGCGGCGCTCTTTTCGAACAAATCTGAGGGAAATATGAATTCTAAAATGGATATCTTCTGCAAATACCAATTTTTAGCTGAAAACTAATTGAAAAATTGAAACATCAGCTGTTATTCCAATAATTTCGCGTTTTTTTAAGGAATTTTATGTTTAGCTTGGACAGACCAATTTTTCATGAACCAAACCGGAAACAACATAAAAAATAACTCTCCAGGGATAGATTTAATGGGTGACTTTGAGAATTTTTGAGAATTCTGGCCACCCAGAACCTCCGAAAACTATCACAACGCCCGGACGGGACAAAGTGGGTTCGGCAGCGAAAAGAATGAATGAATAATTGTGACAAGTTGTACTCGATGTCTTCTTTTCCGCTGTCTTCTGCTTTCCGCATCATCATAAAAGTTTGAAGATGGATCGTTAACGCCCAAAACGGACTTTCATGCATTTCGGATTCGTTTTGACTAGAATACACACTATTTACGAGGGAATGCTAGCACATGGGTTCGACAAAATTGCCGAACATCTTCGTTAACTTTCAATGAGAAAATTCTGAAAAATAAAACTGAAAGAGAGGAGAAAAGCACGTCGAAAACAGGGAAAAATAAATTATTTCTTCAAAGGCACATCAAAATTAAAGGAGCATATCGAATACAGCAGCCGGGTCTCGCCTGGATACCGTAAAATTGTTTTGAAATTCAAATTTGCTTCAATTCTTGCTCATTTTCGCTCGTGATTATCTCGTGTAAGCATTGATTTTTGAAACATAAAAGCATCAAAATGCAGTTAAAATTAATCGAAAAATCTTTTGGTAAGAATTTGCACTGAAAAATGTTTCAAAATTCGATTAATTTCAGAACCAGAACCACTGAAAACCATCGAAAGTTCGATTGCCGAACGCAAGGATGACAATCGATTTGATTGTGAGAAAACGAAATGAAAATCCTAGGAAATATCTAACAATTGCGATTTGTTGCAGCTATGAAGGATATCGAGCGGAATCTGTACACAATCCCAGAAGAACAGAGGCACATGTCACATGAACAGCTTCAGGAGCTCTATTCCAACGGGGGAGTCATGCAAGTTTATCCGTTCCGCCAAGACTCGAACACTGGTATCCCGCCGCCGGTATCCTCGTTTCAACAGGCCTTTGGAAATAATCGTAAGTCATAATAAAGTTTTTCTCTGATTCTTCAAATTAACTCTTTTAGCGGCAATTATGGCTGAAATCAGGAAGAACGGATTCGAGAAGCCATCACCGATTCAATCGCAGATGTGGCCAATCCTTCTCTCGGGAAAGGATTGCATTGGAGTGTCGCAGACCGGATCCGGAAAGACATTGGCCTTCCTGCTGCCAGCGTTCCTGCACATCGATGCTCAACTTACACAGTACGGTCCGAATGATCAGAGGCCGTCGCCGTTCGTCCTCGTGCTCAGTCCGACTCGCGAACTCGCTCAGCAGATTGAAGGAGAAGTGCAGAAGTACAGCTACAATGGATATCGCAGTGTGTGCTTGTACGGAGGTGGCTCCAGAAGTGATCAGGTTACCTCGTGCAAGGGTGGAGTTGAAATCGGTACGTTTTATTCGAGCATTGGGAAGATCGCCTAATCGACGTCGTTTTTTAGTGATCGCAACTCCGGGTCGTCTCACGGATCTCTCCAATGACGGCGTCATCTCGCTCGCGTCTGTGACCTACGTTGTGCTCGACGAAGCCGATCGAATGCTGGACATGGGCTTCGAAGCGGCGATTCGTCGCATTCTCTTCGAAATCCGTCCTGACAGACTCGTCGCTTTGACCAGTGCCACGTGGCCAGAAGCCGTCCGAACTCTCACCGATCGATACACAAAGGAAGCGGTTATGGCTGTGAACGGCAGTCTCGACTTGACGGTAAATTGATTGGAATGACGGAAATACACTCAAACTTTCTAGTCGTGCCAGAGCGTCGTCCAATACTTTGAATTTCTTCCTCAAGATGCCCGTTTCAACCGCGTCTGTGAAATTGTGGACTATCTGAACAAGGCACACTGCAAGAACTACAAAATGATCATTTTTGTGAAATCGAAGGTGATGGCTGACCATCTTTCGTCGGATTTCTGCATGAAAGGCATCAATTCACAAGGATTGCACGGCGGAAGGTCGCAGTCCGATCGAGAACTCTCTTTGAAGGCGTTGCGGTCCGGAGAAGTTCAGATTCTCGTTGCCACAGATCTTGCTAGCAGAGGAATTGACGTGCCAGACATCACGTATGGTTGCAACATCGAAACCAAGTTTTTTATTGATTTATTCCAGGCACGTGCTTAACTACGACTTTCCTATGGACATTGAGGAGTACGTTCATCGAGTTGGACGCACCGGACGTGCCGGTCGGAAGGGAGAAGCGATGAGTTTTATGTGGTGGAACGACCGCTCCAACTTCGACGGACTCATCTCGATTCTCGAGAAATCCGGACAAGAGGTTCCGGATCAGCTGAGACGCGACGCCGCCCGTTACCAGCAGAAGCTCGCCGACGGCCGCGATAAGCCTCGTCCGAACTTCCGCAACCGCAACAAGGAATCGAACTTCCAGTCCTCTTATTAAATGTCTTCGCCTTCTCTCTCCATTCGATTCCTATCTCCCTTGTAGGCTGGTCGAACAGGCGCCTGAAAAAAACAGACGCCTGTTTTTTCAACGCGCCGCTGCGTCCTTGCGTTGAAAAAACAGGCGCCTAAAGTCGCCTGTTCGACCAGCCTACTCCCTTGTTAAGTAATTAAATATTTTCAGCATGTTTGTCTGTAAATATATGTTTTAACCACGCCTCCTTCCCGTCCGTATGTAGGATCTCCCTTTGTTCTCTGTTAATTTTCCTTTTTTTAGGTGAAAATTTCGTGAATATAAACGTTTAGCTCCACGCGTAACCCGGTACCTTGGTTCACATTTCTCTTGTTTTCCCTTATCTGATCAAACGATCGGGGCCGCCCTTCTCTCAAGAGATCCTCAATCATTACGAGCTTGTCTACTCGGCGAAGAACTCTTGAAATAGCCGTAAGTCGTTTCAGATATTTTCATCGCAATCTTTCCCTTTTCAGCCAAAATGACTCACTTGAACTTTGAGACCCGGATGCCTCTGGGACAAGCGGTCATTGACCAATTCCTGGGACTGCGCCCGCACCCGACCAAAGTGCAAGCCACGTACGTCTGGATCGACGGCACCGGCGAGCAACTGCGCTCCAAGACGCGCACTTTCGACCGCGCGCCGAAGAGAATCGAAGACTATCCTATCTGGAATTACGACGGATCTTCGACCGGACAGGCCAAGGGCAGGGACTCGGATCGCTACTTGCGCCCCGTCGCCGCCTATCCGGATCCGTTTTTGGGCGGAGCGAACAAACTGGTGATGTGCGACACGCTGGACCACGAGATGCAGCCGACGGCGACGAACCACCGCCAACTCTGCGCCGAGATCATGCAGGAGGTGCGCGACACGCGTCCGTGGTTCGGAATGGAGCAGGAATACCTGATTGTGGACCGCGACGATCACCCGCTCGGATGGCCGAAGCACGGATTCCCGGCTCCGCAGGGCAAGTACTACTGCAGCGTCGGCGCGGACCGCGCGTTCGGAAGAGAAGTCGTCGAGACGCACTACCGCGCCTGCCTCCACGCCGGACTCAACATCTTCGGAACGAACGCAGAGGTCACGCCCGGACAGTGGGAGTTCCAGATCGGCACTTGCGAGGGAATCGACATGGGCGACCAATTGTGGATGTCCAGATACATTCTACACAGGTAGAGAGTAGAAAAGGATCTGAAAAAATAATTGGGTTTTCAGAGTGGCCGAGCAGTTCGGTGTCTGCGTGTCGCTCGATCCGAAGCCGAAAGTGACGATGGGCGACTGGAACGGCGCCGGATGCCACACGAACTTCTCGACGGCCGAAATGCGCGCGCCGGGCGGAATTGCGGCCATCGAGGCGGCGATGGAAGGCCTGAAACGCACGCATTCGGAAGCGATGAAAGTGTACGATCCGCACGGCGGACAGGACAATCTGCGTCGTCTGACGGGCCGCCACGAGACGAGCTCGGCTGACAAATTTTCGTGGGGAGTCGCGAACCGCGGATGCTCGATCCGCATTCCGAGACAGGTGGCCGCCGAGAAGAAGGGCTACTTGGAGGACCGTCGTCCCTCGTCGAACTGCGATCCGTACCAAGTGACGGCGATGATTGCGCAGAGCATTTTGCTTTGAGCACAAAACAGAGAGGACTTATCTTTTGCCATGTATTGACTGATTGAATGAATGATTTGGATGAGTTTATTTAGTAAGAAAATTAGAGAATTTGAGGGAGAAGCTGTACATTAGAGACCACCACGAGACCACCACCATTCTGAAAAATAGAAAAACAATTGAAAAGTTTTGCGAACATTTTTTACCATGCAAAGTTATTTTAATTCCTAGTAAAAGCATGCGGTTAGAAGTAGTGTGAGAAGTGAGAAAACAGCGGATTCAGCAGATTTTGTGGTCGCTAAAAGATGTTAGTGAAAGAAAGAGGCAAAAATGGTGAGAACCCACTTTGCGGAGTTGTAGTCGACGGCTGGGCCCTGCTGCTCGTGCTCGTGGCATCCGGATTATCGATCCAATCGGCGATGAACAGATTCAACTCGTACATGGTCCCGTTCCTGCTCGATCCCCACACCAACTTCTTGCCGTCGTAGCTCTGCATCGCGAACGAGTTGAACTGATTCTCGCCGAAAGTGATCTGCTCGAGACCGGTGCCGTCGTCGTTGATCATGAAAAGACTGAAGGCGCCAAACCCATTCGCGGCCGCGTTGTAATTGCTGCTGAAGATGATCCTCTTGTTGTCGTTGAGCATGTACGGCGCCCAATTGGCCTCTCCCAAATGAGTGATCTGTCGCATGTTCTGGCCGTCAATGTCGACAATGAACAGTTCCATCGCGATCGGTTCGACGAGATTGTAGCTGAGCAGCTTCTTGTACTTGGCGATCTCGGCGTCGGTCTTCGGTCGGCTCGCCCGGAAAATGAGCCGTTTGCCGTCGGGCGTGAAGAAAGAGCCGCCGTCGTAGCCGAGCGTGTTCGTGATCTGCGTGACGTTCGTGCCGTCTGAGTTCATTATGAACAGCTCCAGGTCGCCGGTGCGGATGGACGTGAACGCGATCTTCGTTCCGTCTGGCGACACGACGCCTTCCGCGTCGTAGCCGGCCGAAGAGGTCAGACGTTGCACGAAGTTTCCGTATCGGTCCACCTGAGGGATTTGAAAAGCATTAGGGCTGAGCAAAAGGCCGATCCAAAAAGCCGAACTTTTGGACTACTTCCAGCACGACTCAAAAAGCATTTTTTGAAATTCTAGTATTAACCCCCGGGCCGGTTCGCAACAAGCCTTAAAAACCTGATCTTTCCAAAATATTCACGTTCTTTCACAGTATGGTCACCTTGAAAATATCGTAGTCATCGAAAATGTCCCAGGTGTAACTGGTATTGCACAATTGCTTGAGCTCCTCCGTCTGCGGACTGGCGCACTGTTTCTGCGGGCAAGTCTTGGAGACGTCCGTCGTGTTCTGCAAGGAAATTCAAAGTTTCAAGTATCCATCACTATGAAAAACTCACGGCGATCTTGATATTCCACCAGTTTCCGGCGTACAGACGATGGTTATTGTCGGCCTCTTTGAAGAAGTACGAGCACGTCGTGCCGCCCAATCCCGTACTGATTCTTCGCAAAGTCTGTGCTCTCGGATTGATATTCAGGTCGAGCTCGTAGATTTGATCGCAGTCTGTTCCGTAGCCGGTCGCCTGGAGCGTCAGTTTCGAGTTGTCGAAGCTGAAGTATCCTTCGGCGTTTTCGCCTCCGAATGTGAGCTGCTTCACGTTCGCTAGATGCTTCTCGCCGTCGAAGTGGACGACGTTGTCGTACGGATCCGTGGCCAGGTCCTGCCATCGACCCGAGAACTGACTGACCTGCTCGGCTTCCTGGCTCTCCTGCGGCTGGACATCCTCCCAAATCCGATTCGTTCGAATCCGGAAGTCCTTGTCTTGTGAGCCAAGAGCCCAGGCCACGGAAACGGAGCAAACGGCCAGAGCCAATCGGAGTAGCATTGTTGCAATGGAAGAATCGACGATTCTGATTCTCGGAGTGGGTTCAGGGCGGCTCTTAAAAAGCATTGAACATACCGGGTAAGCGGATTAGAAAGTGTGAGTGTGTAAATGGAAAGTTTGCACAAAACTAGGCGTACGGAGCACAACCAAATGAGCCGAGATGTGTGGCTGAGAGGAGAGCAATAGAGAAAGAGGAGGACCCAGAGAAGACACAGAAGGGGTCATCGGAATCGGATCGATCAAAAAGATCTGTGTGCCCCCCTTCCCTCCCACTTGTTATTGTTGTTCTCTCCCCGGCCAATCGAGCCCTTGAGTGTTCTGTTATCAGCGTCAAAGTTTTCTCCAGCTTATCACACTCTCTATCAGAGACCCGGGCGGAGGGGGAAAAGAGGTGTTAGGCCAAGATAAACACCTGATAGATCCTCTCGAATGAGATGGTGCAATTCTTCTGCAATACTAGACTTGTTTGTGTGCTTTCTGACATGAACACACTCGGTTTTGTGGCGAAGGAGGGGGGCGAGCAGGACTATCTTTATGGGAGACCGCTTTTGATTTGTCTTGAAGAGAAGGTGTGTAATTGGAACATTATTCCAGGACTGAAGTTCACTTTATCTGGAAGTTGGACCAGGAGATCCTAAAAACAAATCGAGCCGAGAGGACTTCTGGAGCCGCGGAACGGGAGCGTCGCAACCAGATGCCGAACGAGAAGGATATCACGATTTCCGTTCACGTTATTCCGACGTGATGACAAGGAGTTCCAAGTTCATCCCGAGGTCATTCCAACCCCTCTCTCTCTCTCTCTCTCTCTCTCTCTCCTTTTCTCCCTCCCACGCACTTTCTCCCGCATTTCCCGATTTGAAAAGGCTAACCAACTCGCTTTTGCTCATTCCGAAAAAGCTGCTGACATGTCGACTCAAGCTGCTCCAAAACCGCCGCCGGCCCTCGACGGAATCCAAAAGTTCCACGTGAGTGACGCGTCGAGTACCACGCACACACTGTGTTTCAGGCCGATTTCGTGGCGTTTCTGTACGCGGACCACGGCGCCGGATTCAATACGAACGTGAAGAAGATGGAGGAGACGACGGGCCAGAAGCGGGAATACCTCGCCTACGCACTCGTCGCCCTCAACTGCGTCTACATGATCATCGGAAGCGGCGCCGAGTTCGTGTGCAACCTCATCGGAATCGCCTATCCGGCCTATGTCTCTGTCAAGGTGCTTTTTGAAGACAGAACCCCTCAAACTCCCAAAGTTTCAGGCGATCCGCTCGGTGGAGACGTCGGACGACACGGCGTGGCTCATCTACTGGGCCGTCTTCGCCACGTTCGCGCTCATCGACTACTTCGCGATGAGCATCATGTCGGTGTTCCCGTTCTACTGGGTCATCAAGGCGCTCTTCCTCGTCTACCTGTACCTGCCGCAGACGCAAGGCTCCACCGTCCTCTACCACGGATTCGTGGATCCGCTCGTCACTGCGATCGACCGGCAGATGGCTTCCAGAGCGGCGCAGGCTCCTGCTCCGGCCGGCGTCGATCCGAATAACAATGAGGTGAAATCGCAGTGATTTGATCGAAATAAACCTTTTCTGTGTATTCCGAACTGATCTCTTCAACCTAATCCGCTTGACTTGATCCTATTAACTTTAATTTCATCAGTGTCCTGTTCTTCTAGTCAATGAGAGTGGAAAGTTCAAGATTTATTGTCGGCAGAATCATCGTAAACTACATCAACCAGACCGTCGTCACAATTATTATTGGCCGGATTCCGCAGCAGATTACTCCGGTCGCTCTCGCGCTTCTTAATGTTCGCCCTCCGCTTCAAGAGCATCAGAACGAGCAGAACGACGATTACGGCGACGGCGGAAAGAAGTACGAGCATGTAGACGACGGCGGTGGCGATGAGCAGCTTCTGAATGCATTCGGATCAACGTTTTAGGATCATTAGGTCAGCGGGAACCTTTTTGAAGTTTCCGTCGCCGAGTGACTTGAAAGTGGCGTCGCCGAAGCCGTAGGAAGAGGCGAAGAAGAGCGCGTCGAGGGCAAAGTTCAGCGATTCGGCGGTGAAGTTTCCTGAAGAAAAACTGTGAAGAACTGCCAACAATAGAGCACTGACCTTGTGAAGAATTCATCGGAAGAAGAATATCAGTGACGAGTCCCCGAATCTGAACCGCCCACTCATTTTTCGGCGTTTTCATGAAGTTTAGTTGATTATGAGCATCACAAGCTGTGGAGTCGAGGAACTGAATAAAAGACGTTTATTCCAAGCTATATATCTCAGCTGCCTGTGGAGGTATCAAAAAGTTTTCAACTGACAAATTGTCCATTATGACATTGTGAACATTTTTTCAGTTGACCACTTTTTGATACCTCTGCCGGCAGCCGAGATATATAGCTTCGAATAAAGAGCAGTTTGTCAAAATCCCCACTTTTTTCTGATTCGTAATCGTCGCCATAAAACTCCTCTGCACACGTGGATCCTCAACTTTCTTCGTATAAATTTCCAACGCACAAGTGTGCTCCAACGTTTTTCCGGGCTGAATCTCGTCCAAACTGACACTGTTCACGGTTGCGGACACTTGACACTTGACCATTTCCGCGAAGGACTGCAAAAGAGTATTGTCGCTTCGAAAGAAAGTGCGCTCTACCGTACTCTCAGTTGTGGTTCGTAGAAAATGTGAAATTCGCGTCGTTTGAACGATTTTTTCTCCTCGGAAAGTGTCAAATTGAAAGTGGAATTGGAGGAGCAGACGGCGGAAACGGTCGAAGTGAGCATGGCCAGGAGGAACAGTGATAAAATGCAAGATTTCTTCATTTTTTGATTGAATTATGAGAAATGGAGTTGGAATTTGAGAAGTTGAACGAAAAGTGAGAAAGAGATCACGTTGGAACAATGATATTGTCATTTGTACATTAGTTACAGTCTTTTTTAAAATAAGTTTCGATTTTTGAAAGCGGAGGTTACTCCTTCCACTACAGTAATCCTCGCAACATCGAAATCACAGTTTTTGTGGCCGAAATATGTAAATAGCCTCTTGAAATGACGGACGACCTCGCCCTTCTTCTTCTTCTTCTTCTTCTTCTTCTTTTGAGGAATTCGTCATTGGTCAGTCATCTGACACACGTGAAAATGGTTTTGGTTCCAATCTTTGCTGTCCTGTTTTTTGACGGCTACGTTACCTACAACAGCCACATTCATGTCCTTTTTCTCGAAAATTGATAATACTTTTGAGAACTACCAGCATTTCCGACTTGATTTGACCGAAAGCTGTACATAAATACCGTGCATTCAAAGCAATGTATCTCAGCAGTCTGTGGAGATATTAAATAGTTGTCAACTAATGAAGTGTATAAAATTTCTTTATGCACATTTTATTTGTTGACAATTTTCTGATATCTCCACAGACAACTGAGAAACATTGCTTTGAATGAACGGTATTTGGGCGCCAAAACTTTGAGAGCTACCGTACTCTTTAAAGGCGCATAACTAACTCTCAGTTGATTTTCCCAAATCAACAATACCATCTTCAAGGATCCAATTTTACACATACCTAGTGTCTGGGGCCGGTGTAGTCAAAGTCATCGTCATTCGATTCGATTCCGTTTCGAACTTTTTCGTCAACTTCTCTCACGTCATCTACAATTTCACAATACTATTTCCCTCGACCCGAAGGCAGTTGTTGTTCGTCGAATTTCGTTTCTTCTTCTTCTTCTTCTTCTTCCTCTTCTTCTCGCGGTCAGCATGTGTGTAAGGTCACTTCTCGTCGCCGATTCGAAACGACGAAAAAACGTTTTTCCCGAAACCCTTTTTTACTATTCCCGTTCTGATGTTACACAATCCTCGGGCCACTACTACTACAATTTGTCTATAAATTCGGCCAAACGCGCCGATTTTGTTTCTACCTCTTCTCTAGGTCTTTTGTATTTTAGAGTTCCGTCTCAAATTTTGTTCCTGTTTCCGTTAATTTTTGTTTTTTGATAGGAACCTGGGGGGTACTGCTCAGAAATGGGCCTCTAACTCAAATACGACACATTTCAGGATTAAATGATCAATTACAAAGTTGTTCAGCACAAAATTATCTACAACTTTTTAATTGACAACTTTTCAAAATAACAATTGGCTCTTCAGATACAGGCGTTCAAAGATAGGCAACTTTTGACCGGCCGGTAAGACCCAAATCAGGTCCTTATAGTGATGTTTGAGTTAAAACGTTCGTTGCCCCATGTTATTTTTGACGCTCTATCCAACTGTGTAAACCAATTTTTCAGCCTTGACCATCATTCCGTGACCTCGACAAGTTTTAGTCAGCAGTAATTAAGAGAACACTCTCGGCCAACCAACGGGCTACAAAACGGCTACTTTTTCCACTTTTTTCGTCCCTATTTCAGTCCGACCAAACACCGTCTTGACCCTTTATCTCCTTTCGCTATTGTCCACTTCTTCATCCGTCAACAAGTTCTCTTAAACTTCTCCATTTCATTTGTAATGCCACAATTGACGTCGTCGTCTTTGAGACGGAGATGATCTTGGCAAATTTGTTGTTTTTCGTCCATTTCCAACTGTGAAAAAGTGCCATTAGCGGCGGCGGCGGCGGCGGCATTGGAATTCCGAAAAATGGCCTATTTTGAAACTCGTTTTTTTTCTCTTTTCTTCTTTTTTGAGTTTCTGTGTTTTGATCTGAAAGCACAGCTACAGTAATCTTCTCAGAAAATGGGAACAAAAAACGAGACGTCGCGAGTGACGAGGATATGGAATGTGCTCAGCTACAGAATCGGATCCACAGTAGCCAGATTTCCGTATTTGACTATCGGACTGTGCCTCCTGCTATCAGCGGTGATGACCATCAAATTGGCGTGTACTGAGTGAGTGATCTATAATATTAGAAGGACACCGAGAATACTTTTTATTCAAAGTAATGTATCTCAGTTGTCAGTGGAGATATCAAAAAGTTGTCAACTAACAGTGTGTTGGCTGACATATTTGTACATTTTACTTGTTTACAACTTTTCGATATCTCCATTGCGAGCTGAGATATATCACTTCTAATAAACAGTATTGTAAAACCAAATCTTCCAGAAAAGTGAGCGCGATAGACGGCTACGCTTCGGATGATTCCATGTCGCGGTACGAGTTCAAAGCGTTCCAACAATTTCTGGATTCCGACGGCCCCGGCATCACTATGGCTATTCTGATCCGTTCGAAACAGACAAATGGCTCGTTGCTCCAAGAGAATCGGCTCAAGGAAGTGGTGAAGGTTTCCGATTTCGTGTCGACCAACTTCAAGTTGAACGTGTCCGGAGTGGAGAAGAACTTCAATCAGTTCTGTCGCGGATTCTGTCAAGCCAACGAGCCTGTCAGACAGTACTATGTAAGTGGCCTAACTTCCCAAACCTCGGCCACCATGGGCTTCTCAGAACGGTCTACAAATCCTGGGCAAAAACCAGACAGACGGAATCTCGAAACGAATTGATCTTTCCTACCCGACTTCCAACTTTTTCGGCCGCAAATTCAGTCTGATTGTGAGTAAAGTAGTCGACGAATTCGTTAAATATAGTAAATTCAGCCCAATTTCTTCGGCATCTCACTCTCCTCGGACGGTCAACACCTCAATTCGTCCAACTTGATCGTTCTGTATTTCCGCGCCGAACGCTATCCGGATTGGACGACGAAGAATGTGAAACAGTGGGAACTGAGGGTCAGGGACCACTTTGCAAAGGAGTACTCGAGCGATTTGATCGTCGTGGATGTCATGTCACAGACTGTCGTCGAGAGTGGTCAGTTTCACAACTATTATGGCGTTGGAGCACTTGCATCTTTCCAGAAATCGTCCGTGCCGGCCTTTCTCTCCAGCCCTTCCTAATCGTCGGATTCGTGATCATGTCCACTTTCTGCATCATCACCACCATGTTCAGTGCCATCTACATCTACTCGCAAAAGGCCACGTTCAACAAAATCGCGCTGTCGATCATCGCGTGCGTCACCCCGTTCATGGCGTGCGGGACCGCGATGGGCACGCTCTTCTTCTGCGGAGTTACCTTCAGTCCGATCATGTGCATCACTCCGTTCCTCGTGCTCGCCATCTCCGTCGACGACAGTTTCTTGATGCTGCACGCGTGGAATCGGCTGGAGTCGTGGCGGACGGCGCCGTTGGATAAGCCGATGAAGGAGCACATGATGGGGGAGGTGCTCGTGGAAACGGGCCCGGCGATCACAATCTCGGCGCTCACGAACATGCTCGCCTTCACCATCGGCGCCATCACTTCGCCGCCCGAAATCCGCGTGTTCTGCTACGGAAACGCGGCCGCAATCTTCATGGACATGTTCTATCAGGCAACCTTCTACACTGCCTGCATGACTCTTCTGGCGGACACCCGCAACATCGAAGGAGTTAGCGAACGGACGAAGCGAATTCAGGAGAAAATGTCGGCAACGGTCGGAAAGTTCTTGAAGCGGTACGTCTCTTTCATCTCCAACGTCTTCGTCTCCACGGGGATCGTGCTCGTTTGGGCGGTCTTCATCGGATTCGCCGTGCTCGGGCTCACGAGGCTTCGCGTGGAGCTGCGGCCGAGCAAATTCTTCCTCAAAGACTCGCCGATGCTCACGATGGACACCCTCAGAACCTCGGAGATTGTTCCCAATTACACGCCCGTCCACATCGTCGTCAATAATCCCGGAGATTTGTCGAATGACACAAATGTAGAGAGACTGGTGGAATTGAAGGAGAAGCTCGAGCACATGTCGTATGCGATCGGAGCGCCGAGCACCAAGTTCTTCTTGGAGTAAGTGAATGTTAGGAACTACACTAGAATTTTGTTATTTTTCAGTGACTTTGTCCAATACCGCTCGTCGTTCGCCGAAGAATTCGAGACGGAAGAAGAAGACGTCACCACCGAGAAGAGCGAAATCGAGTCGTTCCTCGAATGGCCCGAGTTCTCGTTCTGGCGCGGATTCTTGAGATTCGACAATCAGTAATACATTCAGTTTTCCCTTTTTCCATTTGTCCTGTGCATTTCAGAACTCATCCGAATAACGTGACCAAGTTCATGTTCACCACTGGATTCCACGGACAAGATCTGAAAGATTGGAACACGAGAGGGCAGTTGCTGAAGAGTTGGAGAGGCGCCGTCGAGGAGTTCAAAGAGTGAGCTCGAGCAGAAGTTCTGGAAAGAAATGGTATGATTTTCAGAGAGTTCAATGCTACCGTCTTCACCGAAGATGCCTTCTTCCTGGACATGATCGATGTGAGTATTGTTAACTTTCGGAACACAAAACTGGAAAACTTTGAATGACGACTGTAGAATTCGCAGTCGATATTCAGAGCTGAAGGTTTTTTTTGTGTATTCTTGACATCTAGTAGAGTATTTTTGTTGTTTGTTGCTCCACCACTCCGAAGCTCATTTCATTGCAGTCCATCCCGACGGTGACGTGGCAAACCACTCTGGCGACGTTCATCTTCGTCTCTCTCGTCTGTTTCCTCTTCATCTCCGACGTGCTCACCGTCCTCATCGTCTCCGTCGCCATCCTGGTCACTTCTGTCGGAGTCTTCGGATATCTCTCTCTTCTCGGCGTCTCCCTGGATCCCGTGATCATGTCCATCGCCATTATGTGCATCGGCTTCTCCGTCGACATTCCTGCTCATGTCGCCTTCCATTTCTACGCAGCTAGTGAGCGAATGCTACCTCAATCTCGATACAATTCTATATCTTTTTCAGAAGCCAAAAAGTCCCCACATCATTCGGCCGCTCAGGTCTCCGACATGGTCCCTCACTCGAGCTCCACTACTTCTTCGAACAGCTCCGCAAGCTCCTCAGACTGCGCGCCCGACTCCTTCGCCGCTTCCCTCACATTCGCCCTCTCCAGCGTCGGATTCCCGGTCATCCAGGCCGGCGTTTCCACCGATTTCTGCGCCCTTCCGCTCGCCTTCATGGAGCTCTACATGGCCAAAATGTTCGCGCTCTCTCTGACTCTCTGCGTCTCGCTCTCCCTCATTCACGGACTGCTCATCATTCCGGCTCTTTTGTCAGTACAACATCATCTCGTCCACGCTTTCAGACGACTTTTCGGCAGAAGGTGATGTCGATCTTTAACATGTATTTGAATTGATCTACGGGTTCTTATGTACTTTATTATTGTTTCATTTCGGTCGGATAAAGCTATAATGATGAATTAACCCCAAAGTTCCTTGAGTGATTTCATATGTTCCTCCTGAGTTTCCACCTTGGCAGTGATCCGATTGATGACCCGTTTGCGGTTGAACCCGACCTGATTGATGCGATGGATTAAAAGTGCTGGCAGCGAGACTGCCGCGAACGGGACCGTCTGAAAGTTGGACAATATTCGGATGTCCCCTCACAGAGACTGTCTTACATAGGCCCACCAGACGATATTATGATAAATGGAGACGGGAATCATGTCTTTGTGCAATCGCAAAGTCAGCACAATCGTCGAGTACAATGCGAGTCCCAAAAACTGTGAAGCGGCGATGTAAGAGACGATCCTCGTGGATATCAACGCTTCGCGCTTCTGATATCTCTGAGCCACGTAGAATCGAGTACTGTAATCACAAATAATGCTTCCTTTCTATAGGATTCAAACAAAACTGACCTTTTCTCCAACTTTTTGTTCACAAAAATGATGATAAAGTTGAATAGAATGCTCATGATCACCAGAACGCTCAAAATGATCAGAAAGATGTTGGCTTTCGGAGCGGAATGTTGCGGAAAGAAGAAGCAGTTGGGCACGATGTCGTCGTACGGATCTCCGATTGCGATCACGAGCGGAGCGGCGACAGCGCTCGCAAACTGTAAAATACCTTTTATTCAAGACGGTTTATCTTAGCTGCCGGTAGAGATATCAAAAAGTTGTCAACTGACAAAATTTACGCAATATCTCACTGAACATTTTCCTAGTTGACAACTTTTTGATATCTTCACCCAGAACTGAGATATATCGTTTTGTACTCACAACAACTAAAGCTAATAGAATCCCGGGTAATGATCCCATTTTTGAGTAGGCTTGAGGGATTACTGTAGCCAGGAGTCTGAAATTTCCGTTTGATATTTTGCAATATTTTGTTGGAACTTACCGATCGATCGTCAATCCGAATTGATTGAAATTGATCGCAGCGATACCAAAAATAAGCACATGATTCTGAAACTTGCACTCCAAAGTCGTCCGCATGATTTCGCACGGCTCATTTTGTAAAGTGAAGCTTCGGACGAGTGCGACGCTCTGAAACACTCACTTACACTTGTTTTCTCTCGGAAACCAACCTGAATAATCATGAAAATGATCTCATGAACGTTGACGAACACCAAACTTGTGTAGAGCAGAATCTTGGTCGACTTGTGGAAGATCGGACGTCGTTTCAGAATGAACAGGGCTCGGTACGTCAAAAAGAAGGTGAGAAGGGCCAGGGTGCACATGAAGAGCACGTTTATCCGGAGGAGCAGCGAGGTTTGGAGCACCATTTGGTCCGGGCTCGCGCATTTCGACTGGTTCGTTTCCATTCTGAACGAACAGGTTACGGTCATCAAAAGCTTAAGGTACTGAAAACGAACAGGGCTTGAAAATTCTTATAATTGGCCTGGGAACCGACTACTATTGAGTTGCAGAACATGATCGAACATGAGCTGTTCAAAGCAAAACAGAAAGGCACCGTAATACCGCATATTCTAAGCAATGTATCTCAGCTGACTGTAGAGATATCAAAACATTGTTAACTAACAAAATGTACAAAATCTTTCAATAAATAAATTGTTAGTTGACAACTTTTTGATATCTCTACAGTCAGCTGAGATATATTGGTTCGGTAAAAATCGCATGAAAGATTTTCTTTTCTTTTTGCAAACAAAACTGACGAGAATGACGGGAGCAATTAAGTGGAAGAAAAGAAAAAAGAAAGAGTAACAGAAGATCAATGAGCAAGGTGAAAGTGAAAGGTTTTGCGTTGAACGAGCACTTCTAGAACTATAATATTCGTTTTGCGAAGAGTACTGTACTTTTCATGAACTACAGTAGTCTAAGAAGTAGGATCACGTGTTTTCAAGTGCATCAAAGCGGAAACACGTGAATGTGCGAAACTTCCGGCATCTGAAAGTATAATGAGCAGAAGGCCAATTCGAAAACGAAGGAGTGGGAGTAATTAGAGTTTGTGAGAGAGATTCCAGAGATTCCAGAGATCAGAACTTGAGAATGAAAATGAGCACAAAAGAGAGCATAACTAATGTGCTCTCAGGAATCTTTCTGAGCCACTCCACCAAGGTGCCAATCAGCCAGACAAAAAAGCGGCTAAAGTCTGGAAATGCTGAAATTGGAGGAGCTGGAGCCGTAATCGGAACCGCTTCGGATGAGGGTCCTTACGTCAGTTTTATTGTAATGAGCCGCTGACATTCGAGCCCTAATTCACTTTTGTCAAGTGCATATTTGCAATTGGATATCGAATATGGTATGCATCGAAATCGACGACACATCACACGCGTTTGCAAGAAAGAACTGAGGAAAAGGAAAGCATAAAAGGCAATTGGCGACGGCGCGAATACGTGTGTACGTAACCCAATTTTGAGGAAAAAGAGGGGGGAAATGAAATGAAAAATGAATTAGAGCATTGGAGAGCACAAAAGATTCTGGACATACATTATAGTTTGATGTGGCCTAGAAAAGTGCTCGGCCGTGTAAATACTTTCAAGTATTGTGGACTTTGCGGCAATCCAGTTAGAGTTCAAAATGTTTGGATTTTCTAGGCCACTGGTGAGATTCACAAGATGAGGGACTAGGTTTCACGGCACGGATTTCTCGGTCATAGTAGAGATTTCAAGGCTTCTCTAGGGAAAAGCTATAAAAGTTAACAAGTTTTCTCAAAAAAGGTGACCGCTTTCAAACGGAGGATGAAGATTGAGGACTAGTTTTCCCCGTTTGGATTTCTAGTCCACACAAGTACATTGGGCAAAGAGAAACAGTAGAAGAAGTGAGAAGTACTTGCTGTGTTTCAGTAGCATCTCGAGTGTGAGAGCCCAAAGAAAGCTGCCCTCCCCACCCCCTCCTTTGCCTGTTTTGTTTGTCTCACAGAGCTCTGAGAAGGGCGGCTCAAGGCCCTTCTCCGTTTCGTTTTGGACTCGACAAACAAAGTGTGAAGAGGGCGGTTAATTGCAAAAAGGAGATTGGAGAGAGGGTTTGAATTCGAAGCCTGCTGCAGAAGAACAAGATCAGCTTCTCTCAGTTTCATTTTAGCTCAAATCTCAAACTCATCGCATGTTTTCAGTACTTTGTTCGGACATTTGATCTTTGACTGCCGCGGCTCCGATTTCAATCTCGGTCGCATTTCAGAAAGAGAAAGTTGTCGAAAAGATTAAGAAAATATTGTGTGTGCGAACACTTTTAATTGTTTCCGCCCCGTCGCGGCTCAGAAAAACAATGGGAAAGTTCGTGATGGCGTGGGCAACAAAGCTTGAGAACTTACTTGAATAATGAATAAGACCTTATGAGGTAACCGAGCTTTTCATAATGGCAAACAGAAGTTCATTGTTTTAATGAATTCGTGGTGAGAACAACTAAGTCTATTCAACTTCTCAGTTTTCGTTTGTAGTTTGCTCTCCCGGCACTCACTTTTTGTCCGTCAGACAATTCGTAACAGGAGACTGTTTTCAAATGACTTTTCGAGTGTCTACGTCACTCTCTTTTTGTTTGATATCCGAAAACTTTTCGAGCTCTTTGTGAGAAGATGCGTTCTTCGGTCTAGAGACAAGAAATTGAACAATTGAATCAGATTTATAGAAAAGGAAAGTATTAAAAGGGGTCTAATTTCAGATTTCTCACGTCTTGACTGCCGGCGACTTTACCTGAAAAAGAGTAAAGTTAAACAGCTCCGCCGAGGACTCTTACATAGCAAGAGTTATTGTTCATCTTCTCGTTGGCGCCAAGAACGGACGTTCCGGATCGACGGTGCTCGGAGCGCCCGGAGTCTTCGGAAGCCGTGCTTTTGTCGGAATCTTCGCCAGCGGATTCTCTTCGTCGTCGTCGAATTCGTCACGTTTCTGCTCGGCCGGCTTCAGCTTCAGGTTGAATTGGACGTCGTCTGAAAGTGTTTTAGCTCCTGAAGTAGTCCGGCAGAGCGCTCTCACCCTCCTCGTCCTCATTCTTAGCACTCCCACTCGTCGTCCCCTTTTTTTTCGGCGTCTTTGCTCCGCTCTTGGCCAAACTCTGCTGACTATCCGTCTTTTCAAGACCCTTCTCGGCTTTCTTCTTTGCCTGAAATATGATCATGATCCAAAAGATGTTCCGATCTGAAACTAACACAATTGACGAGGATGGAACCGAGCGAGAAAAGCCACAGAACATGTAGAGTCTTCAGTAAAATGTCTGAAAACGTTTGAGAAGTTTTGCAAGTCTGGAAGAGTACCTGATCCCAAGACTACTATCATCTTTCGTCCGATTCGACACGTGGGATGGAAAGCGAAATGTTTCGAAATGGTGCATCGGGGGAGAGGGAACATCGAACGATGTCACGTTCATTTATTCATCTGACCATGGATTCTCAGGGGTCAAAATTTGAGCTCTACTATTATTTCGAAGTTTTGTGAATGGGAAGAGTGGAATAGGGACCGTTTTTAGTCATTTATGAGGACTTTCAGAAGGGAAAGGTAAAGAAGGACGTCATTAAGATGAGGAATTCATTCGACGGGTCTAGCCCCGCCGCTGTCAACAATTCCTTTGCTTTTTTGATGCGTAAATCATGAATACCATCAAGACTATTTTTCTAAACAATACCTCGCCCAAACTGTTTTCCAGACAATGTTCACATCGGTGACCGCGGGGTCTCCCACGACGTCTCCCACGACGTCTCCCACGAGATGATCATAAAAGTTTCCCACGACGTTTAGGGGTCTGAAAGGGGACGGTTATGCATCTTCTCAGAAGGTATACATATAAATACCGACCATCCATCCATTTTTTCTCCATTATTCCAATTTTTCTCGTTCGTTGACATTACCGTTTCCTCCAGTGTCTCTTTAACATATTCAATCGTTTTCAGCAAATATGAGCAGTGCCATCGCCAAATTGGACGCCGCCATGAGAATGATGGACGAGGCCCACGAGCAGCTGAAACAACAGCTCGCCGCCCGATCAACTGGAAAGGATGCAACGGCGACGGCCCCGTCGCCGCAGAAGACCGTCATCAAAGGACTCTACAAGCTCATGTCCTTTGATGAGAGCGAAGAGGAAGAGGAACTGAAGAGCATCGACTGGTCCGAACGGACCGAGCATTCCTCCGTGGATGTGTCCTTTTGGAAGGAGGAGATAGTTGAGAATGGAGGAATGCCTAGGACGTCGACGCCGATCAACGGATTCTCGACGCCTGCCCTCGACTTCACATTCACGGATTCCGCTTCGAAGAAGAAGTGTGCTGATGATCGGGTACCATCGTTTATTCAAATTTAACGTGTCTCCCGCTATACTTTTCGTACTTTCATGTGAATCAATGCCTTTTTTCGAATAAATATTTTCCAGTTCCAGCCAAATTTAACCTATTTTTCAAATAGTTCATTCGAAAAGTGATGAGAATCAAAAGTGACCTCGTAATAGTCCTCCTAGACTTCCGCGTCCCTCTACAGCACGGCCCGATCGATTTCCTCTTGTTCCGGATTGTAGAACGAGTCCCTGACGAGCCAGTTCGGATGGGACAGCTGCGTGATCGCCTTCCCTTGCAGCAGTTCGACGGTCGGCATCTCCGAGTAGCTCTTCGCACTGAATTTCGCGGCATCCGGGCTCAGACTTCGACTCCGGATCTCCTGAATTCAATGCTCATCAGTCGTTCATCAAAACCTCTCGCCTACCTTGAACATGCACATGAACGCAGCCGGCTCGAACTCCAAGTACAATTTATGGGCAACCAGCTCGGACGCGTCACGATTTCCTCAATGTCCTCGACTCCGAAAACGCACGAAAAGTCTTTGATCTTTCCTGAAATCTTTTCGCTGTCGGTCGGAGATCAATCTTCGATCGACGAACCGTTACAATCCTTCTGCCAACCCCACACTTGGTAGCGTCCAATATACGAAGTTCCGATCGATTCGACCGTGTTCACGTCCGGCGGACGCATTTTGAAGTGCTTCCGGAGCCAGAGAATGTCACGGACACGGATTGCGCCGGGCACTGGGAGTACTGTAAGAGGGGAGGGTTACGGTAAGGTGGAAACAGTTCCGGATTCTCTAGAAAGTACGATGTCACAAATTGTCCTTCTCTGATTGTCAGACTTGCTCAGCAACTGTAGATCATTCACGACACTTTGCTCCAAACTCACAAGCTGGCGATCCAGAGACAGTCGACCAGAATGACTCATCCGGAATCCACGTCTTCGCCAGATAACTCAACAACTTCTGAACTCTCGGACTGACGATGATGAAATTGGCAGCGGTTCGGGGCACGACCACCGACATCGACGACTTGTAGATTGGAATCGGAGGCAGAACACCCTGAACACCCGAAGATTGAGGATTCAGAAGAGTTCCAATCGTGCATACCTCCATATTCTTGTACCTGTTCACCTCGAAATCACTGACGTCCGTGTTGATCGAACCGTTGAGCGCTTTGAATATCCGCACCATCTCTAGATTCGTTCGGATCGGCAGATCAGTCCCAGAGAGGTACTGAAAATTGAGTGTGACGCCTGTTTCCTCTAGTTTTCAAGCACCTGATAGTACTTCCAATTGTGTTTCTCTTCGGTCAGCCAGTTGAAACAAGTGTACACATTCTTCAGAATACCAAACGATCCCCATTCGGATGCTTCTCCAATCTGAACGGTTTGTTTCAAAGTCACATCGATCAAGGCTGCTCTCACAAATATTTTCATGTTTGGAAAGCAAGTGGGAAGGGATTCGATGACATTTTTGTACTCGTCAGAACTTTGCATATCGACAGTAATGCAGAAGAGATGTTGGGGCTGGTAGAACAGGGACAACTGCATCATCACCTGGAATGAATGGATCATTTAGGGGTTCAGAACCAAGACACCCACCTGGACAATAGTCTTATAGACCACAAGCCCGTAGGCCAACGGATACTCGGCCTCCTCGAGGGACATTGGTTCGCGGGAGAAGTTGAAGTACTTGTCGATCACTGTGCATCTGTGAAAGTTTAAGGATACAATGTGGAACTTTTGAGTTGAAAGTTATTTTGAGTCCTAATGCCAAAAAGGTCAAACTCACACATTGTTAGCCTGAAAAAGCTCCTGCTCGACCCAATCAAAGTGCCAATCCCATTGTTTCGCCCGTGAAATGAGCCGCTCATTCTCAGTTCCATTCACGACCGAATCACACTCCAACGGGATGTTCTCTAGCTTTTTCTTCTCTCTGAAAAGGTACAATATGTTTGGGAAAACCGAAAAACCGAAGACTCACGATATCACTCCGGAATCGGTGCAAATCAGACGGAGCACAATGTAGACTGCACACGTGGCATAGAGAATATTGCCGACATTCAGATGTTTCACATCCATGAAGAGGAGCGGAAAGTGGCAAGAAATGCGAAGCGGACGGAACACGGACACATTTCCTTTTATCTACCTTCTCGGATCTCGCTTCCCTCCGAAAAACTAGCTTCGAAGCTCGTCTCTCATCCCCACGACTGCTGCAGTTTTCGTATATGATCTTCTTGCGTTTGTTTCTGAAGAGTTATCGATTGAATCCGCGACTGGCGTTGTCGTTTCAGATTCCAAAGGGAGAAGAGAATGAGCGGAGCGAGAGAGACGCAGGCGTACGGGGGAGCCTGCAAGAATTACGGTAGTGGGGGGGTACGGTAGGTTGGAGTACTCACGTAGACCCATACAATAACATTGATGTAGACAAGTGTCGGAATGTTTTCCCGGTTTTTCCTCATCAAAAGCACCCCGCCAGAGTACATGAACATTGCGAGAAACTGCGCGATCGACAGATAACAAATCGCTATTGTCGTCTTCAGATTCTCCGAGTTGTGATAGCTTTGTTGGACGTCGAATCGAACTCTGAATGTCAAAATGTGAGAAAACTCTCGGAAAATGTCAACTGACTTTCCCTCGGCTGCTCGATTCCTCCAAACAATGAGCAAATTGATGATGATGTGAGCAACAGTCAGGCAGGAACAGTATTCCAAGTACGCATTGGCTCTAGTGCTGATGTTTGCGGACCATTGGGAACAGAACATTTGGTAGTCGTCCAGGACACTGCCCTGACGGATCCACGAGTACGAGAGAATCGAGGGAATCAGCTGGAAAGTGCACAACGTTTCCTTCTCTGACGGCATTTATGATTACATTTCGTCAAAGTACGAACTAATAAGTACAATCACATTTGCCAAAAGCTATTATTAAAGCCCATGTCCAAAGACCACTTTTCGTAATCACTCACCACGAAAAAGAGCAACAAAAAGCCCGGCAACGCCTTCAATCTGTCGTAGGCGAATGGGAAAACTGTGGCCAACAGTCTGTAACCTCGAATAGTTTGCTTTTTTCAGGTTTCCGTACTTACCTGTCAATGCTCAACGCCGATTGAATGAGCATATTGCCGGTGATTCCCGTTGCCAGCAACGTCGTCGTCGGCACGCATTCCAGCGTGGAGGCCAGAGGGTAACACGAGGTGTTGGTGTGCAGAAAGTTAAGTTGGAATATGCGGCGCTGGAAATTTTAGTTTTTGGCTTAGTTGTCACGGGCCAAACTGGGCCGGGCCTTAGGAAAATTTCCACCGGCCCCCTGTTCACAAGTACGGTTGTTGGAGCTTTCCAGGAAAGAAAGACGGGCATAACTCTGGGCAATTCTTATTATCAGATACTCCGAACCAAGACCGATGGCCTAATAAGGGACTGATTTTGAAAATGAACTGACCGGCGAGTCAAAGTAGGCCAACTCATGTACATTGGCAAAGAACAAGCTGCCAACAAGAAGAACTCGAGTGGAATCCGGAATGGTACTCTTCCTCGCGAGACCCACCACCGCCAGAATCGAGCCGACGATGGTGGCGAGGAAGAGAACCGTCTCGAAGAGGGCGTAGATCATTTGAACGGCCGACGTGTAGATTTCGACTTGAATCGATGAAGCACACGCCATCTGAGAGTTTGGAAATTGTTTATCATTAGGGACCGAGTGTGGGGGCGGTTATGGTCGAGATGAGATTGAAATAGACATGTAGATGAGGTTGGCAGCGGGTTTTCGGTTTTTTGACCAAAGAATCTATAAGCATCGGGTCTGTCAGGCAGAAGAAATTATCAGTGATCAGAGTACCTAGACAGAGAGTCAAAACGTGCTTTCATAGAAAACTGCGAACTTTGTACTTTTTTTTGGAACTCGGAACTTGGAAGTAGGAAGAGGGAATACGGAATACAGAATAAAGAAAACGCAAGACTCAAACAAAATTCCGCCCACCACTGTTCTGACCTCCTCACAGTTACGACGTCATGGCACGAAAGATGCGTCATACCCCCTAGTCTTGACCCCCTAAAAACTGATCAACAGAAACAACAAGAACGAAGCGCCAACCTTTACACAAAAATGGCGCACATACACACACACACACTCGCTTAGCAAAATCGAATTACTCGTTTGATCGCCGCAAATATGGCCATGAATATTAGAAATGAATGTGAATTCCGTGCGAGCGCCGAAAACAAAGCTCGCGTTTTGCCCGGTTGAATGAAAGCACGCGTAATTAGGGGCACGTTTCATGAGAAAACGGAGAAAAGAGAGTTTCCTATTTTGCTGCGGCGGTAACTACGATGACGGAAACGGGGGAAATCGGATTGGAAACGGGCGGATCAAAGACTGAAAAAGGGCATTTCCTCTGGGTGTTGTATGGTGCGAAAGGCTCGAGAGGGGGTCTAATGGGCGGTTTCCGAGACGCGGGGAAGTGATTTTTACAAAATGTCAGAGCAATTCGAGGCTGACGAGACAGACTAGATTCTGGTGGACGGGGTTTTGAAGGTGAAGCTCGTTGTCCGAGTTCCATCTTCCGAGAGCAGAAAAAATGGAGTGCAGTTTCTCTTCCATTTCTAAATGGAAACACTTTGGAATTCTCTTTGTCCTGTTTGACAACTGGTCACCTTCTCGGTTCTCAGAAAATTATTTTCTCACGAGACTTTGTCTGGGCTCACCGTGCTCTGAAGTCCATCCGAAATTCCGGTTCCTGTTTCCATTTGCATCCTCTTTCTGTAACATTATTGCTCATTATGTGAAAAGAGAAGTGATCAAGAGAACACGAGTGAAAAGTGATTCTAGAAGTGAATAGTACAACATCTTTTTCATGTGACTACAGCTGAAAATGTGTGTCACAGATCAAACATTGACACTAATTGCAGACAGACTACGCTACTGAGAGAAAATGAACCTGGGTCTCAGAGAATAAAAGAAAAGAGCGTTCGAGATGGAACGTGTTGATTTGGTTTCAGATCAATGAACTTGATCCCTGACTGGTCATTCTCTGGGGGATGGTACAAAGAACAGGTTAGAAGGGTTACTGTAGTTGTGAGTCTTGAGAGGAGCCAGCGGGAACGAGAATCATCCTAACGACAACGGAGAAAAGAGGCGAACGAGCGGAGCGCTGTACTGATCAACACAAGGAAATGTTGCGTTGTTATGGCCTGCTGCCAACGGGTTCTACTTGAATGCTGATTCGTTCTCGAAGCTATGCGTGGGCGCGTGGGATTCTCCCATCCGACGTTGGTGGAAGTGCGCTCCAGCGAGCTCCAGCGATCGTGATTACTTGTCGCGTGACGATCAGGCTGAATGGAGGAGCAGGAAGCGAGAGGAGAAGTCGGCGGCTTGTTCGAAAACGCTTCTGAACGTCATCAACGGGAAACACAGGTGTATTTGGACCAGCGTATTCGGGAGAACGAGAACAGAGTGAGAGGAGTGGGAGGAAGCTCGCGGCGTATGAGAACAGTCATTCTGATATTCTGTTTTTCCAGGACGAAGAAGACACTCCCTAGCGCCCCCTTGCGTTCCGTTGAAAAGCAAAGACCGGCCAGATGTTTACTTGAATTGAGGCACGAATAAAGTTATCAATAAATGCTCGTTGCACGCTCATTTCGCCCAGATCTCCTGAATCTTGCGCATGTGCTCATCGCCAGTCTCCGTCTGCGATCTCATCGCATTGATACTTCGCATTCTCTGATGTCTGATGAAGCACAAAGTCAACATGATCAACGTCGGAATGACGATACACGTGTAGGGCGTTGTCTGGAACTGTCGAAATGAGCTTTGCGTCCGATTGCGAGCAGACTTACATAAATCAAAGCCAGCGCTAATCCGTATTGTAGCGGAGTGATCGTCGGCTGAAGTTTCAGGAAGAAGTCGGTGAGTACGGTATACAAGAACATTGCGAAGAACTGGGACATGCTCAAGAAGAAGATGGCCTGCGTCGACTTCAGAGTCTCCCTCGACTGATATCGCTCGTTCACATTGAACGAATTTCTGAAACACAGAATGGTTAACCATTTACCGTAACCCGGTCGGTGCACCTTTGGCCGTCTGAAACCAACCTCTGCCGCCGGTCCTGCACCACGTTTCGGTACAGAATTACGACGTTGACGAACATATGGCCGATGGACAAATAGAAGGCGACGGTCAGGAACCGCATGAATCGCTGCACGGATTTGGGCGGAAAGTGCCGCACGTGGGCACGTAGTCAGTCAGGGGATCGTTCCAGAAGACGTACTCGTTCACGAGGTAGTTGCTGACTATCTGAAATGGATTACTGTAGTACGGTAGAGTACCATAACACTGACCACCATCACCGAGAGCACAACGCCAGGCCAATACTTGAGCCGAGGCCACAAATTCGCGAAAACCGTGGCAAGAATCCGGTCGACAGTCATCGCGGACTGTATCAGAATCATGCCACAGTTGCCCGCGACGAGCCCGAACGTCACGAGGCGGCAGTCGTACGCCTTGTAATATAATCGACACGGTTCGGAGAGTCGGAAGAAGATCTGATGGATTACTTGCACCTGAATGAGCCAGAATTCAAGAGAACGAGAAGTCGCTGGCTTGCCCGCAGGAAAATGTAGGCCGTCTGGTGGAGAGTGCAGCACATGAGACCGACAATCAGAAAGATCCGTGTGGAAGTGTTGATGATGCCCTCTGACATCAACTTTTTCGTTGCCAACATGATGAGCACGATGGATGTGATGGCGATTGCCAAATTGAAGAAAAGAGCGGCTGTGTAAGCGTGGGAGCGGTACATTTCGAGGTGTTCTTCCGATGCGCACACCGGCGATTCTGGTGTTGTCATTCTGGAAATGTAAAGGGCTTGGCGGTTAAATGACGAGTAGAAAACGTTTGGTTATGAGCAGATGTGGACAATAAACAACTAGTCTCTGAACTCGATTATCAGAATCGAATGAGCAACAAAGACCAGAATCCCTCCGGTGTATTGCACTGTGAACCCGAAAATATTTTCTAGCCGTAGTCTAAACCCCGGGGACCTTGCTCTGATTCACAAGAGCGTTTTCGTACGTTACTTCAAGGGGCCGTCAACAAGAACGCTTTGATTAATTAAACTTGAATATAGGTTTCATGTGTGTCAACTTTTACTGAGAAATGAGTCATTCATAAAGTGTTTAAAAAGTTGTCTATGTAAGTAATTGCATGTTTTTGGTCGGTTCGGTTTGCTATAATAAGATAGAGAAGAGTCTGAAAGTGAGAGTGAAAGAGTGAAAGAGAATGTTCCGGTTGGCGGAGTCATCTTCTGCTCTTGACCATTTCTGGGAGGGTCTTTGATATATTGCGGACAACAAGCGCGTCGTCGGAAATTGTTTTCCACAGAAACTTTCACAACTCATAGATCAGACGGCAAGTTTCGGAATTTCTGATATCATCAAACAAAAAGTACTAAGAGCAAACAAGAATGATATCTAAAAGTACCATAAACTGCCCGAATTATTCTCAAAAACCAGCCGGAACCGAACACCGTCGAGACCGAGCGTGGGAGCTTAAACGTATTCGACGAAATAATAACGTGTTTCCGTGATTTCGAAACGAAAACTGAAGCGAAACGAATGGAAAATGAGTAAGTAGAACCAAATGATCAGAGCTGAGCGATGGTCTACGCGAGGAAGACGAGACAAAGAAATGTTTTGAGAATGTAAGGCAAGTTTGACAAATAATGATAATTAGTTTAGTTAGTGCATGCACACACACACAACAAATACATTTCTTTTGCAACTCGGCAAACGCGGAGACCGATGAAACTTGAATATACCGAATACGGCGAAGCAGCACGATGACGTACAAATAATGGAAAACCGAAAAGGTTTTCCCACGATTTTTTTTGGTTGAAAATCAGTCACTGAAGTCTAGTTTCGTACCGAAACGAGGTGAAAATTCAGAAGATTAGAGAAGTCCCAAGAGACGGGGACCGGAATAGACTGGAATATGTGTCATGTGTCGAATCGATTTATTTTTGTTATTAAGTATTTAAAAGTGCAGATAATAATTTCCATATTGAAAGTTTCAAAATTACAGAGTACATGTTACTACCATACGTCAAGTTAACAATCAAATTTTACAAGTGAATATAATAGTTATTAGGGCGATGATTTTGATGATTTAATTTTGTCCTGCTCTTTCATTTGCAGCGACGCGTCCGTCAGAAGCTGATAGATTCGCGATTCGATTCGGTTACGGTTTAATGGATTCGGATTCGGTTTCACCCTCACTTCCTCACGTCTTCTCGGTTCTTTCGGCAATGCGACGGCCGCCGATCTCGGATCGAAAGGCATCTTGACGCGGACGTTTTTCGGCGTTTCCTCAATTGGTTTCGCGGATTTTTTTGTCGCGCGCCGAGCCTTCCCCTTCTGCAGTTTTTCTTCTTTCTTCACCAATTGAATCGAAGCCTGAAAATGAGAACTATTGAGCTTAAAAACAGTCCAAGACAGTTAATTACTTCAGCCGGTGCTTGCGGGATGTTATCGTGCGCCGCAGAGCATTCAGAAAGCTTTGAAACTTTCGGAGAAGTCGGCCCATGCGAATTGGGCGTCGGCGCAGCCGTTTCTTCGATGTTCCGGCGCTTTCCTACTGTTCTTCGGTCACTCTCCATCACTGACTCCATGTTGGATGCGGATAATTTGATCGAGATTCGCTGACAATTTTCCTCTTCAGTGAGCATTTTCTGTTCTTTCTGGAAAGAAAACATTTTTTCAAGATCTCGAAATTTGCAAATCTTACCTCAAGCATGTCTTCGTCGGCGTTGGAATACTGTGGCGTGCTGCAAGCTGGCGATGATTCTTCGTCCGTAGAGCATGCAGTATCGCTGCTGGCTTTCTCAGTTTTCTGGAAGAAAAACGCATTGGAAACTTCGCATTCAGCAGATAGAAACTGACCACAAGCGCCGGAGTGACTGCCGACTCGCCTAAATCAATGAGCTCATCGGAGCAGAGAGTCGGAGGGACGAAGCACTTGGTCATTTCCGCGTTCTCTTCGTCATCTTCGTGTTCGGAGACATCAGACATCGCCAGATCGTCGGCCACATTGTACTCCACACACAATTCGGGAACTTCAGCCAATTCGGGATGAACGTGCTTCTCTCTGCGGTTTTCTTTCTCGTTTTCGTCGTCAGAATTGTCAGCAGAGCTGGGTTCCGAAATGGAGAAGTTCCGGCTGATCGGGCTGATATCGAGAAGATTCTGCTGAGATTCTGGCGGCTCCGGCAATTTCCGCGTTTCCTGGTCTGATGCTTGATCGATGACGACATGCACTTTCTTCGCTCTCTTTCTGTACACCTTCTTGGGTTGTACTGGAGCCGGCGGCAGAGAAATCACCCGTTTCTGGACGGGGTACAGCGGGAGTCTCTTTCTCTCTCGCAATCTCTCCTCTTCCTCGAACAGCTTCTCATTGTACCTCGTCACTTTTTCGTGATTCCTTCGCATCGCTTCCTGCTCCTCCCTCTCGCGAACTCCTTTCATGTAAAGGAAGTGCTCTCGCTGCCGCATCCGAATCTCGTCGTCCTTCCGTTTCCATTCCTCGATCGCTTTTCTCTCCTGCTCCTTTCGGATCGCTCCCTTTTCTTGTGCTGTTGTCTCGGCAGGAACCATGAAGAAGTGCTTGTAAACCGGCTCTTCGATCTCCGAATCGTCCTCGAGAATGCCGGCGACCGCGTTCTCCGTCTCCATTTGCAGCGCCTCTTGCGTCCACGACGGATGCCTGAGCACTGTGGCAGCCGTGGGTCGCGAGAAACACGACGGCTGGCTGGTGATCTTTTCCTCGGCCACCGCCTCCTTCTTCTGGATGCTCAGCACCGTGCGCATCGCCACGTTCTCCATCTTAGAACCGGCGGCCATTGCTTCTTTGGCCTTTTGCTGCCTCCTTCTTCTGCTCGCTGCGGCTTTGGCGGAAGCGACTGCTGCCTTGACGAGCTGATCAGCGTTCATATTATCTGCAACGAATTCAGGTAACTTTCAGCGGTGGACGAGCGAAGGAAGCGGAAGGAAACGAACATTTTGGAGAACGATATTCAAATTTTCGAGCAAAGAGCGTGCAAACGCGGCAATAATTGGCGCTACAACGGAACAGAACTCGCACGAAATAGAACTGTAGCGATTTAGAACTCGCAACGTTAAAATATAACTGCGAGTTCCAAATCGTAACAGTTCTATTCCGTGCGAGTTCTGTTCCGCTGTTAGCGCCCATTATTGATCTACAGCGCGCGCGCGCTCGCGGCACGCCGCGGAAATCAATTTTATAAATTCGATAGAGGTTTGATCACTGGCACGGCCCAGCATAATACGAGTTTTACTACAGACAGTCGAGAGCAGAGCAAACTAGACAAACGGCTGTGAAGGAAACTGCGAATAATGACTGAGAACGTCAAGTGGTCCGAAGGGGGTCGCCTTCGAAGGCGGAGATTTCGGTTGCGCGCCGCTGCGTACTCTGTTGCACCTGGGTTGTAGCAAAGAGCACAGTGTCCCCTATCTGTCCTCCTATCTTCACCCCAGGAGGAAACTTAGTTTTAGGGGCCGCGCAAGAAGACGTAGAGAGGTACGGGGCGGCGAACATCGTTTGAATTTCCCGCCCGTATTTTGTGAGTGCGCAGTTGAAAGAGTACAGTTTGCGATACGGAGCGATGAAAACATGGATGAGCATGTACAAAAAACGCATGTCCTGCGCTTCGTCGGGGCGTTGATTTCTTAAAAAGGTACTTCCAGGTTTCAAGATATCGAAACAGTTCGATAGAGGAATCATAGTTGATAGTTGAATCTGAACATCAACTTTTAGGAACTCGATCAGTTTGTCACTGAAAATTGAAATTTAGGGTGTTTCTGATTCATTTTATAGGTCGAAGAAATGCAGAGCGAAAACGAATCATCATGGGAATCGTAAAACGTTCCTGGGAACCGAGCCACAGTTTCATGCTACGGTCTTCGTAATCTGAAACTCGAGAAAACCTAATCGAATAATGTTTTTGCTCGTTGATCGAAGCTTACGAGGTCTGCGACTAAAAATTAGCATTGACACCACTAATATCAGTGGTTGAAGCGCTAAAAGTTCCACAAGGTTGTAGAACTTCATCTGCGTAGATACCTTCAACTGAAAATGAATTGTAATTTTTGTGCTTTGCAACTTTGTAGTTCATCATTTTATTCTAAAACCCCTCAGGCAAATCGTTTCTAATCTAACTAGCTAATTCTCGTTTCTAACCGGACCTAGTTAGATTGCTACCGATTTCTGAATCTAGCTAGCTGATTTTGCAATCTAAACATAATCTAGCTAGGTTTGCCCGAAATTTTAATCTAATTAGATAAATTTTGAATCCAATATCAGTGTTTTTGCAATCTAATTAAAAAATTTATCAGTCCAGTTAGAAGAATTTGCAATCTAATCGCAGTAAATTAGCAATCTAATTAGGTCCGGTTAGAAACGCGAATTAGCTAGCTAGATTACAAACGATTTACCTGAGCCGTCATTCTTCTCTTCTCGGTAATGACGATTGCGGCAATTAGCCGGTGTGCACTCGTTCGCACCTGGGGTGGAACAAAGAGTGCAATGTCAGTCGCATCTCTGCTTCCCTTCATCCCAACAGGGGGACGTCCGAGGCATATAGACGAGTATTGTATCTAGAAACCTCAGTCTCACAAGCAGGCAAGATATTCTTGTTTATTCGGAAAGAAACGGTTCTCATTCCTGAAAATGACCAAATTCCTCCGATGCTTTTTTCCGTACGCCAAGAAATCGCCCGAAGACGATCCGAAGAATCAGGCGTTCCTGTGCGAATCCTCGACGAGCTCCTCCATTTGCGAGCTCTCCTATCACCACGTGGATGCGGTCAATCATCAGGCTCTACAGAAGAAAATCAAAAAGTTGGAAGCGGAAAAGGCAGCACTCGTCGAGAAGATGAGCATGGAGCATGAGAGCTATAAAGCTAGTTGTGGAAAGAAGAAGAAGGTATCTGAATATGAATACGAAGTAATCAGCGAGACGACGAAGAGCCACATCTACTACGAAATTGACGAGAAGCGCTTCCAGCAGAGAATCAAGGAACGTCGGCAGAATGATTCCAATTCATACATGACTATTTATTGATTTCGATTTTACATTTTTCCTTACAAGAAGTTCACAATAAAACGTTTATACACTTTGTTCTCTTCTCTCCATTTTCTTTATCATCACTTGTCCGAAGCAGAGATCATATTTGGAACTTTTGAACTGCGCCGCCTGTATCTAAGAGGGCATAAACACATCACTATTTTGAAGTGAATCACATGTTGTTCAACTTTTTCTGTACTTTAAAAAGTTTACTCTTATTAAAAATTACGTGTTTCTTGTCTTACTTAGATAATGAACCAGAATCAAAGTACGTTAAAAAGTCCTTATCAAATGGCGCCATTTTGTGGTTATCTTTATAAGACTCCGCCCCTTTTTCTCTATTAACCTTATCAGCGACAGTCTGCATTCATTTTTGTCCGTTGCCACCTTTTTCTTCTCGCCTTCCTTTTCTTCAATTATTTTTCATTGAAGCCCAAGCGATAGATCGTTCTGATTCCTCTGCCCATTCACGTGTTGTTCTCCTCGCAGACTGACCGAATTCCGCGCGCTCTCCTGTCCATTTGATAACAGAGACGACGATGGAAACCCCCGGTTTTTATCGAAACAGCCATCAAACAGGGGGCGGGAGGGGGAAGAGATGGAAAAGATTGTGATTCGCGATTTGCCACGTCCTCTCTCGCGGCCCGTTCTTTGTTCGTAAATTTTGGGCGAACGCTTTTTGGAGACTTATTTTGCCGCGTTAATTTTTTCGAATTTCAATGCGTATCGCATGAAAATAATCCTTAAGATCTGGAGACTCTAATCATCTTTTTTTCTTCTAAAAAATTGTGTTTTTTGTCTGAAAATCGTCACAAAAAAGGCTGCTTATGTGGCGAAAGTTCGACCCTCGGCCGTGTACTACACGTGGAGTATGCAAATTAGTTTCACCTTTTGCCTAAAAACTTAAATTATCACTCGAAAAATAGCTTCTTTTGTAAACTTTTTTTGTTTATCGTCATAAATCGAAGTTTTTTACCTATTAATCCAAACTATTTTTCCAGAAAATGACTCGTAGTAGTCTTTTCGAAGAGTTGGCAGCGATCGCCAAAGAACGAATCATGATCATCGACGGAGCGATGGGAACGATGATTCAGAGAGAGTATATGGAGGAGCACGACTTCCGCGGAGAGGTAATTCATTGATTTGTAAACTAATTAAAACCAGTTTTTATCGAATAACATCAAAAACTTAACGTGGCACGTGATAAGAAGTACGGGACAGAGAACAGTTCACTTATTGATGTTATCAGAAAGTGGTCAAATACCAGAGAATGAATGAGAATTGCAGATTCTGAAAGATCACGACAAACCACTGAAGGGAAACAACGATTTGCTCTCGATCACCCGTCCGGACATCATCTACAAGATCCACAAGCTTTATCTGGAAGCGGGAGCCGACTTCATCGAGACGAATACTTTCTCGGGAACAACCATTGCTCAATCAGACTATCGTTGCGAGCATCTCGTGCATGAAATCAACTTCCAATCGGCTCAAGTCGCCAGGAAAGCAGCTGAAGATGTGGGAAAGCTACAGGTACGGAAAAAAGTGTTTCTCTAGTTCAGAAGTTGAATTGTTTCTCCCACCCAGGTAGACGTCGTTATGTGTGCGGAGCGATCGGGCCCACTAACAGAACGCTTTCAATTTCGCCGTCAGTTGAGAAACCCGACTTTAGGAACGTCAGTGAGTATCTTTTCACGAATTCTAAAGCGAATTGTACTGTTTGCAGCCTTCCAAGAACTGGTGAAGGCGTACGGAGACCAGGCGCGCTCGCTTCTGCAAGGAGGAGCCGACGTGCTTCTCGTGGAGACCGTCTTCGATTCGGCCAACGCGAAAGCCGCCCTCTTCGCCATCCGAACTCTTTTCGAGGATGAAGGCGTGCCAGAAGTGCCCGTTTTCCTCTCCGGCACCATCGTCGACATGTCCGGTCGAACACTGTCCGGACAGACAGGTGAAGCGTTCCTTGTCTCCACGAGACAGGGACATCCGATGGCCGTCGGGTTGAATTGTGCGCTCGGAGCCAAGGACATGCGACAGTTTGTGGAGAATATGTCCACGTGGTCCGACACTCTTATCTTGTGTTATCCGAACGCAGGTCTCCCGAATGCTCTTGGAGGATACGACGAAACGCCGGAGGAAATGGCCGCTGTGCTCAGCGAGTTCGCCCGTGACGGTCTCGTCAACATCATCGGTGGCTGCTGCGGAACCACGCCGACTCACATCAAGGCGATGTACGATGCAGTGCAAGGCATTTCCCCGCGTGTCCCTCCGTCAGACCCGCACGCCGGAAAAATGCTGCTCTCCGGCCTGGAACCCTCTGTCGTGGGCCCTGAGACCAACTTCGTGAACATTGGAGAGCGTTGCAACGTGGCCGGATCTCGCCGTTTCTGCAATCTCATCAAAAACGAAAACTACGACGCGGCAATCGACGTGGCACGAGTTCAGGTGGACTCTGGAGCACAAATCCTCGACGTCAACATGGATGACGGTCTTCTAGACGGTCCCTATGCGATGGCAAAGTTCCTGAGACTCATATCGTCCGAGCCCGACGTCGCCAAGATCCCAGTGTGCATCGACTCGTCCGACTTTAACGTCATCATCGCGGGTCTCGAAGCGACGCAAGGAAAGTGCGTGGTCAATTCGATTTCACTGAAAGAAGGAGAGGAAAAGTTCAAAGAAAGAGCGAGAATTGTGAAGAGATACGGAGCGGCGGTGGTGGTGATGGCGTTCGACGAGGAAGGACAGGCCGCAGAGACGGATCGGAAGTACGAGATTTGCGAGCGATCATATCGCATTCTGACCGAAGAAGTCGGCTTCGACCCGAACGACATTATCTTCGACGCCAACATTCTCACAATCGCCACCGGAATGGAAGAGCACGCGAACTACGGAATGTACTTCATCGAGACAGCCCGAATGATTCGCGAGAACCTTCCGGGCGCGCACGTCTCCGGCGGAGTCTCCAACATCTCCTTCTCATTCCGTGGAATGGAAGCTATTCGCGAGGCGATGCACTCCGTCTTCCTCTTCTACGCAATCAAAGCCGGCATGGACATGGGAATCGTGAACGCGGGCGCGCTTCCGCTCTACGAAGACATCGACAAGGCTCTGCTTCATCTCCTCGAGGATCTTCTGTTCAATCGGGATCCAGAGGCGACGGAGAAACTACTGGTGGCGGCGCAGGAAATGAAGAAAGACGGGAAGAAGAGCGACCAGAAGACGGACGAGTGGAGGGAGACGACTGTGGAGGAGCGGTTGAAGTACGCGCTCGTCAAGGGAATCGATCAGTTCGTGGTTGCGGATACGGAAGAAGCGAGGCAGAATACCACCAGATATCCCAGGTAATATTTATTCTACGGACAGGCAGAGGCGAAAAATTTGGCCATGTCGTTGTGATACATCTTGTGTTTGGTGACGACGACGAGAATGTCGTGCGCGAAAACCGCTTTGCACTTCGGAAGAGCCTCGATTATTTTGATTAGCTGAATGGACGATTAGGAAAATATATTGTAGACTTTGAATCCACCTCCTCAGTCTGCTGATCGAAATCGTCGACAGCCAACTGGTAGCAGATTGCCTTCTTCTCGATGGCAGTCGTCGTTTTCGCGGCACGCACGTCCGCCTTCGCTTGATCCATTTTCCGGCGAGAACTACAAATGTTGACGGTAGATCTAGATCCCGCGAAAAACGCACTCATCGAACTTTTTCTTCTGCTCGGCGAACCCCTCGTAGTTGTGCTCGTGAAAGCGCTTCAAGTGGCGCAGTTGGTAGCTCTGAATGGCCTGATGGCTCTTCCGCGAGGCACTGGCTGCCCGCAGAGTGTTCGCGAATCCGTCGATCTGAGCAGAGTAGCTGGGCGGCACGAGCGCCTTAAATTCGCTGAGCGCCTGGGCCACCCGACAGAACGAGTCCTCCTCGTTCTTTTTCGATCCGAACGGAATGAACATGTTCTCGGTGTACTGAATGCACTTTGTCACCGCCTCATCGTAATCGCTGTAGTGCTTTACGTCCTAGAATTGTGGGTGGTCTTCAGAAGTTTCAAGGTATGTGCTCTTACCGCCAAAAACTCAGGCGTCATCTCGGTCTCGTCTGCGCACTTTTTGTTCACATTAAACACGAATTTGAAGAAGCGTTTTCCCTCGTTTGGATCCTTCTGCTCCTCCTGTTTCGGATCATTCCCGGCGCTTCCTTCCGATGCCATCTCTAATCGTTTTCGCCGATTGGAAAAATAAACTTTGAAATGGTTGAGAATTGAGAAAAACCGGTAGCGAATTTATGGATGACAAAAAGGGCGGCGTTTAGAAAATCGGGAATATCACGTCACGTCGCTGTCACGTTTGGACGGAAATTTGATTTTCAGACCGCTCAACGTCATCGAACGACCGTTGATGGACGGAATGGCGGTGGTCGGCGAGCTGTTCGGAGCCGGAAAAATGTTCCTTCCGCAAGTGATCAAATCGGCAAGAGTGATGAAGAAGGCCGTGGCCCACCTCCTCCCGTTCATGGACGCCGAACGACAAGCGAACATTGAGAAAATGGGACTATCGGAGGAGGAGAGTCCGTACCAGGGCACCGTGGTGATTGCCACCGTCAAAGGAGATGTTCACGACATCGGAAAGAACATCGTGGCCGTCGTGCTCGGCTGCAACAACTTCAAAGTGGTAGATTTGGGAGTGATGACTCCGTGCGAGACTATTATCAAGGCAGCGATCGAGGAGAAGGCCGACTTCATCGGGCTCTCCGGACTGATCACTCCGTCGTTGGACGAGATGGTGCACGTGGCGAAGGAGATGAACCGAGTGGGACTCAAGATTCCTCTTCTCATCGGAGGAGCGACGACGTCGAAAACGCACACGGCAGTCAAGATTGCTCCGAGATATCCACACCCGGTTGTGCACTGTCTCGACGCCTCCAAGTCCGTCGTCGTCTGCTCGTCACTCTCCGATTTGACAGTCCGTGACGCGTTCTTGCAGGACTTGGACGAGGATTATGAAGAAGTATGTCGCGATCTTCAATCTTGACTTGTTTTAAAAGTATTTTCCAGGTTCGTCAAGAACACTACGAATCCCTGAAAGATCGCCGTTTCACAGCTCTTGAGAAGACGAGAGAGAAGAAGTTCAAGATTGACTGGAACAAGTTCTCGCCCGTCAAGCCGTCGTTCCTCGGTCGTCGCGAATTCCAAGACTTTGACCTGAACGAACTGGTCCCGTACATTGACTGGAAGCCCTTTTTCGATGTCTGGCAACTGAGAGGCAAGTATCCGAATCGCAGCTATCCGAAGATCTTCAACGATGCCGACGTTGGAGCGGAAGCGAAGAAAGTGTTCGATGTAAGTGACACTTTACATTTCGTACTATTATGCTCTTATTTTTCTAGGACGCGAAAGTTTGGCTGAGGAAGCTGATCGACGAGAAGATCCTCGTAGCGAACGCCGTCATCTCTTTCCTTCCCGCCTCTTCCGACGGCGACGACATGCACGTTTACGACCCAGAGACTGGCAACAAATTGGAGACCTTCTACGGACTGCGACAGCAATCCGGAAGAGAGCACGACCAGTCACACTTCTGCCTCTCTGATTTCATTCGGCCATTGAACAACGGTAAGATTCCCTCGACTTTCTTCCATTAATTTTTTTTCTTAAATCAAAAAGTTGCAGGCGTTCCTGACGATTACCTGGGTCTGTTCGCGTGCACCGCCGGTCTCGGAGCGGAGGAATATTGCAAAACGCTCGAGAAAAACCACGACGACTACGCGTCAATCATGGTGAAAGCGCTCGCGGATCGTCTCGCGGAAGCGTACGCGGAGTACCTGCACAAAGAAGTTCGAACTACGCTCTGGGGATATTCGACGAACGAGCGGCTGACCGAATCCGACCTGCTCTCGATCAAATACGAGGGAATCCGTCCGGCGTGCGGATATCCGTCGCAGCCGGATCACACCGAAAAAGTGGCACTTTGGAAGCTGCTGGAGGCCGATAAGGCCGGAATTGTGCTCACGGAGCACTTGGCCATGCTGCCAGCCGCCTCGGTCTCCGGACTTTACTTTGCCAATCCGGAGAGTCAGTATTTTGCAGTCGGAAAGATTGATGAAGATCAGGTGAGAATTGAGAAAAGAACATGGAATGTACAGTAATTCTCTTCTAGGTGACCGACTACGCCACCAGAAAGAAGGTGCCAAAGGCAGAAGTGGAACGATGGCTCTCGCCGATCATTGGCTACGAACTGGACTGAAATTGAGATGACTATAAAGCACAAAGCTAAAAGCTGAAAGCCACGCCCGCCGCCAATACGTATTATTTCTGTGTTAACTCTTGAATTTCTGCCAGGGATTATAATTTATTAGAGTAGATTACAAATATATATACTTGATTAATTTCGCTTCAGATTCAATAAAATTGCCCCATTTTTCTCATGCAAATTCTTAGATTTTCGGCTTCTGTTCACTTCCCAAAGCTCCCAAAAAAGAGAATTTGGAGCGACGTCAAAGTGATGTATCACCTCTTCTATTATTTCCTCGCCATCTCCGGACCGCCCATCCCCATCCATCCGCTCTTTTTCCCCTGCTTTCTCTTTTTTCCACCATCTGCCAAGGTCACAGTGGAGAGCAGAATGTATGCGAAATCTTGAGCTACTTTTGCTAAGAACTCTAAATAGAAAACGAGGTTCTGAACCGTTTTTCTTAGGTGAATCATATTCATCAGATTGACTCATTTCTCATGACTCATGATCTTTAAATCGATTGAAATCTTCTCGAGTGAAGCTTGAGAAATTTACGAAACAGCTAGTTTTTTGAATGATTTGAGCTGTTTTGTATATTTGCGTAGAAAGGTTTTCACTTTATTGTGTACATTTTATTAAGGGACAAGTCTTCAATATCTCTTCTAACAGCTGCGATATATCGCTCTGAATGAATCCGTTCTATACGATGTTTTCAAGAAAAATGCGTGTCAAAGTGAATTGTTCATTCACATTCACCCCTTTCTTATTATTTTCCTCAACTTCTTTTTTTCGTTCCAATCACTCCGGAATCCATAAACTCCTTCGCGTGCAACTTTATTCGCATTCTCCAATCGCTCTTCTTGTTCGCTCGAGCCAAAGTGAGCCAATTGTGCCACGTAAAGAAGCCGAAGAAACGAAAACGAAGAGCTCTCGAAGAAAGCTGACTATTCGCTTCTCCCCCACGGAATTTTATCTCCGATTTCTCATTCCCATATTATCGCTCTTTTTATTTGCATGGGAATCTGATTCTCTGAAATTTCAGAGAAGTTTCAGAACTTTCGGTCGCAATGTTCGACGAGCAACTATTTGAGAGACTTTTGAACAATGTCAGAGCAAATCAAGATGTAAGTGTTTTGGAATTGGTTGCAAAACGGCAGCGGAATGCTGAGCAACAAAATTTGTCAAAACTTTCACGGATTTTAAAGCTTTTCTTGCAGATTTCCTCCTCTCTTCGCTCGCTGAAACACATGGACATTCCGCGGTCGTATTCCGAGAACTCCGATCTGATCGCCCAGTCGGAGCGGCTCCTTCACACCCCTTCACACTGGCTGCTCGCGATGAAAGTGATCAGAAAGATGGAGGTCCGCGAGCCGCCGCGTCCGGATGAAATGTACGCGCCAAAGTTGAGAGAATCCGATGAGATGAGGCAGATTTGGAGAGATTCGAGGCTGCGGCGGATCGAAGACGACGAGTATTTGAAGGATTACGGTAGGCGGAGAGCCGAGGACGAGAGGATGGAAAAGTGGTGGAAAGGGGCGAAGGGGAAGGTTGGTGGATTGGGAAAGAGAAGGAAATGAGTGCGATTTCAGTTGGATGTCAACGGGAACGCCTTCTTCTTTTTCAACAAACGGGGCACTCGCGGAGCAAAATCGAACAGGACAAAGGCGGCGAAAAAGAAGAAAAAGATGAAGAAAAGGAGAGAGGAGCAGGAGAAGAAGAAACAATTCAGTAGGAAGAAAAGGAAGAACTAGTTCCTTTCCAGTCCCGTGTAAAAATGTACACTTTCAATTCATGAAACTATTCATTTGCCCGATAGAAATAAAATAAAATACGAGTGAGAAGCAAGTAGATGGGAGCAAATATTCATCAGAAAGTGCATGCGTAAATGAGTTCCCAATGGCACAATCATGGTACAGTCTTAGGTGCTCAAAGGGACGGGATGGAGCCGAGTGTACGAAGAAACAGGTGTCGGAATGAGGGGATGAGATCAATTGAATACAGGGGAATTGTGAGAAGCGGATGAGGTAAAACAGATCTATTGATGCTGGCAGTTCGAGCGGTTCTTGTTCTTCGACGGCGTCTCCGGCACCATTCTCGACTGCTCAGCAGAGTCATCCGGATGAAGGGCAGTTGTCGAAGAGACGCCGATAGCAGTAGCGTCCAGAGATTGGTTGATCCGGGCGGTTTCGTTGAGCTTCTGCTTCCGGATCGACGTGTTCTGTGGGAACGCGTCGTGCGCATCCTCAAACCCGTCCTCCTTCTCCGGCTGCTCCAGATGCGAACTTTCGCGACTGATCGGCTTTATTCTGAAGATATGAAAAGTTATCACTGGAAACTCGTAAACTAAAACTGACCCGAGTCTCGCTTGCTGCAAGAGTCCCATGGTCCGTGGCGGAGACTCGACGCCCTTCATCTTCCTGATCTCCTCCTGCAGCGCGTAGATCTTGTCCTTGTACTCCTTCTCGTCGTCGTCGAACTCGTCGCACACCTTCTCGAGACGCTCGATCTCCGTTGAATTCCGCTGCAACTCCTCCTCGAGCTGTTTGATCCGAGCCCGGGCCTCCTCCAACTCGGTCGCCTGCCCGTCCACCTCTTCTCTCATCAGTGTCACGTCGTGCTGTGCCGTCGCCTCCACTTCGATAACTCGCTGATTGGAGGCTTCCAGTTGGGCCTTCATGTCCCTCAACTGCTTATGCATCTCTTCGAACGAACGGGAGAAGCCATTCAGAAGCTGCGCCTGCTGTCTCCACTCGTCCGCTTCCTTTTCGCTGTGCTCCAGCTGCTGCTGCATCGCCTCGATGCGACTCTCCAGTGTCACGACGGAATTCTCCTTCTGACTGAGAGCCTCCTCGGCGACTTGCAGCTTTTCGTGGAGCTCTTCCAGGGAAGCGCGTTGCTCCTCGAGTTGTTTTTGCACTTCTGTCTGGATTGTGGCGTTAGAGAGTTCCTTTTCGAGTGAAGAAACCTGAAAACAATACGTTTGCGTTGAAAATGAGTAAGCGAGTGCGTACCTTCTCATTGGCCTTCTCGGCTTCGTCTCTCCACTGATCCGACTTCTTGGCGAGTACGTCGGATGCCAGCGTCAATTCCTCGAGCCGCGACGTCTTCTCTCCGAGAGCCTCTTGCACATCACCCAATTCCTTTTGGGTGCTGCTGATCGAGGCTTCCAATTCGACGATGCGGTCGTTGAGTGCCTGCAGATTGTGCGAGTCAGACTCGACGTCAGCCAGCTCTTTCTGCAACTCAGCGATTGTCTCTTGATAAGAGATCAGCTGGGAAGCATCCGAGGCTTGTTTTTGCTCCAGCTGAGCCTTTCTCGCGTCAAACTGAGTCTTCGCCGCCTCGAGCTCTTCTTGCAGCTCCTTTCGGATCGTCTCGTTGGTCTTCTGGAGTTCCTCGATTTGCATCTGAGCCGAATCCATGCCAGTCAGGAGTTTCAGAGCATTCTCCTGAATTGCATCCAGTTTCTCTTGATGGATCGACTCGAGCTCTTGCGTCTTCAGATAGTAATGCTCCTGAATCTCATGGGCCTCGCGTTCCTTTTCTTGCTGTGCGGTATCAAGGAGAGCTGTGAGCTCGGAGATCTTCTGCCGACATCCTTCCAGTTCCTCTTCACGCCTCTTCTCGATCTCGACAGTGGCTTGCTCTGCGTCCTTTCCAGTAACCTCCAATTCTTCGATCCTCTTCTTCGCAGCCTCCACGTCACTCTCGAGTTTCCGATTGTTGGCATGGACTGTCTCCAGTTGCTTCTGATGGATTGTTTCGAGCTGCTGGATCTTCAATTCACTGGCCTCCTGGATCTCCTTAACTCCGAATTCGCTCTGCTTCTTGGCGGTTTCGAGAAGAGTAGTGAGCTCAGAAATCTTTTGCTGATAGACTTCCAGTTCCTCTTCACGATTCCTCATAATTTCCACAGTGGCTTGTTCGGCGTCCTTTCGAGTCACTTGCAGCTCAGTCTCCAGTGCGGCAACCTTATCAAGAGCGGTCGTTAATTGAATGCGCACCGAGTCGAGTGTCGAATGATGCGTGAGCGCATCTTTCTCCGCTTCGGCCTCCACCTGCTGCATCTTGTCTGCGTGTCTCTTTTGCAGTTCCTCCGTCTCCTCCGTGTGCTTTTGGATCGTTGCGGTCAGTTCTGCGTTGGCAGCATCGGCCAGAGCAGCGAGCTCTTGGATGCGAGCTTCCGACGATTCCAACGCCTTCTGCAGCTCCTCGTTAGCGGCCGTCTGTTGTTGTTGCTGACGCACGGCCTCCAACTGCGATTCTAGTTCTTGGATTTCGGAGATCATCATCTTTCTCTGATCCTCCAACTCTTCCTTGAGCTCAGCCACCCGAACATCGTCCTGTACGTCTGCTGATGCGGCACGAAGATTTTGGATCTAGAAAGTTGAGTGGTTTGGTTGGAAACACATTATATTCCGATTCTATAGTACCTCCGCTTGGAGCTCCTCAATCCTAGCGACCGATCTTTGTTGCTCTTCGACGCGTTCCGATTCCACATTCTCCAACTTTTGAGCAGCGCTCGTCAGCTGATCCTGCATCTCACGGATTTTTTCAGAGGCCGACGCAACTTCCAACTGGACACTCTCAAGATTTTCAGAGAGCTCTGCGATTCTTTGAGCATCCACTGCAAATTTGGCGCCGAGCCCTTCGATCTCCTGCTCGTGGTCCTCCTTCAAGGTCTTCATTTCAGTTTCCGATGTGACGATTCTCTCCTCGGCAGTCGACAACTGTGCCTCGACTTCCGAAATGTGATGGGATCCCTTCTCAAGGTCCTGCTGGAGTCCGTCGATTCGGGAGAGAACATTAGAGGTGGCTCTCGCAGATTCAGCAACTTGGGCCATCTCCTCGCGGAGAGTGAGAAGCTGAAAATGTGTACGTGAAAATGCTGACATTCCAGGAATTGACTACCTGCTGCTCGTGCTCAAAATCCCTTTCGGCTTTTTCTTCCTCGTACGCGGAAATCTTCTGAAGGGCTTCGGCAAGCTGCTTCTCGAGATCGTTGGCCTTCGCGAACGACGACTCGGCGATTGCCTCCAACTGCTCCGTCTCCTCTGCGAGCTCCTCCTCCGCGCTGTGTGCTTCTTTCATCATCTCTAGAGCCGATTTGAGCTGCACTTCCAACTCGGGAACTCTGCCAGCTTCCGCTGTCAAGCTCTCGATCGTGGCGCGAGCCTTCTGGAGTTCCTCCGTCAGCGCAATCTGTTCGTTCTGGATCTGCTGGCACTTGTCCTTGTATGCGCTCATTCCGGACTGCATCTCGTCGACCTTCAGAGCCTTCACAGTGAGCACTTCGACATGCGCGGTGAGCTCAACCAGCTGCTCCTTCAGCTCCTCTTCTTTGCAGTTGTCTGGAATGGCCTCCGCCTCTCCGCCGCGTTCGAGTTTAGCCTGAAAAGTACAGTTAACCTTTTCCTACGCATTCCAGAGTTTTCCATTACCTTCAGCTCCTCGATCTCCTGCTCCAGCTGCTTTTCTCTTTCCTTGGCGGCAGTTCTGTCGGCTTTCGCCTTTGTGGAGACGGCCTCGGTCTGCTGCATCAACGCCTTCTCCTCGAATATTCTCGCTTCGTTGATATCGCGGAGTTCATTCTGGAGCTTCGTCACCTCTAACTTCAGGTTTTCCACTTCCACATTGTGCTCAACTTTCTGCTCCAGTACGATGAACTCGCAGAGACTTTCGTCGACCTGCGGTTTCGGTCGGAACAACGGGGAAGTGGTGACGGAAGACACGGTGCTCTGCAGATGCGATACGATCGCCGTCGGAGCTGTCGGTGTGCTCGGGCTTGTTGCGAAGTTTGGAGGCGGGCTCAGAGCTTTCGGAGTGCCTTCTCCATCCGCAATTGACACCTTCTCGTCGAAAGTGTCGGCCAAAGTGACATTGGTTTCGTCGGCCAGAGTGTGATCGGTCTCATCGGCCTCCTCCACCATGCTCAAGTCCTTGCTGACGTTCGGAGCACTCGAAGTGCTCTCATCCATGAGCGTCGTCTGCTCCAGATTCGGATCGACGCATCCGGACCAGTCCGCGGTGGTGTTTTGAGTCGAATTCGAATCGGCAAACGTGGTGGAGCGCGGTTCGATGTACGTTTCCTCCAAATTCTCATCGACGACGCTGGAGTTCAGGAGAGGCGACGGCCCGAACGGGCGTTTCGGCTCTTTTCCCAGCCGCGATTTGGGCGTGGCGGCGGTGAACGGCGATTGCGTCTGCTGACGCTTCTGAAACCAGCTAGTTACATTTTTGAGCATAAAACTGGTGTTTACCTTGCCAAGCAGCGAGTTTTCGTCGCTTTGGCTTTTTTGTGCGCTGTTATCCATGCTTGGTGGAAATTGACTGCAAACAAAATGAACTGATAATACAAGAAAACACTTCGAAAAGTGTCAAAAGGTCAAAAAGGGCCGAGGAAACGAGGGCGAAAACGTGGCGGAAGTGAGAGAATGGCGCCCCGACTTTGCGGCCGCAGTTTGAATCACAGTGTTTCCCGCCTTCGCGGGCTAGTTCGATGGAGCGTATTTGCACCACTCCCCCCGCTTTCAACTCAAGGTCTTTAAAAATTCACTTTAGAATGAAGAAGATAACGTAGATGGGTTAGATTTGCGCTGAATGACTTCTTCTTTAAATCAGAATCTCAGAGAAGCACCCTGACAAACAGCAAATTTTAAAAAAGAGGAGTTAAAAATGTATAAGAAAGCACAGTACGATATTTTGACAAACCGTAGTCCTGCCGTGAACTTTCCGTGAGTGTTCTTATCAAGATGTGCTTGTTTTTGTTGTTATCTTTGAAAAGAGAGTTCATATTCCTAACAATATTCGTGCGTAATGACGGGCGAAGACGTTCAAAAGGAGGGTCAGAAAGACAAATCGAAGAAAACGGACACGGACGAGGAGTCGGAAGCCTCGAAAGTGCCAATCACCATTGATCCGGAGGTACTTAGAAATAGAGAAATTATCTGAAATCGTTCAAACTCCAGGAGGCGAAGATTCCGAGCGCCGGCGGAAAATCAGAGCACATGGTGGTCAACTTCACCGCCAAACGGATGGCTTTCAAAGTTCGCTGCGGCAACAATCTGTTCCGCGTGGAGCCGACGCACATGATCGTGGAACCGGGAAAGTGTCGGCAGCTGACGATCACTCGCTCGGCCGGGCCCATTCAGACGGACAAGGCCATCGTGCAGTACATCGAGATCGACAAGGACACGCAGGATCCGAAGGTGGCGTTCAAGGCGGCCGAAGAAGCGAAGGTCAAAATCCCGCACATTCGGATCAAGTTGATGGTGAGGTGGCAGATGAGACGGCTGTCGGACAGAGTTATTTGCAGGCGGGTGCGGGGCCCGGACGGAAGATGTCGCGTGAGGTGATGGAGGAGTGAATACAAGGGAAAAGATTCGATTCCTGTGGCAAATAAAGGGCTGCTCTTCCACGTTAATGATGACTTTGTTATAATGAAATCTCCATCCTAATAGTAAGCACATATTCCGTCTAAATAATACTGAACGGCTTAGCAATTCCATGCGATAAAGCTTTCCGTATTTTAAATGTCGATATTCTGAAGAAGCTCTGCGTCGTCGTCGGGAAACGTCGCGGAAAGCCGCTCGACGCTCGCTAACGCTCGAAAGTTTCTTGCTTCACGTGTTCAGGAAGTTCCGTCACAAGAAATGTATGGTCACACGTTTGAAAAAACTTCTGCGCAAACCGTCAAGCATTATTCACTCCCCCTTTTAACACATTACAAGTAATTACTATAAATATTTATTCGCAATCAGAATCTTTTCAGAGAAGAGGAGGCGTCGGAGGTTCCTATGGGTTGTACTCGATCGGGAGGTTCTTGCGACGGACCATTCCGTCTCCCTGGAACCACTCGCGACGGAACTGCTTGGCGGCGCCGTCGGGGGTGTTGGTCCACTCGATCGTGATGCGGTCGTTGTTCGTGTCCTCCTGTCCGAAGGCGAACGCGTCGCACGAGACGGCGAGAAGCACAGCCTCCTTAGGGGTCGAGCACTCCGCACGGCGGGTCCACTCCGAGACGCTTCATGTTCGTCGTCTTGATTCCGTATCCGATGCGGCGGGCCGACGAGTTGATCACCTTGATGTGGTAGGTGTGCTTGTCGTCGTACGGCGCGTTGAACACGATCTTCGCGTTCGGCTGCGTGGCGATGTCTCCTGGGGGCACGGATTGGGCCATGGCGATTCGATTCGGTTGAGAGAGTTGGGACTCTGTGAGGATCCTCACACTTCCCCTCCTTTTATAGCCAGTCCTTATCAGATGCCCTAGATCTTTACTCCAGAAACCTGGCACCACAGGTTTTGTGGGAGGGGTGTCACGGAGAAACAGAAAAACAAACTATTTCTGAATCAAACGCGTGAAATTTTGAAATTTGATCACCATGAAAAACACCATCGAATTCGACGAAATCATCATTGACAGAGGAGAGGGACTACAGTAACTAAACCCCACTTTTTGCTCTTTTATTCTCTTTTTCAGCTTGGCTTATCTATTTTTCGTAGTGCCGTTTATAATTTTACACGTGCAGTACTGTCTGTACGTTCGGAAGCAAATGCGTATTAAGAGACAGTTCCGGGCGGTCATTCGGAGCACGAAAAGAAATCGGAAAGGGGTGAAGCCGTCGGCTGAATAATTTCAGTATTCGAAATGTTTCTCGTTCATTCTCTGACTAATAAATGTCTCTTTTTTACATTTTCTTTATGACTTCCCGTTTCCTTTCCGTTCAATTTGTTTTCGTTCAGTACCGTAGCTTAAAGGCGCAACAGAATTTTCAGCAGGTCTCGCCACGATTAATAACTTCTTACGGTAACAATCACTTGCTTTTGCTTTTTTGAATTTTTTGAATTGTTCAATAAATTTTTCCCGTTCTACCTTAAACTTCTCACTCTTTTGACATTTTTTCCACATTTTCAGTCTGGAAAATGGATCGGGACAACTTTTCAAACGGTCGACGAGCCAGACACTTCGGCAGATCGAGCCAAGTGAGTTTCGAAAATCGTTGCGATCAATTGTATTATTTTATACAGAATTTCTCGAATTCCAATCGAATTGACAGCAAAAGAACTCTGCGAGACATCTATGTCAACGAAAATCACAACGGTAAGACGTAATTTGAAGTATTTGAAAAATGAGGATTTTTGAGATTCTTTCAATCCGCCAAATTTTTTCGCAAGTCCGAATCCGTTCATGGGCAGTCCGCAGGCGTTTCAGCAGGACGTATTCCGTTTGATGACTCCACCTCCATCTGAGGTGAGGAAAAGTGACTCGAACATCAAAATGGTCGTTAAACAGAGCGGATTTCTTCGTGACACGTCGGATATGACCCTCCAACTGGCTGCTCTTGGCTTCAATGCCAACGAGAGTTGGCAGAGAAAGTTGCGAATGCAATCGATGAACGAACTGCCCAAGTACATGCGAAATAGCCGACTGTCGAGTCTTCCGGCGTGGGCTTTGGACGAGAATCGAGAGATTCGCAATGATCTGACTCTGCGAAAGGTAGTCGACGAAGGGCTGATTTTAATGTTTGCCATGGACAAATCCGGATGCCAGTGAGTTGAGCAAGATATTAATAGCACGTTAGTTGATTTCAGCTTTCTGCAAAGTAATTACTACGGCGAAAACACGAAGAATGTGGATCCGTACACTCGCAATCGAATCGGGAAGGAAGTGCTCGGAAATCGAGAGGTTTTCTTCACAATTTCCAAGAATATCTTCGGAAACTTCTTTCTGCAACGCGTGATCGAGTATTCGGATAGTGTGGAGCAGGAGATCATTAAGAATTACATCATCAACGACATCACCGCTTTGTGTCTCGACAAGAGCGCGTGTCGTGTCGTTCAGACCGCCCTCGAGATGTTGGAGCCGCAGTTCGCGGACGCGATCGTCGCCTCATTGCCCCGCAAGAGCCGTCTCCTGTCGATCTGCACTGATCAGAATGCGAACCACGTCATTCAGAAGGTCGTCAAGAAGATGCCGCTCTCCAGATGGGAGTTCCTCGTCAGCTATCTCTGCAAGACCGACCACGACAATCTCATGGATGTGTGCCAGGACAAGTACGGTTGTCGCGTCGTGCAGACGATTGTTGAGGTGCTCTCGGTTCACAAGGAATGCGATCAAGTAAGGCTTTGTAAAGAATCTGTCAAAAATGGGAACTTTCAGGCGGAAAATAAGGAGAAACTGCGTGTGCTGCACCACCTGATGACGAGAATTCTGTCGAAATGCCAGAAGCTGGCCACGAATGAGTTCGCCAACTACGTCATTCAGCACATCATCGAAACGCCCGGCGTGCTCTCCGTTTATCGCGACGCCATCATCGAGAACTGTCTGCTCCGCAACCTGCTCTCAATGTCGCAGGAGAAGTACGCGTCGCACGTTGTCGAAAGAGCGTTCGTGTTTGCTCCGCTCACGCACATAGCCGAAATGATGGAGGAGATTTTCGATGGATACGTTCCGCATCCGTTCGTGCCTCACTTTTCAGCTTTTCTAGACAAATTTCGTGACTATTTCTATTCAGGGACACTGGAAAAGATGCGCTGGACATTCTGATCTTCCACCAATTTGGAAACTATGTTGTCCAAAGAATGCTCGAAATCTGCTGCTCGTCGGTGCTCGGCGAGAGGTAAGAATGGCATGAAATCTAGAATCTGAAGGGAAATGGGACAATTTGCAGAAATACGATAATCAACGGTGTGGATTGTCGCGACAAGTTTGAAGGATGGCTAAGCAAGCTCTACTTGCGAGCCAGAAAGGAAAGAGCTCGTCTCACTAGGTAAACATTGGAAACTGGCTGATAACCATTAAATTTTCACAGATTCTCATCCGGAAAGAAGATTCTGGATCATCTGGAAAACATGGAGAAGAGATACAAGTTCAGTCCGTCCTTCGACGTGCCGCCGTTCCATCCGATGGCGTTCCCTATCAACGCGTCCCCGACGGCCGACGTGCTCTCGGCGTTCTGTTCCTCGTCGCTCTTCTCGCCGTCAGCGACCACCAGTGAGTGGCCGTCTCGCAAGAATTCGCAGCAATCTGAGCATCAATTCGATCCGAACTTCAACAACGTTCCCAAACTGTAATCTCCCCCGTTTTTTTGCTGTTCTCTGTCCCGTCTGTGAATCATTCTTGGAGCTTCACCGCGTACAAAAAGAGCCTTCTGTAAGATGTTCCCTTTTCATCGGCTCGCTTTTTTCTTCATTTCATCTGAATATTTCTTCAGCACCCCAACCCAGCCCGTTTGTTGCTCACCCTTTCCCAATCAATCTGTTATTTGTTCATAAATCCTAGATTTATTTAATATCTCTGCTTTTGTTAGTTGTTTTGTGTTATTTTCTTTTCTCTTGTCTCATAAATTCAAAATTCCTCCCCACTCATTTATCTTGTAACGAATTTCTGTTTCTGTCGGTATTGACCAAACAAAAAGGTTTCCAAACGGGGCAGACGGGCGGCTTCTTTATTTCTGCAAGCTCATAAGAGTATCGATGTCTCTCGAGAAACAAACAGAACGGACTGTCGCGAACCACATTTGTACCCCCACGACGTCCGGCAGAATGTCCGTGTGTCGAATTTGCGAAGTGATGAAGTGAGTTGTTTCTTATACATTGAAATTAGCTATTACCCGGCTCAGATCCGTGGAAATGTAAATTCTTTGATCTCTGATACTAAATGAGCCAGAAAGGTATTCTTGATGAGGCGATTCTGTGAGTTTATGAGCCAATTGTGCATCTGGAGCACCCATCGACACTTCAGGTACATCACAATGCTCCGGCAGCTGCTCCACGAGAATCTAAACTAACAATTAATGAATAAATTTTTGCAACTATCAGTCTAGAAATTTTAAACTTTATAAATGATCGGTCGCATAATAATTACAAGAATCCAAGTAAATTTGGGGAAAGGTGGAGAAATAGAGCAAATGACTATGGGGGAGACTGGGGGAGAAAATCACAGCTGGAGAGGGCAAAAAAAACAAAAAATTGCGGGGGATGTTTCTTTCGAAAAAGGGACATAAAAAAACATAACATTCTCTGCATATTACTACTTATGAGCGGATAATAATATGATTAAGATGAGACTCAATCACAAGACATTGGAAAAATGTTTAAAATACTGGGGGAATCTTAGCGTTTGAGCATCTTCTTGACCTTGGCCATCAAGGGCGCAGTTTTCGGGGCCGCGCCAGCTGCGGAACCGCTTTTGGAGCTACGAGTCGGTCCAAGTCCGCCACGTGGCGTGATCGAGTTTAATTGAGCTTTTCCTTCTGAAAAATGAATTTACTACTTACTGACTTGGGCTTTTAATTAATTCAATTCCTCACCAGTTTTGACATGCTTTCGTGCTTGCGACAACTGAATCGCCGACGGAGTATTGAGCATTTTGACTTGCGTATCTTTTGCGTTGTTGAAGAATGACTTGCTGCGGACTCGAGTGTGCGCCATATCGATCACCATCTGCAATATCGGATAATCAGCAACGTCTTCTAGCTATCCCATGAGTTCTTACCGTCTGCCGTCCTTGTTTGGATCCCGTGTGCGCTTTTCCGATGCGATTCGTGAGCATCTCGAGCTTCGAGTCCTCCTTCTTTTTCTTTCTCGCCACCAACTTGTCGTACATCTCTCGCCACGTCCAGCCGTCCGGCTCGCGATCCGCGTATTTAGCAAATTCGCGGCGAACGAGGTCGTGGAACAGCGTGTCCATTTCGTGGGTCAACTGCGGATTCGCATCGGCCAGGCGACGGAGCTCACTGATTGACGCGACTTCGAACGCCGGCTTCATCAGCTCGTACGGCACGATTCCGATGTGATCGATCACTGTAAAATTGAACAATTACTTTCCAGTTCCTTCAAAAAAAATCTTTGAAACGTACACTGAACATTGGAAGAGAGCACACTCTGACACATGGAGAGCAACGTGGGCACCTCTTCTCCGACTCTTCTCTTCCGTCCGGCGAACACCTTCTGTCGCTCTTTGCGCGGTTTGAACTGACTCTCGTCCACCTGGAGACTGGCGCTCATCGGAATGTGCGCCTTGTGGTGATGGTGGTGGGTCTGTGCCGGTTTGAGAAGGGTCGGCGGGAGCGCCGGCGCGTATTCCTTCGTCTTCTGATGATGTTCTTGCGAAGACGAGCACGACTGTGAGCTGGAGGATTCTATCGGCTCTGACTTTATCTCTTTCTTCACTTCCGCAGCCGGCTGGGCCGTCCGTTTCGTCACTTTGTACTTGCTGTAGTCGACGACGGCTCTCGGTGCGTGGGCGGCAGATGAGGAACCGGAAGAGGCGCCCATCGCCTGCGCGAACAGCTCGTCCGTGTTCACCTCTTTCTTCGGTCTCTTGGGCCCAGTGCTCGAAGAGGCGCCTTCGTCGTGCTCGCGGCCGGCGTCCTCCAATTGCCGCTCTCGTTTGCGCGCCTCCGGAAGACCCATCTCGCGAAGCTTGTCACGCACTCGTTTCGCGTACTTCGCCACGTCTTGCACCGACTCGTACCGTTTCACGAATCGGTACGTGTCCGACGTTTTGTAGGCATCCAGAGCCACTTCTAGATCGAACAGCCGTTTAAGCGCTCGTTTCGTCTGAAAATGTTTCGTTTTTCGGAGCCCTATTTGGTTTTGGACTTTTCATCCAGTGGGAATAATTCAATTGTGCCTCAATTTTGCATAATAAACAGTTTCGGTATGGAATATCTTCTTCAAAAGTTTCAGCCAGATCGGATAATCCGTTTCGACTGAAACTTTCAAGTAAGCTACTGAATACCAAGACTGATAATCGTGCAAAGTTGGGGCCCGATTGGATACTTCAAAAGTCTACTATTTTCCCGCAAACGCACGTCAATTCCGTTCATCAAACATTCGGTGTATCTCTGAACCTTGTCCTCATTCGTTTCCGCCATTTTCTCTGCTTTCGGTCGAAGTTCGAGTCGAGGAAAGAAGCGATCTGCAATGAAGAAAAAGTGAGGATGAAGGCCATTCGGAACGGGATAAACATTATTAAAGGGTATGCCGCACTTATGCGGAGAATCGGTTTTTTGTGATTGATTGCATAATTTGCGAAATTGACGCGAAGAACAGATAAAGAAGGACAAACAAACATGCACACTCTGTATAATTGAGGCCAATACCCGCGTGAGCCAAATGAAACGGATGAGTCAGAAACAATGAAGACGTGCAGAATTGAGGAATGAGTTCGCTGAATACGAAATCGGGTCTCGACTTGCAAGAGAAAGACGTTGCCCAATGACTAGAGTTCATAGGAGTCACCGGGAACTAGTGGGGCGTGAGAAATTTTCACTGAGAATCTAGAGTTTTCACAGAGTTTCTCACTTTTTCATCGAGAGAATGTGCTAGTACACTGCAAAATAATGTGTACAACTGACCTGGAAGTCAGTCAGTCAACAGTGAGCCCTGCGAGGCGATCCTAATTTTACAAGTCTTGTGACGCACTCTTTTATATTTTGAAGACGCCTACAAGGGTGAAGTCACAAGGAAAACGTAAAAAAGAACACTACAGTTTCGACCTTGGAACTAGAAACTGAGAATACTACATATTAACCTAGAATAAAACACTATTGTCGGCGTCGCAGTTCACGTACCTTGACATTTCGGAGCATGACTAATAGTCATTCTAAACTATTCTAAGCGCGTTCCCTGTTTTTGCTAAACGCTTCTGAAACCGAAAGGCCACGTGGCAAGCACTCCAGTTAGTCTATAATATATATATATATTATAATATTTCCTTTTTTTGTTTTTTTGCATTTATGCTAATTAGATGTTAACACGTACTACGTCGGAAAAGAGGAAACTGGAAACAGCTAGGAACTGGCTTCTAACGGTTTTCTAAACTAACTCCAGCCGAGAGAGAAGTGGTCGGAAATCATCGACCTAGTGTATTGACATTTCATTTTCTCTCGCTTTCTCGCTTTCTATCTGTTCAGGAAACTCTAGGAGTACGAAAAGAATATATTTTTTATAAACATTCTAACTTCCATACAAATCTCTCCGTCTAGCATCAGTGTAGCGTCAACAAAAGCAAAATATCAAATGCAGGAACGAAAGAAAGACGGCTGGCAATTCAAGCTGTAAATAAACACTAACCGTGGGAACGGGCGGTCCCAGTGGATGGAGTTCTGAAACTTGGAATGAAGACGAATCTCTAGGAACGAGATAGGATTGGGAAGAGGAAATCAATCAAACCGCCTCTCTCTCTCGCCTCTTCTTCTCTAGTGACACGAGACGAGACGGCCGGGCTGTCGGCGCGTAGTCCGTTTGCCAGCAGGACTAGTGGAAGAGAAGTGGAGGAGAGAGAAATTAGGCCGCGGCCCCGACGAGACACACAAGGAAGAAGCCGCCGCGCGTTTTATTTGTGTTTTGTGACCAAAACTTGCAGCTTGCAGCTTACTAACGCGTGAACGAGGAGAGTGGGCGAGCGCAAGCGAAAATAAAATAACAATGGTTTGTCATTTCTAAAAGAACCAATCACTCAATTTTTTCAAAACTTGGAGGATGAACGGGTACGGTATAAAGGAGACCGGCGAGTTCTATCCGGTTCGTTTGCAATTCGATGGTCAGTGGGTCATGAGCGGAAAAAAATGGAAAAGAAAGGAGTGTAGGTCACAGATTGTGCGGAAGTGGCCGTTTTTCGAACGTCTACAACGGTCAGATGATCGCTCCGATTCGACGAGAAGTGGCCGTGAAGAATGTGTGGTCGGACAGTAAGGAGTTTGCCAACGTGGCAACAATCACAGATCAAGCGGAGATTCAAATTCTCGCGAAACTCTTTCATCCGGCCATCTCGAACCTCCTCTTTTTCTACGGAAGAAAAGCTAATGATAAAGTTGGTCGTCTAGAGGGAAACTGGTGTATCTGACACGGAAAACAATTTAGATTATCCACTGTTTGGTGCTCGATTATTTGCCGCAAGAGATGGCGAAACTGCGTGATCAGGGCTTTAAATTCGACACTTTGGACGCCAAAATCTACACATTTCAACTATTCTGTGCAATTGCTCATTTGGCAGCCAAAAACATTGTGCACATGGACGTGAAGCCGCAGAATGTAATTATGAATCAAAATGTTAGCAAATTCAAATTGTTTGAAGACCACAAAATTTTTTCAGTCCGGATTGTTGAAATTGGCAGATTTTGGAAATGCGCGACGATTGGAGAGTCACGAGAAAACTGGGAGTTCGTATCAGGTGAACATTTGACGGGGAAACACGAAATTCGGACGATTTTCGTTGCAGGTGACCCGATTTTATCGACCACCGGAGCTGCTGTTCGGCTGCGAACGGTTTTCATCGGCGATCGGTACTTTTATAGCGAATTTTGCAATAAAAATCGAACGTTGCAGATACCTGGTCGGCCACGTGCGTTGCTTTCGAGCTTTCGGAAATCGGGTGCTTTTTAGAGGAAAAGACACCAAAGATCAGGTTTGTTTCTAGAAGAATACACGCATTTTTGAGAAATTTAACAGATTGTGCTGATAACTGGCGTGTTTGGGTATCCGACAGACGAGGATATCAAGAGTATTGGAGTGAGAAGACCGAGAGTGACCAGAAAAGAGGCGAGGGGCATTGAGACGGTAATTTCGAGTGATTTTAGATGAAAGAAAACTAGAAGACATGTTGTACAACGTCTCCGATGACAGAAAATAGTAGGACAGTGTGAAAACTTTTTGAAGTTTTTCGAAAACGATGATTTGTCTTCTGTCCAATAGAAGTACACAGCGATATTTCTAGGTCACGGCCCCCCTGCTTACCGTACTTTTTTTTCAGTTCACGAGCAAAATGCTCGACGCAGACGTGTACGATCTACTCAAAAGCACTCTAAAACTTGATCCGAAAAAGCGAAAATCGGCGGCCGAAGTGCTCAAGATGTCAGTTTTCGACGCGATTCGGGCGGTGCCGCGGAAAAGACGTTCGAATGGAGCAGAATTGCCGACGCTCGCGAATTACACGGAAATGCATCCGAAACGGGAGTTGATGAACGAGGAAACGAAAGAATTCGAAGAGAAGAAAGTGGAGAAGAAGAAAGAACAGGAGAAAAAGAAAGAGAAGCAGTCGTCGTCGTCGAATTCAGAAGAAGAGGAGGTCAAGCAGAACGAGTGATTATAAAATGCAAAAAGTAGAATGTTTTCTGTTTGCCAGAACCAAACACACAAAATAATCGAAAAAGAATGAACAGAGATCGTTGTGACGCACAACGATTGAGGACTGACGCATTCAAACGAAATGGTCGGAGAGTGGGGCTCGTCATCTTCACGTTCGCGCACCGTAAATGGGCGGGGCCCATCTTGCATGCGGACTCTGTCGGCTATTATTGACTTTTCGAATAAGAAATTACTAGAAAGAATGATGATATGAGTCAATCAATCTATTTATCCTTTTCACAAGATAACTTTTGAGTGGGTTGCTCTGTGGACAATCGGAACATCTCCTGCATATACTTTTTGCGGAACTTTTGAATCGATGTGATCGGGCGACGACGCTGAACGAGCGGGGGATTACTGTAGAATGGGAAGAACGGACTCACATCGTACTTAATGCAATAGATCTTTTCGATGGGCACGAAGCTGATGGACGTGTTCACACACGTCGCCGGCTCCGTCTCCTTCTTCTCCTTCACGGCATTCCGACGCATCTTCGAGCCCTGGTCTTCTCCGTTTATGAATCGGGCGATCGCTTCTAAAAAGAAAAGACTAGTTCGTTGTGCTATTGTGAACTTCTCTCACTTTCCGAAAGATTGATAATATTGTCGGTGGTGTTGTAGACGATGCATTCTTTGCCGAAGAAGGACTCATTGTGCTCCTGGAGCACGTCCATCGGAGCGAACGGATCGAGCTCTTCCTGCGCCGGAGGGTCCATTTTTCCGTCGTTGAGCGTGCCCTCGAAGTATTGTGTCACCTTTTTCAGCCACCCTTTGCCGTCCTCGATCTCCAGTCCGTCCTCCTCTAGCGCCGCCATCAATTCCGGATATTTGACCTTCTCGCCCGCCGAGTTGACCACTTGATCCTCCAGTTTTTTGTCCTGCACCACCCACACCGGGTCTCCGTTCTCTCGAAAGATGTTCCGATCCAACGGCTTCTTCTTCTTCTTCTTCCGCTTCGAAAGGTTCTTTGTTGATCGGACGGAGGCGCTGCTCATCTGACTGCTCTCCGGCATCGTCTCCATCAGCGAATCCTCCTCGCGCGTCTTCTGCTCCCTCCGGTTCTTTGTTTGCGTTTCGATCATCTGCGAGAAGAACTTTTGCGCGAGTTCCATGTTGAAGTACTGTTCCTTCGACGTCCTCTTCGCCCCAGTCTTTCGTCGCTTCTCCGCCGACGACAGCGTATTCTTCAGCGGCGGCAGTGCCGGCTCCTCCTTCTTCTTCTCGCCCGACTTCTCGTCCGAAGTGTTCTTCGACTTGCTCGGTCCGCTCGGCGCCTCCTCGGCCGTCAGCGATGAGCTCTTCTTGCGACGCGTCGACTTCCGCGGATCCTTCTTCGCCACAATCTTAATCTTCTTGTTCTCCTTCCGCGGCGCCTCCCTCTTCCCCGGCACTTCCACCATCGCCATGTCCGCGTGCGATGATTTTCGTTCTTTGTTACCGCTGAAAAGTGGAGTTCTTCTCGAGGTCCTCGGCCGAAAACCCACAGTGATTTTGCCTCGCCTCCTCTTTTTTTGTCTTTTTTGACCGGAATGGCCAGGTTCACCGAACTCGGCACGTTGGCTTTTTGATGATTTTTCATTGACATCTATTAACGAAATGAATATTTTTTAAATTTCTCCAATTCACTCAGTTTCCAGTGGAGTTCACGTTCAAAGCTTTGCACGAAATGTCTGGTTTCGAGACGTCCGGGAGTCAAGAAAGTGTGATCCCCGGACAGACTCCGAGCATGACAACGAGCTCCAGCCGTCAGAATTCATTCGCTATAATTTCATCCGAATCTCCTTGTTTCTCCTAGTTCTCTACCTGATATTTATGTAAATGCTATGAAGTTTGCTCGCATTTCTGGGAAAATGAGCAGCCAAAAACGACGAAGCCAAACAAGGTTGTGTCCAATTTTCTGCAAGCGTGTTGTTTTGTGTCCGGATTTGTGTCCGGATTTGTGACTGACAGCGGATCAAAGATCTGGAGCTGAGGGCTGAAGCCGATGGCCGATTCAACGTGCTTACTTCTCTGAAAATCGTCCAAGAGTGCACAAACAATTGTCAGCATTTTGCTCTCACCCAATTATTTCGAAATTTTAGTCATCATTTTGGCCGATCTGATCCTTGGACTCGTCTAGACCAGGACCCGCCCATTCCGTGGTTCGTTGCCACGGCCGTGCTGACAAACAGAGAGGGAGAGACGGCCAGAGACATGCGTATAAATAGTGGCCGACCACGTTGTTCTGCCTCACAACACATCAACTTTTCGTGTTCTCTTCAACAATGGTCGCCTACAAACTCACCTATTTCGAGGGACGCGGAGCCGCCGAGGTGTCTCGTCAGATTCTGGCGTACGCCGGACAAAAGTACGAGGACAAGCGGGTCACCCGGGAGCAATGGCCGGCTCTTAAAGCCAGTACGTTCGCATCTATCCGTAACTTTCATCTCTCTTCTCTTTCCAGGCAACCCACCACCATTCGGACAGCTCCCTCTGCTCGAGGTCGACGGAAAGCCGCTGGCGCAGTCGCACGCCATTGCCCGTTTCTTGGCCCGCGAGTTCAAGCTGAACGGAAAGACTGCGTGGGAGGAGGCCCAGGTGAACTCTCTGGCCGATCAGGTCAAGGACTACTTCAACGAGATCCGTCCGTTCCTCGCCGTCAAGATGGGATTCGTGACCGAGGGAGACGTCGACGCTCTCTACAAGGACGTCTTCTTGCCGGCGCTCAAGAAGAACTCGCAGTTCTTCACCAACTTCCTCAAGGCCAACAACTCTGGATTCCTGGTCGGAGACTCGCTGACCTGGGTGGACTTGGTCATCGCGCAGCAGACCGCCGATTTCTCCGGCCTCGGCGCCGACCTCTTCAACGAATTCCCGGAGCTCAAGGCTCATTCGGCCAAGATCCAGTCGATTCCACAGATTAAGAAGTGGGTCCAGACCCGTCCAGTCACCAAATTCTAAATCTCATTGTTCTTTTGATGCTCTCACTGAATAAATATGAAAATCACAATTTATTAGTTCGGCTGTTTCTCCATAAGAATCGGAGTGATCACGAGGTCCTGGAGATGGACAGAACGGCGCCGTAGTCGGAACCGTATCCGGGCGCGGACCACAGGTTGATGAGACGGTTGTTCCAGCAGGGCAGGTATCCGAAGGGGACCGGGGATTGTCCTCTGATCATTACATTGCACCGCATCGCTCGGCAGGCTCTCTTCACCGCCTGCTTCCCAAAAAAATCCCCATCGCCTTCTGAATACTTCCCATTCGTTGTCTGCAGAGAATCCCTGAAACTCACTCGGATTCGGCCGATACATCCTGACTTTGTTGGACGGCTGATTGAAGATGATGTGCCGCTCGACGGCGTTCAAATTGTCGGAAGTGACCGGTCGGAATAGGTGATGGATGTGCGCCTTCTCGCGGATCATCGGCGAGAATCCGCTGTGGACGGCGAGCGCCGACTTGCCAATGATCGCGGCAAACGGCATTTGCGAGCACATTCGCTTGATGCAACCCTCGACGGCGCGGGTGATGATCGGATGGAGGCGGTTCGACATTCGGAATGGGGAAGTCTCGGGTTCGCCGCGCAGTATGAAGACGTGTTTGGGGAAGCGACACTGGAAGGGAATTGGATAGAAGATCGGCGGAAGACCGGATCGATCACCTTTAACGAGCAGATCAGAGCGAGGCACTCGACAGATCCGGGCTCGTCGCTATCTAGAATGCCCCCGAGGAAGAGGATCCGATTCTCAGGAGGCCATCCGGTTAGTTGCAGCCAACGGTGCAAATCCACGTATCTTCCGCGAATGTCACCGAACACAGTGATCTCGGCGTCGATCTGAAGAAGAGACGGCTCTTCGGCCATTCGAAACGCCGTCTCTTCGAAGAGCTGAAACCAAAATTGGAGCACAAAAGCAAAAGCACAGACGCACCGAGAGCAGTTCGAGTGCAGTGAACGGATACTGATAGGGACCGTGTTCGATCATCCTGTAGAGCAGATCATAGGGAGAGCTGATAGTTCTGACGGTGTTCAAGAGGGTGTGTCCCCACCCGGAGGCCCGAGATTTCAACGGGGACTTTAACATAACGGTCCGAATCTTCTTCAAGTCCACCGCGACCTCGCTCTCCACCACCGTCTTCTCTTTGAGCGAGGACGATTCTTCGGATGACATTGACTTGAGTCTCGAGTCTTTCACCAGGTCCAAATCCGGAAGTTTCGCCAGAAGATAGGCGGTCTCTTTGATGCTCAGCCGGCCGGTTACTTCGATTTTAGTCTGGAAGTGGTCAACTGAATCGGAATCGAAGATGGGCTCTTACGTCAATGATAGTGCTCTCCTGGAACTCCGACTCGAGAATGATATCCTGCTCCAACTCACTGCAATTCCGCCCCTCCTCCGCCCGTTTCTTCTTCTTGAGCCAGTTGCGAATGAGCGAAAGGACCGCGTAGGTGGCGAGTCCGAAGACCAGAGCAAAGACGAGGAACGGCAGCAGCTGTCTCGACTGGTACTTGCCCCGAATCAGCGTCACGATGTTCTCGTCCTTTTTGAACCAGAAACGTTGCGATCTTCCCGTCGGATTATTGCAGAGCCGACTGAAACAGCACGTCTTGCGGACCCAGAGACGCGCGTCGCGGGCGTCGTTCCCTTTGATCATGTAGTCGATTGAGTAGTCCCGACCTCTTCTCACTTTCCGATTGCATTTCATGTTATTGAGAGTGTCACTGAACATGATATGTAATTGTGTCCTAACGCTCCATTCAAACTCACTCAAAGGTCTCGGAGTCACATCCGAGACGGTAGTAATAGTCAGTGGAGTGTCTGAAATGAAATAAAGGGAAGAAACTTGAACAAGAGATTCTTGGTTTTTTTTTTGCGAGTATTCTTCGAAACGAAAAGTTTTCTTTTAATTTGTAAAAATTGACCCCCCTCCACGAAATTTCGCAAAAAATTCCGCATTCCGCATACGAATTCTAATGAAACTGACGCTCCGTTGGTCCGGTATTTCGAGACGATCGACTTCTCGACACATCCGGTTGCACACCTGACCATCCGACTTTTGTCCGCCGACGAATAACATATTAGAGCAACTGGAACTCGAAATCATTCTTCGAAGCATCATAAAATCACACACAGTTCTTCTGATCGTATCTGTCGTCAATCTCGGTCACATTTTTTTGACAGGAAATTTCTATGAAGAGTAACACGATCAACGTCCAAACGATACATTTCCGGAGCATTTTTGTGACGAGTATTTTGTGAGAAATATTTTTGGAATGGACGTGCGACACGTGGCATTGGGTAAGCCTTTTTTGTTATTTCACGATGGAAATTATCTTTTTTTTTTCGGAAATGTCCCGTCACCACTTTTCTCCTTCCTCCCGCCGTGCATTGCGAAACTCCTCCGCTTTTTTGTTTGTCTTCCGCTTGAAACTGTGCAAAAAGATAAACGCAATCTCATGTTAACAAATTCTTCCGTTTTTTCTATACATTTTCCGCAGAATTTCAGCATTTTCAGAGGATTTTCAGATCTGATCAGACGAGATTCGGGCAATTCACAGTTTCTCTTCCACCTGAAAATCCTCGGCCACGCACAAATGCATGTCGGCCACGTGTCCGTTGCTGCGCGTAACACGTCATTTCTCCGCTTTTCCACCGATTTTTCGTCCAGTTTTCTTCCGAAATTCAAAGATTTTTATCTGGAAAAGTGCGTCCGAATTTTGCATTCCAATGTGCTTTCTCCGAAAATCGATATTCCGAGTGCAAATATTGCATTTTCATCTTGTTTCTCTACGTTCTCATGCAACTTAAAATTGACAATATTCGTTAAATTTCAGAAGTATCTGAAACACTTGGGCCAAGATGATGAATGTAGAAATAAGTACGACAAAACGTGAGTTGTCTTATCTTAATGAAACAATCTTGAGCGGTGACTTTTCAGAGATCGGCTTCGGCCTGACGTGTTTCGGAGTCTTCTTCATATTCCTCGGAGTGCTCTTGTTCCTCGACTCGGCACTTTTGGCCATTGGAAATGTGAGAACTCTACGATTTGGTTCAATTTCTCACTAAAAATCTGTAATTTCAGCTCCTGTTCATCGTCGGAATCACATTTATTATCGGCATGCAGAGAACGTTGGTGTTCTTCTTTGAAATCCGAAAACTCAAAGGCAGCATCCTCTTCTTTGGAGGTACGTGGTTTATCAAGTTTAGTTCAAAAATAGTATAAAAAATGCAACTTTTTTTAAAGGAATTCTGACCGTTCTTTTCGGATATCCGCTGTTTGGAATGATAGCAGAGTGTTGGGGGTTTGTGCTGTTGTTCGGGTAAGCTTTTACTTTAATTAAAACATAAAATATTCTTAAAAACTGCATTTTCAGTGGATTCTTGCCGGGACTCATCAATCTGGCGCGGACTATCCCCGGAATCTCGATGATCACCTATCTGCCAGGCATTCGACAGGTAATCCTTCGACTATTGTGACCAATTCCATACTATTTTGTTTCAGATCCTCGACAGACTTGCTCCAGAATCCAAGTACCCCGTCTAATCTCTTCATTCTCCATTTCTCCTCCGCCATCATGATCTACACAATTTAATTTTGTTCGATTTCCCCTGCAGCATGGGTCCCAGACAGCACAACCCGTTCATTTTCGAGTCTCTCATATCAAATTCGGTTAAACTTTTCTTGATTTTTGTGCAGAAGAATCTGTGTGTCAAAGTTCTATAACATATTTTCCAAAACTAATTTATTTGATATTTTATTATTTATATTATCTTCTAATTGTTATAATTCAAATCTAAACGCTTCCAAAATTAGGTGAGAATGTATGTGATGTGTTAAATATCGCCCCCCGCGCGCGCGTTTCGTTTCCGTTGATTTGTGATGATGATTCATTTATTCGTTTTCGATTGCAATTGCAATTGCACCACTCTCTCAAAAAGTGACCTCCTGACGTTTGCGAATATATTCTTCGAAGATCAATCGAACCACGTTTTGTTTGTTGCCTCCAAAGAACCACTCGATTTCGACGAAGGTTGCCTTTCAACTGGCCTTCTTATCTCTCAGTGAGTGACGAAGCGAGAACACGAGGTGGACGGCGACTGCCCGATAAAAGACGGCCGACCCGATCAATTTCTACGTTTTTGTTTTGTTAATCAACACATTTCGGACGTTTTTTGAAACAATTCTGCAACAATGCTTCAAATTTACAGAGATTTTTGCATAATTTTCACTCAATACTTGATTTCTTGTGATTTTGAGAACAGAACATTTCCTTTGAAAAGCATAAAGTTTGATGCTCTCCGAACACCAAAGTAACTAAATTCGTTGCAGAAAATGCTCAGCCGTCTAGTCAGTTCCCTTCAGCCACGTGGGATCCGGGCCGCCTCCTCCGCGGCCAACAACATTGTCAGTCAAGCACAGATCCAGTCGGAACCATCGAAAGTGAGCATTTTTCAATGATTCTAGTCAAATCCATCGAATCCAGGTACTTTTCATCGACGGCGATCGAACGACGACGTACGGAGAATTTGTGAAGCGAGCCGGGCAGTATGCGACGGCGCTGACTGAAAAATACAATATCAAGGTACTGAAGACAACAAGAAACTCGTAAAATCAATATGATTTTGTTCAGAAAGGCGACCGAGTGATGGCTCGTGTCTCGAAGACGACCGATACGGCGGCCCTCTACATCGCCTGCCTCCAAATCGGAGCACTTTACATTCCAGTCAATCCGGGCTACACCGAATCGGAAGCCGCGCATTATATCAAGGTGAGCACTTCAATATTCTGGCAATGTCGCTCTCGCGGTGGAGAGCGGAACAGCGCGTTTGCTAGACTTCTGTGGCTGCAATAGAATGGTTTCAGGACGCAACTCCGTCTATCCTGGTCACTTGCAACGAAGAATTGGATAAGGTATTCCGAGACCGAATCAGTGTGCTCAATGAGAACAAACTGGCCTCGGAGGCCGGTTCCCTGAATTCCTGCACCACCATCGAGCACGTGGAAAAGTCAGATTCTGCCTCGGTTTGCTACACCTCCGGAACGACCGGACTGCCGAAAGGAGCGATTCTGACGCACGGCTCGCTCTCCAACAACGCCCATGACATCGTGCGCGACTGGGGATTCACCCCGGAAGACCGCAACCTGCACGCCCTTCCGTTCTACCACGTGCACGGCCTCTACTACTCCCTCCACTGCACCCTGTTCTCCCATTCGACGATCATTTGGAGACCAAAGTTCGAGGTGGAGGACACCATTAAATATTTAAAAAACGCGACCGTCATGATGGGAGTGCCCACTTTCTTCTCCAGACTGCTCGCAAGCAAGAACTTCAACAAGGACGCGTTCGGAAATGTGCGAGTGTTCATCTCGGGATCCGCGCCTCTTTCGGTGGCCACAATCGAAGAGTTCAAGCAGAGAACCGGGCAGGTCATTCTCGAAAGGTACGGAATGACAGAGGCCGGAGTGATGACCACGAATCCATTGCACGGAGTGAGAAAGGCGGGAACTGTGGGGCCGGCGGTGCAGGGAGTCGGCTGCCGAATCGCCAAGAACGGAGGGATCGAGGTGAAGACGAACGCGATCTTTGCGGGATACTGGAAGAACCCGAAGAAGACTGCGGAAGAGTTCACCGAGGACGGATGGTTCAAGACCGGAGACGTCGGACACCTCGACGAGGATGGATACCTAACGATCGGAGGACGCTCCAAGGACATGATCATCACGGGCGGACTGAACGTGTACCCGAAAGAACTCGAGGACTTCATCGACACGCTTCCGTTCGTCAAGGAATCCGCAGTCATCGCCTCGCCGCATCCGGACTTTGGAGAGGCCGTCGTGGCGGTTGTGGTGCCCGCCGAGAAGGTGTCCGATGAAAAGGAGTTCGAGAAGAAGCTGATCGGAGTTATGAAGAAGAAGGTGGCCAATTACAAGGTAAGGGTTACAGTATCCGTGTGGGCTACATCACACCAAAGCGCGCTTTGCCATTAATTGTTTTTGTTGCAGGTGCCGAAGCGAGTAATCGTACTGGAGTCGCTGCCACGCAATCACATCACCAAAGTCCAAAAGAACGTTCTGCGTGACACGTACAAGAAACTCTTCGCCTAATTCGTCGCCCACTCCCACAAAAGATGATCTGTTCTCACAAACAGACCGCCCTGTAGATCAAATGTCGTATCTTTCCAATTTTGTAAATATCCCTTCTTCTACTGTTGGTTCAATGTCAATAACACTTTTTCTGCCTATTTTTGCTAATCATTGTTTCGACCCCAACCAGTTCCCATTTCATATGAGTGTGTCTCCGGAAGAATGGAAACAGTGCAGAGTACAATGTGATCTGATCTGATCGTCCTCATCCCGGTTATCATTATTATGACTATATCACAATCAGATTCATACGCGCGACATCTTGATAATGGCAAGGCCTTTGTGTACCCGTTTTCTCATCTGGCAACCCAGAAGCCACGTGGCGTACACGTGGAACCGAATGGCAAAAGCATCGGAGGAAGTACTCATCTTTCTCTCTATGCGGACGCATTGAGCGCCAACTGATAGATCAGCCATAAAAACGCGCAAGTGTCTTTCTCTTTCTCTCTTTCCCAACCACTTATCAAGGACGATTTATGACACCTTCATTTGGATCGGATTATTTCGAAATAGAACTGTTTGATGGGATGTTTGATGCCACGTCACCAGGCGGTACGGTAGATCTTATGCATTCGTCGGCTCTCGCACGGAACGAAACTTTTCACGCCAGCGACACGAGGTGGAGCGTCGAGGAAGGTATCTGCCCGAAGAGATATACATTGAATCGACGGTATTCGAGTGCCCTTCATTCCATAGCTGATCGGAAAAGAATGTGATTAACGAAGAAGCTCTGCTTGGAAGCAGATTGACAATTTCAAATTCCTCTCTTTCACTCTCCACCCAAAAACGAGAGAGTGTGCGGAACAAGGAGTGCCTGGAGAACTTCTATAAATGGCCACCCACAACTGGTCCCCAACTATACGGTCCATGATGCTGTAACTTTTTTTCAGTTAAAAAAAAACGAATTCGTTTCCATTTCATTTCTTTCACAACTGAAGCTTCCCCATTTCAGATCGTTTTTCACGTGAGACGACGTCTCAAAGTACAGAGATCTCCGCCCTTTTTCGGCGAAGGTCACCTGCCACTTTCAGACAAAGCCCCCCTCTTTGTGTCCGCGTCTCTTCGACCGCCGCGCTCTTTCCGCATTCACGTGCGCGCCTACCGTATCACACGCAGAAGCCACGCCCCTTTTTGCCTGGCCCGCCCACTTTCTCACCGTATCTTATATACAAATCCGGTGCTGACAACGCGCGTTAGTCAGTCAGTCAGTCGAGTGAGCGAGTGAGTGAGTGTGTGTGTATGTATAGCGCTTGTGAAATCAACGATAAAAATGTGCTCGCAAAAAACTGTAATATCTAAACTACCAGTGAAGATATCAAAAAGTGGTCAACTAAGAAAATGTTCACTAATAAATTTTGCACATTTTTTCAGTTGACCACTTGTTGATATTTTCACCCACAGCTGAGATATATAGCTTTGAATGAGCAGTTTTCGAATTAATCGAATAATGATAAAGAAGATGAAGAAAACGAAGAAGTTAAGCCTTCTTTTCAGGTGGTATCCAATATATAAACGCTTTCAGACACTAACTTCTGCCCAATACTAACTAAATACTTCTCGAAACTTATTGGTAATCATAGATCATCGGTCTAGACGCCAACCAGCCCCCTCAATATTGTTATCACTTCCCAAAAGTACCACTTCACCTGACCATTCCCATCTCAAACTTCACATGATACACCAGATTTCACGTGTACAGTATCTCCCCGTCTCCTTCTTCCCTTCTTCTTCTTCTTCTTCTTCTTCTTCGCCAACTTCTCAGAAGCTGTGACAAAGAGGAAAAGGAAGTGCACGCCTTCACGTCATCGTCTTAAAACATTGATCAAAATGTGGGCGACCGGTTTGTGGAGAGGCAAGTTCATCGACCATATCCGCTTCGAGATGGAGACGGAACACGATGGCGTCACTCGTCTAATTGTATTGTACTCGAGTCATGACTCACGTGTACTCCAGTACCCGTCCGCCCCAAAACTGTACAGTTTCGGCTTATAAGAACGCGGTCCAGACTGTTTATTTCCATTTGAGAGGTACGATGTTTCATGGTGACCAGTATTGTGTTGACTAACAAAGATGACCTCGAAGAAAAAGACCACGTGTCACACACATCCTACTGTAGGACTTTCGTATGAAGCGTCACGCACGTCATTCGCATTTTTGATCAGTTATGATATTATTATCCATCCCGTCTACTATATATTATGACCAACTTGCTATTCTCTTCCGCTCTGCTCTTTCCTTTTTCACGTTCATTCATCCTACAAATTACAGATCAAAAATGCTGAAATCGTCGAAATCCATCTCAGTGGAAGACCTTCACAGCATCTCCGAATTCTCCGTTCACCACGATGAAGCGCCGCCGACGAAGAAGCAAAAGATTCCGGGCAAAATGCGATGGTACATTTGTGCAATAGTCACCGGGCTGCTGACGCTTCTCCAGGCCAATGTGCACGTCTACAATTTCACCGTTTTGTGCATGCAGGAGGAGCAGAAAAAGCTTCTGAATGGTAGGCAAATGACCGTTTGTTCTGGCTTTCATCATAGCTTTTCAGAATCACTCGCTCGAAATGAGACTCTTACTGGCTCGTTCTTCACCTACGATAAGTTCGAGCAAGATCTGCTCTTCTCGGCCGCATACATCGCCCCGCTGCCCTCCACCGTCTTCCTCTACTTCTTGACGAACCGATCGGGCGTGAAGACGACTCTGCTTATCTGCTCGGTCATTTCCTTCCTCTCCACATTCCTCTCCCCTCTCGCCACCTACTCCGGCTTCTGGTTCCTCTGGACCGCCCGTTTCTTCCAAGGCCTCCCCGCCGCCATTCTCTCGATCGTCGTCTCGATTGTGACGAGTCACTGGTCGACGCTCAACGAGAACGGCGTCTACGTCTCCATTCTGGCCGCCCATTACCAGATCGCCCCACTGCTCACAATGCCCCTCTCGGCGATCATGTGCTCGGTCGGAGGCTGGAGCTCCGTGTACTACACCCAGGGCGCGATCACCGCCATGTTCATCGTGCTTTCGCTGTCTTTTACACCGACAAACCATCGGATAACAAGTTTGTGTCGAAGGGCGAGCTGAAGGCGATCGAGGCCGGAAAGTCTTTGGAGGAGAAGCACGTGGAGAAGTCGCGCACTCCGTTCGTGGCCATCCACAAGGACACGGCCGTCTGGGCGATCTGGCTCACTTCCGTCGGAGGCACCATCGGATTCTCGATCTTCCTGCAGTACGGACCGACCTACCTGAACAAAGTGCTCCACTACAACCTCTCGACCACCGGCTGGACCGCCGCCATCCCCTACATCTTCTCGTGCGTGGCTCGCATCGCTGCCCAGCCACTCAGCGCCAATTGCTCGTTCCTCGGAGAGCGTCTCGCCGCCATCGTGTCGACGACCATCTCGCAAGGGACCATGGCCATCTGCTTCCTGGTGCTCATGCTCATCCCGCAGGACTGGTCTAGTGTCGGACAGCTCTGCTACAGTCTCGTCATCGTTGCGAACGGGTTGAACGGAGTCGGCATCACGAGAAGTGCCCAATTGGTTTGCAAACAGCACCTCTCGTTCGTCTACACCGCCCGCAGCTTTTACAATTTCACAGTCGGACTCTTGCTCCCGCTGCTCGTCAGCTGGGTGGCTCCGAATGATACTCATCGCGAGTGGACCACTCTTTTCTTGTAAGTTTCAGATTCTTGCCCAACCAAACCTCATCGTGCTCGTTTCCAGAATAATCTTCTGCGTCGTCTTCGTCTCCAACCTCATTTTCATCGTGTTCGCACGTGCGGAAGCCGCCCCGTGGACCGTCGGAACGGCCGAAGTGGACGACCGCTCCGAGCACGACATGGAGGAGCAGAAGAGCGAAACGACGACGACGGTGGAGAAGTTCTAAACTCCGTCCACGCACGACGACGTTGTCTATCAATTCTAGACGTAGCCCTCGATAGTCTTCTTCTTCTTCTTCTTCTTCTCTGTACATACTTTCCAACACTTTGCCGCTCTCTGATATCAGTTACGGGTCGCCGTCAAATCGACAAAAACAACACTGCTTTGCCTCCCAACCAATTTCTCTGGAAACAGCCACCCTCCCTTGTATTTCATTTCATATTTATGTTGTATGTATTGAGGAATAAAGTTTTAAAAGTTCTATGGGCGGCAATTACGACTTGTAAAGGACTTCCTCCTACTATGTATCATCTTTTACAACTCAGGGAATTGAAGTGAGGAAACAGCGGCGGAAAGCGGGTGGAACACACTTACAACCGCGTTTCGCCACAGTTCCGCCGCTGTTTCGCCGGAGTGCGGTGGAGCGCGCATGCTGTGACGCATGCTTCTTCTTGCTTTCTTCGCTTCATTTGTTGTAATTATGGAAACTGATGACAGATTCTAGGAATTTTTATTGAAACAAAAGAAAAAACAAAAGAACACTATATGAAGGAACTCTGAGGACAGAAAGTGATAGAATGGACGAGGGAGATGAATGTAATTGGAAGGGATGAAAGAATGGGGGGAACGAATGAAAGTTGATACAAAGTTAAGTCGCCGGGTTGAAAAATGTGATCGAGGGAAGAGTGGAAATTGCGGAAATCCTGAAGGGAAACGGTGATAAAAAAAACGGAAAAAATGGACGGGAATTGGGGAAAGCCGAAAGAACAAAGGAGTAGGGGAACGGCTGAAATCGGGGAAGAACAAGTGAGAAATCCAGGGGAAAAAATGAGAATGACACAAATGCGAATGTAATAAAGATAATTGCTGGAACCCGGGGGGAAATCGAGGACGGTCTCGTCGATTCACGTTGTCGAGGACGATTCACGTTGAATTTCCGGATCTTCGGCACAGCTCTCGATGATCTGGAATTTCACATTTTGTGTGTGGGCTGACTTGAATTCGTTATAAAAAGTGAACATACGGCATTTCCCGCTCCCAGCTTGACGAACGACTTGATTGCGTGCGCTCGTCCGTCCACATTCACCTCACGCGTCATTATTTGTATTTTCGCAAGTCATTTCTGTAAATGCAGATGTAAAGAGACGTTCCATTCAGCGACTAACAGAATTCTTTGCAACTTCCGTGCAATACACAAATTTAGGCTTGAACTGCAGCGATTTGTTGTCCATCGACTCCTTCTTGCACTCCGATCGTTTCCAGTTGATGTTGAACTAAATACTCTTCCAGACCACACCGTTGCATATTTCCGCTTACCAAAAAGGTCTGAGCCAGTTGAAACACCTTCGGGCAGAGTTCCCCCAACACGCTCACAGTCATCCCAACTTTGAACGAGAAGTTGCTGAAGACTCCTACGTTCTCCTAAACATTTATTTTGGATAAAAGTTGGCTGTCTAGTCCTCATATGTAGACCTCATATGTGTTCTTGTCTAGCCTGTTAGACTTTTCGTATTTCAAAAGAGCCAGTCCAAGTTTGCCTATGTCCAATTCGTTCTGCTCACAGCTCTTGTGAAGGTATTCTGCAACAACAATTGATGATGATATCGACTCAATCTTCTTTTGTCACCGAGGAGCGGTTTTGACACGTCGATCGACTCGAAGTAGTTTGCCTCAGCGTTCGAAAGAAGCAGTACTTCTGCAACAGTACATTATTTCGATCTCATTCGTGTCATACCTGATCGAATTGCGATGCCCGATCCCGTCGGCGGATACGCAGGGCCGTTGAGAGGAGGGATCGTGCGAGACGGTCCCGCAAATCCACTACTTCCCGCCTGCAGTGGTGGCACTCGTACACGCTTCAAAATCGAGCGCGAAACCGGTGTTCTGAACTGATGGGCCGTCGTGTTGCTATTTGGAGGTTGTCCTGTCGACCAATTTGGATTCTCTGCTGTAAACACGATGATATTGCCTCTTTCATTTTTACTTTCGTCTTACCGTGGCCGTACATCTCTTCTTGTCCCTGCCACATTCTCGGTCCGTAAAACTGAAATTGATTCGGTGGCGGCGGCGGTGGCGACTCTTTGCCGTAGCTCACCGAGACTTCACTGAGGGTCACTGAAAATCGAATGTTTCAAATTGATTTTCTGCAAAATTCGAGCTTGCCGACGAATGAAAGCGCGGCAAACCGCGGCAGCACTGCGCGCCTAATTTTTTTCGTGGAAATTATGTGATGGATTAAAGAAATAGTGAAACTTTCAACTCTCGGAACGATTTCGCACGAGAAAGAGAAAAGAGAAATGCCGCGCGAGAGAAAAAACGACCGTCCGGCATTCCGCGGTTGCCTCCCTGTTTCTATCGCCGCCGTTTCCTCAGAACACTGCGTCGTTTTCCGTTGCAACGGCGTTCCGCCACCGTTTCGCCAAAGCTGCCGCTTGGTCTCGCCACGATTTGAGTTTGGCGAAACAGCGTTCCGCCACGGTTTCCTAAAAACGCCTCTTCCGCCGCTGTTTCCTCACTTCAATTCCCTGAGATAAGTGTTGAGGGAAACTGACCATTAAAACTAGGAAAACTTTAAAGATCGCAAATCGCTGTGACTTATAATACATTTTTGATACATTTTCGACAATTTTTGACCGCTAGCAGATGGCATCAGCAAGACAAGTGGATAATATCACGTTTATTAGAAAGAATGGAACAAGAAGATTCAATAGAAGTGATTCAATAGACTCTGAGAGGCAATACAGTTTTTGGATTTTAAATCTGAAAGTGTGCAAAAAAATTGAATGTGAATCGAGTATCGATTATAATTTCAAGTGTTTTCCACTTTGTGCGACTCCACCACTTCCAGATATATCGTCGCCTTGTTCAAATAGTCGACATAGCTGTAGGTGGTGCGTTGAGACTGCCGGACCCTTGCGGATTTGAGCTCGAGACGCCACTGTTGAAACTTCCGCTGAATCGGAGACGTCGGCGACACACGGGAGGCTCGGATCGGACGATTGTTGTAGTCTTGAGACGTCTGCAAGAATGCAAATGATTTTGGAGTTGAGTTGGACAAGATGTACCTCGAGACTCGAATGACCAATGATAGTTCGCGCAAAGAGACGGAATAGACTCTGACGTGTCGGAAGCTGAGATCGTTGTTCCACGTGAACCACTGCAGTCGGCGCACGAATGACGGCTCTATTTCGTAGACGGAATCCACTTTGGAGTCCGGCAGACAAACCGTCATCACCCGGGCCGGGAACAGTCTTTTTAGGTTGGAGAGGCAGTTCTCGAATCCCATCGTTTCCTCGCCGAAGAAGTGTGCGCCGAACGCGTCGGCTTCGAGCAAATAGACGTGCAAACTTTCGAGCACATGTCCCGATCGCTCGATGGTCCCAATCGGTTGAGTGCATTTGAACGCGGTGAAGATCTTTCTCGTCGCCCATCCTTCGTCCGTGTTCTCTGAATAACCGGTTAGAACGTCAACACTCACCTTCTTCACTCTCCACGTCTTCAGAATCAGCTGGAACACTTCCAGCGGCAGAACGGGCGGCTCGTCGCTCGCCGCGTCATGATCCGAAAGAATCACCTTCAGATGATCGCAGCTGATGCTCGGATTGATGAACTCCTCGATGATGTTCTGGTGGTCAACGGCGGGTCGGAATGCGCATCGGTGTGCCACTTCGTTTATGAATCTGCAAGGAAGAGAGATAAATGAATTTTGGAAGTTCCGCAACAAAATAACTTACATTTCACTGACCGACAGGTACCTGAAGTGCTTCTTCACTGCGAAGTTCATTCTCATCTGCATCGGTCCGTAACACGTCGCATTCTTGGCCACTTCCCAACACGCACTGCATCCAATCGGACAAAGATCGCTGGCTCCGCGGAACACTTTTATGTTTCGAACTGAAAAATGCACATTTTCCTCCAAATACACATACACAAACAATCAAGAAAACTAACTGTGCGGAGTCACCAAATCGTACATGACCGCCTCGTGGACGCCCGGAATGACCGTCTCGTGATCGTCGGCATCGAAGTCGTGGAAGATCAGCGCCTCGATGCTGATTTTGGCGGTGACGTTGAGGAACTCAAAGTACTGGGCGCACTCCTCACTGAGCACTTTCTTGCAGTTCACCATAAACCCGTCGTCTTCATCGCCACGTGGCAGAGGCGAAATTTCCACTTCTCGATGTTCTAGGCGTATTATCTTGAGGTACTCCATGTTGAAGGCGTTGTTGACCAACTGAAAAAAGTGAGTTTGTGAAAAGAATCGTACAAAATACAAAAAAACTTACCCTCAAGTCCTTGTGGGCGAAAGGACAATCGGAATTGAGAACTGCATCCAGGATCTTCTCCAGGATCGGACCACTTCCGAAAATGCGTCGGATGGTGTCATCGGACATATTCGAAAGGGAACAAGAGAAGAGAAGGAGGAATGCGACCGACAGAGTGGGGGAGACGTGACGGAAGAATTAGGGGAAAGGGTGGGGCGACGTGGAGGAAAGGGGGGGTACCATAAAGGGGCGGGGCGTCAAAGAGAGACAACTTTCGGGCGGTCGGTGAAATCGAGAGATGAAAGGGACCGAATTGGTATACTTTTCTCTTTCAATTTGATGAAAATAGAGACCGCCGAAGTATACTTTTTGCCGGAAAATGCTGTGGACTTTCCTGGGAGTATACTTTTGAGAGAGCACAAGAGCCGACAACTGACTGCACGAACAGGTAACATGGTAACAAAACAGTAAAATCAAGCAATCGCCTTTTTATTACTATAGGCTCTATGGGTTGTACTCGATAGGGAGGTTCTTGCGACGGACCATTCCGTCACCCTGGAACCACTCGCGACGGAACTGCTTGGCGGCGCCGTCGGGGGTGTTGGTCCACTCGATCGTGATGCGGTCGTTGTTCGTGTCCTCCTGTCCGAAGGCGAACGCGTCGCACGAGACGGCGAGAAGCACAGCCTCCTTGGGGTCGAGCACTCCGCACGGCGGGTCCACTCCGAGACGCTTCATGTTCGTCGTCTTGATTCCGTATCCGATGCGGCGGGCCGACGAGTTGATCACCTTGATGTGGTAGGTGTGCTTGTCGTCGTACGGCGCGTTGAACACGATCTTCGCGTTCGGCTGCGTGGCGATGTCTCCTGGGGGCACGGATTGGGCCATGGCGATTCGATTCGGTTGAGAGAGTTAGGACTCTGTGAGGATCCTCACACTTTCCCTCCTTTTATAGCCAGTCCTTATCAGATGCTCCAGATCTTTGTCCTAGTACCCTTAAAAACTAAAAAAAGTTTTTCAGAATGTCACGAAAATCGAACGGTTCTCTACGTGACGGCTGAGACAAGTTTTTATTGATTTTTATGTAGGTGTGAAAGAATCATCTACACCTTCAGAGTTGCTAGGCGGTCATGGATGAGTTCGCTGCTGGGAATAATGAAAGAACGTGAAAGAACATTCTGAAAAAAGACATGTTTCAGGTGTCGAAACGAAAATTGTAGTATTGTCAAAAATAATCTTGCCTCCTACGGTAATTCACAAATTAAATAACCGCGCCACACTTTTTCAGGCTCGCTTAATTTTCTGCAATTTTCCGGCGCACTTTGTGCGGACGTCCGAGGACTTCTCGAGCTTTTCCCGTGAAAAATACCCGAAAATACGAATTCTGACAATTTTCGTTGCATTCTAGACTCACAATCTTTAAATTTATTTCTGCAACTTTTTGATCTTCTCGCTCGCCGCTCTCATTTTTCTCTTCAGATCGTCTCTACTTTACTCGCACCTCTCACTCGTTTCTAGTGATTTCTGTGTTGTTTGCAGTGCATTTTCTCGTGTTTTTCTGTCTTTTTCTCTCACGATATCGGTTTATCGGCTCATTTTCAGACCAATCCAAAGATCAATGCAGCTGCGAAAGAAGCTGCACGACGCCATCGTCGACGGCGAAGAGGATGATTGTCCGAAACGCAAGATCGTTCGTTTTTTTCCGGATCTTTGTGCGTAATTTTTGTGGTTTTCAGAAAAAATTAGACCGCACTCCTGATGCATCACTGAAAGTCTTCAAAAACGAGCATATTGTACATGCGATCGTCGATTTCATCATCGGCAGCGAGACGACCATTTTAGATCACCTGAACATGAGGGTGCGCTTATTCGATTTCAGTTTCATTCTCTAAAAAATCGATCAATTTTCAGTTAGTATGCAAGTCGTTCAACTCGGTGGTCGTCAGTCAACTGCGCACACAGTTCCGATCTGTGCAAGTGAGCCCGTATCCCTCACAAGAGTTCGACGAGGAGAACGATTCGAGCGAGGCAGAAGAGCCGGAGAAGAACGACGTTGCACTTGAAGAGCGATCATTCCTGCTCAACAACCGTATTATTCAGTTCAGCAAAGCGGTCAATTACTTCTAGTAAGTCGGAATTCAAAAAGAGCTCTGAAAAGCTAATGAAAATGTGCTTTTCTATCAGCATTTTTGCAATTTTGATTACGCGCCAACCTATTTCTCAATTTTGTTCGCAATGGAGCGCGTTTGCATCTTTTTTCAAAATCAACTTGCTTTCAGTTTTCTGAATTCGGTGGTTCGCATCCGCATTCGAGATCTTCTGTTCGTCGGATTCGGCCACTACGACGAGAATCTTCACAACTTTATTCTGAACAATCTGCTCGCCGACAATTGGTTCTTTCTGAATTCGTACAAAGGTTCCGATGAGATCTGTCCCGGATGCGACAAATGTACCACCATCGCCTCTCGTGTCAAGAAATACGGACCTTTCCAGATGAAAACGCTCGTCGAACGTGCACCTGGAAAGAATCACTATGATCACCTTATTCTCACTGAAATGCGAGTAGAATTAGTTGGTTTTCGAGAAAATCATTGGCACTTTTCAGTTTACTAGCCGAAATCGCATCCCGCTGTGTTTGGAATGTGACGAGCAGAGAGGAGGCGTTCGAACGTCTCGCCACACTCGTCAACACGGATATCACGTGCGACCAGCTGGATCTTGTCTTCTCGGATCGGGCCATGTTCGAGAAGCACACTCTGACGCATCCGCGAGAAGTCATCGACTGTATTGTGAGGAATTGGAAGTGCAAATCAGTGCAAATTCGCTTCTTGACCGCCTTGTCAGCCATTAACACAGATTTGTGGACGAGCAAGGGCATTTTTACCGAAATGCGATTCGATCAGAACTTTGTGAAAGAGCTGCCGACCCGATTGCTCCATCGAATGGATCGTTTCGAGCGCGTCGAAGTGGACATGTTCTCCGGCGACGAGATCGCCAAATGCTTCGCCCAAACGATGGGAATGTTCGAGAAGGGCGGCCAGTCGGCGACGGCGTTCCAGAACGTGTGCGCCAATGTGAAACGGGTCTTTCCCACACAAGACATGTTTCTCATGCTGCCGCTGGAGCTGGCTCGTGTCGCCTCATGCGAGTTTGACGAGTTCTGCAAAGCGCTGCTCGAGTTTGCGTGGAAGGACGAGCGAACGGCGCGGCATTCGAGGCTCTACTTCCGTCTCTACACGTTCGGAATCACCGAGAAGGAGGTGATGCGGCAGGTCGAGGTGAGAAAAAAGAAATAAGGGAAAATGCGGTTCAATTTCTTGTTTCTTCCAGAAAGAATTCCGAATCAACTGCCGTCCAGTGTGCGCGGTGCTCTCCTCCTCGTCAGTCCGTCGCTCGTTCCTCAACTGGCTCCCCTCGACCACTTCCACATTCGATCGCTCCCTGCTCTCATTCACAGATACCCTTAACAATTGCGTGCTCCATCTGGAAGTGTGCATCGAGCCCGCCTAACTCCTACCCACTAATTATCCCCCATCCATAATTTGTTCTCCCCCTATATTCTTATTTTTTCACCGTTTCTCGCCCCCGAATATTTTCCTTCTAATAGCATTGTTTCTATCATCATATTATACGCGCTCGCCTTCCGGTTCCGCCCCTGCTCTTGACTCGTTCTGTGAGTAATCATCATTTCTTCCCTTGAATATAATAAAACATCATCATCGCTGATCAGAAATCTAGACTTTATTCGACTTTTCATTGTTTACATTCAATTTATTTACATTTTCGATGCTACCCTTGCTGACCCGTCGACGAGAAAGAAATTCGATGAGGTCAGACCTTGTTCCAAATGCTCAAGTCCTTGATCCGATCGATTGTATCGAGAACCATTCTGAAATTATTGACTTGAAAAACGTAGACTTTCTCCTTTACAAGCTTACCTTTTCCCGTACAAAAAAGCCTTCCAAACCGGAATCGCTGGCGACGAAACACGGACGGTGTTGTTGAGAAGCTCAATGTCCATCTCCAGATTCCATCCGCTCTTCCTCAGATCGTCGACGTGCACCTGGAACTCGCTGTACCCCAGAATCTTCTGACTATCGTGACGGCCTCCGCGTATCCCGTGGCACCGGTGCTCCACGACCAGAAGCACGTCGAGACTTTCGTCCTTTGGCTCGCCGGCCATCCGGAACTTTCCGTCCTGTCTCACAGTCTTCTCGCTTAACAAATGGCTTACTAGGTCTGAAAAAGAGAAGGGTTACTGTGGATGGACTGGGAAAACTCGAACTCACAGTTGTCATCGACCATTATAATGTTGCCCTCCATCGGCTTGCCACGACAAGTCAGTACTCCTTTGATGGTAAATAGAGGATATTTGGAAGCTGCCTCGAGAATCGGCACCAGAAGTGCAAGGAGAAGAAGGAAGAAGAGCATTATGATTATGAGTTGGTAGGAGTAGGCTCCTAGTGAGTCAGGCGCAAGAGGGGGTGTATAAATAGTACTCGGACTGGACAGGGCGGTTTGTAACCGGTGCTCTTATCGCCAAAAAAGGAGGAGTTTCAGGTGGAAGCGAGCGGTTATCAATGGAGGATTGTTGTACTAGTTTGATATGCTTTTGGAATTACGGAGTAACGGACGGAAGGGTGCAGAAAGGTTCTCTTGATTTGAAATCGGGACAGTTCGTAGATAGGGACCGCATTTCACGGGGATCGATTTATGAACTCTGTTTAGACTGGAAATACAAAAATTTCGGGCAATTTTCAAGTAGGCTTCTAGATTTCTCGGCAAAGTTTTGGTCATCAACACGAAGAGTTCGATTTTGAAGACTCCTAGAACCAGCTGCATGGATGGGAGCCTCGTCGACTTCTCTCCCATTTTCTATTGCTCATCGGAGAACGGTTTGCCACCACGTCATCGCTCATTAATTATCATTCTCTTCCACAAATATCAGTTCCATTTAGGCTTTTTCCCTTTTTCTCTCTTTCCGGCCGCTCTCAACCATTCGGCAACCAGTTGTTTTTGCAATGATTCATTCGTTTGCAGGCGTACGAGTGAATGAGTGTACTTAGCATTTTGTTATCATCCATTCCGTGTACTAAACGTCCTTTTCTTCCACATGTGATCGATGGCTTCGAAAGGGAAGAACAAAGGAAACGGCTGTTATCTCTGGAAAACGAGTGACCAGTCGGAGAGTGGACAGCAAACAGAATGAGAGAAAGTATAATAAAAATGGAAAGAATGCAAAGTAATACGACAATTTGAATCGGAACGGAATTTGACTTTAAAGCGTCTGAATCATTGTAGCTGGAAGGATCTGTTCAATGGGCGATACGGTTAGGCGTGATGAAAATTAGAAAACTCAGTGGCCTAGGAAATGCTCGGCCATGTAATCTCTTGTCGTAGAGCAAGACAAACGACAGGACGACTTTCTCCACATGAGATTCCTAGACCACGGCCACAGCGGCTCTGTTCCGTTCATAGACACTTTTGCGAATTGGGACTTGTTATTAAAGACAAGCACTTAGGTACCGAGATCTCAAGGTAGAAAGTACGCTGTCGTAACTTTTCACATATCCCAGATCACAACAGCTTTACACCCGTACAACCTCAAAACGAGAGAACAAAGAGCGTCTCCTTGTGTGATTACAACTAACTCGTTTCACAAATTGCCTCCCATTCAATTTGCATTCACTAATTCCAACAGACCAATCATCTCGTTTTCTGTTGTAAATATCTGTTTCCACGAAGTCAGGCGATGACGTGGAAACTTGCATTTAGATCTCTGGTGGCCGAATCATTTGAATGATAAAAGCGATTCTCACGCCAACACCCCCCAAAAACTTTCTTTTTTCGGCTTTATCAGACCTCAAATCGAGATGAATCTAGTCTTTGTAATTCAAGGTTGAACATGTGTTTCTTGTTTTTTTACTAATCGCAAAAAAAGTTTTCTATCAGTATTGTGGATCTCTGGCCAAGGATTACTGTTTTTGAGACGCCTTTTTAATCTGTTAAAAGACAATTGAATTCGTCTTTTCTTCCGGGTCGCCGCTGGCCATTGTTCGTTCCTTTCCAATTACATCAATTTTCATATGTTTTGTTTGTTTGAAACCAGTTTCCGTTCGAAACATTCAAGTAGGTTTTGACCGAGAGCGTATCCAAGGGGGGGATCCCAAACATCTCCATCACTTCCTCGCCAAACAATCTGCAAAAAAGGCGACGAACACGGGAAAACAACAAGCTACACAGCCGCGAAAACGTTGTCGTCGTCATCACGAACATCAGCTGCCGAATTAGTGCGACGACGACGACGACGTCACAGTTTTGTACTTGTCAGGTAGGACGACGTCAGAGACGAAAAGAGGAAGAGGTAAACAGTGTGCGCGGCCAGAGCTACGGTAATCCGAAAAGTTCTAGAACAAATGGGAAGTGAGAAGATTGTGGCTTGGAGTCGAAGTCAAGCAGATGACGATCATCAGATGACGTCTGATCACAAAAGTTTTGGAGTCTAGCCTAACAGATATGTGGTTTGTAGGCCACGTGTTTGGGGTCGAAGTCACGGGCTTTGAACTTGTTCAAACATGCCGTTTAGTCAATATATATAATGTATCTCAGTTTTCAAAAGAGATCTCAAAATGTTGTCAACTAATAAATTGTTGATCAAGATATTCAGTACATTTTATCATTTGATAACTTGTCAATATCTCTACCGACTGCTGAGATACATTGTACTCAATTAACGAGATTGGGGTGCCCTTCTATGTACTGTGTATCCAAATCTCGCCGTGATTCATTTTCACCTTCACTCAAATATTTGTGACGCAAAAAGTACTTGATTTGATTTCCCGTTTCCGTCTCAAGGTTACTGTCTTGCCACGTCACAGATCGGTGAGTCAGTGAGCCGTCGCTAATTGGTAGAACCCAGAAGTTGAGGCGCCACTCGGAACAAGTCACATTCCTCTTCCCCTCGTCTTCCTGCAAACCGTCTGTGCGTCTTGTTCGTCAAATGATTGACCCCCCCCCCCCGTCTCGTGGCTCCGCCCACTCTTTCACTTGTTATAATCGAGGTGCCGGACCGTCGTTTTGGCTATTGGGGGATGGTGTGGGTGCCCCGTCAAAGGCAGAAGACACGAAAACCAGTCGCATTCTTATCTCTTGTCCTTTCTGATCTTGATCTTCTCGTTTCTCCCTCCATGATCCTCGAACATTCCAGAATCCAGAATGCTCGGAATGATGAACTCTCCGTCGGATTCGGTCGAATTCTACGCCACCAATCGCAAAGTTTCCGACGACGTCGCAACACACGAGGATTCCGATTTGCAAAAGTTTTCCGAAGTTAAGAAGAAGGATGTGGTCACGTACACTGATGGTTAGCCCCTTTTCTGTTCCTTCACAATCTGCTCATTCTTTTCAGACGGCAGAAAGATGATCAACGGCAAGTTGGTGGCCGAGTCCGATGCTCCGACCATGTGGGGCTCCGCTCTGCTCCGTGGCCGAATCCGAACAATCACCGGGACGCCGGTGGTTCAGAAAGCCGCGAAAGAAGGTACATTTTTTAGAAATTTCAAACGATTCTAGTGAAAAGTGAACTGCAGAACGCGAAAACGTGCGTCGAAACTCGAAAAAGTTGGGCAAAACGATCGCGGTGGTCGCCTCGCTTCAGACGTTGACAACCACCGAATCATCGGACAAGGTGCTCAAAAATCGCCAAAATTCTGAAGATTACGGTATAAGTTTCAGAGCCAGATGTTGCGCAGCCAGTGGAAATCACGCCGGTGTCGGTGGTTGGCCCCTCCTGTCCTCCGAAATGAGAAGATTCGGAGTTTGGAGTTTGGATAACGGTAGTGCAATAGTGGACAACAAAGAATGGACCTCGTTACTGTGCTTTATGACAATTTTGATTCGAAATATAAACTTTTTATTGTTCATTATCATTATCAAACCAGCAAGTCTACCGGTAGCAGTCTGTTAAAGTTGTTGTTGGAAGTGGACGATATATCGACGAGAACTTCTGCAAAACCGAACAATTGACACATAAGTATTGTCGATGCTGACCATCTCTCCTCATTGACTTCCGTTCCTCTTGCTCTGTGGTCGTGATTGTGATCGGGACTTCGAACGAGGCGAGCACAAAGTTATGAGCCCGTCCGACGGTCACTTTGAGCGCGTATTCCGTTTTGAAGAGTCCGTCGACTTGTGTGTTCGGTGGGAGAGCGGGAATGTTGAAGATCGGACGGAATGAGTACGTCTCGTTCACCGCGATCTTGTGCTTTCCGGACGCGAGACCGACACCTGGAACTTGAGCTTCTTAGGACCTACTAGAAATGCAATTCCGATCATTTAGAGAACGTTTCAGTCTGACCTCGAGAAACAGATCTGAAGATCCCGAACTTTAACTACCGGTTATACTGGAATAGAAGGGCACCCTAACACTATTAGTTTAGTAATTTCTTACCGCACCTGTAGTATCAATTTTGACCGTATCGACCACCTCGTTCTTCTGATTCAACGCCGAAATTCGGCGCACAATGTTCAAATGCACGTATTTCAATGATTGTTTCCATCTGAAACCCATTCTTTTTTAGAATTAGACGCAGAAGTTGAGGAGACCTGTTACAAACGGTAATGCAGTTTTCGATTCGGGCGGTAGTTGTGAAGACGTCACTCGGCATTAACATTTCCACGGAAATTGAGCGTTCTCTGAACGGATTTCACTTTTTTCGAGGTCTCAGATGTTGGGGGGTACTTTGGAAAGTGAAATGTCTTTTGGAAGTTGATGGGTTTCGGAGTGACTTGTCGTTTCACTGATTCATAGTTTAAAACGATGAGGTTCTCCTCATGGGATGCCACTTTAAAGCCCTGATTGAACAGTTCAACTTCCAGTGTGAATCTGACGGTGACCGGTGAGCCGGGGCAGTGAAAACTCGGCGGTGCAAAGTGCGGAACTTCAATTCGGATCGGAAAAGTGGCTGCGGAAGTGAACGTGGAGGAGGCGGGCTGATCGCGATCGCACGAAAACTGTCGGTTCTGGTTTTCGTCGAAGAACACGTCCATTCCGAGCATCTCGCTGACCGTCTGGAACCTCCACAGTTGGGCTCTCTCGTCGATGAGCACTCTCGTTTTGGGCGGCGAAGAGGGCGTCTGAAAGAAGACGGCTTCTCCGTGGATGCGTCCCTCCACGGAGTCGATCTCGAAGGGTTGGTGGGGATCGCACGTGACATGGCCCTGAAAGCTTAGAAACAGTTAAAATCTTACTGGATCACGTTTCCGCCTGTATTGGAAGGGTACACGAATACCGTTTATTCAAGGCAACGTATCTCAGCTGTTTGTAGAGATACCAAAAAGTGGTCAACTAAAAAAATGTGCACAATGTATCAATGATCAGTTTATCAGTTGACAATTCATTGATATCTCTACTGGCTGCTGAGATATATCAGTTCAAATGAACAGTAGTGTGGTACAGCGGGCCGCGGTGAGTCTAGAATAACTTCACTTGAAATGACATCACTACAAGCTGTCAAAAGTGAAACTGAAATCTGGATTTTTCAAGTTTCAGAGAACTCAGGACCATTTTTTTCGGACTGTGACCTTCAAAGTCAATCTCCAAAGGTGAAACAAGGTCCTAGCAACTTTTTAATACATTCGATTTGACTGTAAACCCTCTCAACTAAATACTGACCTGAATCAATTGTCCCGGCTGATAAAATGGTCGATCGAGCATAACTGTGAATCGTATTTTCTCCATCATTCTGCTGAAATCAATCAATAATCATAGAAAGTGGTACTAGACAATGTGCTGAATATGATTACGCATTCAAATGAGTTCGCAGTCACAAATATCACAGACCAGACCATTTTGTATTGAAGACTCGCAAGATCACAAAAGACTTACGGAAACGAGGAGAGAGAGAGAGAGTAAAGAACGACAATGTGAAAATGGGGGGAAAAAGAGTGCAATAACTAGTTCCGGAGTAAATGGAGAAAAAGAAGAGGAAAACAGTCGCATAAATAAATCTGAGAGATCAATTGGACACGGAGACATCAAAAAGAGGCGATCACAAGATGTGATCACGATGGACTTTCCATTCACAAGAACGGTTATCAGTGGGATGAAGGATGATGAGTTTGTGAGGGTCTCCAGTTCCGAATTAAGTAACTTTCTGCACTTGACACGTTAGGTATTGCTTCAAAAAACCGAGGGTCTATATTGCAGACCTAGAGCTTCAATGTTCGAGTTGACAACTTTTCCGTACAACGCCCACCCTCAGGTTAACTTAGAAAAAGTAATTCTTGAGAACCCACTTTGATGAAGCATAATTGTCTTCTGGTCGGCTGAGTGTGTACGACATCACGGATTACTGTAGCTCATGAACATTAGGTCAAGTGAATGTTATTCAAAAAAAACTTGAAAGATTCCACACACTACAGTAGCCTAGTGAACTTTGAAAGTTGTCAACAAGAAAGTTGCAAAAGGAGGTTTAGGAAGAAGGTGTACAGTACCCTACCATGAACGTTGGTAACCTCTTGCAGAATAAGAAGAAGATCGATTCAACTTTGAAAGATGAAGAATGAGGCCATGAACGGTGTCTATTCCCATCCAACTTTCGAAGGTTACAACACGAAACGAAAGCCATTCTCTCTTGAGTGACGAGTAAATTGGAAATTGAAATGGGAACATCTTCTGCGGGAGAGAGAGAGAGAGAGAGAGAGAGAGAGAGAGAGAGAGAGAGAGAGAGAGAGAGAGAGAGAGAGAGAGAGAGAGAGAGAGAGGTAAGATCTTGATTCGATTTGAGGCAACCGAAAAGAAAACAGAGAAAAGTTGTGTGGAAAAAGAATGGAAAAAAGGGTGAACCGGTTGTTTATTAGTGGATGGGAACGAGCGAAGAAACGAAGAGAACAAACAGATATACTTCTCTCGGTTATGAAGAATTTTGTGTTTGTCTTCGGGGTGAAAGGTTACGGGTGAGAAACAGGAAAGAACAGTGTGAAGTTCACACTGTGAAGGCAAAGAAGAAGAAGAAGAAGAAGAGAGGAAGGGGGGTAAAAAGGGGAAAAGGATGAGCGGTTGATGGTTGTGAAGGGAATTGGATTAGTGATGAAGGATGAGGGACTGTACTTGAAGTTCAGATTGTTCAGATCGCTTCGTTTGACGTTCTGGCAAATGCGCTCTACCTAAATCTAACGTAAAGTGCGGTGGAGCGCGACCTCTGTCTCTCCTACGTCATTTCCAGCAGTTCAGTTTCAGATGACTCCTTATCATCGGACACACTTCTAGAATCAGCTGACCATCCATCACAAACACTTGGGACAGTGACACTTTGGCAGGGAACACACCACAAACAACTGTAATCTTCTCAGAAAGAGAAAGAGGATCATGAAAAGAAGGTGATTTCCATTCGATGCCAAAGTGATCTTGAAATGTGTGTCTTTGTGTTCGTGTGCGTCATTTGATTGGGCGGCTATGAATCAGCTCGGCGAAACGTCAAATAAACCGGCGAATCGGACAGAGAGGAGCGTTTGGAAGTGTTCAGAGTGGACTTTGCAGTCTACATTTTACAGAAAAAGACTGATACCGTACTTGAGAGCCTAGGGCAGTTCATAAAGATGACATTGAAGAACATGTTGTCCAAGTTTTAGGCCAAATGATGACTTCTGGAGGCAATCGCGTACAGTACAGACTGTCCAAGAATAGCAAGCTCGTTCAGAAGGGATTTTTATACCGATTGTGTGCCCATAACGGTCCTTTTTTGTACAGTTTACGGAAGCGCTTATCCTTTCCCTAACCCACGAGGTCAACAATAGCCAGAACACAAAAAAACGCGCCAAAATGTCAGACAGAGAATAGAACACGAAACACGAAACGAATTGAATCGGTTTTAAGTAGGCACGGGTCACAAGTCGAAAGTTAAAAGTGACTCTCGGGTGAGTTTGAGACGTACTGATAACGACGATTTTCACTGAACACGCCTTTTATCGGCAAATGTGCATGCAGTTTTATTAGAGAAAAAGACGCGGAAACAACAATATTTATATTTACAGACGAAAGTAAAGCAAAAAAGTATGTAATTCAAATAAATTAACAAACTTCCTTTTGTATTTAGATGCTAATAATTTGTTTGGATGGCCAATGTGTCAAATGTTACCTACTGGTGATTTTCAGTTCGAAACTCAATCTTTTATCAATGTTCTCAATGGAGATACAAAGGACTATAATACATTTTTTGAAAGTTCAGGTGAAGAATGTAAATTTGAAGATAAATTGGATCTGAAGGACTATTTTGATTATTTGAAGAAATCAGATAGAGGATGCATCTTCGAAGTAGATCTTGAATATCCCAAAGAATTACACACTCGACACAATGATTTTGCCCTGTGTCCAGAAAATGTAAAAATTGACAAGCATAGTGTTAAAAAATTATGTAATACTTTATTTGATAATGGCTCGAGTCATACATTGAAATGAATGCTAATCTTCAAAAAAAAGCTGCAAATGATTTTGAGAAGGATTTCTTTAAATTTATGAATAACTCAGTTTTCGGAAAAACTATGGAAATGTTAGAGAAAGAGTTGATGTCCGTTTAGTTACTGATGAGCACAAAATAATTAAATTAACCTCAAAACCTAACTACAAAAAACTATTATACATAACAAAGAGTTATCTGCTGTAGAAATGGAGAAAACAAATATTGTACTTGATAAACCTATTTATGTAGGTTTTGCTATTCTAGATCTGAGTAAGTGGTTGATGTATGACTTTCATTACAATATTATGCAGAAGAAATATGATGATAATATTAAATTGTGCTCTCAGGATACTGATTCCCTTATCTATGAATTTTTTACATCTGACCTTTACGAAGATATTCAAAAAGATTCTACCTTGAAGAAAGAATTTGATTTCGGTGAAAATCCAGAAATTCATCCTCTTCACTCCAAAGAAAATAAAAAAGTTGTTGGAAAATTGAAAGAAGAATTGAATGGCTTGATAATGGAAGAACTAGTTGCCTTAAAACGTAAACAATATGCATATTAAATCGCTGAATAGACACGCGAAAACTTTAAAGAATATTACAATAAAAGATTTCAGGAAGAAAAAGAAAATCCAAAACCAGGAGAAGAGAATAAAAAAAGTAAAGGCATCAAAAAGAATGTTGTCAAGAATGAATTGACAGTTGATGATTTTAGGAACTGCTTGTTTAATAAGTCTATTCTGAGAAAAACACAGTATACTATTAGGACTGTTAAACATCAAGTATATACTTAATGCCACAATAAAGTAGCTCTGAATAATGACTATCAGGAAGAGCATAAACGTTAGATCATTAAAGATAGTCACAACACTATGGCTTTTGGAAATGTAAAAATCAAATAAATTATTTTATCTTAAATATTTTATATTAGTGTTCTTTATTATATATCAAAGATAAAATTGCACTTCTGAAGTCATTGTTTTCTAACAGCTTCAGAACAAGAATACAATAATAACCACAATGATGAGTTCCGAGTTCTATTTTATTTTTATTTTTTGCGTCATTCTCCTCCGTTGGACTCGGTCCAGGAGCAAGCTTCTTAGAAGTGCATCCTTGCCCATCTGAAGAATCAAATTTATAATTCCGACTTTCTGGGAATTCACCTTATCAGGCAAAGTGTCTCTCATAAAGATGCCACGGAAATGTTTTATTTTTAACTCATTGACGAGCTCTTCGAGGTTAATATTTGTTAGACTTGGTAGGTCTTTGCGGAGACTAAAAGTAGTCATTTAATAATAAACAAAACTTCAAAACTCGTGTAATGCGTCGACAACTCTTCTATTTTCAATTTCTTGGCTATGTGCGATTGTGAAAATCAAAATAATAAGTAAAGCAAAATTTTGTGGCACCCAAGCCTTAGGGGGATACCATTACATGCTATACTAGTATACAGCTGTTAGTCATCTTGGCCAACGCGCATACCGACTGGTCTATGGGTCCCCCCTCTCTGCCGTGGAAGATTTCTCCCCTATATATCGAGCGTGGCCTAGCAAAGAGACGCAGAGGAGACAGCCAGCAGTGAGGGGTGAGAGAGAGAGAGAGAGAGAGAGAGAGAGAGAGAGAGAGAGAGAGAGTGACACTTTGGCAGGGAACACACCACAAACAACTGTAATCTTCTCAGAAAGAGAAAGAGGATCATGAAAAGAAGGTGATTTCCATTCGATGCCAAAGTGATCTTGAAATGTGTGCCTTTGTGTTCGTGTGCGTCATTTGATTGGGCGGCTATGAATCAGCTCGGCGAAACGTCAAAAAAACCGGCGAATCGGACAGAGAGGAGCGTTTGGAAGTGTTCAGAGTGGACTTTGCAGTCTACATTTTACAGAAAAAGACTGATACGGTACTTGAGAGCCTAGGGCAGTTCATAAAGATGACATTGAAAAACATGTTGTCCAAGTTTTAGGCCAAATGATGACTTCTGGAGGCAATCGCGTACAGTACAGGCTGTCCAAGAATAGCAAGCTCGTTCAGAAGGGATTTTTATACCGATTGTGTGCCCATAACGGTCCTTTTTTGTACAGTTTACGGAAGCGCTTAGAGTTTGAGACGTACTGATAACGACGATTTTCGCTGAACACGCCGCCTTTTATCGGCAAGTGTGCATGCAGTTTTATTAGAGAAAAAGACGCGGAAACAACAATATTTATATTTACAGACGAAAGTAAAGCAAAAAAGTGTGTTACTCCACGAATTCGTGCATTAAGAGTCTCCCTTGATGTTCGGATGTCCCTCGAGGTACTCGCGGAAGCAGAAGCGGATTTTGTCGAACTGACCGATGCACAGCGCGTATTTGAGGTAGTCGGTGGGCACTCCGTTCGTCGTTTCGCAGTAGGCCATGCACGCGGGAAGGACTCCTTGACGTTGGCAGCACGCGGTGTGATCGGCACGGGAAGAGGCGCAGTCCCACATCTGACCGACGGTCGGACCCTTCGGAGAGCACTCGCCGAGGTAGCCGAGCACCTGGAACCGTTTCATATCGCTACAATAACGATAACGCGCTCTATCGCAAACTTTGAATTCTGTGGCCGTCGTTTCTGTTTTTGGCAAACAACAAAATTCAAACGAGGCACGTGAACGTTTCAGCAAACTGGTGAGAAGCAGTACCGGTTTTTCAAGACTATATATCTCAGTTGACTGAAGAGATATCAAAAAGTTGTCAACTAATCAATTATTCAGAAAGACATTGCACATATTTTATCAGTTGACAACTGTTTGCTATCGTTAGCGGCAGCTGAGCTACATTGTCTTGAATAGATGGCATTTGAGTGCTCTTCTAATACAAAGTTTACAGTTCATGCGTTCTTGCTCAAAGTTTTTTGTTTGTTTGTTTGTCTTTTTGCTCACCTGGTCTGGTCTGAAAGCCTCAAAATCGCAATACTTTCTTCTACAGTCCACGTCCGCATCCTTCAGTGATCGACAGCAAACTCTCAGCTTCTGGTTGGCATTTCTGCGGCCAGCGACTCCGTATCTAAACATTTCCTCTTCATTTTCAAAAACGCTGAGCAATCTTGTCTTACATCTGCTGAATGCGATCATGAACGGCGTTGGTGACTCCGTGCTGAGCTGGCGCCGCGACGAACTGCTGAGGTTGCGGCTGAGCTCCGAACCCGCCGGCTCCCCACTGCTGCTGCTGGGGCCACGCGGCCGCCGGTTGCTGCCATTGCTGGAACGGATTCCATTGCCAACCCTGGCCGGCGACCGAGACGATCAAAAGGGAACCGAGCAGGAACGGGGACATTCTGCAAAGGAAGCACAATAGCGAAGGGAACAGAGAAGAGACGGAAATGGACACAACTGTGTAGAGAAGGATAATAGCGAAGGGGAGGATTCGGAAACAAATGAAAAGATCATCCGGCTAGAAGCTGGTGAATTGTTGAAGAACGGGCGGGCCGAAACCAAAACAAAACAGAGATTGAAGGCTTTTATAGGGAACTAGTGTAAACCGAGTGACTAATCATCAGAAACTGTAAAGTAAGTGATGTTAGTTTGGGGGGAAATGGAAATTCGAAACGTTTTATTTTATTTTAAACCTATCTGGTCGCATCGAAGATCAATAACAAGATGAAGAAGACGAAGACAAACGAAATGGCAGGAAAATCAAATGTTTCGATTGGGAAGAAGTTCAAAAAGTTGAAACAAAACTTTCATACTTTAACTACAAACTACCAGTCACGAACGCGATAAATCAATGCGTCTAGCCAATGCAACAATAGAAATCGCAAGAATCGGGTGTGATAAGCAGCCAGATAATGACGAAAAGCCTCTAGCCCCAGCCACTGACCAAATCGCCCCTCTCCAACCACGGACCGGTCTTTTTCGTTTTCGATTTGTATTGCCCAACGTCGTCTTTTTCTTCTTCTTCTTGTTCACTTTTTGCGACATTTACAACAAGCGATACAAAGGAGAAAGACCGCAAAACGAAACGATTCGGAAGAGAATCGCTTTATTATATATATATATATGCATAGGTACATTCAATGACGGATCGCTTCGTGATGCTTCAGATGGGTGCGGAAGCAGAGGCGGTACTTGTCGAACTCGGAAGTGCACAGTCCGTACTTGAGCATGTCCGTCGGCACCGCTTTCGAGGCGTTGCAAAACGCCCGGCAGAGGGGCAGAACGTTCTGGAAATCATCTCTATACTACGGAAAAATAGTTAAAAATAAGGGAAACCATTGGTCAGTTACCCTAAGCTTTGAGGTTACGATTACTTGGTTAGTACAGCATTCCGTGTGATCATGCTTCGAACTTATGCAATCCCAAATCCTCGAGATCGTATTCCCTTTTGGCCACACTCGGCAATGAATGGAAGCACCTGAAAACGCATTTTTCGTTCTAATCCGCACAATGTCTCAAACCATGAACTGAGTAATTTGTCCAAAGTTACAATATTTGCTGGCGCAGCCCTTATCGATTTGTGGATCCTGAGCACAGCAGGCAACCAGCTTTTCGTTGGCATTCAGCGCCGAAGTTTGTCTGAAAATCGGAGAGAACAAGTGCTGAAAACTGAAAATCCAGACGAATACCCGATAAAAGGATGGAAAAAATAAGTAGTCGGGACATTAGGAATGCAAATGTGATCGAGTGATAAGAAGAATCGTTCCTATTTCTCGGAAAGCCAATCCAGTCTGTCGATGTGTTGTTTTGGTGGATTGGGATTGATTCACAGACCATAGATTACATATTTTATTCAATAAATCAATGCGAACTGAAGAAATAAGACCCGAAACGAGATTCACGAAGTTTGGGTGATTTTGAGTTTAAAAAGACGAACAAAAAAGAGGGGAGCAAGAGATCAAAAGTGTGGGGGACTAAAGGGTGCGTAGATAGAACTTCGAGTCATGTGGTGGCTGAGTGAGAAACTACCAGATACGGCACTTTTCGAACGGGTTCATCGGCGAGCCGATCGGACAGTCAAACTCTTTCGAGAAGGCCGGAAGGTTCTGGAGGGGCACGTTCACGCGGAACATTCCCAGCGAGTGCACGTCTGTATCCATTATGTGGTCGATTGCCGAGGGCTTCAGCGCTTCGCACCACGTCTGCAAAGCTCAAGTGTTTTCAGAAGCAAACGCGCTCTGTTGAACTCTTCTATTCAAAACAATATATCTTAACTGTACGTAGAGATATCAAAAAGTTGTCAACTAATGAAGTGCTTATTGAAATATTGCGCACATTTTCTCAGTTGACCACTTTTTGATATCTTTACAGACAACTGAGATATACACTTTAGAAAAGTGGTGCTCACATTGGCATAAGCCAGAAAGAAGAGTTGATTGGGACTGAATTCCGTGAGTCCCGGCAATCTTCTCGTCTCTTTTTCTCTATCCAATTTAAGTTGATAGGCCTGGAAAGCGACGCGAAGACCTCCGTTGTCGGCAATGTTCTCTCCGATCGTCATCTTTCCGTCGACCTAAAAAGTAAAAAGTATTTTACTTTCCACTTCACAGACAGTACCTTCCGTCCGGTATGCGGCTCGACCTTACTGCCATATTGCGCCACGAAGCACTGTTTTTTCTTCTGGAACGTCGTCATCGTCTCCGTGTGCCACCAGCCACGCAGATTGCCCTTCTCGTCGTACTGGGCCCCGAGATCGTCGTATCCGTGGGTGATCTCGTGACCGATTCCCATTCCGATCGCTCCGTAGTTGGCGAAAGACGGCGCGTCAGGCACGAACATTGGGAATTGTAGAATTCCGGCCGGGAAAACTGAAGAGAGAGCACTGTTTTAGAGTAAATTTCCGATGACTCACTGATCTCATTTCCGGTGAAATAATGGAACGCGTCGACCGCAATGATCGGAGACGCCCAATCGATAACGGACGGAGTGCGGTGAAGTTTCGACAAAGAGTCTCTGAATCCTTCGCTGTTTGAATTGTTTTGAATAAGTTCGCATTACCTGTAGGCAGCTTTTTTGAGTGAAATTGCATTGTCGAAGAACTGATTGGCAGTCAATCGGACGCCCGCGTAGGGCAACAAAACGGCAGTCTCATTGAGTAAAGAGTCGGGGAATCTGGAAAGTGGAATAGTACCGATCATTAAAAACAATATATCTTTTCTGCCGGTGGAGATTTCAAAAAGTTTTCAACAGATAAAATGTGCGCAATGTATTAATGAGCATTTTGTCAGTTGACAACTTTTTGATAGCTCCACAGGCAACTGCGAAACATTGCTTCAAAGTCAACTCACCCGATCTTATGCCCCATGGCGTCCAACTTCATGAGCGCGGCTTCTCTCGTCGACTCGTCGATCCAATCGGCGTTGAGCAGCGTGTGCTCCATCGCCTTTTTCAAATCTCTGATCATGTCCTCGGCCACTCCCTTTTCCCTCTTCGTGAAGAACTTGTGCGCGTACTCGGTCGACAACGGCATCGCCAGATTGTCCCTTACTTCGCCGACACAAACCTCCCAGAGCGGATCGTCCGAACTCACTCCGTACATTTTCTGCCGGAACTCGAGCATCGGTTTGCGAAACTTGGCGGGCAGGTAGAAATCGTAGTTGGAGACGAGGCACCACATGAGAAAGTTGTTGATCGAGCTGAGCGGTTTCGACTTGATCAGCGAGTAGAGATTGTCAAAGTAGTTGATGTCGACGACGTTGATCAGCAGGGAGTCGGGCATGCGGCCGAGGTTCGAGCGCATTTCTTCGTTGAAAAACGCGTCCCAGTTGATTTTGTCGTACTTTTTCTTGAAATCGCCGAAACTGATCATGTTGTTGATGGAGCTGTGGTTGCGGGAGAGCTCGATTCGCGTCAGATTCGCAATTCGCCTCTCGAAATCGATGATATCGTCGACCTGATACTCGATCACTCCCGTCTCGTCCTCCATGTCGACTCCGAGAAGAGACAGAAGCGACAGAATGTACTGACGGTAGTACTGAAGGTAGACGTTCGAGGAGGGCACCTCCCGGTAGAACTTCTTCTTCTCCAGGAACAGTTTGGGCGGTGAGAACTGAAAATTGAAAGGTCCCAATTAAAGAATACTGAAGAATAGGTGACCATGAGCACGTGTTTGTTGCTGTCATCGAACGAGGAATGCACAAAGACCCGGAAGATTCCGTCGATTCCATAGAGCGCGAGATGACCGGCAAGCACCTCCCATTGGAAATCGATCGAGTCAAAACGAGCATTGGTTAGTAGGGGCCAGCCACCGAGGTTCGAGATCAGAGACATTAGGGGTTGGACTCCCAAATCGTCCTGAGCAAACTCGTCCATGCAAGAGTCAAAGTAAATCTGCGCGAGCTTCATGGACCGCGTCGCATTCTCACGGGGCGTCTTCTCGAGTATATCTGAAGGTTTCTTTTCTAACACTGTACATTGGGCCCTCGTACCTTTCAAATGTCGATCGAGCTCCCTCTTCATCTCACTCAGCACCGTAACCTTCTTCTCGTGCTCCGCAATCACCCGTCTCGTCGCGTATTTTCCGCACGCGAACTCGTAAAAGTCTTCGCACGGACTCGCATCTCTGTTCATGTTGTTCAAGTAGTTGGCCGCCAATCGGATGCACTCCCCGGTCAGACACGTCGAGTTTTCGGCGCCGAACGAAAAGTTGATGTGGTTCGGCGAGGCGCTTCCGCCCTCGTGCACATCGCCATCCGCGTTGGCACACAGATCGTTGCCTGGAGTCGGAAACGGAAAGTCAGTTGTGATTGTGGTGGTGGAGGTGCTAGTGGTAGTCGTCAAATTAGTAGAATTGATCGGGGGAAGGTAGGAGAAGGCCTGCCACGTGGCCATCAGAAACTGGAATACCTGAGACAAGAGTGGAGAAGCCATCCGAGAGGATCGCCACAATTGTGATGAATGAGATGGAAATGAGGAGGGTGAGGATGAAGAGGGCGGCGAACACGGCCGCCAGTCTCGCATTCCTGCAACTTTTCCCTTTTTCGACTCATGATGCACACGTCACACGCACACACCCTATTGACACGTTTTCGATTCGGATTTCGATTCGCCTCCTTCATTTTTTTATTTGAAATCATCGACGCAAGCGGGTGCCAACAAGATGGTCAACCGGAAAGCGTGCTGATTGGAGACACGCAGACAGCGGCTCGCGGCAGGAGCTCGCTGATTAGGCTTGTCCGAAAGGCAAAGCTAGAGAGCGGGGATGAGAGAGACGGAGAGCGGGCAGAGAGAGAGAGAGAGAGAGAGGAAAGTGATACCGGGGGGGAAGTACTCGAGGAGGGCACTGTATACACAGTGAGTGAGACCAAAACATTTGGAGATAAAACTGGCTCAGCAGCAGGACTTCTGGCTCTTCGGTTATTGATATGTAACACACGTGTGTGAAGTGGCAATGCTCAGCTATTGTAGACCTAGACAAGTTGATGTATTTCAGCTGCCGGTGAAGCTATCAAAAAGTGTTCAACTGATGAAATGTGTCTTTACTGACAGCTGAGATAAAATCTCATAGCGACACCCTCAGGGACTAGTTCCCCATACAACTTTTCGCTACACAAAACCCAGTGCCCCTACTTGACACCTACCACATTCCATCTTCTTTTCGCAATTTCTCTCAATGCGTCTACCAACATCTGGTTTTTTGCGGGGAGGGGTGTACATAAATGGAGGTTATGAACCGGCTCAATCCATATTTGAGGGAGAGCACAATGTAACAATGCTCTCGAAAATGACCAGGGGGGACAAACATTGAGATCCACGTTTCTTGGCTTGGCACAAGAAAGAAAAGAAAAGAAACATGTCAGGAAAAAGTGATCTTATGCGGGTAATTTGAGACACATTTCTTTGCAGCTGAAGTTCAAGTGTCTTTTTGGCAACTGGTACGCACTGCCGTTTATTCAAGGCTATGTATTTCAGCTGCCGGTGGAGATGTCAAAAAGGAGTCAACTGCAAAAATATGCACAATATCTTGGTTATCAATTTGTTAGTTGACATCTTTTTGATATCTCTCTCGGCAGCTGAGATATATCGTCTTGAATAAACGGTACATTACGGTACTCGGAGAGGCTTACATACTTTCGATCTCGTTCCAATATTTTGGTCATCGAGTAGTCGATCATAACACTTTTCTTCTTGTTCATGCGGAGAGAACAATTGGGCAGTGGCGGGAATAGTTAGGAGTGATTATCACGCATAATAGAGGTGATAATAATGATAATCACAAAGTGTCAGCCTGCTCGTTTTCGCGTCGTTTTCGCGCGCACGGGCGCCAGACAATCGGATTGGCACACAATCGGTTTCGGTGGTGAAGTTGGCTGGAGAGAGAGAGAGAGAGAGAGAGAGAGAGCTCACGGGAGCAGGTAACCGGGGGAGGAGCCGCCGAGCCAGAAGCAAGAAGCCGGTTTCTTCCGGGCGGAATAGTGGGCGAGTGCGAGAGACGCACAGATTACCGAAATGGGAATGAGATGGAGAGAGGAGGAAGATCAGGATGTTTCAGGTACGCGTGGGTGGAAAAGAGAGAGAGAGAGGGAGAAAGGCACAAAGAAATGATTGCCAATAACAAGAGGATTTCCAGTAACTTGAGAGATCAGGTGATCCTGACAGCTCTCCAATCATATCTCTTCCTCTTTCTCTTCTTTTTCTTCTGCTCCCGTTATTTTCAGGACTGAAAAGATCGCGAGCGAACAAAAGAGTCATTCACTTCTTTTTTTACGACAAGACACTAATCAGTTCAAGGATTTCATTTGAGAGAGAGAGAGCTTAGCAAAGTGTGCCTGGAAAGAATGAAATTCCTCGGTATTCTGGGACTTGTATCTCGAGAGTCTATGATTATATCAAAAAGTGATCAACTAGAAAGTTGTAGTAAATCTCAAGCTGACAAGCTCTGTAATCGATCATTTTTGGGTGAAGCAGTTTGTTCCCGAGTTATGAGCCAATTTCTTAGCAGTCAAATCCTAAGCCACGAAAAGCTGAATACTGTTTATTAAAGTCACTATATCTAAGCTCTCAGTTGAGATATCAAAACATTGTCAACTAGTAAATTGCGCATTGAAATATTGTGCATATTTTTTCAGTTGATAACTTTCAGATAACTGTACAGGCAACTTAGATACATCGTCTTGAAAGTTTTACGGTAAGTTGTTGATCTTTGTAGTGTGGAGGTGAACTAGAATTGAAAACCCTGCCACGTCATCATTCACGAATGCAGTCCCAACCACTTGACTACTACCTGATTCATCGCGCATCCAAATCGGTACAATTCGTAATCAATGAGAGCCGAGAACGTGAGCTCAAACCACTTGAACTCTCTCATAATAACCGCTCGCTACCACTTTACGGGGCGCTGGTCAGTTTCCGAATGTTTTCACACAAAGTGCGCCTTTTGGCTACTGCTTTCAAGTAGCCGCCGACCCCCACCGCTTTCCCGCTCACAAATATTGACCGACGCAAATCTTCGAAATCCCTCCAGATTTGTCGAAACGCGAGCATTACTAGTCAAGAAAAAGACTCACCGATCGGGAAAATGCTCCAAATGGCTCACGTCGCTCGATGAGCAATCGCTGATTACTGTGGCTCCGGAGGATGAGTTTGAGCTGCAAGAATTTCAGAATTTTCGAGGATTTGGAGGTTCTGAACGTACCGCCCACCGCCGGAGCTCGTCGTTATTGTCGTTGAGGAGGTATTTTGGCGACGGCTGAAACAACTTCATTTTACTGAGGCTATTAAAGTCTGGCGAATAAGAAATAGACTGCTAGTGCAAAAATTTGAGCTAACAGAGCTGTTTTACCACAAATTTGACCACAAAACCTGTAATAGGAGCGTATCCTAATAAGTTTTATTCAAGACAATCTATCTCAGCTGCCTGAAAAGATATCAAAACATTGTCAACTAACAAACTGATCATTAAGATATGGTGTACGTTTTATTAGTTGACCACTTTTTGGTACCTCTACAAACAGCTGAGATATTACACGTTTTACTGTAGATGCCATTCGACAATTCAGTCTTCAGTTTCTCAGATTCTACAAGCTATACTCACTTTTGAAGGATCTTCTCCTCGACCGACACAATTTTGATATCGTCGGAAGCGTCAACGGCGCCCAGTTTGACAAGTTTAACAGTAATCAGTGAGCAGATTACCGTGGGCGGCCCAAAATAGGCGGCGCAGAGTGGACCAAGAATGTTTCCGAGAGGAACAGAACAAGAGGTGTAGAAAGAAAAGAAAGGGAAAAGAGATTTCTCCTCAACTCCTGTCCTTCTTCTTCTTCTTCTTCTTCTTGTTCGGCTTTTCAAGAGCGCAAAGGCACGGTGGACGGCGAGAGAGCGCGCAGGATGGAGAGACGCAGAGAGTGGTGATTGTGGCCGGACGGGCTGTTAACACGGCTCTTCTCGAGTAGCAATGGGGCGCCAAGCGGGGGGAGAATGAGCGGAGCGGTCAAAATGATCATGTTTCAGAGATTACACGGCTGACTCTACAGTAACCTTTTAGAAAATTGAAGCCAACTACCAAAGAAACTTTAATAAAAGGACTACTTTATATAAAGCAATAGATCTCAGCTCTCAGTTGAGATATCAAAAAACTTACAACTACAAAGTTATTCTTCGAGAAATTTTGTACATTTTGTCAGTTGACTACTTTATGATATCTCCACCAGCAGCTGAGATACATAGCCTTGAATATACGGTATCGAATGCAACTTTTGATCTCCGAGTCTTTTGCCTCCAACGCATCAAACACCTCATTTAATCCGGCGCAAACATGCAAAGACCACAAATACTGTGAACTCACTTCTTTTTGTCGGTCAACTGGAAGCCGTAGGAGGGGTTGAAGGCGAAAAAAGAGTTTTTGTAGCTCCAACTCGCTGTCGTCATCGTGTTCTCTTTCTTTTTTCGTATGGTCATTCTGAAAAGCGACTTTTTCTTTGCTGCTTAGTTCCGACTATTGGATCGTCAAAAGAGAACTTGCCACGTCATTGAGAACTTTGAGGATTGAGATGAAGTTGGTGAAGGAAGGGAAGGGAAGAGGAGACAGAAACTGTACGATTCTTGTCTACACTATATCGGAGACAATTGAGGAGGTGAGGGGGAAAAATTGCTGCTCGAGGAGATTTTCGAGTGGATCGAGATTGGGCGGAGACACGGAAAAGAAAGGGGAACGAGACATGACCTTTGAGGAAACGACTGGGTTCGGAGCAACTTTTCTCGAAGAGAAATGTTGCCAAAAAACGGTCTGCAACTGGCCTTCTTTCTCTCTGCTGGACCCGGCCCCGTTCAGCCCCCACGCAGCTCTTTTTTCATTTGAAACTTAACACGGGTCACAATAGAATTAGGCGCCCGCCGAAACAGTAACATTTGTTAAGCCGATGTGCAACAACTGACGGAGCAAATTTCGAAGATTTAAGAGGAGGAGGTTTACTATGCTAGAGACACGCTGAAGAGGTTGAATTTCACCGTGAACTTCCTTTGTTCGGACATTTATCCAGGATTTTGGAGCAATCTGATAAGGACTGGCTATAAAAGGAGGGAAAGTGTGAGGATCCGCACAGAGTCCCAACTCTCTCAACCGAATCGAATCGCCATGGCCCAATCCGTGCCCCCAGGAGACATCGCCACGCAGCCGAACGCGAAGATCGTGTTCAACGCGCCGTACGACGACAAGCACACCTACCACATCAAGGTGATCAACTCGTCGGCCCGCCGCATCGGATACGGAATCAAGACGACGAACATGAAGCGTCTCGGAGTGGACCCGCCGTGCGGAGTGCTCGACCCCAAGGAGGCTGTGCTTCTCGCCGTCTCGTGCGACGCGTTCGCCTTCGGACAGGAGGACACGAACAACGACCGCATCACGATCGAGTGGACCAACACCCCCGACGGCGCCGCCAAGCAGTTCCGTCGCGAGTGGTTCCAGGGAGACGGAATGGTTCGTCGCAAGAACCTCCCAATCGAGTACAACCCATAACGGAAGATAATGGAACTCTTGTGTTTGTGTGCAGTTTTGCCGAACGTCAATAAATGATCACAGAGTTATGCGTAGCCATTCATTTATTCGGACCTTGACCTTAAAAGTCGCTATTCTCCGTTGAAAATCAGAAAAGGTCCAAGCTTTCATACTAACTTTCATACTAACTAAGCTAGTAGTGGCATTGGAAACGTCGCGGACCCGAGTTCATTTAATAGTGGGTGAAACAGTAAATGTCGCAAAACATGAGAAAAGACGAGGAAAAATGTTTGTGAGAAGAAGGGTTTGCTGTGTGAGCCCAGCCCATCCGGTATTCGCCTTGGCACCAGGTCATCCATCCTGTTCCTCGACATGGATCCTGATCCTCGGCGAAGACCCTGAAGACAATACACACATATTGTATTGGGCACCCCTTTTGTGTGTGTGTTTTTTCTCTCGATCACTTTTTTGTTTCAATCTATCCGCAAGCGACGCGCGGTGGTGCAAAACTATGAAACTTTTGTTTGCGCAAAGAGCCGCCCGGCCGTCCGTGTTATGAACGGATGGGACGGACAGTCAAGGCGAGCGAGAAAGTTGAGAAGGGGGGCACATGGATCGGATCGGATATGCTAACGGGAGTGACCGGCGAGACGCCGATTGTTTTGCTTGTTTGCACATCTTTTCGCTGTCTGCTGGCGGCTACTTGTATCTGGAAAAGAAGACAAAAAAGGGTAAATAGAGAATGGAGGAGGAATAAGTGTGAACGGAATCGGAAACAAACCAAAAAGTTCACTTTTTGGGGTTGGGAAGCTGAGAATGAAAGGGCCTGGTTTAATGAAAAAGTGAAATCGGTAAGGATTCCAACCTTTGAATAGTTGTGACACAACTGAAGAACAGCCTATCGCATTCCACTTTTCCAATGCCAAACATCTCTTTTGGTCAGGACTGAGCTCTGCTGGTTCAGGCTTTTTGAAGGCATGCCGACTCTTTTGAGTCTCCATAGAAACATGGATCTTCCGGCATAACCTCTCTTTCACTCTGACTCACAATAGCTCTAATTCCAGACGCCCTCATCTCACGTCACTTCCAGCACCACATCTTCGGTCTCTTCGCGCCGGTCATTGTCGTCAACACTGGTCCGGATGGGGTCTCCTGGGGCACCGCACCGATATCCATCACACCACCACCACCAAATATGTACAAATCCTTTTGCGCCCACACACTCTTAGTTCTCGCGCGTTTCGCGTGACTTGTCAGAACTTGTTCCCCCTTGGAAACGAGCGAATCAGAAATCTGTGAGATGACGTGCTTCGCGCCACTAATTAGGCTAATTATGTCCGTTCTGCTGCTGCTCAGCTCCGGCACTGAAATTAGCCGGTGACGGGCGGGACGACGTGGATGCGCACGACACAATAAAAATGAAAATAGGAGCGAGCTCGCCCTCTGTTTTGCCTGACCACTACAATAAAATTTGGATCTCCGCTAGTGTTCTTCTCGTTTTCATGCTCACTAACGCTCAGCATTCTATTTTTATTTTCACCTATCACTTTTTCAGGGAAAATGACAATATTCAGTTTTTGCGCGATTCTCCTCTGTTACCTCTGTCATACAGTGTTTTCTTACTATATTCAGGTAATTATTCACACGACGAAAAGTGTGAACACTGAAAAATTCATGCATTTTCAGACAAAACGCTTCGATTATGATCCGTCGCCGATTCTAATGTACAATCAGATGTATTCGCATTCAAATTGGAGACCGTATCAGTATCAAACTGATCGATCAGTCGAAGAAGGTTAGTTCGATGAAGCGCGGTAACAATTTCAACGCAAACTTTTTCAGATGTGGTGCCCGATTGGGAATCTTTGGGCGACGGCGGAACGATGGACAAGCGAGTGACGGCCGATCAGATAAATTCTTTGTTGAAAAACGCGTGGCTCGGTCGATAGCTCTTTTCGATCAATAAACTGTTGTCCGGTTAACTCTTTTTTTTCTGTTATTTCGTTTTGGAAAATCTCCTTCGAAACCTGCAAAAAAAGAAAATTCCCGCCAATATGGCCTAGGAAACGACAGAAATTTTCGCGGCCGCGCATGGTGTACTCCTCTTGGACAATGCCGAATGATTTATTTTTCGCTTGCAAACATGTTTGTGACTAGAAATTGTCGCTTTTTGTTTGAATTTCAGCCATTTTTTGTGGATAAATTTATTAAATTCAGCCGAAATGGCGGCTGAGTCCCTTTGGAAAGTGCGACCTGCCGCCCGAAAGTTTAAAACAGACCCGGATACATTGATTCCGGCGGTTCGGCATCCATTAGATGATAGCGAGAATAGAAGCAAATTGTCAGCGTTTTGGACGTCGAGGAGTGCAAGAACGGGACGAAAAGAAGAAAATGAAGAGGAAAAATACACTTTTGAAGACCCACTAGGTAAGATTTTCAATGTGTCAGTGATAAATGAAAAACCTCGCTAATAAGCTCAGGCGCCACAATCGGAGACTCTGAAATCGAAGAAAACGTAGATCGGGACGTGCTTCAGCCGACCGTCAAGCCTCGGAGCATATCCCTGGACAATACACTCGAAAATCGGAAATCCGATCGTTCCACTTTCGACATCGAACTGCCGGACTTTCAGCCGTGGCGAGAAAAACGCGCACAAATTGCGTCGATTGCGAAACCAAAAGAGTTTGGAATGTCGCAGATTGATATGCTGAGGGCGCGACTGAAGTTGTTGGCCGACGAGAAGAATCTGAGGAGTTTGAAGAAGGCCGGAGACGTTTCACAGAAGTTTCTAATGCTCAGAGAGAACATGATCAGCGCGTGGGGAAGGGAGGATCGAGTGGAAGCGTTTAAGGTCCCTCAAGAGCCAAGGAACGTTAAAAATTTTCATTGTTTTACAGATTGTTACAGAATCCGCGCATCTTCTGCAGTCGATTCCACCGTATTCGGAAGAGTATCCCTACTATTGGCTTCTGGCGATCGACGTCGTTGACACCTTCGGAAAACTTGTCTTTGATCGACTTTTGATCAAATCCAATGAAGTTTGACCCATTCTTAGTCGTCATTCATCCCAAATCAGTATTTTCAGGCCCGAAACAAAATGGGACAGACTGATCTCTCAGCCAATTTCACCGTGGAACAAGTGCCAAAGTCCGTGAAGGATATGGCGATGAATTGGTTTCTGAAGCTGTCGGAAATCATTGATATTCCCGTGAGATTCTATAGTAAGCTTTATTTTCAAATTTATGTGATTACCTTTCAAAAATAAATTAATTTCAGTTGAGTGCTCGATGATTATCTGCTTGAAATTCTTCGACGAATCCAATTTGCCAATCAACTTGGAGAGACTCGCACTGATGTGTTCTCGTGAGTTCCAACATCAAATCTCTTCTTTGTCACCAATTCTTCTTCAGAGTTTCCGGACGACCTCTCCTCGATCTTCGCGCGCGTGCACATTTCCCGCTACAGTATGCTCATCCAGCCGCTCAACCGAACCCCCCATTGGCGTGTTCTTCACGACTGGATGCAGGCTCCGAAAGACATTATGGAGGACACGCATCGGAAGAAGACGACGGCGGCGGAAGAACGAAAACAGGCGGTCTCTATCCAAGCGATCGCGTGGCTTGTGCAGTGCGTGGCTCATGGAGCACACACCGTCGAAGACCTCGTTCCGTTGTTCGCATACTGTAGGAAGACGTTGCCGCTCGACGAGAAGACGTTCATCCTGGTGGCGGCGGTGATCGAGGGCCTGCCTTCGAAGTATCTCGCCGTGCACGCCGAGCAGATCCTCGACATCGTTTTCGCTCTTCACGAAGACTTTGAAGAGCCGTTAGCTCGGCTCGGAAGGCGTTACACTACAGTTCCTCCGATCGAGGAGAATCGGAAGTTCGTGAAAAGGTAGAAAAGCATTGAAAATATCGAAAAGAAAAACTTGTTCAGATCGGTTTGGATGCGAGTCGCCGACATTTCAGATTTCCAGACATTTGTGGATTGTTGTACATCTTGGACAGCGTACATTGCAAAATATTATTCTGTTAAAGATGTGAGAAAGATTCTGGACTTGGTGTTAGTTCGGTTGACAGTCGATGAGAAAACGAGGAAACCCGAAAACACGTCGATCCTCGTCGATCTGCTCTCCTCGTTCATCGAGCACGTGCCCGAGAACTCCGCGTGTCTCTCCGTCGCCACTTCCGCCGACTTTATCTCGATCGTCGATATCATCGGTCACGACATCGAATCGACGTCCCAGTGCTCGAGAAGAATCTTGGAAATTTTGACGAAACGATTCGAAAGAGCTCGATTTCGGACATGGACGCCTGTCAAATGATCATTGAAAAGTGCCGAACAATGTGCAGAAAGTACGGATTGGAGGAGAGCGAAGAAGTGAAAATCGTAGAGCAACTCGTATGCTCTTCCTATTCGCTCATCGATTTCCATTCGATTTCCGACAGAAATCAAAGTGTCGAGCTGATAGTTCGTTGCCGAGAAGACATGGGATTACGGCAGAATGTGCTAATTGTAGGCGAATAGTTTTTTTTTCAAAGTAATCACCTCATTTTCCAGCACATCATCACATTTCTATTCGATTTTACTCAATTCACGCACGCCACAATGAAGAGCGGGAAGAGGAAAGCGGACTTCATGAGAGTTTGCATCACGAATCTGGCGCTGACGATCCCGGCCGTCCGAGATGTGCCCAGAAGGATTCGGATGACAGGGCTGAACATTCAGATGGCCCAACTCGCCAACTTTCTGCCGCAGATCGAAGTCTCGTGCGAGCGAGTCATCGAGTACCTGGAAGTGCTCTCCGCCTCTCCCTGCTCCATCATCTCGCCACTCATCGGACAGTTCCTCCCGATTCTCTGCATTATTCCGGAAGGCTTCAACCCGGAAAAGCCGTCTTTGACCCACTTTTCCAAACTTTTAGCTCTGGTCGAAAGGAACCACGAAAGCTGGTCGAAAGAGTCCAGGGGCGTGCCACTCGCCGAGATCTACATCAACATGCTTCGATATCTGTGCGCCGCGCGACAAGTGGATCCGCTCAGATCATCGGGTTGCCAGGAGATGCACGCGGGAGATCAAGATCATTTGTGAGACTTCCGATTCCGTACTCTGACGACTGACGTTTCTGCAGGTCGCGAGTGGATGCCAACATCTCCGACGTCATCGCCAAACTCTTCTCGCTGGCCGCCGAACCGTCGATCGCTGTTATCGCGCTTGAGAACGTCGTCATGCTGTTTGAGATTCATGAAGAGGTGGGTCGAATTCAGAAGCTTTCCAACTTGAACTCTTTGCAGATGCGCTCCACCATTCGCGGTCTTCTGAAGCGGTCCGTCGGCGCGTCGGCCAAACTGCAATCCCGTCTCGACGTCATCATCCAGGACCTGCGCGAGGAGGCGGAAACGGATCAAAACGTCCGAGATATCCTCCAACGATTATCACTTTTGTAGTCAATATTAACTTAGCTCGCCCTTACTTCCTTCAAAGTTCTATGTCCAATTATTACGGGAAACTCTCACCACTCATTGTGATTTCAATTTCACCGCTCGCTTTCTTAGTAATAACAGTAACAGACTTCTTATTTGCACTTTAGAATCAGACCAGTTTTTCCGTATTTCATATCTATCGGTCTTCATGATTACAATTATTTGTGAATTCAGCGGGTAAAATGGCCGACGACGGGCCGGATTCGTTCGATTCGTTCGACCCGTTCGAAGAGGACCGAATGGATATATCTGGAACTCTGACACAGCCGATCGTGCTCGACGATTCGGACGATTCGTTCGACGCGGGACCCGCCAAACCGACGGTCCTCGATCGGAAAGCCGTCGTTGAAAAGTATCATATGCTCAAAAAAGAGGCGGAGCAGCTGGACGAGCTCGCGAGGGAGGTCAGGAATCTGGTGCTGATCTGCAAGCAAATGGAGGAGTGCTACTCGAAGCGGGTAAATCGGACCGAGATGCTCGCGAGTTCCGCGGAAGTTCGGCATCTGCACGACGGCACCGCCCTTCTCCTCGTCACCGTTCACAATATTACGGACCGTCCTATGGTCGACTGGATTCTCTCTATTCATCCCACTCCGATCCATCCGCAGATTGCCAGTACCTCCAGCCAGACCATCGCCCTGGGCTCTCTTCTTCCGGGCACCCGGAAGACCTTCGAATGCCACGTGGCACGAGACGCGTGCGCACCGCCCGTCCTTTTGCAGTTGTCGCTGATCCGCGAGTTCCAGTTGGAGGAGGTTCGGAAGGTGTTCCACGTGGATCTCGATCCGATTTGCGTGACTCTTTGGGATGAAATGCAGAGGATTAAGGATCGGAATGTGAATTCTGTACGTGAAAACTAGTGCATTCTTATTTAAAAAAAAACAATAATTTCAGAGCTTCCACACGTCAATCCGCCTCCCAAACTGTCTGATCGACCTGCTCTCCGGCCGTCCCGACACCGTCGTCACGCCTTCACAAGTCTTCCGCGCCGTCCTCCACCTCGACGTCGAACCGAACACCTCCGACGTCGTTCTGTGTCTCCAGTCTTCTTCATCGTCAGTACTTGTCAAAATCAGCTGCTCGCGAGACGGAGGCACGCATCACTCGCTGAGCATCGGCACGGAGAGCTCGCGGAGCCACGCGGCACTCGTCGAGCAGCTGCGTCTGCGTCTGTGTGTGGAGATGTCGAAATTGAAGTCGCGGCCGGCGAAAAAAGGGATAGGAATTGTGGCAGAAATGGGCACGGCCGGCTCGATTGAAGAGCTCTTTCAGTCTACGCTCTCCGCCTTTTATTGAGCGACTCGTTAAGCTCATTTCGTCTCTATTCGGCCCCCGGTTTTTAGTCATCCAATTTTACGCAAATTCCTCTCATTTTTTCATGTCACAAATAAAAAATCGATTTCTGTGTTCAGTTTTGTGCTCGCGTCAGAGTAAAATGTGCTCTCGCCTCCTCGCGTACTTGTTTTCATTTGTCATCCTCCCGTTTCTCTAGCTTTCTCGCCTTCTTCTCAGACTTTCGAAAAATCCTTTTAGAAATGAGCAGCGCATTCGTCGTCGGAGCCACCGGAGCCGTCGGTTCGGAGCTCGTCAAACTGCTCAGCGATTCGTCAAAATTCTCAAAAGTCGTTCTGTTCGCAAGACGCTCCGTCGACGCGGCCACCGGCGACAAGTTCGTCCAGAAGACTGTGGACTTTGAGAAGCTCGAGGAGAACTCGGAAGACGTGCGTGGCGTCGACGTGGCATTCTGTGCGCTGGGCACCACTCGCAGCAAGTCGGGGCCGACGGATTCTACAAAGTCGATCACGACTACGTGATGAATGCTGCCAAGTTGGCAAAAGAGAACGGTTAGTTTAGATATCAGCCAGTATTTTCACCTCAAAATCATGGCAATCCCACGTGAAACTCGGCCGCGACCTTTCACGCGAAGAGCGGTAAAGCGCGGTTACCACACTTCTGCTTTATGCTAAATTTTAAATATTTTTCCAGGCGTCAAGCAATTCGTGCTGGTTAGTGCGGGCGGTGCCGACGACAAGTCGATGTTTCTGTACCTGAAGACGAAAGGACAGGTGGAACGGGAGATCGAAGAGCTAAATTTCGACAAATTCATCGTGATGCACCCGGGACTCATCGAGACGAAACGACCGGAATTCCGGCTGGGAGAAGTCGTCGGATCGGTGTTTTTGAAGCCGTTGCGATTCGTTTCGAATCGATTCTCGAGCTCCGCCACTGAAATCGCGCAGGCGATGATCACCGCGACGCAGACTGAAGTGACCGGAAAGCACATTTGGGACAATGTGAAGATCGTCCAAGAGGCCAAAAAGTATTCGGCCTGATTTTTTTCGTTTCTTGTGTCTTTTTGACTCATCTAAGTTTACAAATGTTATCAGCTTTTATTAAAATAACAAAGTTAAAACAAATAAAAATGTAATGTACAAGTGGGAGCACCGGTAATTCAGAAGAAAGGTTTGGCACAGACTGAGGTTGTTAGCAATCATGACTGGGATTGTAGAAAATAGAACGAATAAAAGGACACGAACAAAAAGAGCACTCCAAAATGGGCGGCTCCCGAAGCGTATTCCATTGAGCCAGGCGTTCCGAGTCGGATGCTCCGTGGCGCACTGATGGGTCCGATGCCTCCGGGATTGTATCCGGCCACTTTTATAGTGTACATGTACATCAGCTTCAAGCCGTCCAGTCGGGCCGACGGGCTCCGACGGTCCGAAAGGCGCTGGACGGGCATGTCCAGTTCGATGGCTTCCGTCGCCGTTTCCGAAATGTAGATGTAGATCTGTAGAAGAAGATGGTGGCCGTGACCGAGAATTTGACAAACCTTGTATCCACAGCCGGTTTCCGTCCGATTCGCCTGCTGCAACTCGATCATCGACCACTCCAGAATCGTTGTGTAACTGTCCTTCTGCAAGTTCTCAATTGCAAATCCAGTTCCGAGTAGATCTTTCCTCACCATCTGCTTCATCATCAACTTCTTGATCTCTGGTGCCTCACTCGGCGGATGTTGTTTCGTGTGAATCCGGAATTTCTTGCTCGGCGGTCCTACATTGCTCTGAAACAGAAGGAATATGAAAGAACTTCAAAATTGTTACAATTACATGATTATCGACGGCTTTCAGATCGCATTCATAGCCAGTTTCAGCTTCCAGTCCACTCAAAAGCCAGAAGGATCTGTCACTGGCCACGGTGGCCGAAACCTCTGACCCAGAAGGATCCAGACAAGAGATCTGCACGGCGTGCTTTGTGTCGCAGTCGGAGGAGGTGTCCCACGCCCACGAGATGTTCACGTGCGAGGCATTGATCGGTTTCACGTTGTGCATCGACACTTTCTTCAGCTCTCCGTGACTGTTCAGGAACGCGATGGTATCTGTGCTCACAGATCCGTTGCCCTGATCGTTGACGGGTCGGACCGCGAGCACAACCATCCGGCATCCTTCCGTCGTGTTCAACTTTAGGATTGCTTGAGGTTGATCGGAATCTGAAAATGAAAACAAAGGAACGTCTCCCGGCCTGTTCAGTCAACCTACCCAAATGATACTGCAGTTCGTCCTGATCCATTCCCTCGAATTCCGTCTTATTGCCCACCGATGCTTCGCTCCAAGACACACGATATCTCAAATTGTCTCCAGAAGCGTCCTGCCCCAACTCGATGGGCTGCCACTCGACGAGAAGCGTCTGCGAATCCAGGCTCCTCCACTTCAGACTATCGATGGTTTCCGTGGGTGCTCCGGGCGGAGTTCTGACCCATTCACTGGGCATAGAGGGCTCTCCGACGGCCGCCGCTTCGACGGATCGCACACGGAACTGGTACTCGGTGTTGGCCAGCAGGTTCTGCACTGTGATACTGTCCTTTTCCATGTTTGCGACGACTTGACGCTCGGCGGCACGCCACTTGCGGTTCTTTCGAGTGCGGAATTCGACGAGGTATCCGTCGACTTTGGGCTGAAATGGAAGGGAAGGGATGAAATGAATCTCAAGATGAAAGTGAAGCCTCACCGAATGATCCCTGGTGTCCCGATGCTGTGGCGGAAGTCTCCATCTCAACCTGAACTTCTTCTTCTTTCCGACCGAATTCTCCTCCATTTTCTCGACGGTCAAAGCAATCGGAGACGGCAGTTGGGGCCTCGTGATCACCTCCGAACTTCCGCCGTAGAGCGACGAGCACGCGAACCTTCCGATGTGCTTGCCGCCCAAACTCTTCGGCACCTCCACCTCCACCTTCTGCTTCACATGTCGTCCCTTGTGCCCGCTCTTCTTCTCGTGAACTTTCGGCTTCAGAGACGGATACTCTTTCGACGGACGGTCGTTGATCTTCCATTCGAACAGGGCTTCTGGGCATTCCGCACTGTTCTCGCAGGTCAGCTCCACTTCGCAGCTCATGTTCACGGTGTCCTCGTCGAGGTAGTTGGTCTTGATCGACGGTTTGTTCATCACAATCAGCTGCACTTGAGCGTGCGCCTTTCCGAGTTTGTTATGGGCGGTACAGAAGAAGAGGCCCGAGTCTTCGTGCAGAACCTTCTCGATGCTCATGATCCCTTCCTCGTCTCGGATCCTTCCTTTCTGGGGAAGACGCGCGCCTCCGGCATCCGCCCATTTCCCGTGGAACCTCGGCGACGCTTCGAAGATGCACGGGATGCTCACCGTGGATCCGAGGGCTGCGAACACCTTCCGTGGCATCGCATTTTGAGGGAAAATGGGCGCGGAGTCTTTGATTGTGAGCAACGCGGAGCTGGAGGAACTGCCGACTTCATTCGACGCCACGCATTGGTACACTCCTGAGTCTGATTCCTCGGCTAATTTCAGATGGAGCACATTGTGATCAATCTTCAGACGCTTCCGTTTTTCCGGGGGAAGTAGGAGCGGGACAATCGGTTTCGCGTCTTTGAACCATTCGACCGAAGAATAACTGTCCGCGTTGGACAGTAAACATTCGAACGAAACCTCGGATTCGGTGGGGACCAGACGGTCGTGCAGGCCTTGGAGGATTGTGGGCGGTGCTGGAAAGGAAGAATGTGACTACGGTAATCATCTACAGTATCCCTACCTCTCAACTTCACATGAACCTCGCCGGCGGCTGCTCCAAGCGAATTCGTCGCCACACACTTGTACTTTCCTCCGTCGCCATAGTTCACCTTATCAATTTTAAGCATTCTACCGTAGTTGGAAATGTGCGAACGGGCGGGCAGCGGCTTTCCGTCCACTCGCGACCATTTGTACTGCGGAATCGGGCTGAAATGAGACTGTTTCGATCAAAATTAGAGGTACCGTACTCACTTTGCATAGGCGAAACACTCCAGGTAAATGGAATCGCCAACTTTTGGGTCTTCGGGAAAGATTTGCGGTTGCGAGGAGTCCAATCGCGGTGGGAAAGTGGAGTTGACGAGTTTTGGAGTGGAGGAGATGAGCCGGAAGAACGGGCCGTAGTGACCAGACTGTGTGGAGTAGACGGACAGAGAACACGCGTAGCTGAAAGAGTCTTTGTACATATAATCTTATTAAAGTAGAGTACAAGTCTATAATTCGATTGAAACTAATAGGATTACTCTTACCTGTCCTCATCTGCAGCCGTTACGTAGGAAAAGAAGAGTGTTCCGTCGAGAGAAATGAATTTGCGTTCACATTGGCTCAGAATCCGATCCGTCGATGCTCCGTACAACCAAGAGTACGTCAGAGATTCTGAAATGATACAATACAATCCTCGGGTCCTGGTCCCTCTGGCTGATCTACCCCATCTCAACAGTCCGTCGACTCATTTCATTTCTTCACAACCTGGCTCAAAACAGTGGGGACACCCGAACAAGTGCTCATCTGTGCGTGTGTGCGGGAAGGCGAAGAGCACAAAGTAAGGAGGGAAGAGCAAGAGAGAGAGAGAGAAGGAGGACACCACCACACATGCGAAATGAAATGAAAACGGTAAGAGGAAATGAGAAAATCGTGTGTGAAGCGAGTTAGCGAAAAGGCGCCGAGGCGGATGCGGGTTTCAGTGCGGCCAGCACAGGATTACGGTAACATGGTGCATCGAGTGTGTGTGTGTGTTTATGTGTGTGTGAAAGCCCAGGAAAACCGTTCATTCCGACAATCAATCAATCAAGTCACAAGTGAGAGAAAACTAAAAGGATGATATCACAACAAGAAAGGAAACGAAACAAAACGAAAACTAACTTTTTTTCTACTTTTCTTCGTACCCAAGTTGAGAGCCTTACCCAGCCTTGTGAGAATGTGCGAGTGCAAGAGGAAACTTTCGAAGATTCTCAGAACTGTTTTCCGTTTTTCTAGTTGCCAACTTTTCTGTGCGACCACTTCTTGGACTACTGTAGGTCGTTCGAAGAGCGCTCAGTCAACATGATATATCTCAGCTGTCAGTAAAGTTATCAAAAAGTTGTCAACTTACAAATTGCTCCTTAAGACATCTTGCACGTTTTCTTAGTTGACCACTTTTTGATAACTCTTCGAACAACCAAAATACATAGTCTTGAATAAACGGTAAACCAAGTTTGAGGAGTCTTTCTCTGACGATTCCAATCAAAAGTGCAAGTGTGCAAGTGCAAACCAAACTGTTTTGAAGTGTCGAAAAAGGTTGGGATGGTGGTGGTGGTTGGTAACACAAAGAGGGAATTCAGGGCTCGACGAGTTGGTGACTCGGAGCGGGTGCGAGTGCAAGGGTATGTGTGTGTGTTCGTGGCAGCATTCTTGGTGTGAATGGGCTGGTTAGGTGCGTGTGCCGGTGCGGTGCGAGTTGTGTTAGTAGTTGATTCTGGACGACGGACAAGAATCGGGGGGAAATGGTGCGAGTGAGGGGCGGATAGGCTCTGAATTGGCGTAGATTGATTGAAGAATTCGGGGAAAAGAGAAAGAAGACAAGAAGAAGGTTTGACTACTCTAAAGTGGCGGAAAAGACAGACGAAGCGATGGCAATAAAAAGTGATAAGAAAGGAGTTGGTTTGGTTGCAAATTGAATTGATTAGTGATAAATGATTGATGACGATCGCTCACAAACATCACGCGGCACAACGTGGCCTCAATGATAGTGATGAACCTAATAACCTACAGTACACCTCAGACACATCCATCTCTTCAGCCACTAGAAGCTTCTTTTTATAATCTTCTCACACAAAACCGTTTTACACCAACTTGAACTGGTCTTTCTTGGAAGGGGGGTGAACAACTTGTATTCGAATAAAATGAAGAGAGAAATGTTTATCTTTTTCCCTTCATTTACAAAAAGCTTAGTAGGACAAGAGGGGGCGAGAAGAGAATAAAGAATAAACAGAAGAAAAGACAAGAATAAATCTATCTATATATATATATGAAAGGGGGTGTCAAAAGTGTCTCCAGTCTCCAGGAGCCGAGACGACAAAAGCATGAAATAGATGCTCGCTCTGTTCGCCCGCTCCCGCCCGCCTTTCCATCTATTTGCTCACTTTTCTGATCATATTGACATTTCGATTTGATAGAGTGAATCAAGATTGATTGGATTGGAGATTGGAGACACCCGGGAGAGGGAGGTGTTTGGGAACGGGACGCAATGAAAGCGACGGGGGCGGATGGACAAAGAAGAAGAAGAAACGGCTAATCGTTCCAAGGACGGCGGCCGAGAATCGGTGCGCGCGGGCGCCGACGTTCCGATTCCGATTCAGATTTGAAGGGGAACACATCAGTTACTATGTGATAACCTAGTTTTTTGCTGTCTACCGTCAAAGTTAAACTGTATTTCATTAGTTGACAACTATTCCGTGAAACAACTTCCAGGACTACCGTAGCTCGTAAAGGTTAGACTAACTTACTTGAGCTAGAGTCAAAAGGGCGCTCAGTCAAGACAATATATCTCCGCTGCCTAAAAAGACATCAAAAATTGCCAACTAATAATTTGTTTATTAAGAAATTTTTACACATTTTATCAGTTAACAACTTTTTGATATCTCTACAAACAGCCGTGATATATCGCCTGGACAGGGTGCCTAGAAGAAAGGATAATTTTTCCGAGGTACCTACGAAAAATGTAGTCTGACTTTTGAATAATTAGGAAAACAATTTCAATATTGAAACTCTGACGTATTGCAAAAGTAGCTGTCATAAACCGACAGCGGCCAGAAGCCGTCCGTCTCAAGTGTTTCTTGCTTTCTCCTTCCATTCCGTACGTCCGTGTCCCCCCTTCTTGAAAAATGAAAGCGAAAAGAACGTTATATCCAGGCATCTTATCGAGTTTTCCCTCTCTCTCCGCCACTTCCGCGTCTTTCCGCGACGGCGGAGAAGGAAGCGGAAAACTACTTAGGAAAAATGGCAAAAAAACCACAGATGGATGGATTGGAATCGAGAGAAGAGCGAGGAAAAGGTCCGGAGACAAGTTTTGCCTCGGGGGACGAGGATCCTAATCAGGTTAGGCGAGTCAATTGGGGAAAGAAGAAGAAGAAGAAGAGGGGGACTGCACCATCTCCACACGATTGTTAGTGGTAGTTGGAAGCGGAAGAAGCGGAAAATCAAGAAAATCAAAAGCGTTAGAAAGTTTGGAGGAGAAGCGAAGGGTTAGAGCGCGAGGAACACGGTGCTGAAGCATTGGGTTCGTGTGCCAGACTGTGGGGGCGGGCGAATCGCGCTCTATCGTCCTTTTTAAACAAATAAGGTAGAGCGAACTTGTCAGAAGTCGATTATAAGAACGATCCTAGCCCAAATGATCTTAAACTTAAAGGACTCATCTCCTATTGCCTTTTAACCTCAAGTTCGCCTAACATCTCAACCTACTCTACTCTCAACTCTCGGACCCTTCCCCCATCCCCATCCGATCCCAGTAGGCGGACCCTTGTGGGCGCCAATAATGTGAAAATGTGGGCTGGTAGGAGCACTTGCTGATAGTACACTAAACATCGGATCGCTTCGCTGCTCAAGCTGAGAAGAAGAGCTCGAAGCGGCAGTAGGAACTCGGAAAGATAAATCACCGACAGGTGGTTGTTTCGGGGCTCCCACTCAAGCTCCGAGCTTTTCTTCTTCTTCTTCTTCTTCTTCTTCTCAGCTCACTGATACACATGATATGTAATGGAATGTGTTGAACATGATGGGTTCGAAAGTACGAGGAGAAAGCGAGAAAGCCGAAAGAGCCGAGCAGTTTGCTCTGTATTTGACATGTTTGTCGCTTCTTCCCCGGAGAAGACGTCGTCTCCGGGGACGAATCCATCGAAGGGGCGACGTGTGAAGCGGCCCCCTCCTCCTACTTTGACTAATCATGCTCGGAGCGAGAGGCGCGCCCCCAAAGTGGCCAAGAAGTGTCTATCGAATGCAAATGATGGGCGGGGGCACCTACATAAATCTGCATTGAAAGTTTTGAAGAGTCCTCGAAAAGCAGTGGGGAAAGTACGGTAGCTATCTCTTTCGATTCTATTCGTTTCGCAATCGTCAGGTGCTCTTTCGCTTTCGCTTTCCCTCATCTTTTCAGTGTAATAACTCGCTAGAAGAACAGCTCTCGGAGGAACTCGGAAAAAGAGCACTTTGGTGGAGCCACGGGAGTGTGTGTAACACTTTTAAGCTGGGAAGAGCGTGGGGGTGAAGCCAATAAGACTACGAAAACTGCCGGCCTGAGCTTTCTGATTGGTTCCAAGTTTCAGATGGATTAGATCTGAAACTTGGCCATAAGATGCCTGAATTCAAGTCTAAGAAGCCTGCAGCCTGTATAGTTTGTCTCAGGTTTTCAAAAAGGCTGTGCTGGCCTTATTTCTATGGATAGTAGCTGTTGCTGAGACCTTGCCGAACATGAATTCGAACAGAAATAGGGACATGGAAGGTCTCGGCCTGAGAAAAAGCTTGGAATGGAATGGAGTTGGTAAGAAAAGTTGAATAATTTGAAATTTCTGAGGGACCATCAAGATCTTCCTAGCTCAAAAGTAAACTTTAAGAGTGGAAGTATAAGCCAAAAGTTGTCCTATTCGATTGTACACCGTCTCCAAACAAAACACCGCGGCTACCCATCACCGCACAGCCACCGACCGAATGACTCAGAAATGACACAACAAGCATAACATTTTTCCAATTTTTAAAAGAATCATAAAATGTGTCTTTTGCAAAACAAGAGCGGGGGAGCCGCTTCTCTTCAAAAGACACGGCGTTTCGGGGAGCGAAAGCGAATCGAATCCATCATCGTAGAACACTTGACTAATCCCTCCCCCTGTTCTAGTACCTAATACTAGTAGTAGTAGTAAGAGGAAGATGAACACGAAAAAAGAAGGAACGGGTTCGATGCCCTTGTTTCTGGGGTATTCTTTTTTGGGGTTGACTGATTGATAGGTTTGGGAGGAAAAGAAGAAGAGGAAGATGGAGGAGGAAATTGGAAGGGTTTTCAGAGACGCATCGAGAAATGGAATGAAAGTTGAGAGAAAGAACACTGGAGAGTTGTGCGAAAATCGAATGGAAATTTATGGAAATTCCGTTAGAACAGGACGAAAAACCACTAGCACGGCCCGCGAATTAAGCCGTGAAAAGCTTCGAATTTCACGTCTTCAAGAGGAACGTAACCCGATCCAAATGAAATATTGTGTGAGAAAGGGAAAGAAGGGATAAGTGAAGTCGAATCGGACGTACATACATACATACATAAAAGTTTTGGGGGACAACGACGAATTCGTCAAAATAGAATGATGATGTGGGTCCATGCAGTAGGGAAACCGCCTAATGCGCTCGCTTGTCGCCCCGCACACAACGAGAAGAGCGCATCTTCTCTTCCTTTTTCCCATTTCCAAACTTTTCGGGACTCGGTTATCTCTCAATCTGGCCCCAAACTCACTTGGTTGATGCGCCGGCGCATCGCAATCCAACTTTGCTCCGCCCGTCGCCAGAGAGTAGACGTCGAGGCGATTCAGGCGGAAGCCGTCGATGAAGGAGGGCTTCAAAGGATCGGAGGGCTTCTCACTTCGCCGAGAGAGTTGCGGGCGGTGCAGTGGAACGAGGAGTAGGCGAGGGAAGCGGAAGCGGGCACGAGGAGGTTCCCGCCGGAGAGCAGGTACGAGACATTCGACATTGACGGACTCAGCTGCAACATTCACAGGTATAGATTCTTCTAATTCTGACTTGCTGAGAATGTAAACGTACCACTTCTACGTCATTCTTGTACCAAGAAACTGTTGGCTTTGGATCACCCTGTACGATGCACGGAAGAGCAATGTAATCGGCGTCCTGTCTCGGATGGAAATAGATTTCCGATTGGCCAGTCAAAGTGATCTTTGGCGCTCCGAGTGGGAGCAGTTTTTGCTGGAATAGCAGCGAGCGGCGGGCCATTTTGTTCAGCGAGCAGATGAACGGAAAGTGTGAGGAGGGATTGATGGTGATTCTGAAAGCGTACTTATTAGAAACTAGCTCATCAATTGCAGTTATAAGGCAAAGAGAAGTACGTTCAGGCTTAAAATCTGGTCCTAAAAGTTATTCTCGGGAGAAATGTGTAACTTTGGTATGAATATCTCACACACCACTTTTCAGTGTCAGAAACTCACATTTTATACCGTCCATCGTCGCTTCGATTCAATGCCTGACCCATTCCTCCGACGTGAAAAGTCGGCTCCGACAGTCCGTTTTCATGAAGATTCTAAATAGAATTCCGGTTAATTAGATTAAAATCATCGACAGACCTTCAGAAGATCCATGACATCTTCCATGAGCAACGTTACACTCGGATCCATGAGCTCTCCGCCGTCGTGATGACATCGTTTCTTTGCGTGCTTCAGATTCGCCGGCGATATCACAATTTGAATGCACTGATCGCTGGCGATCTGCCATCCGATCGGCACGAAGATTCGTCTGGAAAGAATGAAGATCCCTTCCGTCATGTTCTTTATTTCCGGAAATCAGTAGCGAGTTCTCAGTTTCCCCCTCGGGACCCGGTTATTTCGGTTCATTAATCGTGTCTCTCACGGGCGGCCAATTTAGTCGTCGAATCTCATTAGGTAACAGACTCGATTTATGTAATCATCATCCGAACTGAACAGAGAGACACCCCCATTTATTGCATAATCTATTATCTCGGGGGAGGAAGACGGAAAACACATGGAAGCGCTCGGCTGCTGCCAGTTGGACAGGGGGCCGCTTTTTGTTTGGATAGGCACAAAATTAGGGGTAAATGGTGGCGTCAGAAGGTCACGCAGTGGATGAATTACGGCATTTTGGTTTGAAAACGGTAGGTCACATTAAAGCCGTTCTATCACAGGTCTTACAGCGCTTGCCAGAACCCCTAAAAACATGAAAATCTAGTGCAAAATAAGCAGATTGTCAAAAATTCGAAACCAACCCCTCGGTCACTAGTTTTTCCTAAGCCTTCTGTCATCCCGTGCCATTCGTCAATGTTCATCCGTCCCCTGTCAAATGTGACACCTCAGGCTCATCCGCGTCCGTTCCTCCCAAATGACCCCATTTATTTTCGTCATGTTCCTCCGCTTCATCTTCTTTTTCTTCAAAGCTTTTGACAGAATCCGGCTTAGCCCCCCATGATGATTATTTGATCCGAACGCAATCTGTCGAGCACTTTCTGCCGCGCGCGCGCGCACTTTTACAAAACATTCGGCCGCGTGGAGGCTGTCCGAGTATGATTGACACTTTTCATCGTCGGATCGAGATGCGGTAAAGAAGAGAAAGAAGAAGAAGAAGAAGAAGAAGAGGAACATCAATTGGGCCCCGAGGTGTCAAGTGGCAACAATCAAATTTGTGGTGGGGAGGGGCTCTTGGGTGTGCACTTTGCCGCCTTTCCCGTCAAGTATATAGTATCACACATCCTAATTCCATTGGCTCCCCGCTCAGAACTGGTTTATTGTCATGTTCCCAATCGCTCCCAGATGACAAATTTTGCATTAATTCGTTCGTTTCTTTGTGAATGGATGGATGTGAAGAAGAGCTGCGTGGGGAAGAAATGAAAAATGTGGTGGACAAGGCACGACTACTCTTTTTTGTTGACCTAACAAGACTTTGAATGTTTTCACGGCTCAAAAAGAAATCACGCGGTTGGCGTCGTGCTAATTTCAAAATTTCAATTGAAGACATGCGGCGATAAATGTGTCAAGTTTCAGCCCGATCAGATCGTCGGGGTCCCGCGATATATGGATCATTGGCCGATTTTTTCAAAAAAGCCCGGGCTTCCGGCCAATTTCGGTGAATGATCAACATATCTCGGAACCAGATGATCCTATCGGGCTGAAACTTGGTCCCAGTATGCTTCAACCCATGTCCAAGCAGTCTGCAAAGTTTGGGACCGATCGTAATATTGCAAGTGGGTTAACCCATTTAATTAAAGGGTCAGGTCAAGGGCCGGCCAATTGCCCAGCCCTGTTCACATCCATCGCACCAAAATGTCAGTTTTCTTGATAACCTATCATTTTTCATCGCTGTCGATAACAAAAATCAGGGGAAAAACGCTGGAGTTGCCGATTTTCCCGCGGCGAAGAAATTTGAGTTTTTTTCACTGGAAAAATGGACAAACGTTTTGATTTTTCTTCAAAAAGACTTTCTCGAAAGAGCGCGATTGCAGTAAAGTGGCCCCATCGTACTGTACAGTCATTTGTGTGCAAATGAAAATCTAGAACACTCACCAATAAGTGCTGCTGAGAAGAGCACATGTAGAAGAAGATGAAGAAGACAAAAACGGCTCATCGTTGTAGTTTCTGGCGCATCCTCCCGCGGTGATGTATGTCCTGAAATCGCATGATGACGGGCGAAAGAAGGAGATGTAGAAGAAGGAAAAAAAAAGTTGTCAGGGCAACAAAAATTTTCCCACGGAACGGGCAGGCAAAAATGTAAAAAAAAAGTGGGATGAGCAAATTTCTGGCCCAAAAAGTCTCTCACACACTCTGATTTCTCGATTCGCTGTGGTCTCTTTTCGGGTAAAAAGAGCACACGGGGCGCCGACGGTGAATAATTCACGAACACGCCACCGGGCCATCCCTCGGCTACCTCAGTCATCAACCAGAAAATAATAATAGGCGACGAGTAAATACGAGGAAGAAGAATCAGAAAAAGTGTATATAAAATTGGCAAGACACTTTTCTTTTCCTACTCTTTTCGGGCGTCCGAATGTGTAATCCATTGAATGATGGGCCGACCATTTTTCATAACCGGCAATGTAGAGAAAAGAAAAGAAGAGAAAAGTGGGGGGAAAGACATGAAATTGGAGGCAATCAGTGGTCAGAAATTGACTATCTATCAACCGCTGTGCTCTCCGAGAGCATCCTTAAGCCCCGCCTACTTCTGCTGCGGGCGAGGAAACTGCTAATCCGGGTCAGGCGAACAGATTGTGCAATGTGTGTGACAGAACAGGCGGTACCGATTGAAAAGCGATGGTTATTTGAGGGGGCCGGATGACTTCCGGTTATGGAAGAGCGGACAGATGGAGACAGAGATCCGCGGTAATGCGGAAATGAAAATGTGCATTTTCCGAAAACCTCCGATGTCCTGTTGTGACATGAAAAAACATCTCAATCGTATAGTGAAACCTCTTGAGAATCTAGCTATCTCTAATTGGCCGCTTTCATTTTCATCCATTTTTCATGGAAGAGTAATGTCCAAGTGTTCGGTGACACTTCAAAGAGAAGTAATGGATTGTGTGTGGGGGGTCATATGGGAATGATCCGTGGGGGTGTAAAATTTCTGCCAATCTCCGAATTTCCCCCTTCCAAAAGTGTTCGCTTTCTCGCAGACATCATCTTCATCATCTCAAGTTGCTTTCTTCAAGTGTCCGAGAAGAACCAGAAGAAGAAGTATGAAAAGAAAGGGTGGTCCTACTCTAAGTCCTCAGATGACCCTTTAACGGCTGGTAGGGATTACGTGGAGGGTGCAGCAGCAGACGTGCTCGAAACGATTACAACACACATACATACAAACAATTTGGTGCAAGATTTATATGAATCGTACAACCGGAATCACCATTTTCAGAGGACACGCCGAACCAGAACTGCTCGAATCAGAACCAATTAGCACTGAAAATAGTTCTGATTCGGCGTAGCCTTCAATTTCGAGTTGCGCGCGTAGGTCAGAAAGTGAACGGGTCTCGCAGCGATGCGAAATAAAAAAAAGGCGCGCGTTTGAATTGAGAGTACGCGACGCGCCGGTCAGGCAGTACGAGGAGAAAAAAAGAAAGCGAGTCGTCTCGGAATGGACGGACGGTCGAGGGAAAGACCGCGACGCGCACCAAACTACGAACACGGGTTTCGACGATCTGTTTAGGGGACGACGAGTCACTAACAGACTCGTAAACATTGTTTGATCTCTGCGACATGTGTGACATTCTTGAACGGTCCCTGCCCGGCCATCATGACACGCGTGCGTCGCGGTCTTTCCCTCGTCGGTCCGTCCGTTCCGGGAGAACTCGCTCTCTTCTTTTCTCCCTGCCTGCCTATCCTTCCAGAGGCCGACGCGTCGCGTACTTTCAATTCAAACGCGCGCGCAGTTTTTGTCGCATCGCTGCGAGACCCGCTCTATTTTTGATCAACCCGCGCAACGCGAAACTGACGGAGTGTCGTCGAAAGCAAGATCAGCCGCACTCCTCTCGGCGTTTCTCATCTGCGTCACCGATTTTCGTCCTTTTGCAAAATTTTCATCAAAATTGTCTCGTTTCACCACTCGAAATGATTTAGAATTGTACAGAGAGCTCAATTTGACGTAGTTTGATCGAATCTGCCGAACTGTTTTACCGAAAAATTTGGTCCACCTTTCGTTTTGCTGCTCTGAGCGGAAATACAAAAAGAGAGACGGACAGACGCCTCCTGTGCTTTATATATAAGAAACTTAGAAATACTTTGATACGGATCATGCGCTCTACCGCACTGAAGCAAGACTGAATACGTCATCAATAATTGACGAAGCATGCCAGAAAATAATGAGCTCAAAAAAGTTGCGTTTGGTCGGAAGAAACCGGGGAACCCATTAACCCCCTATCGCTGAACCAATTACTGCGCATCCCCCAATTGTTCTCTTCATCTATTATGCGCATCCGAATGGAAACTGCCACTTTTCTACCACAAACTGTTCCAAAAAGAGAGATAATCAATTGAATTAAGGAGAGAAAGAGTAACCTGGAGGCGGAAAAGAAGATCAAATTACACGAGAGATCTGCCTAAATGGTCTAGAGAGTCTAAACACACGGGAGGAGGAGGAGGTACTTCATAGTAAATTATGTTTGTTTTGGTTGGGGAACGGCTCTGAGCAGAGAGCCGCCGGAAATCTATCCATATTTGGATAGATCGTCAGTTTGGGGAAAAGGTGTCCGCCGCCGTCGCACTGTACTATTTGTGGGAATGGACGATATCCACGCAGTTACAGAGAAGGGCAAATAGAACGGAATTGTGATTTAGATTGGGAAAAGGAGAACGGAAGGAGAAGTTCCGTTGACATTTGTGATTAACACTTTTTTGGGATGGTTTTGCGGCGAACAGACAAAAAATTTCAGAACAATATCGAATTCGCAGATTTGCTCGATGGACAAATGATCAGATATTGGAAGCTCTCAAAGATCTTTCCGCTAAACTCTAGCATCAAACTTTAAGAGGCTTAAAACTGAAACAAAATCTTACAAATGACGTCTGACCGAAAACAAACAGAATAGTAGCAAAACGACGAAATTCAATCTCTTTAATTTTTTCGAAGCTCTCGCCCCGACCTTCCACTCTGTTTCGGCTCAAAACGTATGACTCGGAAGGCATTCGGTTCGCGCGAGAGTTGGAATTAATTTCGGAATGATTGACGAGCGAGCCGCCCCTCTATTCACATACATCTCCTGGACGGACAGAGGTGGTTGTCTATTCAAAACGTTCGCACTTTTATGACTTTTGCTCGGGATCCGAGCAGCTGGAAGAGAGCCGTCGAGTGACAAATAAATCGATCAGTGTAAATTTATATACGTTCACTTTGATCACCGCTTTTTCATTTAGTACTAGTTGCGGTAAGCGTTTGATCGGAAGGCAGTTCGTAACCGCCAATTTGGCCAAACCCGCGCTCTTCCATTTTCACGCAATTTCAGGCCAAAATTGCAGAAATAAAAAATAAAAACCTATTTAGAAAATTCTATTTACGGTAATTTTAAAGGCGCAAGCTGCGGAAAATTATCGAGAAGTTGTACTGCGCCTTTAAACTTACCGTATTATTTTGTGGATAAACGCATTTTCCGGGTGAAAACACTGCAGATTCTCGGGAAGAAGAGCGTTTTTCGGGGAAAACTTGAGCTTTATAAGCGTTTAGGCTTCGAATTGATTAAAGAGCACTGTGAGCACAAAGAGTTTGAAGCTCCACAGCTCATATTCAATGAACACCATCAGAAGATGAAGAAAAGAGGAAGGTCCGGGAGAAGGAAAGGTGCGAATTATAATGTGATGAGGAGCGGCTGCGCGTGTGTATTCATACGGAGCAGGCTCGGAATACAAAGGATGTTCCGTCTGCGAGCCTCGAAATTATATGTTACCATGAAGAATGAGAAGGGGGTGGAATGGGGTGCACACGGAAAGACGATTGAACTGGAAGGGAACAGTTTACGAGTCGGTTCCCAGACCACTGATTAGATAATGATAATAGCAAAGCGGCGAGCGCGGCATTCCTCAATAACGAGCACCTGTCCCGGAAAAGTAAAGGGCAACGGAGCAGAGGGAACGAAAGGAAAGGGAAACAGCTCATTAATTAGTTGTATGCTTGCTCAGTGAGCCCCGAGCTCACTCGAGTGTTAACGATACCACAGGGCTCTTGAAGGAGCGGATTGTGTGTCAAGTCAATATGATGTTGATACTTGTCTGGTTTTTTTCTCTGGTTGGACAAAAAATAAGATAACAATAAATGTACACGTATTCGGCAATCACTCTTCAACGTCTTCTTCTGGAGGCGGCAACTCGAACTTTGGAATTCGGCCGAGGCACTCATAGACCTTCCGCTGCAGTCGGTTGAATGTGAATACGTGATCCTCGCACCCGGCGGTCTTCATTCCGTTCGTCAGATAGGCCACTATCAGCTGATTGTCTACGTCCGCCCGAATCATTTGACCGCCGACGCCCGGATGTCCGAATTGCCACGTTTTGAGCGGCGATTTGAAGTAGGTGAAGCCGTGCTCCTTGTTCTGCGGCTCGCCGATCATGTGGTCGAAGGCGGTCATGTTGCGCGGCTGCTTGATCCTCTCGAAAGTCTCTCTGCTCAAAAGCGTTCCGTCGAGCACCAACTGATGCAACTGCGCCAACGCCCTCGCCGAGCCGATTCCATTGACAGCCGGCTGTCCGACCGCCCGCAAATCACTGTTGTTGAACATGGTAAAATCGGTGCCGTAGAGGCTCAGATTCCGTCGCGCCGCTGTGAAATAGCCGCGTGGATTGTAGAAGTAGCGAGCGAGTTTGAGGATCGAACGATCGTAGGCCACCTCACGACTGACCAGCGTCGGCGGACATTTGAAAAGCCGCGCGAGACGGTTCTCCTCGCTCGAACACTCTCCGATGTGCACGTCGATATCTGAAAAAGGCACACCATTACTGGTAATTCCAGACAATTTGTGTCAACGGTAAAATGCAAAGAAACCGAGTGAACTTACAGTGTTTCGTGGCGATTTCCTCCCTGAAAAACTGTCCGACAGTTCTGTGCAGCGGATCGACTCGTCGGAAGATTTGATCGGTGAGCCAGCCAAAGGTGAGAGCATGATAGGCGGTTCGGGTGCCCGGCGGATACACTGGTTTCAGACTTTCAATGATGTACGACAACTTGTTGTTGTCCACGAGCTCTTCCTCTGTGAATTTGACCCCCGGGAAGTACGGTAGACCGGCCTGAACTCGAAAAAGTTGTGGAATCGAAAAACTAGAGTGTCCAACTCTACCGTGTGCGACAAAACCATCTCGATAGTGATCTCTTGTTTTCCGTTCTGTCCGAACTCTGGCCAGTACTTGGTCACCGTGTCCGAATAGTCACAATGTCCCCGATCGACGAGTATGGCAAAGCATATCGCTGTGCAACTTTTCGTGCAACTGAAGATTGTCGAGATCGTATCCTCTTTCCATTCTTTGCTGAAAGTTTAAAAGTGTCGTGAAGTCAAATGAAATGTCAACTCACAAGCACTCTCGGTCCGCGTACCCGCCCCACAAATCCACAATCACTTTTCCCTTGTAAATGGCACAAAACGCGGCTCCGGCCTTCTCCCATCCTTCCGTGAAGTTGCGTCGGAACGAGTCACGAACCTCCAGAAAATGTTGTCGTGGATCGCGCCGTGGATCGGCACTTCTCGTTTTGACTTCATCTGAAGCAAAGAAAATCAAGAATTGATGTGAAAAGAGGAAAATATGAGGGAAGGAAGGGGGGTCTAATCCAGGATTTGACTGTGTAATCGCTTGATATTTGAAGTGAATTCATGGAATGTTCACACAATTCGATAGGCGATTTGCAAGTCAAAACCATTGTGAAACAGACTAGAATAGAGGGGGCAATATCAGTTACTTACTAAACTGTTTTCTCTTAAATACCATTTAGAAAGTACAAACACGTGGAACACATGAAACAATGAAGGGAAAGAATGAGAAAGAGGGCGGAAGAGAGGGAGAAAGACTCGTGTTCTCATAGATAGATTGCGGGTCGGAACGAGACAAGGAAAAGAAGAAGAAGAAGAAGAAGAAGAAGAAGAAGAAGGAGGAGGAGGCCAAGGACAGACACTGATTTGTCCTCTCTGAGATGGGTGAAGAAAAAGAGAAAACAGTTAGCGCGGAGAGAGATGATTCTATCAGTAAATATTGAGCGGAGAGGTAAGGTATGAAGGCGGCATAGTAAGGCAAAACACGAAAACTTTATAAGAACCTGTTCCTCGTTTTAAGATGTTTCAGATGCAACGATCATTTGCAGGCTATCGCGAAGATCTGATGTAGACCAATACATCCTCTAGTCCGAGGAGAAAGAGCGGATTAGCGCGGCCTGGGATTCATGTGCACTTGGCCCGTTCCATTCGGATGCAGAAGTGGATTAGTGGAACTATGCAACGTCACACAGATGTACGATTCATTCCATCAGCCGGTTCACATTTCCTCCAACCGCTCGGGCTCCATGGACATATTTCTTGAACATTATCGATTCGATGTTGAGCACCAATCTCGGGGGGATGTTGTTGGTTGGAGCGGCTCTGAAATCTTTTCACTGTGAATTTTCAGTTTGAGCAGAAAAGAAGACCTTGATGAACTGTAGAACACAAGCGATTGAGTGGAGGAATTGAAGGCATGGCCCTCTGGCTTCTCAGTCGACGGAACAGAGTGTCAAACTGAAAGAAAAGGCTTGGTATCAGTTACACCACGTATTTATGTATCATTTTTGACATCAAAATCTCTAAATTCAAGGCCCGTTTCTCAGACGCACATTAACTTCCGATCCGGCGGCCAGCATGGTATCCACGTAGATCACCTCGGCCGCCTGATTCACTCCCGTCTCGCACCGCACCACAATCGGACCCGGATCCTTCTTCTTCCTCTTCCCAAACATCTTCACAATTGCAAGCACAACCTTCGGACTAGCCGGCACCAGATTCCGAGTCCAGTACGGATAGTGATAGAGGCGCTGGTCTCTCGCCGACGACCAACTCGAGTCGGTACTCGGTGCAACCGTACTTTTCTTTTGCCAATTTCATGGACTTTTACTTTCCGAATTTGCGAAAAACGCCTTCCGCGTTCGGATAATAATGGAAGGCATTGTACGAGGCGGAATGACGTTGAGAAGACGGGTAAGAAAGTAGGTGTTCAGTGCTCTCAATGATTGCCAACTGCTCCACGAACTAGATCCACGTCGCGTCCTTCACCTCTTCCTTCTCTGTAGTTTCTTTGCTTCTACACCTGATCCTCCTGGCAATCTGCTCCGACGGTCCGACCCCCGGCGCCGTCGTTCGGGGACCGCATCTGAGCATTCAAACGACTCGTCGCCGACGGCTTCTTCCTCGCTTCAGCATGGATTCTGAAACAGAAGAAGTCAGAGATGAGCACGTGTGTCGCTTATTAACTTTTCAATCATGTAGTAGTAGTTATTATTGATTGGAGTGGAGAGAAAATTGAGAAATGGAAAAGAAAAGTTCGAGTCTTTCATGTTTTTTCTTCACGTGAGGTTCAAGAATTCGCTCGGACGGCAAGATGACGTGACTTTGAGCCCGTGTAAACTTGAAGAACATTCCCGATGGGTGCCGCCCTCCGCGCCGTCTGTTTCTATTCCGGGACCCTTATATAATTAACTAGGAAATGATGATGCTGATGATGATGTTGATGATGATGATGGGCTCCTCACGGAGCACTCTCTCTCTCTTCTTTAAATGTTGCCTTTTTGCTCGTTGAACTCTCTTGTCTCAATGTCACTTTCAACTCTTTATTTATTTGTTTTCCCTCTCTGAATAATTCATTTTCTCCACAGAGCTCAACAACCTGCCCCCCCCCCTTGATTGACATATTATTCCTTTCTCTTGCATCATTTTTTTTCGGGCGGCGGCTCCTCCACGCCTCCACACATTTTTGATGATGACGCGACGCTCTCTTTGCGGGTAATTTGATTGTGGCGCCCCCAAATATCAAAATAGAGCTCTTCTGCAAATGTCGCTCGCGGGGGTCTAATTGTCTGTGATACCCGTGTGCAAGTAGATGTGCCTTCTGAGCAAAAAGCATTGGCATCTACCGTAATCCTAGGACTCGAAAATCTACCTAACAACATCAAATTCTTCCTCTGTTTCTTCTGGAAAAGCCTGTCTTCATCGTTTGTTTCTGATGAATAGTGTCCATGAAACTGCTTGTAACTCAAAAATGAACAGTTTTCTGATAGCATCATTAACTACAAAGTTGTGCGGCACAACATTTCCAACAACTTTTCAGTTGATCACTTTTAGAAATAATCACCGGTTCTCAAGATACGAGCCTCAGAAGACAGGAATCACATCATCTCCAAAGTCACATCACTTTTCGCACTTTTTGTAGTGAAGTGGCTGTGCTTGAGCATGCCCACGTGGCCTGGCTCCAGCTCCAGCCCCAGCTCACATGTCCACTTCTCCAAATGTGACTATTGTCGTTCCGATTCCTTCCGGCTGCAAAGTGACGTTTCCCGCCCTTCCTGGCCATTTTCTCATTACGAAGAATAAGAGGAGAACAAAAATAGTAAGTTTTCGTCCGCGACGCTGCCCCTTTTATTCCGCCCACCCACTCATTTTAGTCTATCCGACCTTCTCGCATGAGTTTGCTCATTGAGCCGTCCTTGTCGCTTTCCGGGTGAACACGACTTGTTTAGACCGATGATATCATCTCTCTCTTTCTCTATAAATATGTTTTGATGAAGTTAATTAGAGATTATAAAGAGAAGAAAGTGATGTGATTTTTCGAGAGAAAAGTTACTAGGGCTCAAAAAGACAAAAAAAACTTTCAAAAAATGGTCGGCCTCAACTGTGCCCTGGGGACTTTTCTCAAATGATTAAACTGGCCAGAGGGTGTTGAAACACTTTGCAATTTGTGTGCCATCTGTGGCTCAGACCCTCCGAAGGTTCCGAGTTCCGACCTCTATTTGTAAATCTAATACCCTCACGTCATTCTGATCCTCTGAAACTCTCGGGGAACACCTGGACAATGCAATCAACGTTCCCATTCAAAAGTTCTCGGCACGTCACTCGCGTCTCATTCCGTATTCTAAACGAAAGAGGATCCGTTGTTTTGTTCCAGACAAAAATTCAAATTCTTCTGGAATGTACACATATACGCAGCCAGCCAGCCACCCACTCGTATGGGGCGCAAGTGTATGTTAATTTTGTTTTGACTCCTCCATTCATACTAGTTATCCGCCGATGCTCCGTGCTGCAGAGCACGCGTCACGGATGCACTCCGCTCTCACTTCATTACCTTCCACTTTGTTTAATTTGAGAGCGGCGGCGCCTGACTCATCTCCAGTCAATGCGGTTTTTCACTTAAATAGAGCCGCGCGCGATTTCAATTAGACACACTTTTGCACTATTTTATCGCTATTTGCTACTATCCGCGCATCGTTTCACGGTTTGTGAGATTTGTCAGTGAGAATAGAGCGAAGGAGGGTACTTTGAGCCGAAAACATCCATCAAAATACGCAAATTATTCACAAAAATGTTTAAATTTGGAAAAGAGAGCATCAGAATACATGAATACATGAAAAAACAAGGATGGGCGGGGGAATAGAAGAGCTTGAAAAGTAAGGGTTCGATACCGTCTATTTAAGACCGTGTAAGTCAGCTGCCGGTAGAGATAAACAAAAGTAGTCAACTGATGAAATGTACAGAATGTTTTAATGAACAAATTGTTAGTTGGCATCTTTTTGATATCTCCACTGGCAACTGAGATACATCGTCTCGAAAGAACGGTACTCGGGCGCCTTCTCTATTCGATCTATGTATTTACTTCCCGACTGCCTAATTCAATTAAAACTGGCTCTTCTCGAGCAGAATTCCAGTAGCTACTTCTTCTCCTCCCTCTTCTTCTTTCCATGTCTTCACTGAACCCGTTCACCTTTCCCCCTCCCCCAATTTCTAAATCCAATCTATCCCCCACGCGCGCCAAAACAATATGGGCACGTCATTCTCCTCCAGACAATCTCAAGTTCACATTTCAACATTGGCCGATTTAATCCGTCCGCATCCAATTCGGGCGGGTCGAATTTTGTTAATCCGGATGAGAAGTGTATACGATGGTGGGTGCTCCGGAATGACGACTAAGTGGAAAATGAAAGGTTTCCACCAGTACCACTTTCGAAATTTGTCTGCTCTTCTTCTGGAAGCAATGAAGCCGTGTACTACATTGTTGTCAGATTGACCGAATCCTAGACATAGTTCTAGAAGTTCTACAATATCAGCTGTTCCTCTAGAGGATACCGTAGACATCAAGTCTAACATTAGCCTCGAAATGTTTGGCGATTTATCTCAGCTGCTGGCAGAGATATCAAAATGTGATCAACTAAGAAAATATACCAAATATTTTAATGAGCAACTTATTAGTTGACAAGTTTTCTATACAACGTCTAACACGGCAGTTATGCTTGATGAAAGTTCACTTAACGTTAAACCTGTTGTGGCACTCCAATACAGTATATCTCAGCTGCCTTTGAAGTTATCCAAAAGTGGTCAACTAACAAATTGCTCATTGAAACATTGTCTACATTCTTTCAATTAACTACTTTTTGATATCTCTACCGGCGGCTGAAATACATCGATGTGAGCCCCAGGCTCATTTCCAAAGACTCCAAACACCCTGAACAGTCGTAAACCCCTCCGTTTCCCTTTTGCATAGTCCGTTTTTGCGTCAGAGAAACCTCAAAATGACGTGGCGAGAGCGGCAGCTGAAAAAGAGAGAATCAGTTTCAAAGTTCATTCTTCCTCCGGAGCGAGACTTAAAAACAAGACTCGTTTTCCTCTGATTGAATCGGGTTCGATTAACTCTCAGTTATCACCTAGATTCGTTTATCCACGTCAATGCGTGCTCCGGGGGGTATACTCCTAATTGTTTGTCTGTTATTTCATTATTTCATTTCCACCCCCCTTTATTCTCAATGTATAGTTCAGCTTCTCACAATATCGAATTTCTCTTCCTCTCTTCTTCTTCTTCTTCTTCTTTTCCATTTCGAGAGAGCTATTAAGTCCTTATTTTGAGGCGGTGAGTCATAGAAATGGTCACATGACACACTAGTCTCCTGCAAAAACAGTTTTGCAGACAATTGGCCCTGTTTGCTGAATGGAAATGGTCACGGGAGGGGGGTCAATGATGATGCATACATATACAGTGTCTCGTGATGTCATACCCACTTTCCAATTGTTTTTCCGTTTTCCCCTCCTCTTCGAATCAATCATTGACGTTGTTGCAATTGAAAGGAAACAAATCAAATTGAATCATCGCGAATTACTTCCCTGTGAAGAGTCTGCAAAAAGAAGCGATCGGGCGGCCGGTCGTAGGTCGTCTTGTTTGCAAAATTGTGTCGTTGTCGGACGTCACAAGTTGATCTAGGCAGTAGTTCTCGTTCTTGTTCTACAGTAACCTTGGAACGCGTGCGTTCGATGACGTCGGCCGTATCGCAGAAGTGCTGAGCGATAGGGTTACTGTACTTTGAACGCGAATCTGATCTAGCCCTAGCCCTAGGTCTAGATCCGTTGCCACGTCACAACCTAATAGGTCAATCTAGTTTTCGCTCGCGAAGAAGTGAAAACAAGAGGCTCCGCCCCTTCACGTTCTCTGATAATTCGCCGCTCTGGAAAAGAAAAGAGTGTATTTGTATTCGTCTTCTTTCCCTTCACTCTCCATCTCTCTGTCACATCATCATTGTTTGTTCACCGAATTTTGAATCGGAAGGGCTCGTTTTTCGCGCCCCACTTGCTGTCGTCGTGTGCGCGCCTCCTACCCCACCCACCACGAGGCGAGCACACTTTTGCAAAAGTGAGTGTTTCGTCATCAAGGGCCTTCCGGACCAGAAGAAGAAGAAGAAGGAGGAGAAGAAGAAGAAGAAGAAGAAGGCATTTCTCTCTCTCTCCCTTTCCGAACATTTAACCGCTTGCGTCACTAATCTCATCATTCTTGTCCTCTGCTGCAACAACTTCTTGTACCTGTGTGTGTGTGTGTGATACCATCGTTTTGACTCAGCTCCTCATTAGGCTTTCTGCTGCTCGCCGAGCAAAAGTGGGAGTGAAATGTTGTAGCAGGTGCTTTTTTGTACTCGACTCGCGGGACGTCATTCGGCGTCGTCGTAGTCGTCGTCGTCTTCGTCGTTTTTCTCATTTGGCCACACTTAGGCGTGTTTAATCTAGAGTCCTTTTAATTGAAGAGTTCTGATGGGATCTTTGCTGAGGTCAATGGAGAAAAGAATCCTTTTGGACCATTTAAATGGACATCTAGGATTCTGCTAGACAACATATTTACCAATAAAATTACAGTAGGACATTGACCTAGACCTGATCTTTTGGCCCAAACTTTGCAAACGTCTTTGACTTGAATTAAAGTATTTTGGTCCAAGTCTCGAAATGATCGGATTAGCTGCTGGTCTGCAGAGAAACTTTGAAGCTTTGAGCCTAGGTCCTTTAGCAAATCGGTGCTGGAAGCTTGAGCCCGCCGTGCACTTTCGATTCATTTCCCCTCCGAAAATAGTGCGGTGAAATCTGGTCGGCCGAGCTGGACACTGTGATCTACAAGACCCGCCACGACACGAACACGTAAGACTTCTTTTCGTTGCCCCCCGACTCGGCCTTAATTCCACGATGACCACGCCCCTTTCTGGGCTTCGCATCTTCGTTTCCGAAGAAACGAAGACAGCGTCGTGTCTAATCAAGTCGAAGTAATTCATCCGTGTATTCTGCTCTCTCTCTCTCTCTCTCTCTGTCTATTTTTTGCTGCTCGAGCCCCAAAAGACGCAAAGGCGAGTTTCTCTTCGTAATTTACTTCCGGTCGATGATGTGCGGCGGCGCATTCGGTCCGTCCCGCTGCGCACCTCTAATCTCGTTATCGTAACCCGAACTCTTCGAGATTCAAGACGTGCCGTTTCTCATTTTCTCATTGTTTCTTCGTCTCTCATATCACAAATTCGTCGGCTCCTTCTCACACGTACTTCTCGATTTCAGGTAAAACACAAGTGGGTGCAAATGAGCAACACTTGCCGCATTGTGCTCCTCCTCCGATTCGTGCTCTCCGTCCTCCTGCTCGCCCAGCTCATCGCCGCCAGTCCTCTTCTGGTAGTCAGGAGAGTGCAGTCGCCCTACCTTCAGGTCCGTACTTTTTTTCTCCTCGTCCGCCCACGCACTCGCTTTTTGCAGACAATGGAACAGCTGGAACGACTGATCGACGAGGAGCGCGACGCCCGCGAATCCCAATCGCTGCGGAGGTATCGGAAGAGCGTGCCCGACGGCTACTTCAACGAGTTCACCGTCAACGCGCCCGACCTCGCGCTCCTCGACCGACACCGACGCGGCCAGCCGATTTCCGATTACACCGACGAGTTCAGCGCCGATCCATTCGAGGTTGGTTTTCACCTGTCGCTCGACATTTCCAATCGAGCCACGAATAGCAGCTGTCTTTTGAGCTCTAGCACCGAATGTTTACGGTAGCCGGCTGTGAAACGCAGTCTGCACTTTTACGTGATCGTGTTTGCGGCAAATGTGCCGGACGCAAAATTTCGCAGCTTTTAGAGGATAATGAGTAAAGTCTAGCACATTATCCGCACACATCATCAAGGCAAAATCATGCTTCAAATAATCATTTCCTGGCAAAGTGCAAACGTTTTCTCCAAACCCACCAAGGTTCAGATTTCAGTTTCCGATGCGATCTCTCAAAAAGCCTCGCAAGCAGTGACACCGACTTCATTCCGGTAGTCTCTTCTCCTTCTTCTTCTTCTTCTTCTTCTTCTTCTTCTCCGTCATCACCGAACAACATCTTCTAGAATAACCTAGTCCTTTGTACCAACTCTCTTCTTATCATTCCACCAACCCCGCTCCCTCCTATTTATTGTTCTCCTCTGAATTTCACCCCCCGAAATTTGTTGATTGTGATCTATTACTCGATCTCTGTCTCAAATATTTACAACACAAAAGCCGCAGTGCCCTTAACAAGGTAGCTGATAAATTTGGATTTTGCATTGCATACAAAATTCCACATTTTCATGATTTTCTTTAATCATCGAGCAATAAAACATATCGTTTGGTTTTTAGGATTGTCTTGTGGTGACTGCACGATTTCGGCGTTGTTATGGACTAACTGAAGTTCAACATGTGTGGCCTAGTCGGCTACACTTTTGAATTTTGATATGTTTTTGTCTTGGTTCGATTCCTTCATTTTAGTGCTCTGCCAAATGTGTTGGTCGAATTCGGTCGCTCAGCTCGCTTCCAGTGGCTGCTCTCCGAGCATCCGAAGCTGTCCTAGTGCAATTCTGATGAACGACGCATCAGAGAAGAAGGATCGCACGCAAGTGGCTCTCATCGCTTGGAGAGACTGCCCTTCGAGCATCCGAGGATGGCGTCGTAAGATTCTGATGGGGAGGGATTCTGAAACACCTGGAGAAGTCGTGTCTCAAAACTCTGAAGCTTCTCCAAGCGAACCCCTCCCTCTCAGAATATCACGACGCCATCTTTCGCTTCGCCGTCCTCTCCCTGCCTTCTACGCGCTACTGCTGTTGTCAAAAGCTTCTAATGCCTTCTCAAAGCTTCTCAGAATCCTTGCCCATCAGAATTCCACTATGATAGCGTCAGACGCTCGGAGAGCAGGCTCTCCACGCGAGCGGATCCACTGGCGTGCGATCTTTGCACTTCGCCGTCCCCTCCTTGCATTCTACGTCCTTTTGCTGATTGCAGCATGCTTCTAGAGCCTTCTCAAGGCTTCTCAGAATCCTTGCCTATCAGAATTCTACTATTCCATTGTCAGCTGCTCGGAGAGGAACCACTGCGGTAACAGTTTGACGCTATTTTCAAACAGTAAGAGATTTCGCCGTGAAGAAGCTAAATAAGTTTTATGGGAATTCTGAAGAAGTAACCTTGTATCTCTTTCATTTATTTTTATGCATTCAGGCTGTTTTACATTGATTTTTCTCTGATTTTTATTGAAATCCCTGTCAAAATCCGACAATTGCCACTTTCTGCTAAACAAGGCGCAGTACGATGCTTCAAAAACCAGCGGGTCTCCGCCTGGCCTCTCCAGAAACGCTAGCGCAGGAATAATTTTTACAGTCTTTGCTTATTTTCCACAATGTTTTGCAAAACATTCGTTCAAATTGTTAAAAATCCAAAAAATTATTTTGTATTCAAAGTATCATTCAAATATAATGTGCCTCTTTTATAAAAGATCAGATTGCATCACATAAAACTGTATCAAATTACAAAAACAATTCCATAATTCCAGGATGTCTATCTCATCAGGTTCTTCAGTTTGTGGCGACGGAGACGGCGACCTTGTGCTTGACGAAGAAGAAGAAATCGACTTTTATGCGATTCTCAACGTTCCCAGAGAGGTTTTCCTCGAATTTTCAAACAGTTCTAGAAAATGTAATAATTTACAGGCAACCGATGACGAAATCATCAAAGCCTATCGGAAGAGGTGTCTCATGTTTCATCCGGATCGATTTACCGACGAAGGCGAGAAGAAAGACGCGGAAAGAGTGTTTGTGAAGCTGCGAAGGGCTCACGAAGTGCTTCTGGATCCGAAGCAACGGGCAATTTACGATGCTCTCGGAGTCCAGGGCCTGGATACTCAGGGATGGGAGCTAGTGTCAAGATCTGCGAATCCGGAGAACATTCGGAGAGAATACGAGTTCCTTCAACGGCTCAAGGACCGAGAATTGATGCTCCAGAGGGTCCATCCGACCAGCACTTTTATGATGAAAACTACGGTCGCCGGATTGTTCACGGAGAACGAGGAGGACAGATATTCACCACAATTGCTGGGAATATCCCTCTCCCAGTCAGTCGACTGCGCCTTCACCGGCATTGACCGTTTCGGACTTTCGGGAAGGGTCAAAACAGGAAACGGCCGCGGAGATGGAAGTGTTTCAGCCGTATGGAAGCGTATCGCTGGAAATGTAAACTTGGAAGTGAGAAGATGAATAAACTCTGATTTTTATAACATTTTCCTTCAGAATACAGTAACTTTGTCGTCGGAATCAATCGCTTTAACGTGTCGTGCCGCACGGAATGTGTTCACGAGAGCGGCGGTGATCGTGCAGCCGCAGTTACAGTACAACCTGCTCCACGAGGCGTTTATTCCTTCCATTGCTTTTAGTTTGTCGATTCAAACAATCCTGGAAGCAAGAAAAAGTGAATTTCAGTCTATTCAATGCGACTTCACCCCCGATGGCAAGGATCGATCGTTCTGAACGTGTCGCCGATGGGAAATGCGCTCACGACGACAATGGTGCACACGGAGAACAACCACGCGAAAGCGGTGGGCAGTCTGACGCTTTCTCCGATCAACTCAAACCTCCGAATGGCTTATTTCATCCGGAAGACCGAGAATGACTCGGTCACGGAGATGTCCGTGCAACTGACCACCTACGGAATCAACCCGGCCATCAGCATGGACCGTCGGCTGTCCCGTTACTCCAGAATCGCCTGCTCCTTCCACTTCTCCTTCCCCTCCTGTCTTCTCTACACCAAATTCAAATTGAAAGCCGGCCAATCGGCGTTCGAGTGGCAAATTGTGCTCTGCGACGACAAGGAATCGCTCTCGCGAAGTGTGCTCTACGGAGTCGCCGTCCCCTACTTCTCCATCCAACTTGTCAAAGTGATCTTTCGGCCGTGGTGGGAACGTTTCAAGGCGCTATTCGACGACACGTCGCGAGAGCAGGAAGTTGACGTGGCGAAAAAGGAGGAAGCGGCGAATGTGGTCAATCTTATGAGGGCGACGGCGGACAGGATCAGAAGGGACGAGGAAGCGAAGATGGGCGTAGTCATTGAGACCGCACGCTACGGACAGTGTGACGGAAGCGGAACGAGGGCGTATCCGTTGGCCGGAGAGCGGACGATCGATGTGACGGTGCCGTTGCAAGCGATGGTCAATGATAGTCAGTTGAGGGTGTATTCGGTGAAGGTAAGAGCGCATTTTTGACCCGTTTATCGATAATTGAAATTCCCAAATTCCCCAATTTCAGAGCCAACTGCCTGGCTTCTACGATCCGTGCCCCGGCGAGCCAAAAATGCTCACCGTACGCTACGTGTTCCGCGGCGAAGTGCACTCGTGCACAGTCGCCGACGAGATGCCGTTGATGCTCCCGCTCCGAGGTTTTTATACACTTCTCCACCAGCCACATCACATTTGTGTTTTATTATTACAGCACACCGCCTATCAAACGGACATGCGTAAACAGGACGGAGCACATCTCGCGCATGAGTCAGTGAGAGCACATTTTTGTATTTGATTTTAGTGGGCGTGTAGAGAATGGTTTAGCTGAGCCAACATTGAGGGCGAGAAGAAGGGCATGGGAACGAGGCAGAAAGAGCGGAGATTTTAACAGTGCAAGATTTCGGGCCGGACGGAAGATTTAGCTGGTCCGAAGCTTTAAAGTTGGTTTAAGTGTTGTGATCTATCGCTCCGACATTTTTAAACACATTTTTGTAATTTTTGGACCAAGTTGGAGCATGTCGGGCCGGAGAAATTCTAGATTTTTGCTGAAATCGTATCCACGTTACCACTGGAAACGAGTAGTTTCATCGGCGTTCACAGAAGCGCTTCCAACGGTTTCGTCTCGTAAAATGGTGGTCACGGTGACAGGTCGTTAAATTCGCATTGTCCACGGAAACGAGGTGTTTTCTCCCGTTTACGCCCTCGCATCGCCGGTATTTCGTAACACTTTTGTGTTCTTTCCGCCGTTCACAGTTTGTGTGTCACCATTTGTCCTAGTTTTTCCTCAACTGATCAAGTTGGAAATATTTCTGACTTTGAACCACTATAATATCTCGTTGACAACTGCGAGGGTGTCACTCACTTCAATATTTACTATTTGCGATATCGAACGAGAAAAAGAGAGAGGGAGAGACGGAGAGTTTCGGGTTCTCCCTCTCTCTTCAATCGATCAGTGATTGGATAGGTCAACTGGCGTCCTCGCTCATTTTCCAATTTACGATGACGCCATCCGTTTTTCCCCGCCGAACACTTTTTTTTCGTTTTTCGTCAGTTATGTTCCTTCTTCGTTCAACTTGGTTCTCTTTTCCGACAGAAACGAAACGTGCACTGATTGCATTTCTCTCTTCTTCTCTCTCCTAACTCTTTCCGCCGTTTTTTGATCCACCAACAGCAAAGTGACGAATTTGCTCTCGGCCCGACTGGTGTGCTCCAAGTGCTCTAAGAGACTTTCACAAATTCGATTAACTCTTCACCTGCACGCATGTTTCTCTAGTGGGTTTGAAATTTGAGACCACTTGGCGTGTCAACTGAAAACCTAATGAGTCACATTTTCTCGTGGCCATGGCCCCACTTCCATTCTATTATAGCAATGAACCGGTCCTCTCCATCTTCTTCTTATTCTTCTTCTTTCTGTCGACGATTCGATTCTGACGCGCGCGCCGCCGCCACCAGCCGAGACGGACGAAAAACACTAGGAGATTGTAGCCCTTCTCGCTTTCGATCTGTATCCGTCCACTCGACTCGTAATCCTTTTTTCTCTTTTCTATGCCATATTTTCTATAAATCCGCATGAAAATCTGAAAATCTCCATCGAAAGCTTTGAATCACGTGGAACCACCAAAGTTTTCGATGAAATACGAGACCTCTTCTTTATTTTTTTTCCTCTCCACTTGTCCAGAGCTCCCATCGAATCGCATGAATAATGGAGGAAAATGAGCGGCTCGCGGAGCTCACACAAATCCTCTCGAGCAATTCGTTCGGTAATCCGTGAATATTGTGTTTTGAACCAATAATCTCGTTCTCAGAAAAAGATGGAAAACATTGCCCTCGAAGATGATTCGAAAAGCATTCGTTTCCCAGAATCGCTGTTTTCTAAAAAAAATATGTCGCCCTCGCTTCCGTTCTGATTGATAACAAACGTCGCGTCATCGTTTTGATAGTTACGAAATTTTTGCCCCCTTAAAAAATTCGGAAAATTTCGCTCAATTTTACTCAGAATTTAACCGAAATTTTCAAAGTTTCACAATTGTGTCTCTTTTTCTACAACGCTGAGTTCCTGTGATTTGATCGGTAGTACGTTCACTAAAAATTTCCAGAATTTTTCAGATTTTTGATGGGCTCATTCAGTCGGGAAAAAAGGCTTTCTCTAGTTCTCTGTTTTTAAATTGAGCACAGAAACACGGTGATGTGAGTGTTACCGTACCCGCAGAAATGCATAATTATGCAAATCACGGGAAAGACCACCGTCCTTTCTATCGCTTTCTGATTAAAAGGTCGAGCCGCTTCTGCCCGATGGTCATTGCGAATGTGCATTACAATGCAAACACAGTGACTCTTGCTCTTCCTCTCTCGGCCCTCTTTTCTCTGGTGTCCCTCCCTTATCATATTAACACATTCATTCTTCTCGCTCTCTCCGGGGGCACAGGACACAGTTTTAATCGATTCAATTTCTGTCGATCGATGGCAATTTACAGGAGAATCGATGGACGATATCAACCTGGAACTGAACTAGAACCAGTCTCCTCTCTCTCTCTCTCTCTCCGCGTCTCTTCATTCTTTTCGTTTTGAACTTCGATTTGATTTGTATTTAGTAATAGAGATTAAGCTTTTTCTTTTGTTTCTTTTTTGTTTCTTTCCCCCCACACATAATACGGTCTCTCTTTTTCTATGCTCAATTTCAGCCCCCGTTCCCCCACACCTCATTCAGTCGTTTGTTGCTTTCCACTACGAGTTTTTACCGTTTTTTTTTCTCTCCCTGCTAAATAACATTTAGGACTTTTAACAGATTGAATCGATAAAAAATAGCGTTTGTATGCGTGTCCTTCTCGATTTTTCACTTTCCGTTCTGTCGATGTGCCTATCTTTTCCGCGTTTGTTTTGGTTTTTTCTGAGAAAACGCCGTGCCGTTTGCAGAACTCAGAACCCGAATCAGTTGAAATGGCGGACAATATGGAGCAGAAAAAGCAGCCATTGCCGGATAGTGTAAGTTTCAGTTCTAATTTCTGTGTTTAAAAAAAGCAATCCAGCCTCCGACTAGTGGAGAATCGGGCAGTTCGACGTCAGCGATCCCATCGGCGCCGGAAGCTCCGCCCATCACCCACGAGCATCTGACCACGTCGCCAGTCCGTCCGCCAGCGCCAGCTGGCTTCGTCTACCCGTCCACCGACATCCACAACTCGGCCGCCATTCACGTGCCGATTCCACCGATGGCCTCCTCGAACGTCGTGCCGGCGGGACCACCGCCAGCGCACGCATCGGCCGGACCGGCTCCCCAGATGACCGCCTACGATATGCCGCCGCCGTCCTACCAGGCGGCAATGAGCTACCCGGCAGCTCCGACGTACGGAGGAACCACCGATCCGAAGTACTACAGTGGGCAGCCGCCCATCTACTATCAGCCGCCGCAGATCAGTAAGAGATCACTTTAGAGCAAAATTAAACATACTCTTTGCAGCACAGACACGCCTTCCGCAGCCGGACGGCGTGGATCCGGTTGTTCGAACGGTGCGCATCCAGAATCCGCCGGGCAGCAACGTCATCGTGCACGTGCAGCCGGGAGCGCCGTGCCGTCGTTGTGTAAGCTTCCGGAAGACGTAAATTTGTAAATTCCCTAATTGCAGACAATCGGAGTGATCACTCGCCAGACAGACATGTGCTGCCTGCTCTGCCTCATCATGCTCACCATTTTCACGTTCCCCTTCGGCCTCATCTTCCTCTGCTGCGTGCCGTGCACCGTCCAAAACCGATGCACCAACTGCAACCGTCTCGCCTAAAACTTCCCGTTCGAAATCTCCCCCAAATGTATTCCCAAATCTTGTCCGCCACCTAGACATGTAGCTTTATTCACTGTAGCTCATCTCTGCATCATCCGTCCATCCATTCACAATCAAAACTGGTCCCCAGTCGAATTTTATGCAACGAACATTTTAGCCAAGCTCCTCTCGTCCCCCCAATCAAAAAAAAACGAATTATCGAGTACGTTTTATTCATCATTATCCTTTCTGTCTCATAAATTTTGTTTCTGAAAAGTCACGAAATCGCTAACGTGTCCCAGTCCCAGTCCACATTAAATTTTGAGAATTTTCAATTCATTTCGACAGATCCACTCGATTCTGAAAATGGCTGACGAGAACGTCTTGTTCACGGACGCTGGCGCGCAAACAAGGGCGGCAACTCGTCGGCGATGCTCGACCTGCTCGGCGAAGAAGGGCAAAAAGGAAAAGAAATCGGGGAAGAAGGAGAAGAAAACGAAGACGAAGAAGGTGCGGAAGGCGGACAAGTACGAGTCGCAGAACTTTCTCTTCCGCATCGAAGGAACGATTTTCTACGCCGGGATCATTATTTGAATGTCTGTTATGTTCCTTTTTACAATTTGAGTTGAATTGAACTAAATGTATTGAAGACAATGAATGACACGAGCTGAGAAAAGAGTGAGAAATTGAGGCAATTCAAAAAAAAAGTGGGCAGAAAAATAGAAAATTATTCATCGGTGCGGATCCTCTTGGAGCTCGGCGCCTCGTCGTCTTGAGCCGGTCTCTTCCCATAATCAGACTTGCAACGGGCCGGGCCGGGCCGGGCCGGGCCGGGCCAAAACTGGAAATTTTCCGGCCCGGTCGGCCCGGGAGGATGCACCTAAAAAAATTCAAAGCGAACTAGAACTTCGAAACGAACATAATTTTATAGACTTAAAATTTTATAGACTTAAAAAGGCAATGTTATAGCATAAAAACCTGTTAAAAAATAGAAATTGCTGTTTAAAGTCGCAAAATTTTCACAAAAATTACGAAAATTTTCTCAAGAGTGGGCGGAGCCGGGCCGACCGGGCCGGGCCGGGCCGACGATTTGCTGGCCCGGCCCGGCCCGGGATTTGGCAAGTCTGCCCATAATCCGGAATCCTTTTGGGCGGGGCAACGCGACGGCGGACTGGACGGACCGGTCTTCGTTCTTCTTGTTCCATTTCAGAAGCTTCCGTTTCGACATGAGTTGAATACTCATCCGAGTATCCTTGGCCATCATCATCGGGGTAGGCAGAGGAAACGTCGTTCTCCTCGTCGTAGAACTCTCCCAACAAAGTGCAGACGTGTCGGATGGGCGGTCCCCACTCGGCCTCTTCCCATTCTTGCGAAGCATCGAGATCTTGTGGGATCGGAGTGGACGTCTCCAGCGGGCTGAAGAACTGTGGCAGCGGGAGCTCAATGTCCGAATCCGACAATTCGACAGATGATTTGTCCGAATCATCGGACTCTCCGAACGAGAGGAATGGGCTGGATCCTTCTCCGTTCTCGAAGACCAGAGCATCGTGCGGCCGACCGAAGAACGAAATCTCTCGGAAATTGTCCGGTTCCGAGTCCGAGTCGTACGTGGGCTTCGGGGCCTCGTCCTCCCACAGTCCGTTTCCGAACAGATCGACCTCCTCCTCCGCTTTGTCGCACTCTTCGGCTCTATCGAGTGACACGTGGCAGTTCTGCATCACTTCGAAGCCCATCACGGCAGCGACATGTCTGTCGAAGGAGGATTCCATGGCAAAGTTGTCGGTGAACGAATCCATACTTTCGTGTTGAAATGAAGCGCTGAAAAATGAGAATTACTTGAAAAACTTGAGAAAGAGAATTGCGAAGAGGGACAACGGTTTATGAGCAGAAACACAGAGAGCAATGAAACAATCGAGAACACGAACGGAATGAACGAATTTGGAACAGCATCCATCAGTCTGCCACGTCATCATTTAAGAAAAAGGGCGGAGCTAAATTTTCAAGTAAAGGGGCGGAGTCAGGTGAAGACAGATTCGATAAATCAATAATATTTATTCATGGACGGTGGACAAAGTGTTGGTTGTACCGGGTGGAGAGGAATTCGTAGGTGACGGGAGGAAGCTGATGGGGCGCCGGCACCCAGTAGTTGTCCTTCTGGAAAGAGGCAGAATTCCGATAGGCCATCGGAAGAGCGCTCACCTTTTTTGAGATAGGCGGTTGCGCAGTACGGTACCGGGATGGCGATGTTGTCGAGTTCCATCTCGACCGTCTTGCGCGCCTTCTCTCGCATCAGCCCGACGGCCATGTCGAGCGTCGACGCGTGCGCCACCACCAGCACTTTCAGCTGCCGCGCCGCCGTCTTCGTCACCTCCGTCTGCTCGACAATCGCCTTCAGCACCGTCCTGATGCGTTCGTTGTAGTCGTCGTTCGACTCCTGCCGTCCGGTGACCGTCTCCAGACTCACGAACGGACGGAACGCCTTGTCGACGGGGAACGCGTGCCGTTGGAGCGGAGTGAGGAAGCGGGGCACGCCGTGCGGGTACTGGAAGTTCTCGAACAGTCCTGGTTCGACACGGACCAGGGCACGGCTGCCGGACATCTCACGGACCCACGCGGCGGTCTGGATGCAGCGGAGCGAGGGAGAAGAGTAGATGAGGTCTGGAAGTGAGAGAGAGAGTGCCACGGGTCTGGTCCCTACTGACCGGGAGTGTTGTCAGTCAGGAGCAGGCCCCTGCCGACCATCTGCGACAGGACGACGCCGCTTCTCGTGAGACACGTGTCCCTCGTGAAGTCCTTCAGCGGACGGGCGATCGGCAGCCGGGAGGGCATGTTTAGGTCGAACGGCTCGTACTTTCCCTCCTTGTTGCACTTCTCGATCCAGCCGGAGCAGCAGTCGTCGAGTCTTTCCGAATGGCGCATCACCATCAGAACCGACGGCGTCGCGTACACTTCCGACGGCTGGCTGCAAATCGGAAGTACGGATGCGAACAACGGATCCGACGTACCGATGACGGTGCTGGCTGGAATGACGGTCCCGGTTGGACGAACAGTTGTACGATCCGATGTCGGAGGGCTCTTCTTCTGGAATTCGCAACTGGAACGGACACTTTGCAACTGAATTCTCACTTCCTTGTTCGCAACGATCCTTCATTTGTTCACTTCTTCCACGTCTACTATACTCTAGCAATAACTTCCCTTTCCCTCTTTCTGTTCACTTTTTCCCAATAAATACCACGTGTCACGCATTTTTCAATCCCAGAGCAACTATTTTCGTTGTACTCCGCTTACGCTCCACAGCAATTCCATGTGAAAACTCGGCCACGTCCCTCGAACTTTCAAAACTACCATTTCATTTGTTACTGCGAAGCATATGCGGCACATTTCTGACTCGCCACTGGACAGATAACCTTGAAAAATAACTCCAAAAGTTTCATTTCAATTCACATCGTCAATTTCCACTTCTGAACACCCAAAACGAACGATTTCCTCCGTATTTCTCCATTTTGCCACGCCTCTACCGAATTTTTGAAAATCGACACGCGACGCGACCGCGACGCGCGTCAAAAAGTGACAGTTCGCCGGAAGTCGTCAGTTAACTCAACTCTCGACATTTGAACCGGCTGACAGCTCGCACGATCGAATCGAACGGAATTATTGGAATTTAAAAGACTAAATACGGTTAGTTTCTAGGAATCGAACTATTAACAATCGGTGGAACATGCAAATATCATTGGGTTGAATGTTTTTATGCTCGTTTTAGGGAAATATTTGAATTTCTGCGATTGTAGCACTGTTTTTTCGTATTGTTCGGTCTGTATTTGCGTTTCGTGTGAGTAGTATGTCTTAAAATTAATTGTATTAATATTAGAACAAGTGTGTTTTTGAATCATTTCGCGTATCATTTGCACTGATCTTCCGGCCGCGGCCGAAGATATTCTCGACTAGACCGCATGCAGAATAATGCAATTTTTTAGGCGATTTCGATGGGATTTTTCCGGGGTGAATGGGTGAAAAATAGAATTTTACCGGTTTTTCATTGGCGAGTGAAGTAATCTGCGACATTTTCTTCAATGCGACAAGCTGACTTCGACAGCGAATTCAGAGGGAAATCGAATAATTTTTGCTGCTTATTTACTGCAAAAAATAATATTGAATGAATGAATCGGAACGATTCCAATGAATATTATGAATTTCTCTCAATGAAAAGAATAGTCCAGGCCAGATACGGTACTCTCGTAGACGTTCTGTGCAGTAGAAACTAGACTTTAATTACGGAGTAAGATAATCAAAGAACTCTGATGAAAGTGACACATCTAAGGAATCGTCCTTCTTTCAGATAACATGCCCGGACTCAATTTTCGCAACGAGAACGTCCAGAAGACGAACGGACAAAGCCAGAAGAGACGGCGTCAACGGAGAGCCGCCCGTCGTGAGCAGGAGGTTCCTTCTGATTTCAACTTCTGCATTTTGAACGGTCATTCTTTACAGAACTCTCCGCCGACCGAAACCACACAGACTCCGCAGCCACCGAGAGAAGATGAGTCATTGACAGCCGACAGCTCCACGAGCACAGACGACAGCTCCACGAGCACAGCCGACAGCTCCACGAGCACAGCCGACAGCTCCACGAGCACAGCCGACAGCTCCACGAGCACAGACGACAGCGGCCTCGGCAGTTTCAGTTTTAAGCCGGCCCTGGAGAGCACGTACCTGAACATCACCGGCACAGCCATTTCGGAGATTCCCGCCCGTCCGTCGGCTTCTTCTTCTTCTTCCTGGGACTCGGCTGTCGACCAGATGCTGCTCGACATCTTCTGCACCGACGTCGTTATCACCGGAAGCCGCTCCCGCCGCATCTCTCCGGCCGAGTCGATGTGCACGGAAGCGTGCGGATTGCGGAGAGACGCCGAGAAGGCCACCAACAATTGGCTTCTGAATGTCGTCCTCGAGGGAAATACTGTGAGTGAGTGGGATCCCTTCCGAACTGAACCTTCTTTTCCAGCCGACTGCCGCCCCTCCATCCCCGAATGCTCTCCCGGTCCCAGTCGTCCCGCAGCTGGTCCTTCCGCCGTCTCCGCCGCAACGGAGACCCCGCTGCTGCAGCTTCTGCTACGGAACCGCCCTCGCCAGATGGAGACAGAACGGAGAGCCGATCCAGTCGCGCGACTCCGAAGGACCGTGGTCCTCGCACTCGCTCAAAGAGAACGGACGGACGACGTGAGTTGCCACGTCACGGAGGTTACTGTCAATCGGCTGACTTTCAGGTGCCCGGTGATGCGTCGCAATCCGTGCCGCATCTGCGGAGCGTCGGGAGACATCGCCCACACGACGCAGTACCACCTGCAACACCTTCCGATGTCGTCGAACTTCGACTTCGTTGAGTGAATGTATCATAATGTCCATAATGTACTCATTCTACTGCACCTCCACTCATTTCACTAGTCTTTTCACATTTTACCTTTTTTCATGTTACATTTTTACTTAATTTCACCCTCAAAAGTGTCCGAATGACAATCTACCGTAATCCTTTCCTCACCAAATATTAACCGAAAATGATACCGGTAGAGCACGATTTCCACACTTTTTAGCTGCCATTCCTGTTTCATTTCTTTTGTTTTTTTTTCTTTTTCTGTTACTGTTTAAAAAAAAGTTCGACATTCGAATCGGAGTTGGCAGCGAGCCAAGGACACGCCCCCTAAACAGCGTGCGGCAGTTGCAGTGAAAACTGTTTGGGGGGCGTGTCCTTGGCTCGCTGCCAACTCCGATTCGAATGTCGAACCTTTTTTTTCAACAGTACATTCCTGTTAATGATCTCGCCTTTCCTGTTCTCATGTCCATCGGTTTTCTTTTTTTTTGTTACGGATAAATTTGTTAAAAGTTCATTTCTTCAGATAAGACTCACAAGGAAAAACTGGAAACTAAGCGGGTGCAATATAATTCAATTTTTCGAAATCTAAATTTAAACGGGTGCAAAAACGAACGTGAATTAGGTGATGACAGTGGGAGCTTTGCGGTTGGTGAATTGCTCCATTTTGCACACGTCAAGGGCGATGAGCACGAGCGGTTTGAGCAGTTCGTGGGCGGGCAGGAGGAGGCGAGAAGTGTCGGCCGACGGGATGTAAGAGTCGACATAAAGGCGGATGGTGGCGCCAGCGGATCCGGTCCCCGAGAGACGGAACACGAGGCGGGAGCCGTCTTCGAATACAATTCGTAGCCCTTGTTTGGTGGCGACGGAGCCGTCCACTGGATCCGTGTACTGGAAGTTGTCAGCGACGGCGACCTGCAAAGATAAGAGATGAAAAGATGATTCTTCATTCCCGTACCTTGTAAGTGACTCCGTTCGCCGAAAAGTCTCTGCCGACGAAAGCGGGCAGCTGCGCCTCGAGGAACGTCATCAGAAGATTGGCTCCGGCAGCGTCGACGTTCTCGTAATCGTATCGCGTGAATACATTTCTTCCGTACTTTTGCCAGTGCTTTGTCACAATCTGCTCCACCGATTCACGGCGTTCGGCAAGAATTTGGAGCCATGCGAGGAGTGCCCAGACGCCGTCCTTCTCGCGAATGTGATCGGACCCCGTGCCGAACGATTCCTCTCCGCAGATGGCGATGCGGCCGGCGTCCATTAGATTTCCAAAGTATTTCCAGCCGGTCGGGGTCTCGTACACTTGCAGTCCCTTCGCCTTGGCGACCAAGTCGACGGCTCCGGCGGTTGGCATCGATCTGGCGAATCCTTGAACTTTTCGGCTGCGGAAGTAGGGAATCGTGTCGATATTGTCGGCGATCACAGCCAACGAATCACTGGGCGTCACGAAGAATCCGTTCTTTCCTAGAATCATGTTACGGTCGCCGTCTCCGTCGAAAGCGGCTCCCAAGTCGTGCTCTCCAGTGTTCAGACGATCGACGAGGGCCTTTGCGTAGGTGAGATTCGGGTCAGGATGACCTCCGCCGAAATCTGGCTTCGGCACAGTTCGCAGAAGGTCGGAGGCGTCGGCGCCGAGCAAATCGACAAGAATCGTGGAGACGTACGGTCCGGTGGCGCCGTGCATCGAATCGAGAAGAACTCGAAACTTGCGGCCGCCCGTGAGATCGCCAGAGAGCAGCGATTTGATTTTAGAGAAGTCGAAGATGAGTTGCATCAGATTCACGTACTCGGCGACCGAGTCGATGACGTCGACGATAAAGTGCCCGACGCCGTCAATGTCATACTCGTACCTGAAAACCAAACAGTCATCCAAAAACTACATTTTCCCTCCCGACATACCTTCCAACTTGAGTGAAATCACAGTTTAAATCCTTCGCGATCAAATACTTGTCAATCTTTGTCGTAATCGCGTAAATCGCGTCGGTAACATGATCGGGAGCTGGTCCACCGTTCTCGCAGTTAAATTTTATGCCGAAATCTCCCTTCGGACCTCCGGGATTGTGGCTGGCAGTGAGAATTATTCCTCCGTCGACGATATTGCCATCGTGGCCCTTTCGGATGAGATTGGAGACAGCCGGCGTCGAGAGGAAACCGTTTTGTCCGACGATGAGGCGGCCGATCTGAAATTAGAGGTTGGAAAGTTCGAGAACATCTAAATCTTACCCCGTTGGCGGCGGCAATCTTGATAATAACATTCGTTGCCTCCATGGAAAGGAAACGGCCATCTCCACCGACCACCAACTGAGCGCCCTTCTTTTTCGCGCCGAGACCGGCGTCAAGAATGGCCTGCACAAAATTTTCAGTGTAATTCTGCTGCTGGAACTCGGGAACCCGCTTGCGGAGCCCCGAAGTTCCCGGCTTCTGACCGGCGAACGGTTTCGTGGCAGTTTCGACGACGGCGATGCCCATTTTGCGACTGAAAGACACACTTGTTGATAAGAGTATCATAAGATTTTAGGGCGGCCAAGAAAACTCGAGATAGAAAGAAAAGAGGTTGGTCGACAGTCGTTTGTAGTGTTCAATAAACACGCAAACAGAAGTGGAAATTGACTGGAAGTGCGGATATTTATAGGTCCACCGCGCCAGACACCTCGAACACGTAAACCGAGAAAAATGTGTTTGTTTTCAAGTGGGTGGGAAGTTCATCTAAGAAAAAAGAAAAGCGAATGACGAAATAAATTGTGTCGTGGAAAGACTGAGCACTCCCACACGTACACACAAACAGAGACTCGAGAGAAGCAGCGCGTCGAAAATACATGTAGGAGAGGGGCAAAACGCACGGCTGCTGTTCTGTGCCGAAATCGAGAAAAAGATGCGAAAAGAAGCAGAATTTATCTCTTGGAAAATTCGAGGCGACTGACCGCTTATCAACTACAAACTACCCGATATGTTGTGGCTAGTGAACACAAAACGAACAGAAAACACAATTTTAATACCTTTTCTGACTTGATTGCCGAAAAAATAATCATGACATCAGTGGGCAGAGATTGCCGGGTCGACGGCCGTTTTCGTCTCGAGACCCATCCTTTTTTTCTGTAATGTTCCTTTGAATTTGCCGTCCGGAAATCGGATTCTTCCCGATCATCCGAACATCATTGCTCTGTAAAGGGTTGCACTGGAATTTCTAGATGAAAACTTCTTGACGGATACGAGAAGTCAAAAAGAATCAAATTCGATCGTGATGCGGTCGTTGTTCGTGTCCTCCTGTCCGAAGGCGAACGCGTCGCACGAGACGGCGAGAAGCACAGCCTCCTTGGGGTCGAGCACTCCGCACGGCGGGTCCACTCCGAGACGCTTCATGTTCGTCGTCTTGATTCCGTATCCGATGCGGCGGGCCGACGAGTTGATCACCTTGATGTGGTAGGTGTGCTTGTCGTCGTACGGCGCGTTGAACACGATCTTCGCGTTCGGCTGCGTGGCGATGTCTCCTGGGGGCACGGATTGGGCCATGGCGATTCGATTCGGTTGAGAGAGTTGCGACTCTGTGAGGATCCTCACACTTCCCCTCCTTTTATAGCCAAAAAAATATAGAAGGTTCTAGAAGATTGAAAAATTTTCCCGTTATCTTGGGTTTTCGTTTATTGAAACAAGGCGAGCAACCCTATTCGTCCTTGAATACAGTAAACAAAAAATTCGCTAAATAAACCAAGAAAGCATGCAATTTGAATTTTGGGAGGACGTAATTTTTCAAAAATAAGACCAGACTAACTTAAACGATCGTGATGGTTGATACAGCAAATGGAGAATGGGAGGGGAGAAACTCAACGCCAGATCTTTAAAATCACAAGTGAGCGAAGAAGTTTGTGGTAACAAGAGGAAGGAAAAAAGAAGAATAGAAGAAGAACAAAGGAATTTAGAAATTATTGTGGGTTCGGTGGTGGAGGTCCGCCTTCTGGTCCGAACTGACGTCGGAGGTTCTCAATAAGCTCTGGGTTGGTCTCCTGCATGCGGGCGGCCATTTGCTGTCCGGCAGCCATCAGATCACCCATCGTCGCTCCACTCATCAAGTTGTTAAGCTGTAAACAAATTAGGATTTGATTAACTTCAAACTGTCAAATGAATCGCCTACCATTCCAGAGAGTGCCGGATCATTCATCATTTGCGAGGCCATATTTATCAGACTCGGATCGTTGAACATTGCTCCGATATTCGGCCCAGCTCCCCCCGCTCCAGGTGGTCCACCAGCTCCTCCGAGTGCTCCCAAAATATTGGCAAACGGATTAGCTGCCGCGGGGGGTCGTGCGCTCTCGAGTTCCTTGATCTTGTCCTCGGCAATCTTCAGATTGTTCTTGTAGCTCTCCTGATTCGGATCCAACTCCAACGCCTTCTTGTAGGCCTCGGCGGCTTGTTCGTAACGGCTCTGGCAGGAGAACGCGAGTCCCATACGTCCCCAAGCCTTCGAGTATCCGGCATCGAGAGCCAAGGCAGTACGGCAGTCCTGGATAGCCAGATCGTACTGTTCGAGACGGCAATAGGCGGCAGCACGATTACAGAAGTACACGGGATCGCGGTTCAACTTGATCGCCTCGTTGTACTTGATAACGGCTTCGTCAAAATGCGAAGCCTTCATCAGATCATTTCCTTCCTCCTTCAGCTTGTTCGCTTGTGCGATGTCCGCTGCGCTAGGCGTTGGAAGAGAGCTCTCACCAGCTGGAACCCCTTCTGCACTCTTGAACATCTCCAAAATCGGACGGGATGGTTGGAAAGCATAGGATCCATCGTTCAGTTGGAAAACGTGCTCGAGACACTGAATGGCAACTGAAAATATACTAATTCCGATTGGATTTGGAAACTCACTTGAAATATTGTAGACAACTGACCTTCCAGTGCTTCGGCTTGTTCGACGGACGCAACATTCTGCGAGACCTTCTGACGAATGAACTGAAGGAACGAAACGACGAGGTTCTGTTCATCGACAGTCACTGGAATAGGAGGCGAAGACAGAAGATCGGCCGCTGACGCAACTGGCGGAGGGTTAGCATCGGCCATTTCTACAATAAATATGTTTTGAAGCAAATGACGCAATTTTGAAATATGATCGGCACGAGAATACGGATAATGAGATGCTCGAGTGAAGTGAAGTCTGATAGTGATTATATAAATCTTAACTCTTTTTGTTCTGGAGAATGATAAGGACAGAATTCAATGGGAAGAAGGAAGTTTTGGCCAGAAAGTATTGCGAAAGAAAGAAAACAAACAATAAAAAGCAAAGATGATAAGGAATAGTAACAAAACGCCTAAATTCTGTGATTTTTGGCTTCAAATGTGGCCTAAACCCATTCATTTCAACGTTAAGCAAAAATTCACGGATCCACGTTTTTTTCGCGACGTCTTCAAGGCAAAAACCCCTAGAAATTCTCTAAAAATAACGCGACAAAATGTATTAAAGGCACACAACAATCGCTGCATCGTAGGGTCTCGCCACGAAATCGAAGAGTGCTCTCTCGCCGCGCGGAGACGCCGATCGACGAGACGGTTGGCGAGACAAAGTTCGGGGCCGGCGAACGAGAGAGTCCACGAAATGGGGAGGGTGCGAGAGAAAGTGAGCGGCTGACTGGTGGCCCTCAGGTCTCCCAAAAGCCCCCATTTCTCGTCACTTATCGGACTCCACTGGCTTTAAAATTTAAACTCTACTCTTTTCTAACACTTTACAAACTATTGCACTGTTCACAAATCTGCTTCATGTTCCTTTCCAGCTTTTCCTGGTGCTTACAAGTCACAAAACTTCAAAAAGTTCCGCAACACTTCAATTTTAGCACACTAAAACCGTAAAACCTCGTCCTTATCAACTCGTGCACCTTCAAACACCTTCAAAAACGCTCCAAATTGTTTCAGTAATTGGACTTTCTCTCTTATCGCTTCACTAAACCCGATCAATGTCATCCGAGGAGCACACGAAGCGGCAGGACGATGCTCCGACGTCTTCTTCCTCTTCTTCCGCACCTCCTCCTCCAGCTCGACGTCTCTTCGACAACACTTCCGACGAATCAGACGTCTCTCTGGACAATGACGGTTCGGCGTGTGCTCGCTTCTTCTGATCCGTTTTTCCTCAGTTTCAGACAAGACCGGCGCCGAGACGGACGGTTCTTCGTCGAGCCGCGGATGTTTGAAGAGCGACCGCTCGCGGAAGGATCAGTCGAGCAGCTCGGCCGCCAGAACTGTTCGTGCTCCTCAGCAGGTCAGAAAAGCTAGAAATAGACTGAAACATTCACATGGCTTCCAATAACTGAAAGGCTTCTAAATATGGCTTCCAAATGCTAATGAAACTTCTCCGTACTGAACTTTATAAAAATAAAAATCTAATCAAAATCGAAATAAAGTTGCAGGTCTCGTGGTCGTTTGGCGCGAAACCGGCCACTCCGCACTCGCAACCACCCGCCGGCCTCAAAAAAGGTACTTTCCGTTTTTTTCCGAGTCAGCTCTCAACTTCTGACCCCATTCCGATTGACGCAAGCGAAAATTGTCCCGTTTTCCGGTTCCATGAGCAGAAAACCTTTTGAAAAACGGAAAATTTTGCGCTCTTCGTTCTTTTTCCGTTTTTAGAACGGGTTTGTCCTCAATTTTCTAAACCGAAAGTTTGAAGGGGAAGCCGACATATGGTTCTAATGTGCCTAGACCTAAACATAAACAGAATGCACATTTACTTTGTGTTTAGCGATTCCACATTCTGATTTTCCCGGGAAAACAGCTGAAAAAAGGAGTATACAAGATTGTACCCCCAAATCCCGGTGATTAGATTCTATTTTTAACCCCCGAGACGATAACATAAAATACCTGCTACCCCTGCTTCTTCTACACTCCTATTATTGTTTTTTGCTGACCAGCCGACCCATTTCCACTCCACTTTTGCGTGCCGGCCGGCACCAGAAGAATTTCTCGAAATGAAAGTGACATTTTTGGATGAAGGTGAGCGAAAGCTTTTAGGCTGATTGAAATAAACGGATTTGAGGGGGAGATTAGTCAGATTTTGGAGCTAGTTTTCCGTTGATCTAGGCCAATATTCCAGAAGTTCAAGCACTTTTTTGTCGAAGAACTCAATCCCATTACTCTTCGTTCGCTCTCTTTTTTCCCTCTTTTTTCCATCTTCCAATCGCACCCATTGGAATCCCTTCGGGGCGCCGCCAGAGGGACGTTTCGAAGGCAAAAAGAAGAAAGGGCCATTCGCCGCTCTTTTCCTCGACGCTTCGAGGCTCGGAGAGCACAAAGAATTGAAGGAAAGAATCTTCGAAAAATGAACAGGTGGCCGTCGGCCTCGCGTGGAGTCGGAGTTGCGAAATGATTAGCGCCCCGGGCCGGAATGTTGCTATTTGTCTCGCTTCTTCATCTTTTTTGTTCGCAATTCCACCACACCCGTTGTTTACGTCCTTCTGACACTTGAAAAGCGGATCGGATTTCAGAATAGATGAGGGAAATCACGAGAAAAAGTTGTGACACTTTAGGGGTCAGCCGCACTCAGTCCCTTCAAGCTGGAGGCCAAGGCTCTAGGCGACAATTCCTGAAAATGTCTACTCGAAAATGCATAGACATGTTCATCTATTCCTATTCTTCTTTCCGAATGACTGCACCTTCGTCTCCATTTTTCCTGCAAAGAACTCTGTTGTTGTGTGTGTGCAGCGGGCCACAATGTCCGAGTTCGCCCATCCTTTCGGCCGGTTCGTCTGTCCACCCGTCCGTCCGTCCGTCTCCGGCTAATCTTCTTCTTCGTCTTCTTCTGTTTTCTTTACATTCTTCTTTCCTACTCCCCATCCCGGCCATCGCCTATGTTTTTCGTCCAATCTTTCCCGCCGTTTTGCTTTTGTCTCTCTCGTTCCTCCCCTCCATTTCCGTCGTCCTCGTCGTCCTTTCTGCCTTCTTCCCAATTTCAACACCCGATGGTGCTGGGTTCGGAGACAATTTTCCCCCCAACAAAATTGTGTTCTTCTAGTTCGCTCTCTCGACTGTAAAAAGTGTTGAAGACTTTGGAAAACAGGAACATTCCAACATCCCGAAGCTCATAAAAATCAAGTTCTTCTGACTTTTTGCTTATCCCATTTCCCATCAAAGTACTCGCCACAGAGACCCTATTAACTGGCCCCATCATCTTCCTCACTCATTTAGTGTAAAGTTTTGTGTGTGTGTGCGTCAGTCATCTGGTTGACCTTTCTCATTTCATACAAGAGATCTCATATCTAACAATTCTACTTTTATGTCTCCCTTTGATTACCCAGAGTCAATATAATCTGTGGTAAAGCGGGGACAAGTGATCAGTTAGAATCAGAACACGAACGGGTGGGATGTGATTGATAAGCCTTAATAAATCCTAGATAGCAAAAAATTGTCTATTGGATTTTGGATTTGGATCCGATGGATTTGTCAAACTCATCCGTTAATCTGAGAACAAGATGACTGCTCACAAAGTTTAGTGAGCCAGACTGAGGTTCACACCTGATTTCATTCTCAGCTGACAAGCCGCTCCACCCGCCAGACCCTCCAGTTGGCTCCTTAGTCTCCCTCTCTCTTTTTTTTTATCACCGTACCCTTTCTGGTAGTGCGAATGAAGTACTGGGGCGGCTCCCCTCGCTCTCCCGTTCCCCCAGACAAAGCGCTTCAAAATGTGGGTGTTTGTGCCGAGAGTGTTCTGTTTGCTCACCTTGTTTCTGCTTTTCAGTGCTGAAAGAAGAGGAAGAGCAAAAAAAAAAGATTTTATGCAATACTATCAATGATAAAGAATTTGTATTTGCTGACTTTGAACGGAAAACAAACTAAACTGAACAAAAATTTTGTGACCGAGTGGGTTAGACACCAGCATCTTACCTTGAATCACATGGTATTTCTGAGCTGTGCTCGTTCTTTTCTGTCCTCGTTCCTGTCAGCTCCACTCACACACGTTTTTCAAGAGCCAAAGCACTTGATTAAAGTAGGCCAGGAAGCGACCGCCCATTTCCATCCTTCGTATCCGCCGTCTCGTCGTATCCAGTCCGGTCTGATGTCTGCGTCTCTTCGACTTTGTCGCTCTCCCGCCGCCCGCCCTCCCAGCCGCTCCATTGTCATCATTATATCGTCTTCGGCGCTCTCTCTCCGCCTCTTTGACGCTCTCCGCGTTCTGTGCACTCCATCGTCTCGCCCCGTCTCGTCTCTATCAGCTGCTGCTGCTGCGCCCCCTATTCCGAGGCATCGCGCAGCACCATCACTAGCTGGCTAGCATCCCCCCGATTGTCCTCTTAAAGCAACTGAATACATTATCATACATCGGTATTATATTCACCTGGCACCTCAGCTCTGGCGATTCTGCCTACTGTCATGAGTACTTATTCTACGTTTCCGTCGGCCTCCTCTTCCTCATCCGGTTAGTCGTGAAATTGGAGCTCTTTCTGACCGGATTGGTTTTGTTGTTGTCAGCCAACATGCAAGATTCTGACTCGGCTTTTCAAAATTCTGACCGATTTCAGTGCCCGCCATCTCGTCCGCATTCGCCACGTCATCAACGTCCGGCTCTTCGGCGTCCACCTCGTCGTCGGCTGCTCGCAAATCGTCGCTCGTCGGCGGTCGCGGATCGGCTTCGTCTTCCGGGCACACGAGTCCGTCGCCGTCGGGTAAGATTTCTTTTCGAAAATTACGAAATGTTCCGCAATCTTAACAACCTTAGAAGAGAGAATTTTGAATTTTTTTAAAGAAAATAGTATAAAAAGTGTATCTCACCCGGAACAACGGAAAAAGGCAGCCGATTGTTTTCGAAGCTGTCTCCCAGGGCGCTGCTGGGACGCTTTTGTTTTCCTTTCGACTCGAAGCATCGAAAATTACGCATGAGTCAGTGGGAACGCTTGCCGTTTTGATCTCGCGAGGGATGCCCTAAAGCGGGCACTTTCCTTCCTTTGTATTAATGACTCTTGACGCATTCTGAACTCGTTTAGCGGAGATTCTCATGTGATTCATCAAAACAGGGATTTTCATTTTTCAGAATCACCGGCGCGCAACGCTGGTTGCTCTTCGTCTGGCGAATCAAATCCAGATCGCTCGTTGGCCACACCCCCGCTCCCTCCGGCTCTCAAGCACTCTGCCAAGGTACGTTTCCCTTTACGCTTTCCACGGAAAAACCAATCCATCTTCCAGGACGGTCATTATCGCGGACAGCGTTCAATGTCTCTCGGTGGCCCGGCACACGAGATGCTCATGTCGCAACTCGGCGCACGTCAAGGGAACACAGTCGACTGCTCGCCCGGAGAAGGCGACAAAGTGTGTTTGCTCGTCGATCAAACGCGCTTCCTCGTCTCCCAACGTCTTCTCACCTCGAAACCCGATACGATGCTTGGCAGAATGTTCTCAATGCGTGCCTCGTGCGGTGATTTGGGCGCGGATCTGGTGTCTCCGAACGAGCGAGATGAGTTCGAGGTGGCTGACGGAATGACCGCTTCTTGCTTCCGCGCCATCCTTGACTACTACCAATCGGGGACGATGCGATGTCCGTCGTCGGTGTCTGTTTCGGAGCTCCGTGAGGCGTGCGACTACCTGCTCGTGCCCTTCAATGCACAGACCGTCAAGTGCCAGAATCTCCACGCGTTGCTCCACGAACTGTCCAACGAGGGAGCCCGCGAGCAGTTCTCCCAGTTCCTCGAAGAGATAATCCTTCCGCAACTCGTCGCGTCGACAGAGCACGGAGAACGGGAGTGCCATCTCGTTGTGCTTCTGGACGACGACGTCGTCGATTGGGATGACGAGTATCCGCCGCAGATGGGAGAGGAAACGACGCACGTCGTCTATTCGACGCATCTCTACAAGTTCTTCAAGTACGCCGAGAATAGGGACTGTGCGAAGCAAGTGCTGAAGGAGCGAGGACTCAAGAAGATCCGATTGGGAATGGAGGGATATCCGACGCACAAGGAGAAGATCAAGAAGCGTTTCAACAAATCGGAAGTCATCTACAACTACGTGCAGAGGCCGTTCGTGCACTGTTCGTGGGAGAAGGAAGAGGCTCGCAGTCGCCACGTTGATTTCGCTTGTCCCATAGTCAAAGTGAGTACCTCTCCACTGATCAGCAATATACTTTGTCCTTTTTCAGTCCAAATCGAATCCATCCCTCGCCGCCGCCGCCTCGGATCCGCTTCCCCAGCCGGCTCCTCTTCAACAGCAACATCGTGTCGCCGTTTTCGGAGAAGCCGCCCCTCTGGCTCACCGTTTCGACGACGGCGCTCTGATTCAGCCGATGCTCAATCAGGCGTTACCGTTTCAGCAGAATAATGCGATGCTGGGTGTCAATGTGCAGCAACAGCAGGTACAGAATCCTTTCGTTTTTCTTATCTTCAAAACTTCGGATTTTCAGCACAATCACCCACTCCACTCGCCACCAGTCAATTTCCAACGCAATGATCGCGACGATGAATGATTCGAGTCGAAATTCAAAATTTGAATTTCAAATCCATCCATCCCTTTGTCATCCGGGTCCCCACTCTTTTCACCTTTGTGATGTTCCAACTCGCATCGAGTTCCAATGCTATTTGTGCCCCACCCACCATCTACTGGTCCCTTCCCCCCTCCACCCATAACTTATATATCAAACGCATTGTCATCATATTCCTTTTTTGCGCACCCTGCTTCCCCATCTCGTCGATTTTCCACGCAATTTTGATTCAAAACGCTGAAAATGATGAACACTTTCTGATAAGAACAATTTATTGAAACATCAGCAAATCAGCCGCGAGTAGTAGAATTATAAATCTAATTTAGAAGTAGACGTAGAGTACAATTCTTCCACAAAACGCTTCTGTTTAGCATTTTTGACGGCTTTCTTTTGGAATCGGAGACCGCCGATCTGATCGGTCTTCCGATGCCGCTTCGACAGAACTTCGGCCTGGCCCGCTTCATACCACTTTCGATCCTTGTAGTCTTGTTCGTTGACCGCCGATATCAGCCAACTGATTCCCTTCTCCTCCATTTCCAAGTGTGGCATTGATGGCAGAGTTGGAGTGGTTGTGGCCTCCCCCAACTTCTCATTCTTCTTCACTTCCCTCTTGTACTTCTCCTTCAGCCGGATGGCCGAAGCGACGGCCTCCGCCATCTTCTCCGTCGCCTTCCCGGTCGCCTCCAACGCCACCTTCCGCTCCTCTTCCACGTGTTCCAGCAAGCGTTGATCGTCCAGTTCGTTCCCACTCCACAACTCGGCGCGTCGCTTCTCGTTCCTCTTGTTCACTAGTTCGAAGTGCTCGAGCATTTTCTGCGCCATTATCCGCTTGTCCTTCTCCGTGTTCAATTCCGTTCTCAGCTCTTCTTTCTCCTCGAGCACTTTTCGGAACTGCCTCTTGCTGATGCTGTTCTGCAGCAGACGGGTGGCTCCTTTCAGGACGGCCTTCAGCACAGCGATCTCCTTTTCGTACGATTCGGCGGATCTCTTTATGGACATTTTTTTTCTGAAAAGAAGACGTTAAAGAGAGAGAGAGAGAGAGCAAGAAAATCGATAGATTCAGTGTAAGGAAGGAGCAATAGTATTCGAAGAAGAAATGAGAGCGCGACTAATGACTGTCGACTGAGAATGCGAATGACTCCGATTTGCGACGTTCTGACAGAGCAGCGCGTTCGATGGGAAGGCGTACGTTCGAGAATAATTACGTGGCGAGCTCGCCTTAAAGTCAGGAATTGATTTACAAAAACAAGAATTTATTAAAAAGTTATATCACTCACAATTAGAAACGTCGATCTTCGTGAAGCGCAGGTCGAATGGGCACTGAAGCTGCTCTCCGATCGCCAGGTAATCCGTGCATTCCGCGCAGATTATGTGGCCGCAATCTGAAATCGTTTAGTTTTTGAAACCGTTAGAATTATGACAATCACTAACCGAGATAGGTGGGCGATCGTTCGTCGTACTCGCCGTAGTCGATTCCGCAGGCTTCGCAGGACTCCCACGGATCGGACGGCTCGTCGTCTTCGTTCTCCGTCGGCTTGATCCTCTCGATGTTCTCGCTCTCGGTCTCCACAACGATCATCGCATTGTTCAGATCCGCCTCCGGATCCTCCTGCTCCTGCTGCTCTTCCAATTGCTTCTTCAGCTTCGCCGCTTCTGCCCTCGCGAGCTCCAGATCCCGATGACCCGATCCATCTCCTTGTCGTTCTTATCGTACTCTGTTTTCAGCGCGGCCTTGTACTTGTCAACCTTCTTCACCGTCTTCTCCATTTTCTTCTCCATCTCCTTCATTTTGATGGTCATTTCTCTCGCCTCCCATCTGAGCCTCTCGTTCTCCTCCACGAGCTTCTTCTTCGCCGCCAGTTCCATTCGGAAAAACGTTCTGGAGATTCGATGCTCCGCCTTCCGGTTCGCCTCAGCCAGAAGACGCCTGAGCATCTCGTTCTCCTCTTCGAGGGTGATCCCGTCCTTCGGGGCTTCCGTTTCCAGTTCGATTTCTGCGGCCTGCTCCTTGCGAACAACGAACGAGTCCTCTGTGAACTCGTTGATTCCCTTGACGTTGGCGATCATCTTTCCGGCCATTTTTCGTTGATTCTGAAGCAAAAGAGATTTACGTGAACGGACGGAAGGAGACGGAAGAAAACGGCGGAATGAATTGACTGAGTTCACGATAATTGATGACTTATATACGACGACCCCGTTTGCAGTTACGTTCTTGTATAAATGGGCCGCACTTTCTTCCACATCTTCACGTTCCGTTCCATTTCGGACGGAAAAAGGCGGACGGCGCACGTTCGAACGATCGGCGAACTTGGCTCTTGGGAATCACGGAGAGGGAGACGACGGGCAGAGCAAACGAAACAAGGATTGGACAGATTCTAGAAATGTATTGTAAAGAGCACACATTATCATAGTGAAAAAGATTTTATTCAGATTGTCATCGTCAGTGTTCTCCGAATTATTAGGTCTCTTGAGGAATTGACAGTGCTCTACGGTCCTTCGCTTCTGGAATGAACGATTGATTTTCCAAGCTCTAACTCAATTCTCACCGTCTGCGATGGACGGTGCGAATTGAGATTCATGAAACAGGTGAACCCAAGAATAGATATTCAGACAGTTTCATTTTAGATGCATGCACAAAATATAATAATTTTTACAGTGAGTGAGCAATTAGAGGGAGTGAGTGGGTCCTAGATTAGGGTTGTTTGGGGGCCTCTGAGCTAGTAGAGCTTGGTCTGGTGGCATTCCGCGATCTGGTCGGCAGTCGTGCACGCTCCTTGCTCCGGCGAGAAGTACAGTCCAGTCTCGCAGGTGAAAACCGCCTCTTGTCCATTCACGCAATTGTTGTAGTTCTGAGAGCATGGCTCGATGGCGGTAGCTCCCTCCGTGCATGTTGGAACATCTGTAAAACGATATTGAAGCAATTGAAAGCGAATCAGTTGTTCTCACCATTGGCGGTCTCGTAGAGCTGGCTGTTCTCGGTGCTGACCTCGACTGGAGCCTCGGCGATAGTGGACACTTCGACTGGAACGTCCTGAAAAAAAAATTTTAACTCAATGATCAACTTTGAACAAAACGAACCGATTGAGAAGCAGCCGTTGTGTACGAAGGATAAACAATGGTCTCCTCCGTAGTTGACGGAGTGTCCTCAGTCGGGGTGGTATCGACGACCTCTGTCGTGTACTCCTCAGTAGTCGACGGAACGTCGGCCTCAGTTGTAGTATCCTCGGTGACTGAGGCGTAAACTTCAGAAGTAGTCGTTTCCTCAACGTATGGGACAGTCGATGGAACATCAGCGGCAGTGGTGGTCTCTTCGACGTACGGAATAGTAGTTTCCTCGGCGTATGGAAGAGTTGTCGTCTCCTCAACGTACGAGATCGTCGTCGTCTCAGCTTCGGTGGTCGATGGAACATCAGCAGCGACTGTAGTCTCTTCGGAGTACGGAGCAGGCGTGGTAATCTCGACAACTGGTGCGTAGACGTCAGCAGTGGTTGGCACATCCTCGGCAACAGTAGTTTCCTCAGCGTAAGGAATCAGCGTCGTGGATGGCTCATCGGCAGCTGGAACAGTCTCGGCGGATCCGTACCCTTGATCGCCCTGCTCTGCCGATCCTTCGTCATTTCCAGATCCGTTCTGGCATTCTGGAACAGCTGAACGGTAGTCGCAGATGACACGTGCCTCGTCGAATGCCAAATCGGCTGGGCACTTCATCGGGATGGTGTACCCGTTGGAGCAGGCGGTGTAGTCGCCGCTGCACTCTCCGTACGAGTAGAATCCGTCAGCCTGATTGACGCAGTTTCTCTCGACGGCGGAACGCGTGACGGGTTCGTCCGAAGCTGGTGCAGCGGTCGCTGGAACTTCGGCGGCAGCATATGGATTGACGGTAGTCTCCACGGTGGTTGTGACATCCTCAGCTGGGGCGTACGGGTTGACAGTCGTCTCTTCTGGAGCCGGAACGTCGTTGGCTGGAGCAGTGGTCGCTGGAACTTCGGCGGCAGCATATGGATTGACGGTAGTCTCCACGGTGGTTGTGACATCCTCAGCTGGGGCGTACGGGTTGACAGTCGTCTCTTCTGGAGCCGGAACGTCGTTGGCTGGAGCAGTGGTCGCTGGAACTTCGGCGGCAGCATATGGATTGACGGTAGTCTCCACGGTGGTTGTGACATCTTCGGCAGGAGCGTACGGGTTGACGGTCGTCTCTCCTGGAGCCGGAACGTCGTCAGCAGGAGCAGTAGTGACTTCTGGCTGTTCGGTCGACGGCACTCCTCCGTTGCATTCCGGCACGTTGTACGTGTACTCGCAGGCCACGATTCGGTGATCGTAGATTAGGTTGGCCGGGCAGTCCATGATTCTTGCGATGCCTACAATGAACATTTTGCCCAGCTACTGCTAGAATTCAATCGTACCTCCTGAGCAGGTCAGGAACTGTGGGGAGCATCCTCCAATAGCGTAAAGTCCGTCTTCCTTCGTTGAGCAGTCCGTGTCGATGGCCACAGAGTCGGCTCCCGAGCCACTGTCGTTGCCGATTTGCTCGGAGCCAGAGCCATATCCAGAGAATTCCAGAGTGGCGCTCTCGAGAGGAAGGTTGTCGTAGACTCCCGGCACGCCGTATTCGGCCGAAGCGGCGATGACAAGCAGGGCACCGAGAAGGGCGGTCGCTCGAATCATGTGGCTGAAAACGGAAAGTAAGATGAGAAAGAAAACGCTACGAGTAGAGAAGCAAAAACGGGAAGAATTTTACAAAACTCGACTCTCAAAGGAATCACATGCATCAAGAAAGCAGAACAGGAAGAAAAAATGATGGAGAACGGATGCAAATTGAGAACCGAAAACTGAAGCGCTCCTTCGCTGTGGGAATGAGCGAACTGAGCAGTAATCGTTCTCGAAAATACCACAGAAACAAAACGAAATTTAGATTTTCGCGCGTAGATCAAAAGTCGCTGCAAGACCCTACGGTTTTAATTTGCTATCCACCTTTAAAAATTACCGTATCACTCAAATTTGTTTGTTGTGCTAGTTGTTCATTTTTGAGAGCGTGCCATGACAGCGGAAAATTATGGATGCGCTGTTTCGAAAAGTTTCGATCGATTTTGGGCTGCTAAAATGTGGCCGATTGCTCTGGAACTTTGCTCATCATTTCCTATTTTTTGCTCGCCCTTCCTTCGTCACTTCTCAGTTTTCCAGAAAATGAGCTCAAACTTTCGTACTTCTCGTGTCATGATCGAGTCGTCTTCGGATGAATCCGATTCCGATGAAAAGGTAAGCGCGATGCTTTCTCTAGGTATCGAGTCGTCATCTAGACAGTGATTCGCAGGAGCCACTGACGTCCAGACTCAGCAAAAAGACTGACTCGGAGGAGTCGACCTTCGACATGTCAATGCGTTCGGTCAAATCGGATATAAGCTCGGATGCTCCCAATACGATCGCCAGTTTCGCCACATCTACTCCTTTCTCCAAATCGAGTGCTTCTTCTCGCCTCAACCCGTCGTACGGAAGCTCGAAAAGCTCGTCGAACGGCCATGACAGAAGCCGCAGTTTCCACGAGCAGAATGAGGACAAGCCATTGACTCCGATCTCGAAGAAGCTCGCCGATTCGAGCGATCCAAGGTCGAGGCAGCAGCTGCGTGAGCGCCTTTTGAGAAAGAACTTGAAGCAGAACAGTGAGGGTGGCTCTCCTCGCGCCAAAAGCACTGGCGGATGGGGTGGCGGCGCGGATTCAAACTCTCCGGAGGCTAGCGATCTCTTCACTGCCACACTCTCTCCGATTGCGAAAGCAGTTCCAAGGCGTCCGAATTTCGAGTCTGACGATTCTTCTGTAAGCTAATCTTCATTATAATTTTTAGAGAACAGCAAGCATTCCTTTTTCAGGACGACATTCCAAAGAATACCGCATCAACCGCACTGCATCATCGGGATGCCAGTGGTGCACCCGGAACATATGGGACGCCAGCAGATGTCAAAGCGAAGAAGCCTATCAACCTTGACGACAGCGACATCATTGATGTGACCCCGGACAAGAAAGAAGTCGTGAAGAACCCGCCAACTGCGATCGACCTCGATGACAGCGATATCATCGCTGTGACTCCGGAGGAGCCGTCTTCTCTGAGCAGGGCAGATCTCGCAAAAATGAGCTACAAGGATTTGCTGGCAAAAAAAAATCAAGTGATGGCCTTGTTCGAACACGCGCAGAACTTTCCGGACAATGGTGCTCGCATTCATCGTCAGTTCCAAGAGATCGACGACGAAATCGAGCAAAGAAAGGACAGAGGACTGGACAAAAACGACAGCGATGACGACGTCATTCAACTCGATGAACCGGCGCGTCGTGTCCTTCCGAAAATGCCGTCCGGGTCGGTAATGACGAAGAACGGACTGCTCCCTCCGAAGCATCTGATCGACTTGCCACCGCCGCAGCAAGATTTGAATGCGTTGGTGGGCAGGGACGATAAGAAGCTGATGAGCGGAAAGATGACGCATGAGAAGTACAAACAAGTGCATCTCATTTCGGACCGCGTCATGCAGCAATTGGTCGAGTGAGTTGAACTGAAGCAGTTTTGCAAAAATCGATGTACTTTTTTCAGTGCGTCTCACACGATACCAGCTGAAACGGAGCTGACGGAGACTCCCGATGGCTTCAGGATCGAGCTGCTGCCTCATCAGAAAGGGGGTCTCACGTGGATGCTCTGGAGAGAAACGCAGCCACAGGCGGGAGGAATTCTGGCCGACGACATGGGTCTCGGAAAGACTCTCTCGATGATTTCGCTGATCGCTCACCAGAAGAACGTCCGTAAGGCTCGTAAAGAAGCGGGAGAAGATGAAACGGACAAGGAAAAGAGAAAGGTGGCGAAAGAGCAAGGACTGGTGCCCTCGAACGGAACTCTCGTCGTCGCACCGGCCAGTCTCATCCATCAATGGGAAGCCGAGATCACTCGTCGACTGGAGGAAGACACGCTCTCCGTCTACATGTTCCACGGTTCCAAGAAGCAGAGAAGTATCGACGCAAGACGCCTCGCTCGCTACGACGTCGTCATCACAACGTACACGCTTGTGGCCAACGAGCTGATCGAAAAGATCACGACAAAGTCGAAGGCAGACGAGTCGGACGAGGATTCCGATGAAAGTAGAAGGGGAATCAGAAGAACCGTCGCGAAGGACGACTCGGTGCTCGCGCAGATCTGCTGGGCGCGTGTCATTCTCGACGAGGCGCACGCCATCAAAAATCGGCTGACTCAGTGCTCGAAGGCGGTGTGCCGACTCTCCTGCTACGCCCGTTGGTGCCTTTCCGGAACTCCGATCCACAACAACCTCTGGGATCTGTACAGTCTCATCCGATTCCTGCGTGTTCCGCCGTTCAGCGACGACAAGTACTGGAAGGAGTCGATCATGCCGATGAAGTCGATTATGACGGAGCGCGTGAATCTGCTGACGAAAAATTTTCTGCTCCGTCGTACCAAAGAGCAGACTTGTGCAATCACCAACAAGAAACTCGTGCAACTGGCCGAGAGGACGGTGCACGAGCACGATCTGGTGATGGACGGAGAGGAAGCGCAGGCATACGTGATCATGATGGACGCTGCGCATAAGTTGGTCAAGCAGATCATAACGCAGTCGGATGACATGAGGAACTACGGTCACATCAGACAACGTCGTGGGAAGAACGGAGAGGAGAGCGAGATGCAGAATCCGTTCAATTGTAAGCAATAGTTCTCATTGATACGCAATTCCATTATTTAATTTCAGTCGGTCCACGCAATCTGCAACTGAATTCCAACTTCGAAAACATGTCGTGCATCCTTATGCTTCTTCTCCGTCTCCGTCAAGCATGTGTTCATTTTCACATCACCCGAGGTGGAATGGATTTGGACGCGTTCCAACTGATCGGTGGCGACGAGACTCTCGACGTGGATGTGATCGGAGAGCTGCTCGAAAAGACGATGACGTTGGGACAAGGTGGCGACAAAGAGGACGAGCAGAAGAAAGAGACGCCGCAAGGATTGACACGCATTTTCGAGCCGGATTATATCAGCTGCAAGATCAAGAAGACCCTGGAACTCGTCGAGAGTATCATGAAAAAGAATGAGAAAGTGTAAGTGGCTTAACGGCGGCACGTTCCTTCGAAATTTCTGTATTTCAGCGTGATCATCTCGCAGTGGGTGTCCGTTCTCAATCTGCTCGAGTCGCACATTCGGCAGAGCGGAGTCGAGTACACGTCGATCACGGGACAAGTGCTCGTCAAGGATCGGCAGGAGAGAGTGGACAGCTTCAATCGAGAGGGAGGCGGCGCCAAAGTGATGTTGCTCTCGCTGACGGCCGGAGGAATCGGACTCAACCTGACGGGCGGCAACCACTTGGTGATGGTCGATCTACACTGGAATCCGGCGCTAGAGCAGCAGGCGTGCGACAGAATCTACCGGATGGGACAGAAGAGACCGGTGTTCATCCACCGACTGGTGGCGAAGGGAACGATCGAGCAGAGAGTCGTGCAGTTGCAGAAGGCGAAACTGCAGCTCGCTTCTTCGATTCTCGACGGAACTGCAACGCGCAAGATGAACAAGTTGACGATGGCCGACATCAAAATGCTGTTCGGAATCGAGTGATAACACTGACCCACTCATTTGTATTTTCCCCTTTTATTGTCCTGTATACTTGCTCTTCATATTCCCCTTATGACCGATTAGATGAATTTCGTTGTGAATATCCGGTCAAAACTCATGATTATCACTGTGAATAAATTACTCTTACTCTTCCACCGAACCTCCTTGGCTTCACATTTCTCTAATAATAACTCATTTATTAACCTCGACCACCTAGGAAAAAAGGGAAGAAAAAAGAGAATAATATATATATTATAGTTTTAGGGTTTTTCAATCCAAATTCGCGAATTCCACTGTGCCCCTGGTCGCCGACCAGGAAATTGTGTTTGGTTCGAGAGCTAATGAGGGACTGTTTTGACTGTTTTGACACGGCAAAAATAGGATAAACTTTGTGAAACACTTTTATAAAGCACTCTGGAATTGCTGCTTTAAAAGCAGAAATTCCAGAACAACTATTAAAAACAACAAAAACAACAGATATAAAAAGGGTTAGAGAGGAAAATTAGGAACTTGAATAGAATTGTGAGACCCTACATATTGGGCGGTTTCCCTGTGAGAAATTCATGAAAAATGAGAAAGTAGATGCGTAACTATAAAACAACAGAATGTAACAATATTAGAAGTCGTTGCGCTAATCCTCGTCGAAACTGATTTCGAAAGCATCGTCCGAATCGACAGCGAGAAGCTCTTCATTCTCTATCGGAAAGAAGATGTCGTTCTCGTCTATTCGCTCTGAAAAATGGAAATTTGATGAAGTTCTCTTCCGATTTTCTCACCTTCATCAGCAGTCTCCTTCTGCGGATTCTCTTGGAGGATCGGCTGTGGAATCGGCAGAACGACCTCCTCCTCATCGTCTTCTTCGTCTTTTCTTATATCCACCTGGAGCTGTTCGCATTCCTCGCCGCTGCTGTTTCCGAAGTCGATGCGAGGAGATATCTCGAGAATGCTCGTGTTTACTCGTCCATTCATCTGAAAAATATTAATAATTTTCAGAAGATTCTAGCAAGAATTCTCACATCTTCATGGAATCCAACATGTCTGCTCACATCGCTCTTTCTAGTCTTCAGAATCGATTTCGGACAGTTTTGAATGACGACGACTTCAGTCTCCAGAGTTTCCTTGGATATCAGATGCGGCACTTCGTCCTTCTTTTGTGGCAACTCCGCCACTTCGAAGGTCCAATCGAGATCCTGAGACCTCTGGGGCTCTTCAAGGATCTCCAGATTTTTTTTGTCTTTCACTTCAACCTTTACTTGCACCTGCTTCTCTTTCTTGACCGATTTCTTCGACGACGTATTCCTGGCAGGCAGTTCATCAACAAACGGGTCCGGGTCCATCTTCCGGAGTCTCAGAGAGCTTCTCGATCCTCTCGGTTCCACCGGCCCCTTCTTTTCCTTTTTGATTTTCACTGGCTTAGCCGGCCGCTTCACCTTCGACACTTTCTCCTTTCTCTTCACTTCCTTCTTCGGCTCTTTCTCCATCGGCTCCTTGTCGTCTTCGAAATCTTCACTGCAAAAGATGTCCTCAACGGTCTTTGTTGACGAGTTTCGCAGTCTCTAGACACAAAAACAGTTATCATAAGCAGTTTTTTCACCCAAATACCTCAGCCTGGCTTTTAGTCAATTTGATCGGCACTCGAATCGGCTCCACTTTTTCTCTTTTCGGCGGCGGAATTGCACTCAGCGGCCTGCGACCTCTCTTCTTCGGAAGAGCACGTCGTCCGCGACGTTTCGGAGCCACCTCTTCCAGAATTTGCACGTCCGAATCCTCAATCTTAGCGGCATCCAATGGTTTATTTTCAGAAAAGCCGAATGTTTCCGTCGACATTGAAAGTGCTGAAAAACGAGCAGATATAAACAATTTGGTTACGGTGGACTGACGAGTCGTCGTGCGATGCCTTCTGAATCTGGTCAAGTTGAGGTCGGCGGCGTAGGCGCGCTCTTTGATTTCGGAGCGGAGCATTCCACGGCTGCCGAGATGCTCGATTGTATGATCGGAAGTTATCATCTGGAATGAGTAGAACGTTAATAGGTCGGAAGATATTCCTTACCATCTCCACGCCGGTTTTGATCTCCGCGTTTCTGATGCTCTGCTCCACAATCCCTCGCGCCAATTCCCGCGGATCTTTCATCGCGGCCATTCCTGGAACCGCCTGCACATTCAGATCGGTCTTCAACTTCATATATTGTTTATGGACGACACTTAATTTAGCGAAAAGCGGCGACTCGACGAGCACTTTCAACTTGCTCATCGGATCGTTGACGTTCGTTCGCACACTCACACCCGACACTTTATTGTCGGTGTAATATCGCTTGAAACACGACGGATCGTACTGAAAACTTTCGATTTCGACTAAAAATTAACTTCTGGCTCACGATCGGAATGAAAGCGACGTGTTTGATGGCCTTGTCCTCCAGCAGTTTCAGGCAACACATGTAGGCGTCGTAGAGTTTCTCGTTGAGCAGAAATTGAGTGAATCTCTGAAAAGTGCGCGCTGCGTCCGGATCCATGCGGATCTTGACGACGTGATTCGGAGCTTGCACGTAGAAAAACGTGTAAAGAGAGTAGAGGCCGAAGAGACGCTCCTCCAAAGTGCGAGGGGAGCCCGGACAGACGAATTCTTCCATGTACGGAAGGCAATATACGAGTATGTACTCGTTGAACTGAAAACTTTGCTGATTTTCAAAGATTTTTCGATGAATTCCGTTACTTCGATGATCTCAGCGCTATTGCTCCTTCCATTATACATCTGGATCATTCCACGATGCGCGAACATGTTTTTGTAGTCGCTGAACCTGGCAAAATCCGATGTTTCAGTTGAAGACAGAGAATAAAGGTTACTTCCGAGTTTTCAAGTCTAGAAACGCTTTGAGAAAAGCATCGAGATCTTCTTGAAGTCCGGCATAGACTGGTGTCAGCGAGGAAGCTCCTCCCTTCGGCATTTTACGGGATTTGGAGCCGATAAATTGTACAGATTCTGAAGAATAACATTAACATAATTTTTCATATTTTCACGTTACAATTTATTTTTTGAATGTACATAATTGTGAAAAAGAGCTGCGAAAATAGGACACAAAATTCAGTAAACATTTTTTACTAATTGACGGCATGGCGAGACCAAACGAGCTTTTTCTAATGTGCGCCTTTAATTAAATACAGTAATCAAACACCGGGAAACGAATGAATTCAATCTTCTGACCGATTTCAAAGCTTCGCTGCCAGTTTTTTGCTTTCTTTTTCAAGAATAAACTGTTCAGATGAGGTGGCAGACGTTTCGGTTAATCTCAATTTACGCGGCGCTCTCGGCCATTACCAATTTCCCCTCCGGATTCACCAATTCCTCAGTCAACACTGCCGTCGAGCAACTTCACAAGTAATGAAGCCGTCTGACTGAAATTAAATTTTTAAATAACTGTTCAGATTCATTGCAAGTTCGCTTCGACATGCAGGATTGCGGGAGGACGAGAATACGATCGCTCTGCTCCAGGTTTTCAAAATGTTTGGAAGATTTCTGGAAATTTGTATTTTCTTTCAGTCTGCCACCCTCAACTGCTGGTTTGTAGCCCAAATCTTTGGCGCAATTATGACGCCGATGATTTCCGATCGGTTCGGAAGAAAAAGTGAGGAATTGAGACACTTCCTGGTTCTAAATTCTCCGCATTTTCCAGTCGGCTACATTGTGTGTGTGGGCACCACGATTTTTGCCACCTTTGTTCAGTACTTCTCAATGTGCTTCTACATGCCGTGGGGACTGATCATCGGACGGTCTCTGACCGCTCTGGTCTCTCCGCTCGGAGACGCGTGTCTTCTGCTCTACGTCCAGGAAACGTCGCCCATCGAGATTCGGGGAATGTCGTCGTTCCTTTGCGAAATTGGCTACGGCACCATGTGTGTGCTCGGAATGGTTATGGGCATGAAATCCGTGCTCGGCGAGTCGCTCTCTCGGCTCCTGCTGCTCTCGCTGGTCCCTCTGTTCTTGTCGCTTTGCTTTGTGCTTCGGATACCAGAAACACCAAAGTTTCTGATGATTACTAAGTAATTTACTCATTAAATCCTCCCCAAATCATGTATAATTTCCAGAAATGACCGGGAAAACGCGATGCGTTCACTGGAATACTTCCAAGGATCATCGCCGTCCAACGTCTTCCAACTCAACGATTACCAAGCGGAAAAGATGACGGAGAGGGCGTCGCAGGACTCCACATTCGTCGAGCTTCTGTCCAAATGGCACCTCCGTCAGGCGATGCGTCTCGCCCTCGCCACTCTCTCACTAACACTCTCGTTCTACCCGATCCTCCAGTCCTCCACCTTTTTCCTTCTTCAATCCGGGATCTCTCTGTCAGCTTCCCTCCGCTTTTCACTGTTTTCAATCTGTAATTTCAGTGAGGTCGCTCAGTGGGGCTCCACATTGGCTCAGGTTGTTCTGACACTCTCCTCCTGCTTCGGCGCCTCGATTATCGATCGATTCTCGCGACGGAAGCTGCTCATCACCTTCGGAATAGTCTCGAATGTCCTTCTCATTGCGTTCTCCTTCTTTTCACACCTCTCAATCAACGCGAACTCGCCGTACCCGTGGCCAAAGTACGCGTGTCTCGGCTCTTTGCTCGCCTACTGCATCTCATTCGGAATGGTGCTCGGCCCGTTGTCGTGGTTCGTTGCGCCAGAGCTCGTCAGCCAACGCCACCGATGCACCATCTTTTCCGCCTGCTTCGCAATCCACAATTTGCTCATCGCGCTCACGGACTTTGCGACGATACCGCTGTTCCATGTGGGCACAATGGTCCTGTAAAGCAAAACATGACAAATATTCTTCCAGGTCTTCGGCAGCATGGTCTTTGTGTTTCTGTTCGTGATTCCGTCGTCTCTGTGCATCTGCTACATCTACCTATTCATGCCGGAGACGTTGGGCCGCACGACGCTCGAGATCATCCACGAGATCATCGACCGCGGACTGCACGGCTCGGACTACAAGGACGCGGATCTGGAGACGCCCGCGATGCAAGTCCGCCCACGGATGTTTACCTCAAACTCGGACGGTCATCTTCAAGTCTATTAATCAATTCATATCAATTTTGTTTCATGTTGAAACTTCTGCTTTCTCTTCGAATCTCTTCCTGTGAATGATTTTAGTGCATTTAGATTAGATTAGATCTCAAATTTATTGAACCCAATCGTACATAATTTATTTATTTTGCATTTCCTTTCATTTCGCCATACAATATAACAAAATTGTACATTGTCATAAACATCGCTCCCCACCCCTCATTCAGAAGTACAACTCATCGTATCGGTTCGTCTTGAGTGCCCTCAATTTGCTCGGCGAGCCCTCCACTCCGACAACTTGCGCAGCGGATCCGGTGTTCGACCACTGGAGAAGGATGGAATCGGAAGACGTCAGGTTGATGAGACCCTTCGTGGAAATGTACAGAGTCTTTGTGATTCCAGAGTACGTCGACGTCTGCACGTTCACGTTCACGGATTCGCCGTTGAGCGTGAACGATCGGAAGTTTGGCGCCTTCGGATAATTGAAGATTTCGATGATGTCGAGAGTCGGAAGCGCGATCGCGGAGCTCTGAAATTAATGGATTACACGGAACCGACTGAATTCGAAGAAAACGGACCTTATTCGAGTGAGTGATGTTCAGAACGGCGCCGGTCGTGGTGGAGTTGAAGAAGAAGTCGAACTGATGATAATCGTGCGTGCCAAAGTCGGTGACGATCGTTTCTCCGTCGTCCCAGTACAAAGACCCCTTTCCGCGGCCCATTTCGCACGGAGCGATCAGCAATTCGAACGGATTGAGCCGGGTCGCCGAGGTGGTGATCGACGGCGTTTGGCGGGGGATTATCGACATTCCTGGAATCGGAGCGGTTCGTTTTCAAGTGCGAAATTCAAGTTTTAGTCTAAATTGAAAAAAACAATCTAAATTCGCTGTTCAAGCTGAATCCATGACCCGGAGTCTATTTTTCGCTATTGCAGACTCCCACATTCGACCCGAAATCAGTTGATTTCGACGTCAAGACCAACGCGTGTCTGACCCAAGTGTAGCCGTCCGTCCGTGGGGGCCAACCAACCTATCTTTGATCTCATTCTTCTTCCAATATCATGCTAGAGTGACTTTGGTCCAATCTATCCCCCTCTCTTTCTCCCCTTTCTCCCCCTCACTAATTGGCTTCCATTTTCGTGTTCTTCATCACTACGTAGATAATGTAATGACTAGAGAATCTCTGGAATGTGGAAGTATTCTTTGCTTTGTTTGATTTCGATTTGCTGCCTGCAAACACTAGTACCTCTCACAAAGACCGGGATTCTGGAGGTGGTTGGCGCGGAAGCGGTCACAAATCCGGGCGAGATGATGCTACCGTACTTCCAGTCGGTCAACGAGTACCATCTGTCCGTCGGCAGGTACACATTCACAGAGCTGGTGCCCTCGTAGACGACCGGCGCCACCAGAATCTGTGAGCCCCACATGAACTGGTAGCCGAGGTTGAACGTCTCCGCGTCGGACGGAAACTCGAAGAACACCGGACGGATGACCGTTCCTCCGTTCTTTGAGGCCAAGAAGTGAAGACTGAAAGTGGACGTTGAAAGTTTAAAAAGAAGGAAGGGTACCTGAAGAGGTATGGGAGGTACTGGTATCTGAAGAGATTCGCGGCTTTCGTGGCGGCGGTGACTGATGGCCAGACGGCCGGGTCTTGAGCTGGCGCACCGATTGTGTTGTGATTTCTGAAATGAGTACGGTAAGAGGCAGTAAATTGGGAGGCCAAGGATTGATGTTGCAAACTCGGTCCTCAGAGCGTGTTTGCATTTTGCATTACCACACCCAATTACCGAACATTCAACGCGATTTATCTCAGTTGTCTGAACAGATATCAACATGTAGCCAACTGAGAAAAAGTGCAAAATTCATTAATGAACTTGCTATTAGTTGGCAACTTTTTGATATCTCTACCGGTAGCTGACATAGAAGACAGTATTGATTAAACGGTGCTCGTTGGCATCCCTGTGAACCTCAGGGATTCTCGAACGTTCTAGAAAAACAAGTGGTGCTGTAGTTCCAAAAATAGCAACAATTTTGTCAATTCGACGCAACAAGTTCGGCAAGGGTCAAGAGGGAAACAATTGGGAACTCAGAAATCAAAATCAACTCTACTTTTCTGCAACTCTCCACGGCGTTGGGTAGGTATTATTTCTCTTACTATCAAACTTTAATAATTTCAGGTAAAGAAAGCGTACGGTACCTGAAGAAAGAGTGGAAAGCGCCCATCTGCTGCCATCTGAGACACAGCTCCTCGGTGGTGGTGCCGATGAATCCGCAGACGTCCGAACCGACATATCTGCAAAGATTGTGCGGTAAGTACTGTACTAATAACTTCTAATTCATTTTCATGTCTCCTGAACCCATCACGGCGCCTAATTGCAGACGTCTTGGCATCGCGCACATTTGCTGACGTCAAGAACAGGACAGGGTGTGTCCGAAACACCTTTCTCGACGACGACGACGACGACGACGACACAAAAAACCATAGGCTCCCCCCCCCTCTTCTAATTCGATCTCGACGTTTTTCTTGGAAACAAAAAAGAAGAAGTGTGTGGTGGTACGGTAGTCGAAATGCCAGTGCGTGACGCAACCGTTCTGGCCTGATGTGTTAACACGATTAAGATAACAACACTCTCCTGTGAGCATATCAAATTATAATTAGGGTGTGGTCGCCCCCTTGTTGGTAGAAGGGGGGGGCTAATCAAAACAGAATGGGAGGAGGACGTCTGGAGTGGAATGGTCATGAAGGATTACGGTAGAAGAGAGAGAAAGAGAGACCTTTCTTGTTTGCAGAACAGAAGAGGTGGAGTCGAAAGATGAAGGAGGAGGAGGAGGAGGGAGAAAGTCAAGAGAAAAGGCACCATTTCATTTCGTTTCGCACCTTCCCCCCAGATCGGGTTCATTTATGAGTAGCTCTTGAGAAACTGGCGAGTCTCTTTAGAGGGTCTAGAAGTTTCTTTGAGAACTCGAAGCACTGCTCAAACTATTACTAGAAGACTCTTTTTCTTGGCTAGAAATGGTTGGGAATATGGCTTATAGAGCAGCCAGAACAAGACCAAGTTTTGAGTGTGTATATCTGAGCCCAGGTACATTCTACAACTTTACAAATTTTTTTGGTAAATCTTCACACTTAGAACTGCATTTTGTCAGTTGACAACATTTTTGTATCACCACTTTAAAGCCTACTGTTGCTTTTTGAAATTTGCACAGACACTCGAGGATGGCGTAACTTCAAAGCGCTACAGTAGTCTTAGAAGTGGTCATACAAAAAAGGTGTCAACTGGAGAATTGAAGTACTAGGTTTGGAAATTGTGCACAAAATTTTTTGGATTCACAATACGCTTCTGGACACGGATATTCACGCTCAAAGTTACTCTAGTCTCATTCTTCTGTGTTCTGTCGTAGATTGACCACAAACTATACAAATCTTCTCCCGAATGACGCAAAAATGAACTTTATCAGTCCATTTCGGTAATACAACTATGAGAACGTTTAGTCGTCAATGTTCCTGTTCGTAATAATCCGTACTTTCTGACCTCTGACTCATTGCTTTCGTTAGCCTCCGAATCTCGATGCTGGCTACATTCTCGCGACATGACTAGGCCAATAAAGACCTCCCTTTCTGCATACTTTTGTGTAATGTTAGACCCCCCTTTAAAAGTACGCGAATAGTATGTTGGTTTGACGAAAAGTTTGGTCAGTTTCTAATAATATACGTGCTTCTTCTGACTGATTCTGATCTACATCCCGACCCACACTATTTGACGAATCGCATCAAATTCGTTTGATTCGGATGATAAGCGTTGATTTATCACAATAGGAAGTGGGTTTATCCCTCTCTCTTTCTCTCTCTCTCTCTTTCTCTCTCGCTCTCTTCACGTTATAAGGTGTTAGGCTTGATTGGTTTACGCGGCATTTGGTGATCGTTTGAAGACTTCCCTGTTAACTTTTTGTTTTTTACTTGGTTTTCGACCTGACATATTAGTCCTATCGCTCCCAAAATGTTCGTGCATAATCTTCAAACCTAGTTCTTCCTTTTTCTAGTTGACAACTTTTTTTAGCCATCTCTTTTAAGACTACTGTAAAGCTTTGAAGTTGTGCGATCTCACAGTTCTATGGATTTCAGTGCAAACTTCAAAGTGACGGTACAAAAAGTTGTAAACTAGAGAAATAAAGTAGTAGGTGTGAAGATTATGATCTACAATACTCATATCCTTCTTATTCTACTCTGAAGATGACGTGGCAATCTCAAAGTTTCAGACATGGACCGTTGCCCGCCTTCAATCCGCATCGACGGCGGCACTCTTTCCGACTGCGCCGACCTGTTCTTCTTCTAAAAATGGCTGCCGAGCAGCCGAATCCATCGATCATCTCGACTTCTCCTCAACAACTCTCACCTCACGGCTCTCAGTGTAATAAATGTGTATATAGGACGTTCGCTCGCACACATCTTCAACTCAATCTCATCTCATGATCACTCTAACTTATAATTATTACTTTGAAATGAAGTTTAGCTGAAATTGATTGAACTCACGGTATTCCGAACAGATTGAACTCTTGTGCTCCGATCACCGAAGTCCTCAGATCTTCCCATCTGGCGGTGTTGTCGCCCAACCAGTGTCCCGCATATCTTCCGGAAGACGGAAAGGTGGACCTCGAGACGACGGCGCCTCGCTTGTTCGTCGCCTTGAACAACGCCTTCTGCGTGTGAATCGACTCCGTGAGTCCGTACAAATTCTTGACGTTATAGAATCTCTGGCTGCCTCCGTTCTGAAGACCCAGCAGACAGAGGGTGTTCGTGGAGAGGAACGCTCCGTTGCTGGCGTCTCCGAATCTCCACACCGCGTGCGTCTTGTACGGCGGCATCTCCCAAAGGGAACTTCCGTTCGTCGGACAGAACAACGGCGCGTCGTCCGGATGGTCGTCGCTGTCAAAGTACCACGGATGGTCCTGGTTGGTGCCGAAGTTCGACGGCTCGTTCATGTCGATCCAGATTCCGTCGTACGGCACTTGTCCCTGGTAGGTCACGAACTCGTTGATCCACCAGTTCTGCGTGTTGTTCGTCGAGTCCAAGAAATCCGGGAACGCCACGTGGTTATCCGGCCACACGACGCCCAGCATGATCTTGGTGTCCTTTGCCATCGGGTAGAGGTTCTGGATGTCTCGTTGGACCTGATCGCTCGATTCCCACTCGATGAACTTGGCGTTGGCCGCTGTGGCCCTCTGGAACGACGGATACGTGGCCTCGATGGCCGGGTCGAAGATCAGAATGAGCTTCATTCCCCAGTCGTGCATCGTCTTCACGTAGTCACCGAATCCGGCCCAGTCCTGGAAGAGAAGAGATCAGGTTTTAAAGAAAAGTTGTGTTTCTTTTGGCGTACATCTCCAGTGGTAAAGTCTTTGTATCTTTGCATGTAGTCAATGTCAGCGACTCCTAAAACAACACTTTACGAATCTTCTGCACAGCTTCTCATACCAATATCAATCGGAATCCCGGCATCCCGAACCGCCTGAATCCTGGTCTTCATCTCCGCCAAGCCCTTGTATCCATATCTCGAGAGCTGGTATCCGAGTGCCCAGTAGGCCGGCAGGAACGGTCTTCCGATGAACTGCAAGTACTGCTGCGTGACCTGTTCGGGCGTGGGTCCCGGGAAAAAGTAGATGTCGAGGTTGCCGCCGATGGTACGGTAGATGAGCGACGGTCCGGGCGCCGTTGTCACTTCCTGCGCGTTCGAGTTGACAATCAGCACTCCGTGCGCCTTGCCGTCGGGCTCGACGACCATGTAATAGGGGTGGACTCCGTAAAGATTCATGGTGTCGAGACTGCCAGAGTTAGGGGGCTGGTCACGAGCCAACATCGCCCAGGTCAGGTACTTGGTGAAGTCGTGCTGGAAACAAAAGTTCGGTGATGTTTAGAAGCACTCTATTATACTCACTCTCAAGCTCTGATGAGTGTTCTCTCCCCATCCGTACATGTTCTCACTCGGAAGGTAGGTGGCAATCTGAATAAACTGATCCGAGAAGATCAGTCCGCCGATGGAAGTGTCGAAGATTCTGCGGTTTGAGCTCTGACGGACCACTCCGAAAGAGAAAACATCGTTAGAATTTGAGGTCTCAATGGCCAGAGATTCATCGGAGCTGAGGGTGGATCTCGGGAAATCGACGGGCGGCTCATATCTGAAAAGTTTTGCTTTGCGACCCGACCAAAGTACGTCGCATTACACTTGAACATTCAATTATCAGTTTCAGTTTCAGAACAAAGACAAGTCAATCTTTGAGACTTTTAAATTGGAAACTAGAATCACATTCTTCGCATTCCCGCCCGTCTCACCTGCCATCCACTCCGATGTGCACATTGAGCACACTTCCGATCGTCTTCGTGGTCAGTTTGATTTCGGTGAAATCGCCGCCCCACGGGTTGCTCGGACCGCTGTTCTTGCGCAGATTGTACGTGGATCCTTGCTGCGAGTCCACGTTGTAGCCGACGCCGTCTTTGAAATAACACCACGGAGCGTTTATCTGAAAGGTGATACCGTATTGATGTGAGCCCTGGGGTTACGGTAGGTAGCTCACTCCAGAGTTCTCCTCTTTCCAGATGCATCCTCTGGCCTCACAGGCTGATTGCGACGCTCCGTTGGGCTCTGGAAAGCAGTCGAAGCGAGGACCGGCTTGGCAAGATGCCAAGAGGAGGGCGAGAAGGAGAAACAGGAGTTTACCCATGCTTCTGAAGGATTATTCTAGTTTTTGGAAATCTCGAGATATCGGTGTTCAAAGATAGGCGGATTGGGACGACGAAGAGTACATACATGTGCTCTGCCTAAGTTGCTTGAACACAAGACTTTGTGAAAAGCGGTAGAACGTGATTGCAGCGGAATTGCATGGAAACGGAACTGTGCACAACGAGTACAGACAGACAAAGTCAACGAGAACGAAAAGTTGCGCGAGTGGTCGGCCTCGCCTCGCCTCGCAACCGACTGATTACGGAAACGTGGCACAGGTCACTGATAAGCGGCGGCGGTATGTGCCGGACACGTTGGAGACTAGAACATACGCGAGAGCTCCGGCCGGCAGCGGCACACAAATTCCAGACAATTCACGTGACAAAAGAGCAGAAGTTTACAATATTTCCAATCGATTTGGGGGGATCATGTGTTCTGTGACCGCTGGGACAGCTGCCAATGACCTGGGATGTTGATTGTTTGATGGAGACGAGAGAGAATTCATCTTTTTGTGATGGCAATACGTTTTTGAAAGAAATTAATGTACGCAAATAAATGAAAATGCTCTTTGATGTAAGATAAGGACAAAGTGCATCGAACATGTGCACTAATTGAAAGTTATGAGCTCCTTTCCGCCGCTCTTCTATCCACTTTTTGACTTTGAAATCGAGTGGATCTTCTCCTGATGAGCCTTGATTTCGGGCAGTTCTTTGAGCTTTTGAAGCCAAGCGGGAGCTGGTGGAACGGAGTAGCTGAGAAGACCACTTATTCAAGACGATGTATGTCAGCAGCCCTCAACTATATCAAAAAGTTTTCAACTAAAACACTGTTGACAATGTCTTAACAAACAATTTATCAAGAACGACACGGCAACAAACTACAATTGATCATAAAATGGAGTTTATTGCATTTAGAATTGCGATGATTTATATTTTATACATACAAAATTATTAGAAAGGTGTGACGGGTCTCGTCTTAATCCACTTTTTAATGTTCGGAATCGAATGGATCCTCTTCTGATGCTCCTTGAGCTCGGGGAACTCATCGAAGAGATCCTTGCTGGCAGCGAACACGCTTCCACTGTCGGGCAGGAGATCCGAAGTGTGCTGAGCGAGCAGAAGATCCACGAGTGTCAGCGAGTCGCCGACGAGGTATCCGCTTCCGTTCTCCTTCAAAAATTTGGTAAACACCGCGTAGTTCTTCTTGAAGGCCGGCAGGAACACGTCTTTGTACAGTTGTTCGGCGTCCCCCTCGGCGAATCCCATCTTGACAACGTTGTACTGACGGATTTCCGAGAAGTAGTCCTTGAACTGATCCGCGAGCGCGTTCACCTGAGCCTCCTCCCACGCTCCTTGGCCGTTGATCCCGAACCGACGCGCCAGGTAGCGGGCGATTGCGTGCGATTGTCCCAGAATCTTTCCGTCCACTTCCAGAACTGGCATCTGACCGAACGGAGTCGCTGAAAACCAGAAGTCAAGTTGAAAACCCATTCTCTCTCTCAACTTACTCGGCTTGAGGGCTGGCCAGCTGGCCTGTGTAACTCTGTTATCCTCGAACTCCTGACCGGCGTAAGCGAGGATTTGGCGGGGAAGTTCTCCGGCGTAACGGATTGGGAAATAGGACAACTTGTAGTGGACCATGATGTTTTTGGAAGTGTGAAGAGAACGAGTGAAGTGGGCGAATGGAACGCTCTTTATAAAGGAAATCGTCATCTTGTTTTCGCAATGATGGCAAACGAAAAAGACTAGAGAGCGAGCGAGAGAGTGTATTCTTTTGCCGGTCTATTTCTCTTCTGCCCTCTCCGATCTCTCGCTTTTGTCATCATTTTCCTTATTCCAAATAGTTGTTTACTATCGGGTAGCATTTCGAAGTGGATGCGCTCTGTTGCAATTGTGTTCTGCGGCCCGGCGCCAATTAAAATAAAAACAGTGACAACTCTTCCAGATTTCAAATGAAAAACAACTGTAACTCGTTTCACGGCTACGAAATTAGGCCCAGAGATCACAAAAAGAGGGGTTTCTCAACAGAACGCATTCACTTTGAAATGCCCACGATAGTATAAGGACGGCTCAACATTTAGCAACAAAATCGCAAATTATCCATTGATCTTCGGCGACTCCATTCAATTTCTGATCCTCGGACAAGAAGTTGGTGAAGAACTGGCAGTTCTTGGAGGAAATGAGCGATTGGGCGAGAGGTTTTCCGTCTTCCGTCAGGACGAGCAACTTGTGGAAGGGCATGTCTGCAGATTTGATTGGATGCACAATACTCATTGGCTCACTAACCTTTCTGCACAGACTTCGGAATCTGATGGTCCTCGAATTGCTGGTCGGCGAGAGCAAAGATCTGTCGGGACATTTCTGAGTACGAAATCTTGTAGTGAGGCATTGGGGACCAGCGAACGGAACTGACAATTGGAGAACCAATCGATAATAGTCCTGATGTGTCTGCGTCTCTTTTTCATGGCAGTGTCTCTGGGTTCCAAACGGAGTTCATTGTTAGAAAAATACAAAAGTTTAGAAAGGTGTAACCGGACGGATCTGCAGCCACTTGGCGATTCTCGGAATCGAGTGAATCTTCTTCTGATGCTCCTTGAGCTCGGGGAACTCGTCCAGAAGTTCAGCACGTCCTCCCAACAACGAATTCTTGGTCGCGAGCACGTCGGAAGTTTGCTGAGCAACCACCAAATCCACCCAGGTCAACGAGTCTCCCACCAGGAATCCGCTTCCGTTCGCCTTCAGAGCGTTGGTCAGGAAGGTGTAGTGCTTCTTGAATGCGGGCACGAATCCTTCGCGGTAGAGTTTTTCGACGTCGCCGTCGCCGAATCCGGCTTTGACGAGGAAGAACGGACGGATCTCCAGCTGGTAGTCCTTGACCAAATCGGCGATCGAGTTCACCTGCGCCTCCTCCCACGCATTCTGTCCGGCGAGTCCGAATTGACGGGCCAGGTAGCGGGCGATGGCGTGTGATTGGCCGAGCGGCTTTCCGTCGACGTGGAGCACAGGCACAGTGCCGAACGGCATTTCTGAATATGAAAAGTTTGACTGACACGATGACAAGGCCAAACTCACTTGATTTCAAGGCGGGCCAATCCTTTCGTTCGATGCGGACATCCTCGAAAACTTCTCCGGCGTAGGCGAGAATTTGACGCGCCGGCTCGGCCAATCCGCGCAATTCAAGGTAGGACAGCTTGTAGTGGACCATTGTACTGAAATGAGTGATGGTTTTAGGAAAAACCCAATGTCTTTTATACCGACAATATTTGTTACGATGACTTCTTTTTGTCATCACGGTGAACTTCGTTTAGGTGTCCGCGGAAATTGGTTCACCGCAGCCACAGACCACAAATTGCCACACTGTATCGGGTTGCGAAATTATGCATCAAAATTTACAGAAAAAAGGTTCATTTCCAACTCAAAACGATGTCAAAAAGGCAGTATTTATCGCTCGGTAACTGGTCTCGTCTCGATCCATTTCTTGATGTTTGGAATGTTGTGCACCCTTTCCAGATGGGCGTTCATTTCCGGAAACTCATCAAGAATGTGCCCATCGGCCTTGAGCAGATCCTCCGAGTGTTGAGCAATCGCCAAGTCGAGCCACGTGACCGAGTCCCCTACCAGGAATCCACTTGCTCCATTCGCCTTCAAAGCCTTCGCGAAGATTCCGTAGTTTTTGCGGAAGGCGGGAAGAAAGACTTGCTGCCGGAGCTGCTCCACGTCTCCCTCCTTGAATCCCATTTTCACCATGAAAAAGGGACGGGCGTCGGATTTGTAGTCCTTGAATTGGTCGTGCAGGGCGTCCACCTGAGCCTCGTCCCACGCATTCTTGCCGGCGATTCCGAACTGGCGGGCCAGAAATCTGTCGATTGCGACCGATTGGGCCAGCGGTTTTCCGTCGACGTACAGGACCGGCAGTTGGCCGAACGGAGTGGCTGACAGGGTTAGAAGTTTTTGTGAGCATGAATCCACTTACGAAAACTCACAGTCCTTGATGGCCGGCCACTGATCCTTGGGGATGCGTTCATCGACGAACTCTTGTCCCGCATAGGCGAGTATTTGACGAGCAACCTCTCCGTTGCCACGACTTGGGAAATAGGTGAGTTTGTAGGAAACCATACTTGAAAAATGACGAAGAAGGGAAAACTGCCTGCTTTTATATGTACTTCTTTGACCGTCTGCGTCTCTGTGCTCTCGTTTTCTCGCAAACGAGAGAGTGACACACAACTTTTGTTTTGAAACGGATGTTTCGAACGTTGGAAATGAACGTGACACCGTCCGATCGACCAACGATTCGCCTTCCGGATGCATCGCTTCAATTAATTTCACTTTCTATTCCAAGTGTCGAGTTGGACGAAAGATGATAGTAGTCTCGGGATCAGGTACTCTTCCGCATTTGCAAATTTCTAGAAACCCTTTTCCAGACATTTTACTGAAGACTCTACATGTTCTGTGGCTTTTCTCGCTCGGTTCCATTCTCGTCAATTGTGTCAGTTTCAGATCGGAACATCTTCGGATCATGAGCATATTTCAGGCAAAGAAGAAGGCCGAGAAGGGTCTCGAAAAGACGAATAGTCAGCAGAGTTTGGCAAAAAGCGGAGCGAAGACGCCGAAAAAGAGCAAGAAAGAGGGGACGACGAGTGGGAGTGCTAAGAATGAGGACGAGGAGGGTGAGTGCGCTCTGCCGGACTACTTCAGGAGCTAAAACACTTTCAGACGACGTCCAATTCAACCTGAAGCTGAAGCCGGCCGAGCAGAAACGTGACGAATTCGACGACGACGAAGAGAATCCGCTGGCGAAGATTCCGACGAAAGCACGGCTTCCGAAGACTCCGGGCGCTCCGAGCACCGTCGATCCGGAACGTCCGTTCTTGGCGCCCAACGAGAAGATGAACAATAACTCTTGCTATGTAAGAGTCCTCGACGGAGCTGTTTAACTTTACTCTTTTTCAGATAAAACCTCAGGCGAAGAAGGCGTGACTGAAACTTTCCAATAAATTCATCCAATATCATATAAATTGCGAGACCATTACACACAGAAAGATCGTTTAGAATGGGGTGACTGGGCGAGTCTCGATCCACTTCTTGATGTTGGCGTTCGAGTGGACCTTCTCCTGGTGGGCCTTGAACTCCGGGTGCTCGGCGAAGATGGTCGGGTTGGCGGCCAGCAGATCCGAGACGTGCTGGGCGATGAGCAGGTCGACGAAAGTCAGAGAGTCTCCGACGAGGTATCCGGATCCGGACGCCTTGAGGAAGTTGGCGAAGAAGCCAAAGTTCTTGTTGAACGCCGGCAGGAACGTGTCCTTGAAGAGCGCGTCGACGTCTCCATCAGAGAATCCCATTTTGGCCATGAAGTACGGGCGCGCCTCGTTCTGGTAGTCCTTGAATTGGTCGGCAATCGAGTTGACCTGCGCCTCCTCCCAGGCGGTCTTTCCGTTGATTCCGAATTGACGGGCGAGGTAGCGGGCGATCGCGTGCGACTGGGCGAGCACCTTTCCGTCCACTTCCAGGAGAGGCAGCTGTCCGAACGGGGTGGCTGAAAGACTCAATTTTCCATGTGTGCTTTGGTGCCTGATCTTTTGGACCACGTGGTCTTCAATATCTACGTTTTGGCGGGCATGCATGTATGTAAACACGGTCGCTCTTATCTTTGCTTTCAAACAACAATGTAGTTTGTTCCCTGGTCTTGTTTTCGTGGTTCAATTTCAAAATTCAAGGCCTTGTTTCCATTAGATTGCCCCTCACAAACAACACAAACAAGCGAACCTTGACCTGAATTTAATTTCAACCACTCGACCGAAAGCCACAAAAACAGGAGAGGAGAACTTCGAACGATTGAAAGGGAAATATTATCGCTCTGCTTAAATTGTGATCTCCGGTCAGGTAAAAACAGAAAATTGTTTTGTTGTTTGCTTGTTTCGCTGCTCAAAACATTGGAAAGAGACTATCACAAAAAGAGGGGTTTTTGAACAGAGAGCATTTTCTCGCTTTCTAGTACTATAACCCAGTTTGTGCTCAATTCGTCCCCCACTCACTTGGCTTGATGGCCGGCCACTCCTCCCTCGAAATGCGGTGATCCTCGAACTCTTGTCCGACGTAGGTGAGGATCTGACGGGCGAGCTCACCGGCTCCGCGGAGCGGGAAATAGGAAATCTTGTAGTGGACCATGGCGGTTTCTCGTGTCGAGCGCAGTGAGAATGAAGGCCACGAGGCCCTGCCGGCCGCTTTTATACGCGGCGCAGTCTGGCGTCTCTCCGTCCCGCACACTATTTCTCTTTGTCATCATTTGCTCGTCGCGCCGTGCGCACACCCCGCGAAGACCAAAGAAACACATGCTACAGAAGGAGTAGAGAAACTCGCGTCATCCTCGTTTCGATACAGTTCTAGATGATTCCAACTTGATCGTGATGAGATGATGGGCGGCGATCGATGTTTTCAAGTGGAAATTATTGAATTGTGACTTGTTCCCGAGAATTTCTGTTTATCATTGAAAATCAAAAAGTTTTGAACGGCAACGTGCGTTTACATTGACACTTTTTGAGTCAACAAGAAAAGGGTGATAAGAAAAAACCACGTCATGGTTCTTGGCTCTTTAGTTTTGCACTAGGATTCGAAAAGCTCTGTAAAAACGGAAATAGAAGGGGGCCACTCACTACCTCTTGTTCAAAACGATATATCTCAGTTGCCGCTGAAGGTTTCAAAAGGTGATCAACTAATAAATTGTTCATTAAAAAATTGTGCACATTTCAACAGCTGACCACTTTTTGATACCTCTACCGACAGCCGAGATACAACGTCTTGAATAAACGTGTCGCTAGCTCCGATGCACCATGTTCTGCAAAAAGATTTCTGTCATCAGCAGGATTCGAACCTGCGCCCTCCGGAGAGGAAATGTAATGTGGAAGTGTTTTTCGTAAAAATATTGGTTTCCAGTTTCCAATTTCCAGTTTCTAGTTACCTGGACAAAACAAACACATGTAATATTTGTGCAGTCTCTTTTGTTTTCAATGTAATCTTTGTTGCTTTCAGAGACTTTCAGAGACAATTATTTATTATCAAAACGCAAAGGGAGCCGATTACTGTAGTCCAATTAGAACGGATAGTCGGGACGTGTGGCGATCCACTGCTTGATTCTCTCCAGGTTCTGCACCTTCTTTCTGTGCGCCAAAACCTTTCCGAACTGCTCGACGACCGTCAAATCGGTCTCGAGCACGTCCTGCACGTGTTGCGAAATGAGCAAATCGACCCAGGTGAGCGAGTTTCCGACGAGGAATCCGCTGCCGTTTTCGGCCAATTTCTTCTCGAAAAAGGCGAAATGCTTTTGGAAATTGGGCACGAACACTTCGGCTCTCAGCTCGTTCTTGTCTCCTGGCTTGAATCCGGCGAGCACGGAGAAGTACGGCTGCACGTCGTTCGCGTAGTCCTTGAATTGGTCGGCGAGCGCGTCCACTTCCGCCTTTTCGAGCTCGTTTTTGCCGGCAATTCCGAATTGTTGGGCCAGGAAACGCGCAATCGCGTAGGATTGTCCCAACTGTTTTCCATCGACTTCGAGGATTGGCAGTTGGCCGAACGGCGTGTCTGAAAGAAGGAAGTGAGGAGAGAAACGAAGAAGAAGAAGAAGAAGAAGTTTGAGACAATATAACTCGGCTGCCGGTAAAGATATCAACAAGTTGTCAACTCATGAATTGTTTATTAAGACATTTTGTAGATTTTTTCAGTTGACCACTTTTTGATATCTCTTTCGGCAGTTGAGGTACATCGTCTTGAGTGTACAGTATTGGGGCGCACTGGTTGGAGCTACCGTACTCGGACCTGAGAAGTCCGATTGAGCTCAAACTTAGCCGGTTCATGAATATGCGTTTAAGGAACATGATGCTCGAAGACAATTTATGAAGATCAACTATGAAAACACTAAGCTCCGATAGGAAACTTTCAAGTTTCTATCACTGTACAGAAAAATGAGCACAAACCATGGAAACGTTACCTAGAGACCACAAAATGATAACAGAACTTGATTGTGTTTTAGTCGCCAAAAACATTACGATTCGACACAAATTTGTGGCCTATCACTTTGAGTTTTGTAGAACTTTTCGACTTTTGGCCGTCCATTCCTCGCTCCAACTCACGATTCTTAAGTGCCGGCCATTGCTCAAAAGTGACGACGTGATCCTCGAACTCTTGTCCGGCGTAGGCGAAGATCTGGCGGGAGATCTCGGCGCGAGCTCTCACCGGAAAATAGACGAGTTTGTAGTGAACCATTTTGAGGCAGAAATGAGTTGAATGGCGTCTTATCTATGCGTTTTTCGTTTCAAAGTCATCATCACTGTTTGCGTTTCGGAAACGTATCGAAGAAGATGACAATCGGAAGCGGATCATGATATTGTCTAGTTTTGTGATTCAACTTCAACGATCCCTTTTTGACATCAACTCATTCGGGCAGCGCATATCTTTCGTTCGTTTCGTTTTCATCGAAAACGAAGAGACAAGCCACAAGAGAACGAAGAAGAAGAAGAAGAAGGAGAAGAAGAAGAAGGCAGTTGTTAGCAAGTTTCTGCCGCCGCCTCACTTCTCGTTTTCAGGAAGGTAGAGAGGGAGAAGAAGAAGAAGAAGAAGAAGAAGATGGACGGCGCCGAAGGATTACGGTAGAACGGTTATTTGTGTGCGGTTGATTGATATCATATTTGATTGCCTGACATCGAATCGAGGAGAAATGAAAACAAGAGAGTACATTTCGCAACTAGACGTTTTGAAACTATAACCTGGTACGGTTGCAAAGCGTCTAAGAGTCTAGATTTCAGTTAGAAACAGTTGCGAGACGTCCGAGAGCTATTTTGCTCAAATCGTGAAGGAATTCGCCTATTTTTGCATCAAATCTTCCCTGAAAACGTCCTGGGCCTTCTGAGAACCTTTCAGCTCACTCTCTTCTGTGCGACAAGTTACGTACCCCCTACCCAATCCATCCGTATCAAATTCTCACGTACATCGATATCAACAAAAAAAGTGAGGCAACTCGTTCCTCCGTTTCGGTTTAGCGCCCACTAAATCAGCGGCGATTTGTGATCAGCGGGGACAATCACCTCCGTTCATCTTTCCCCCCCCCCCTCAACTCAATTCGATACGCATCTTTCTATTCCTCTGTTTCGAGTGACCACCGATTCTTCTGGAAATTTTGAGGGCGACCAGGAAATGAGAACTAATCGTCAATTGTTATCATTGTCATTATCATTGTCGCACAGAGAAGGAGAGAAAGAGAAACTGTGTTGTGCCCCTGATCACTTTAACTTTCTCTTTCTTTATTCTCTGTCGAGAAGAAGGAGAAGAAGAAGAAGAGAAAGTACAAAAAACAAACAGAAACGGGAATATCGGTTCAAGACGGACGGAGAGTATCGTATCAATGCGTATCGAGTGGGATGATAGTGGTGTGCTGGTGATTAGGTGGATTATTGCCACGTCATGAAGAGAGTTCCGGGTGGATTGTATCAACTATGGTTTTACAGTATCCGGAAGGTTCCATGACAAGACACACACACTACTCCAATCCCCAAAAGTTTGCTGGACCCGCTCATAAAATCTCAGAACCGTGTACCCAGATATCCGATTCATTATCACACCAGCTTCATCAATCTTACTATACCGCCGCGACAAGTCCGATCTTTTAATCGTGCCCCACCACGTCGCGTGCCGATGTAAAATGTCACATGCGTGTCGCGTCTCAACTGCTTCTTCGGAACACCGACGAAGAAATGCCACACCCACGAATGCCAACGTCTTCTCCCTCTGAACCAACCGAAAAAAGGTTGATGACGACGTCGGCGACGAACACAGATTCATCAATTTGGATGATGAGGCGTATCATTATCATCTTTGGGATATACAAATATTGAGGAATGTTGTGTTGGCAAAAAAAGGAGACGGATTTTGATAGGGAATCGATGGATGTACAGAGAACTGGAACGCGGAGACCCTCCGGAGAGATAGGTGATCAGAAATGGCGAGTAAACTGAAAAACAGTACATTTTTGATCTGATTGGATTGGAATCAAGCTGGAAAGAAGAATGCGATTGGTAAAATAACTTTTCAGAGAAGCAAACGCACTCTACCAGACTCGGAACTTTGCTTTTTGCATCCAGTTTTTCGCCCATCCTGTGATCAAATTCAACTTCTTAGAATGCTCGTAAAAAGTAATGATCATCGCCACCTCCTCTCACCTTCCACTCACGGGCGGATCATGCTTCGTGGCATGGGAAAGGGCGTCGGTAGGTGGTGTTTCACCGACCGAGACATGTATCTGATAAGTCGGCAGCCCGCTTCGCGGCGTCTCTTCGCCCGGCACGCTCTCTCGGCCAGAAGCTTAGACGATATCCAACAGAACAACAAAAAAAGGAGCAAAAAGGGTAGGCGACCGCTGCAAGCCCGACCCGTTTATAAGGCCGGCGAAGGCAAGAAGAGAGACACATCATTCGTCTAAACGCTTCTGTCTGCCTTCGCTATTCTTTCGTTTTATCTGAAAATGAACACTTGTTTTATTACTTACTCCCCTTCCTTTCTTTCTTTACTTGTTAGTACACTAAGGTTGTGAAACTTTCAGTATGAGCCAGAACGACAAGCAAAAGTTGGTCGAGGTCGAGACCGTGAAGAAGTTCGCGTTCTTCGGAATCGCCGTCTCCACCGTCGCCACGCTGACGGCGATCGTGGCCGTTCCGATGCTGTGCATGTACATGCAGAACGTCCAGTCCGGCCTTCAAGACGAGATCAACTTCTGCCGCACCCGCTCCGACTCCCTCCGCGGCGAGTACACCAAGCTCGATCAGTTCCGCAAGGCCGAGAGCCGCGAGAAGCGTCAGACCTACCAGTGCTGCTCGTGCGGAATCGGACCGGCCGGAGCCCTCGGAAATCCAGGACAAGACGGAGCGCCAGGAAACGATGGACGTCCAGGAGCCCCAGGAGCCCCAGGACCAGATGCTCCAAATGACCACGTGCAGCCGACTCCAGCCGATTTCTGCTTCGAATGCCCACCAGGACCAGCCGGAACCGCCGGAAACCCGGGACCAAAGGGACCACCAGGACAGCCAGGAGCCGCCGGAGAGCAGGGACCAAACGGACGCCCAGGAACACCAGGAGCCCCAGGACCACAGGGACCACCAGGAACCCCAGGACAAGACGGAACCCCAGGACAACCAGGAGCCCCAGGACAGGTCCGCACCGTGCCAGCCCCACCCGGAACGCCAGGACAGCCAGGAGAGCCAGGAGGCCAGGGACCACCAGGAGAGGACGGACGACCAGGAAACGCTGGACCACAGGGACCACCAGGACCACAGGGAGAGCCAGGACAGGACGGAGCACCAGGAAACCCAGGAGCCCCAGGAGAGGCCGGAGAGGCCGGAAAGGACGGAGCCAAGGGTAAGTGTCCAGAGCTTTTCCGGTCCACTTTTGCTCGTTTTCAGGAGGTTGCGACCACTGCCCAATCCCAAGAACCGCCCCAGGATACTAAGAAGAGATCCATCGCTGCAGCACCTGTCATCTTGCCTAAATTATTTATATTGTCTTTCGCTACTTGTATGTATAATACCTGTCGAAACATTTTCTTCTTCTTCTTCTGTTTTTGCTTGCTTTCGAGAAAGTGATGGGCAACTGGGGAAAGGGGAAAGGGGAAAGGGATAGAAAGTGAAATGGTCAGGTCATTAGGGGGGAAATGGGCAATGCAATTATGATAGGAATGGAGTGGAAAAGAACGGAAAAAAGGATACGAAGCAATAAGGAAATGGACTGCTAACTTTTGCACTTCTTGCTCATGTTCTTGATGGTTTGACTGCAAATTTTGAGAGACTCTCAGAAATGTAAAAGTTGTGGCCGTGGCCTAGCGCTTTTCTCAGCCTTCCCGATATCATAGATGATCTTACGATTCTTTTGCATCCTTGATCTGTGCCACGTCACAACATCAACTTCGAAATAACTTCCGTCCTTTTTTTGTCGTCACCGTCCTCCTATCTTCTCGCTATTTTCCATCACAACGGCAGCTATGGCCCGTGCCGATTGCAAGGAATGATAACAGTTCAGATTCTCTCTCTCTCACTCTCTTTCTCCGCCGTTTCTAGGCCCAAAAACCAATCAGCGCCGGCCGCCGTCTCTCGATGTTGCACACTCTCCGCGCCGACGTCTTCTTTTTTTCCAGGAACCACTCGCGTCTCCACGGTTACAATGTACTCTAGCAGTTACTGTAAACCAACGTATCGGTTTGAAGGGAAAGTATAAAAGAGGCGTCGGGCGAGTGTGGAAACCCATCACACTCAACGGACATGACCGACGAGAAGACGCTCAAGTTCGCCGAGGCGGATTCCGTCAAGAAGTTCGCCTTCTTCGGTACGTTCCCGGCTCCAACTACAGTAACCCCGTGCTCCATTTTCAGGTGTTGCGGTTTCGACGATCGCCACGCTCACCGCGATCATTGCCGTGCCGATGCTCTGTCTGCACATGCAGAACGTCCAATCGGGTCTTCAGGAGGAGCTCGTCTTCTGCAAATCCAAGAACGCCGACTTGCAGTCCGAGTTCTTCAAGCTCGATAAGCACCGCGCCGGCGCCAACGCCGAACGTCAGAAGCGTCAGTCCGAGTACCAGTGCTGCTCGTGCGGAATCGGAGCCGCCGGAGCACCAGGACAGCCGGGAGCCGACGGAGCGCCAGGAGACGACGGAAAGCCAGGACAGGACGGAGAACCGGGCCGTGACGCCACCGACAAGGACGAGAAGCCGACCGCCGCCGACTTCTGCTTCGACTGCCCCGCCGGACCACCAGGACCAGCTGGAGGACCAGGACCAAAGGGACCACCAGGACCAGCTGGAGGATCCGGAGAGCCAGGACCAGCCGGACGTGGTGGACCACGCGGACCACCAGGACCAGGAGGACCACAGGGAGAAGCCGGAGAGGACGGAGGCGCCGGAACCCCAGGACAGGCGGGACAGGTCAGATCACTGCCGTCTCCACCAGGAGAGCCAGGACAGCCAGGAGAGCCAGGAGGCCCAGGAGAGCCGGGAGCCGACGGACGACCAGGACATCCAGGAAGAGCCGGACCACCAGGACCACCAGGAGACAACGGACCGAACGGAGAGCCAGGAAAGGACGGAGAGGACGGAGCCCCAGGAGCCGCCGGAAACGCCGGAGCCAAGGGATCCTGCGACCACTGCCCACCGCCAAGAACCGCTCCAGGATACTAGATTTCATAATTCTCTATCTTTTCCTTCCGTCTTCCTCGTTTTTCTTGTAATTCGAAATGAACATTCGACTAGAAGGCGTTCCGTTCCGTCATTCAACCGCTCAACGATCACTGTGTAAGGCGACGAGATGCGTGCGTGAGGCAAAAGCGAGGGCCGCCTAGCCAATTTCGATTTTTTCCGCATCTCAAGAACTTTGGAAAACATCTGATCTGCCTAATCTGGCCTTGATTAACACCAGTTGGGACGGACTGTCTCGGGAATGGAACGCCTGGATTCAGATGGATTCAGACGGGAAGCGAGCGGCACTAATGGGATTCGATTTGGAAGAATTAGCGACAGCGATGACGTCGAGATACGGTAGTTCCTGGTCACTCAGTGGTGGCCTAGGAACCTTATAGAAGAAAATGTTTGCTACTGGAACTTTGATAGTCTATATCAAAGCAAGGAATGTTCCAATAGGCCACACACTTTTTGGCTGTAATCTTCCGACTTCGTACTACATTTTTCCAGTTGACAACTTTTTTGTAGCACCACTGTAGCTCTTCAAAGTGAGACGATCCTGCACATCAGTGTTAACCACGGCACTTTTGTAGTTCTACAAAAAAGTGGTCAACTGGAAAAGTAAAAAGAGACAGCCTCTAGACGAAGCTTCCATCCAGACACAATCACTCTATTTCATCACCCACTAAATCTGTCGATTCTCATTCCTTCCATATCAAACAACCGACTGATCATTTCATATCTCATGCGGATGCCATATCCCTCCTCCTGTTCCTTTCTGCCTAAAAACTGGCAACGGTGTGTGGGGTGGGGCGAGAAAAAATCGGTTATCCGGCGGCCTGGGGGTGAGGAGTCGGGCGCGGCGGCCCTAAGGGGAGGGGCCCCGGTGGATTGGCGTATAAAAGGAGACCCGGGGCACGGGGCTTCATCATCGGGGCTTCTGGCCTAATTACTTCTGATTTATACCCCTTCATCAACTTCTTATTATTTTCCACTTTCAAATCATCCCACCCACTTCTCCGTCTTCTTTTCCCTAACAAAAATCGTTTCAGATGGAGGAGAAACAGAAATTGGTCGAGGTCGAGACCGTGAAGAAGTTCGCGTTCTTCGGAATCGCCGTCTCCACCGTCGCCACGCTGACGGCGATCGTGGCCGTTCCGATGCTGTGCATGTACATGCAGAACGTCCAGTCCGGCCTTCAAGACGAGATCAACTTCTGCCGCACCCGCTCCGACTCCCTCCGCGGCGAGTACACCAAGCTCGATCAGTTCCGCAAGGCCGAGAGCCGCGAGAAGCGTCAGACCTACCAGTGCTGCTCGTGCGGAATCGGACCGGCCGGAGCCGTCGGAAACCCAGGACAAGACGGTGCCGCCGGAAATGACGGACGTCCAGGAGCCCCAGGAGCCCCAGGACCAGATGCTCCAAATGATCACGTGCAGCCGACTCCAGCCGATTTCTGCTTCGAATGCCCACCAGGACCAGCCGGAACCGCCGGAAACCCGGGACCAAAGGGACCACCAGGACAGCCAGGAGCCGCCGGAGAGCAGGGGCCAAACGGACGCCCAGGAACCCCAGGAGCCCCAGGACCACAGGGACCACCAGGAACCCCAGGACAAGACGGAACCCCAGGACAGCCAGGAGCACCAGGACAAGTCCGTACCGTGCCAGCCCCACCAGGAACGCCAGGACAGCCAGGAGAGCCGGGAGCCCAGGGACCACCAGGACCAGACGGACACCCAGGAAACGCCGGACCACAGGGACCACCAGGACCACAGGGAGAGCCAGGACAGGACGGAGCACCAGGAAACCCAGGAGCCCCAGGAGAGGCCGGAGAGGCCGGAAAGGACGGAGCCAAGGGATCGTGCGATCACTGCCCACCACCAAGAACCGCTCCAGGATATTAAGCACTTCATGCTTCGAAGCTTGCTTCTTATGTTGGTAAGCTCCCTCAATCCGATATTTCGAGCTCTTTTTACGAATGCTTCTTTCCAGGGTACGAGTATCAATGACATTCGCTCCTTTTCTCCTTCCACACGTTTTCGTCGACCGACAAACCATCTCAGACACTTAACCCCTTCCCTCTAATTTATTTTCTCTCTTCACAAGTCTTTCATAATTGTCCGCCCGTCACAGCGCAACACTGACTGTGTAAATAAACCATCATTTGACAAAAATGTCCATCCGCTTATCACCTATCAATCACCTGCGCGGAATGTGCGAGTGTGTCAGGAGAGAAGGCAAAACAAGAAGTGTTCCGAGTTTTTCTCCTCCGAAAAGCCGGCGCGTTAGCCAGTTTTTGCAACATCGCAATGCGTCGGCGGTTTCGGAGAGGTGCGCCGCGACAAAAAACTGGGTAAAGTTCGAGAAAATCGGTTAGGAATGGGCGAAAAGAGAAAGGCGGTCTAATTAATGACGATGGGGGTCAGAGAAGTTTATGTTTGAGTTCTCGAACACTGAAACTAATCGGATTCGTCTGAAACTTGAACCCTACACACTTCAAGCCATTGCAAATGGATCAAAAGTTCAGATCTTAGTCGGCGTTCTGCCCAGCCCAGCAAGGGTGCAAACTAATCGACGGAAGAAACATAAATCCTGTCCTCGTGATTTTCCGCTCTTTCATTTGGCATCACCTGTTCTTGTGCCCTTCCAAAATGCACATTTTCTCATTTGATTCCGTTCTAGTTTTCTTGAATTCAAAATTTGAAGTTCTCAGAATCAAAAAGATACTTGGAATGCTTCCTTTTTTGTTTTTTATGATAAAGTCGCGGACCGAAAAGGAGCCAAATATAATCGGGTAAATTTGATTGCTCACACACCAGACTATTACGTTTTTTCTTGAACATTCATGTCATAGACTCATAGTTTCCAGGTTTTGGGATTCTAGACCACTAATATATGGCCTAGAAACTTCCAGGTTCAATTTCTAGGCCATGATCTTTCAGACAAGCACAAGTGGCCTAGAAACCACTTTGATCACTGTTTTCTTTTCTTTTCTTTGTTCCGCCTAATGAGTGGGTTGGCGCCGACGCCAAACCACAATCTGAGCAAAAAGAATGAGCTGAAAACAAGACGCTTCCTCTTCTTTTTCTTCTTCTTCTTCCTCTTCCTCTTCGTTCTGAATCACTGAATCGTGCCATCATCTCGGCGGAATGCTCACTGATCGCTTCTCCCTTTTTCCGCAAACCCGCCGACCGCATTCGATTAGCTGGTGAAAGAAAAATGACGAGTTTCGGCTAGCTATTTGCTGCGGATCACTCGGATTTACGCGGAAAAGTTCACACAAAGCCTCTTGCGTTTTGCACCTGCTCCTCTCCCGTAACTTTTCGTGTCAGCTTTTCTGAAATGCAGCAGATCGCCGTCAAAATAGCGTCGTTGCTCGGTGAGCCGATCCCGCTCGTCGAGGGCCGCTGGCTCAATGTCACTTTCGAAGTTCCCGTTCTTGTCGACGTGGATGCTCCGCTGACTCCGCCCCTTTTGCTCATCTACATCCTCGAAACGTTTCTCATCTTTTGCGGAATGTTCTTGATGGCCTACTTCAATCATTTCGTCAACACGATCGGAGTGATTCATCGCAATCTTCAACTTTTGTTCGTCGTTTCCACAATTGTCTATCTTCTCGGCTGTTTCGCTCGCTTTTATTTGATTATGGTGCAGTTTCAGATTGTCACAGGTGAGGTGTTTGACGAATATTTCAAAGAAAATTGCCGAATTTGTTCAGACCTGGACACGCCGTACCTTCTGATCGCGGGCCTCGTCCGACTGGAACACTACGGTCTGAGCCTGAGCGCCGTTTTGGTGATTACTGTAGAACGTGCGTTTGCCACGTACTACGTGATGGATTACGAGTCGAAACCCAGGAAATGGGTGGCCGTTTTGTGCGTCTGCGTCGGTCTCGTCTACACGCAGTTCTTTGTGATTCCCATTTGTTTTTGTGAGAAATATTTCCGATCGTGTCAAATGTTTCATGACAATTTCAATTTCAGACAAAGCACCCCTCTACTACATCATCCTTTTCGCCTCTGTTTGGACGGTGCTCTCGAAAATTGTGCTCTTCGGTCTTCTTCGTTTCAATGTTCGACAGTTGAAACGATTGTCGTGGAAGGCGGAAAACTTACGGAAGTTGAACAACGTGAATTACACTCTGAGCAAGAAGTTTCAGGTGGAAGAAAATGTGAAGGTTATAAGGGTAGGTCAGTTTAAAGACGATGTAACTCAGCTGCCGGTTGAGATATCAACAAGTTGTCAACTGATAAAATGAGCACAATTTCTTAATGAATAATTTATCAGTTGACAACTTTTTGATATTTCCATCGGCAACAGAGATATATCGTCTGGAATAGACTATGGTTTTAATAGTCCCTCCATCAATCTTTCGCTTTCAGTTACTTCAAGCGATGAGCCTAATGCTGGTATTTTTGATATTCTTCGTCATAATCTTCATCGTAGTGCCACGTGTCTATCTGGGAACCGGTACCTATGCGGGTCAACTTATGATCTCACTTTTCGATATAAATTTGGCTCTCGGAGCAATTCTCATTCCCGCCATTTGCATTTGGCAGTTGCGGAAGACCAAGGAAATGCCATTCACAGTTGGGTTTTCATAGTGATCCACGTTTACAATATTCCGTTTCAGCAAAAACTCTATTGCATTAATAAGCGACGAGAGGATCGGCAAGTGAATCCCATAACAGTCTTCGAGGACGCCACCAACACTTACTTCGAGCAATTTCACACTTCATGGCGATAATAAAGTATTTATTTTCCTTTTTTCCTTGGTATAACGACATAACGACAGTCAAACTTCAGATTCCCTGTGCATGCGTGTTCTGTTTATTTTGTCCCCGTGGGGACTGGGCCGAGCCCGGCAGCAGTGCAACGCCAGGACGACCCTTGGAAAGTCGGAGCAAGCCCCGAGCCTTTCCTAGACTCCAAAAATCATATAACCTTTATTACACTCATTCGAGTGTATACCGTAGGTTAATACGATAAGAACAGATACTACACTTTGATCTTAGCTAATAAGCCGAAGAAGCGATACCGAAGACTCTCGGTCGCCGCTCTTACGTCTCGCCATGGACCGACAAAAAGTGGGCTCGCGTTGACCACTATGTTTTGTGTGCGCGTGTGACGAGGGGAAAACGCGCGAGACGGAGAGTGCGCAGTGGGTGGTTTGGAGGACAAATTAGAAGGATTTCAAAGGGTTCACAATAATCTGAGTTCTAAATCATGACAAATCGGCATTCTTGAAATGTCCAAAAGTTATTATGCTTCTCGAGGAAAAATTGAAACAACAAGACCGAAAACTGCACTTTAAAAGTACATATTTTACATTAGTAATCCTGAGTTTATTCAAACTAGAACCTAATTTCTTCTTCAAATTCAAAATAAACCATTCTCCGATCGTTTTCTTTCAAATCACCGTGCCGATGCACCATGTGGACACATGCACCTGACCTCGTGAGATCTCTCTCACGTACATTAGAAACGTTGCAAGTGCGCCCCACGGCACGCGTATCGATCGGAAGAAGCCGAGCGGGAGTGTTAAGGTACGCTCTCCGAGACCTTTCCCTTCTATTCAACTTTTTCGAATCCTTTCGATACTATCAGTCCTATTTTCAACGAAAATTGTTTTTGAAAAAGTTTATGGTTTCAGAATGCAACGCCCGGAACGAATCCGTTTTTTCATCACCGAACAGTGCCGGCGACTCGATCCGACCTATAGGAACTTTGTGAGCATTTGTCTTGAATTCTATTCCATTATTTTTGTATTCAGATGTATCCAAAGCAGATCTTAATTGGAGACTTGCCATTGCCACTTCTCGAAGGTTCTTCATTGACCTTTCGTGTCAATCAGCAAGTGGGTTTGGTGTTTTTTAAATTCAAATAATTTTATTACCATTAATTTCGACTAATCTTACTTTGATGCAATGCAAACTTTCCAGAAGAAGATCAGTTTCCGAATCCGTCTGTCCGGCAAAGAACTGCACTCCGGCGAGCCTATCAACATCGGAATCCCGTTGACTCAAGTGGAGAGCATGTCCATAAAGGACCACAGCCGAAAGCACCCGGAAGCCGCGCTCGTCTTCCTTCTCAAGAACAGCGTCGTCGATAAGCTCAAAGAACTGTGCCGTCCGTACTTGGACCAGATCCCCTCAACCGGATACAAACGACACATTTCCCGCTATCTGACGGTCATTGTGGGCACGGACCCGATCTCGAAACAGGCGGTCTACAGCCGAGTCGTTCTGCTCGCCAACAAGTTCACTTTCCCGTTCGGAACTGCCAAGAAAATGCTGATGAAGGATGTAAGTCTCGATATAATTTATCGAAAGAAATAACCATTCGTTTTCAGATTCCTCTAATGTGGGACGACCTGGTCGAGGAGAGAAACGAGGCACGCGTGCGCACCGGCGTTCATCACGACCGCGAGCAAATGACCGAAATGGACGATGAGGCGTGGGACTGGCTCATGTCGTTTCTCCGCATGAAATGGGGAAGATGTCCGTACCAGGGAAACTGGCTCGTCAGAGACGAAGCCGCTCATCGTCGTCACGCGTTATTGTAAGTTAATTAGAGTCCAGCGCAAGCCAAATGAAAATGAAAATTTTAGAAATAAACCGATCAAGAGTGAATTCCTCGAAGAAATCGATATCAAGCAGGAAGTTTGCGCTTCGAAGCGTATGAAGTACGAGTCGGCCGCCGATTCCCTTCCCGAATCATCATCCCCGGACTCTGTTTCCTTGTTTTAACTGTTTTACCACTTTTTTCTAACGTCCTGCTAGACTCGTTTATTTTTTGCCCAAGCATTTCATTCTCTTCCGCCCCGTTCGAAACTCAGATACTCACAACTCGTTCCAAATCACCGGAATCACAGAATTCGCTCTAAGCCCATACAGTGTACGGAAATTAATCATTTAAAGCCGTCCGATCCTCACTTTTCAGCCGCCAGTTTATCAAATTTTACATGCATGCAATTCTCCTTCTGACCTTGAATATTCTTTGCGGCGACAAACCCATTTCAATCGCAAATGAATTTTTGTTTTCTTTTTTTTAAATTAATAAATACAAAGATCACGAAAAGAAAGAGTTTTCAAATTTTGATTGCTGAAGTTCTCCGAGTTTCTGTGTATTTTATCGTGGTGGTGTTTGCGAATAATGTGCCAGACGCGTCATGCAGCACGGCCCACGGCCGCGCTTTTTCCTTTTTCTTCAGGTTTTCCCGACGAATTGCTACGTGGCAAGAAGTAGATCGAGCCTTGTCCGTAAACCAACATACTTTATTAGAGAGACACACTAATAAAACGGAGAGTTCAGAGAAGACGCTCCTGAATCCAGAGCTCGATTTCAGAGTAGAAAAGAGCGATGATGACGGCGAGGTTGCAGACGAGAAGAGCGCTGACGATCATGAGACGACCGTTCTCTTTGAACTGGACACTGTCGACTGGAGCATCGACGATGTTGTTTCTACAACAAGAACGTTATTGGAATTCTAAAACAAAACTGAAATCGGCTTAAAACTCACTCAGTTTTGAGCGATTCATCGGACTCCTTCCAGTCCTGCGAGTCGGTCGATTCCTCATCGGCGGTCTCCTCCTTTTCCTCGCTTTCCTCTTCAGACTCATCGATTGCCTTCTCCTTTTCCTCTTCCGACCCGTCGATCTCCTCCACTTTCGGCTTCTCCTCTTCTTCTTCTTCTTCTTCTTCACTCTCCCCAGGCATAACCCAATGCTCTCTATTCAATTCGCCGCCCATTAACAAAAGACCCGGTCCATAGCGACGAACACGTGTCCCTCCGATCACCCAATTCTCGCCCATTCTGCAATCGTTTGTGTAGTTTAAAAAGAAAGTTGAACGCTTACTTAGGACCGCTGTTTACCATATCGAAGGAAAATAAATTTCCGCCGGGAATGTCCACCACTCTGTCGACTTTCACGCGCTTCGCCATGGTTGAGATGTTGCTGGCAACTGAAGAAAACTATGGCAGCGGAGAGACACATCGAACTGCGCCACGTGGCGGCGACGCGAGGTCACGTGCGGGTCGCAACTTTTTAATTTCACGCTTTTTTGCGCCGCGTCAATTTTCCAAATTCCAGAAAAAAAAATCGGAGAAAGGCGACTGAATCGCTAACAAATTTATCAAAAAGATTTAAAAAACGCGGAAAATTCAGAAAAGACGCTCCTCGATCCAGTGTCCGATGTCATCGGAGTAAAAGGCGACGATGGCGGAGAGAACGCAGGCGACGAGGCAATAACGGACCCATTTCGGCTCGAAATCGTCGATCGTATCCGGCACATCCGGAACGTACAAATCCGGTTTGTTCAACTCTCTGTTTATCAGCACAATCCCCGATTCGATGCGTCGGATACGTGTATTTCCAACGATCCAATTCTTGCCCACTCTGCAATCATTCTGCTGGTTTAGTCGGAAAAATATAACACAATTCAAAACGGGAAAAACCAGTTGTTCCCTAGTTTTTTTTCCGACTGAATGAGCCCAGTAGTCCGAAAACGAAGAAAAAATCGAAGATGCGAGGGTCGCTTTTGTGCGCAACAGCAACAAAGACAAATTCATTTATTAAAACGCTCAAACTTTCAGAGAAGACGCTTCTGGACCCACTGAAGGCCGATGTCAGCGTAGAAAAGCAAAGACGGCGGCGAGAATGAGGACGACGACGTGGCAGACGAAAAAAGCGCTGACGATCTGACAGCCGTCGATCGGAACATTTCGGATCGGAGCATCTTCTCTGAAACAAAATATTTGTGCGGGGGAAATCGGATAGAAGCGTACTCGGTGTCAGGCGAATCATCAGAATCCTCAGTATCAGTATCATCCTCATTTTGACCGTCATCGGAATCGTCCGATTCCTCGTCGGCCGTCTCCTCCTCTTCTTCTTCTTTCTCCTCGTCTTTTTCCGCTTCAGATTTCTCGACCTTCTCCTCGTTCACTTTTTCCTTCATTTCTTCTTGTTCTCCTTCTTCCTCTTCGTTTACCAGCATAGCCGCCATCTCAGTAACAAAATCTTTTCTCTTCAGTTGCGCGCGACGAACTGTCAAACCTTTTTTGCCGATCAGCAACTGCTCGCATATTCTGCAATCATTGTTTTCCATGTTTTCTGCAAAACAATCGAAAGTTTACACTTTATCGTCTCCCAAGATCACTGATGTCGACAAAATGGACTTCTCTGGCTTGGGTTTTCTGTTCTTGCCAGGCTGCCAACGCATTTTGAGATAGGAAAATGGGAACACAGAGGGAAAACTGACATTTTGAGGCGGTGGAGCACGTGGCCACGTGTCACGCGTGGGGTCGCAATTTTTGAAACTTTCGGCTTTTATTTAAAAGCTGTTCGTGTGTGGAGTGGAAATTCTGTCGAATGTCGCTGTTGTTTCGCTTTTAAACACGTAAATTCCAAAAACTACCGTTAAAGACGCAGCACGATTACACTCGGCTCGGTCGAGCCCGCTCGCCGTCACAGAGAACCACGCCATTAATCATTCGTCGGTGCACTTTTCGCACTGAGAGGCCCAGAGGTTTGGACGAACCGACAACTGGCTGACTGACCCCAATTCCCCTTCTTTTTTGCATCCCGGCTCCGAAGCGTTATCAACTTTTTCCGATTATTTGAACAAAAAGAGACGCATGACGAAAACAACAGCATTCTGTCCTAATATGAAGTAAACATACAGAGTAAGCATAGAGCGAGGTCAGTGCCAAACCCATTCTTTCTCCGTCTATTCTCTCGCGCTTTTTTGTGTACTAAAGCATTTTCACACCTCCAATATGTCCCCTGCACACAATAAAACTCAATGGATCGACATGACCCAAGGATCACAGATCCACATGATGCGGCCGGATGCGAACAGTCCCGATACGGTACGGATCTGTCCTTTTTGTTTATCTTTTCACTTGCCAGCAACGCCCTTTTCAGTCGAACTGTGTGCTCCGTCTGGCCAACGGAGAAATCGTGAGCTACAACTCTTTCGTGTACACGGAAGTGATGACAAACACGAATTTCTCGAGGAAGGATCTGAAGATGTGTCTGGACGCCTTCCACAGAGACATCAGTCTTTTTGTGCTCAACAAACCCGACTCCATGAAGGTGATCGCTCACTTTCAAACGATGCGCGCCACCCGAACCATCGACTACACTGTCATCAAGAATGCCGAGAACTTTGCGGTCGGTTGGAGCTCTTGCTCCGGAGTTTGAAGTCATATACGTCTCGTCCCAACACTCTAATTTCAGAAATGGCTGCCAGGAGAACTCAAAGTCTACCTTGCCACGATCGAAAAGGACGGAAAACGTCAGGTGAACACGGGCGACGCACTTTTGGCCGTCGTGAATCTTCTGAAGCGGCAGGGATCTCAAGAGCATGTGCAATCGCAAGAGTTCCGCGTGGACATGCTTCAGTACGTCGTCGGCTGGCGCGATCAGCCCTTGATCAGTCTCGACGAGCTCAAGTCGGTGCTCGAGAACTTTGACGTGGACAAGACCAAGATCACGGTGAGATTTTGGTAGTTTTCTGCAGCTTCATCTAGTTTTCAGCTCATTCCGTACTACTGCCAACAATATCGAATCCGCCGGTGAAGCACTAATCTGTAATTCCAAAAAATAAATCCGCGTCAAAAATGTTCGAGCACACTCGTTGGAATGAATCGCTCCATGGTGAAGGGAAACATCAGTTTTTTATCGAACGAGAGACCGTAGAAACTGGGAAAACGAGAATTGAAAACTGGGAAATGAGAAATGAGAAACGGAAATAGAAATAGAAATGGCACATATTGGAAAGAATACAGTGTTGAATTAGAATTAGAATTAGGTTGTCGAATCCAGCTGGATTCTCTTCTTCGCGCCGTTCGATTTTGGCGCTTCGGGGGTGCTCGCCGAGAGATTCTTCTTGAAGAACTTGGTCAGCGCTGGAGTCTTCGGAGTCGACGGTTCCTTCCGCGACGGCGTCTTCACCGCTTCCTCCTCTTTCTCCTTCTCCTTTTCCGCCGCCGCCACCGCAGTCGTCCTCCGCTTCTTCGTCTTCTTCTCCTCGATCAGATTCGGAGTGGAGCACATCGGCACGACCTCCGTCACCACTTCTCCCCACGAGGTCAATGTGAACTTGATGAAGCTGCAGTAGCCCTCGAGCGACGAGATCACCAGAACCTTTCCGTCCTGGCTCCACGTGGCGTCGGTCAGCGAGTTGAAGTGAATGTTGTCGACGACGCCGATCGGATGCGCGTGCTGACTGTCGTAGAAATAGATGGCGTCCTTGTTCAGAGTGATCCAGACGAGACGGTACGGAAGGCCTAGTCGATTTTCTTGTTTTTTGAGAAGACTGAAGTAGACTGGCGAGAACTTCACAAGGAACGTCGGCTTTGACGATGGATAGAATGCAAACGGAGCGTCTTTTCTGCAACAAAAAGTGTGATTATTGTGTTAAATCTTATAACTAACATCCCAAGATCTCCTCTTTTGAAGAGATACGTTCCGTACACATCTGTGGATCCGAGCTCCAGATGCGCGCACGGCGCCGCAATGAACTCTCCGTCGGGCGAGAACGAGAGAACGCGCGTGAAACTGAACAGTTGATCGTCATGGAACAGCTTGTGCGGCTTCTCCTCCAGTTGCACGTCTCCGCTCGACCAGGGAAGAGTGAGAGCGGGCAGAGGGGCCGTGGAGAAGTGCTTGATGCGGGTGCCCTTCACAGCGTCGATCAAATCCATCCGTCGGTCCGAGGACATTGTGACGAGGTACTTGCCCCGTGGATCCCACGATACTCCGCTGGGGCTGCGAAAGTTTCCTACGGAAATTAGTCGTTTTCCTGTAAAATTATGCATTTTTCAGTGATTTATGGCTAAATCCTCACCGGTGAGTGCCTCATGAACAGCTAGAGTATGATCGTTGGAAACCGAAGCGACCTGCGTTCCGTCCGGATTCCAGCACAACGCATTCACATCACTATTGTGATTGAGAACTTTAAACCTGACCCAATTCTCCTTGTTCGGCGGCATTTCGTCTTGTGGTGGTGGGGCCGGCGTGTCGAGCTGCTTCCAAATGGTAATTCGGCCTTCACAATCGCCGGACGCTAGAAGATTATCTGAAATTTTGAAGATTCAGAGTTTCCTATCGAAAAAAGGAATGCTCACGTTCGGTGCTCGGACTGAACTTGACCTGGTTGATGGCCTGATTGTGAAACACCAGATTAGCGATGAACGAGACGGAGAGCGGCGAGGGTGTCGAGTTTTCGGAGGGCTCGAACTCCAATTCCCAAATCCTGACCTAAAATTCCGGATTTTTTAAAGTTAAATGAATCTAAATTGACTCACCTCTTTTTGAACACTAGAAGTGACAATTTTGTATCGATTCCCGTCGCGTACTTCCCAGTGCACGTCGACTGAAAGAAGTCCTTGACGGTCGTGCCAGAAGATTTCAGGCATGTAGTGATCCATTTCGAATCTTCATGCACTGTTAATGCAATCTGAAGCGGAAAATGCGTATAATTCGTTGAAAAAGGGAATGTTCGAACGAAAGTTTAGTTTTTTTGCGATTTCGCGCATTTAGAAACGATTTTTAAAAGTTTACTTTGGCGCCTTCTCAATAGAGCGCAATTGCATTGTTTCTCTTGAAAATCCTAAGTTTCGGTCCAAAGTACCAGCGAAAAACCAAGATGGGGAGAGTGAAAATTGAGTAAATTCAAAAGAATTTAAGAGAGTTAGACTAAGAAGATTTTAATTATGTTGACTCAAAAAACCCGCTTTTTTCAGTTCATGAAACCAGAAATTTCTGGAACTGCAAAAGCTCATATGCAATTGCGCAATGCAACCGAATGGAGTTGTCGGCATTGCATCACTCGCAGGTGCGCTCTCCGTGCGATATTCGTCACTTCTTCCAAATACTCTCAAAGTCACAATGACCTCTACCGTACTCTTGTTGTACATGATATTATAAACATTTCCAAGCACCTGTCACGTCGCCTTCTTGTAAACATTCGGATGGGCGGGGCCTTGGATTCTATTGTCTAGACACTATTCATTCTGTTCGATTTGGAACGACCTTCTTTCTCTTCCTCCTGAATCAACATGTTCCAAGACTCGGAGTGGACCCAGGTTCACAAGGGCCACCAGGCGTTTCTCCTCGACAATTTGACACCGGACACTGTGAGTTTAACTGCTCTCAAAGTTCTCTCTTACCGAATTTGAATTTCAGCGAACGCTGAGAGTTGTCTGCTTGGAACCATCCTTCGAATGCGTCTACAATACCAGCATCTTCCACAACGTTGTCGAGAAGAAAGAAATTAACGAGAAGGAGAAAAGAGCATTCTACACCGAGAATGCGCTCTTCTACGTCAATAAATCGGTCGCCCAAAGTGCCGAACGCATTCTGGCTAAAATGGAGCTTCCCAAGATCAAGTACTTTCTCTCGAACATCACCAACTTCTCGGTTAGTTCATAATCATGTTATCAAACCGAAAACGTTCTCAGCAGCTCGTTCCGCTCGACCGCTTCTTGATACGCTCGTCAGACATCGGCGACTCGACGAAAGTGATCACAAAGGAGTGCCTCGAGGTGCTTCCTCTGCTCCTGAAGGCTCAGGGACACGGAGCTAGGGTCGAGACGAACCGCTTCCAGGTTGAGATGACCGCGATGCAGCGCAACGCGAACTACGTCCCGGTTGTAAATTACCTTGAACTCAAGGATTTGCTCGAGAGATACAACGCGGACAAATCGAGAATCACGGTAAATCCGATAGGTTTGAAAATTGAATCCAAGAATCCTCCACAGTTTTGCCCGGTTGCGACTGTTCCCAGAGACCAGGCCTATTTGAAAAAGCAAGAAAAAACTGACTATGTTCATTTTCAGCTGGTCTTCGACGTCTCGTCACAGTTCCCGTACCGCACTTGAGCGCATCACTGGAGTTCGATGGAGTCAAACCGTTATTGTTAAACGTTTCTGTTTCTGTTTTTGCTTCGTTACTCACTATCAGTCTTATGCCAATCAAACCATGTCCGCCGTCTACGGTATTCTTATATTTTTGCACAACTCGGCAGGTGTGAGAGCTGAGTGCTCTACGTGTGTTTCCGTATTTTCGACAACATTCTGTTTCGAAAATGTATCCAAACAGACACATTACAGTATCCCGTCATAATAAACAACATTCATCTATTTTCAATGTCATTCGCACTTTCAAAAACACCATGCAGACAGGGCAGACGCAGACAGTCCAGAGCACTTTCTCTCTCTCTCTCTCTCTCACTTCCGTTTGTACCATTTCTAAATCATCAACAAGAATAGGGAGGCTTTAGGTTTCGCAAATGTTTGTCGTGTCACGTTCCGACGACGTCGTGAAGTGAAACGCGCTCTATCAATACTCACGCGTTGCGATTTGTTGAGTGTTATCTCACCTCCCGGCTCTTTTGAAAGTCATTTCATCAACTTTCCTCATTTTCTTTCCTCTTCTTCTCTATTTTTTTTCAAATGAACTGTTTGCAGTTGTACCAGAATGTACCAGAATACCAAGTGGCTCCAGGTGAAAGACGCGTCGCAATCGCTCCTCTTTCAGCAAGGCACCGTTGGCGACGTGGTAAGCGATCGTTGATGATTCAACTGATTTTGAAATCTCGATCCACTTTTTCAGAGAAGTGTGAGACTTACGTTCCAAGATCCAAGCCTCGGACTGCAGATTCTCTGCTACAACAGCAGCCTGTTTCAGGCCGTCGCTGAGGCCCAGAACGTGGATAGGGAGACGAAGCGGACTCGCGAGGTGCAGTTCAACCGACAGCACACTCCGTTCCTCATGGACTTGGACCTGTCCCAAACGGCCCGCAAAGCTCTAAGCGAAAAGGGCCAAGACGAAGCTCATGAGACTCTCCTCAATCTGACCAACTTCACAAAGGTCTTCCCCATGGATCACTTCTACCTCGGAATGCTCACTTTGGCCGGGAAGAAAAGAGTCCCCGTCAAGGATGTTCTGGAGCTCATCCCGCTCGTTTTGGCTCTTCAGGGAGACGGCGCCAAGCTCGACACCGCCGGGTACAAGGACGACATGACGGAGGCGCAGAGCAATTGGAAGAACATCTCGACGATTCCGCTGGACAAGCTCAGGGCGGTCCTCCAGAAGTTTGACGTAGACAAGTCGAAGCTAAGGGTGATAATTGACTGATGGGAAGTACTGTTTCGGTTTTTTTCAGCTCGTCAACGATGTCGCCTCGAAATTCCCGATCCGAATGTGAATTGTTTACTTTTTCGGTTGTTTTGTTTAAAGTTCCTGATAAATCATACTTGTGCACTTTAAAAAATTATTATATTTTGAGTTTTTTGAATACTTTCTCTCGAATATCTGTAAAATCTGCTCGAAAATGAGCCCAAAACTGTCAATTTCTATCGGTGGCCTAGGAAATGCTCAATGGCCGAAGAGCGCCGCAAACTCGGCCACCGTTGCAAATGTTCTCACGGCCTCCGGCACGAGAAATGTGCCAGCCGGATCGCGAAACGCGCATACTCAGCCGTCTCTCATCTCTAACGCATGACCGTAGAGCGCGCTTGCATTATCCATCAAAAAATTTCTTGTTCAACACGAAAAAGTTGTCGGCGGCATGGTTACCACAAAAAATAAAATCTCGAAAAATCTGAACAGACTAAGACAAAAATTAGGAATCTTTTTTTTTTATTAGCCAATCAAAAAAGTTCTTGTGTGTTGAAAAGAGCCAGTTTTACCAAAATTTGAGTATAAGACATGTCTAGGAGCGGGTACAAGAAAATTTTCTCGACTGTTTCGTCACTTTTCGTTAATACACAATTATATTCAAGTATTGAACACAAAAATATCAAATATAGATGTGATTCGAATGAATGGGATGTAACAAACCACGAAGAGAAAACTTTGCAGTCACATTAAAAATCAGGAAAATTTTTTTTCAAAAATCTGATTCTGGCAAGTTGTAGACATTAGTGAGGCCTACGTTTTGCTTTTTTAATCAAGTAAATTGATGCAGTTTGAAGGCAGATGCATCACTTTGAAGTTTTCAGTGGAAAAAGTGGCTTTTTTTGAGGTTTTTCCAGGATAACGTGAGCAAGAAACCACTTTTTACAAATTCACACACACAAAAGTTTCTAAATTTCATGAGCTTTCTTTTGCGACTTCGAACGAGTAGATTGGATGAGTTTGAAGAGAGATATGGCGGTTTGAAGCACGCCGACTTGAGCCAAGATTACGACAGATCCGACTCTCACGGACTCACCAACGGCGGCAACATTCATTCTCACTCGACTATTGTTTAATTCGAAGTTTTACCCATATGTGAACATTTCCTATCAAAAAATGTGAGAAACTGGTGGATTCTGACTAACTTGTCCACCAGAATACGTCGTGCTCACATCTTCGGAATTCACAGCTGGAGAATAAGAAAAACTTGCGATTATTCATTGCTCTTTGTTTCGATGAAGTGTAAACAACAGTTTACAGCTGAAATCCGTCAAAAAAAGTTTTCCCTCCTCCAACAGCACGCTTCTGAAGTCAGCAGAAAACTGTAGCTCTTTCAGAAGCCGTCTCCGTGGACACTCCAGAATATTTTTTCAAGTTTTTTGTTGCTGCTTTGAAGTACTGATCATATTCAACATATTCCCGTAGAAAGCGGGAAAAAAATGAATCAGTACTCTTCCGAGAGCACGCATCTGAAGTCAGCAGAAAACTGTAGCACTTTTAGAAGCCGTCTCCGTGGACACTCCAGAATATTTTTTCAAGTTTTTTGTTGCTGCTTCGAAGTACTGATCATATTCAACATATTCCCGTAGAAAGCGGGAAAAATGAATCAGTACTCTTCCGAGAGCACGCATCTGAAGTCAGCAGAAAACTGTAGCACTTTTAGAAGCCGTCTCCGTGGACACTCCAGAATATTTTTTCAAGTTTTTTGTTGCTGCTTCGAAGTACTGATCATATTCAACATATTCCCGTAGAAAGCGGGAAAAATGAATCAGTACTCTTCCGAGAGCACGCATCTGAAGTCTCCGATGAAACTTCGTTGGCCACCGAAGTGTGAAATCGGTGCTCCCAAAGTGGCTTACACGATTAATTTCGTTAAGTTTTTGATGATGTGGTCATGAAAAACTCTTGGGCAACGTTTTCATCACGAAATAACGGAAGATGATTTTGATTCTCACTTGTAGCACGCATAATCAACCGCAACACGAAAAATGCAAATTTCGTACTGACGCCGGCATTTTTTTGAGAATTTTTTGTTGCTCTTTGCAAGTTTTGCTCATGATAAACACGTTCATGAAGAAAAACGGAAAGATAAATCAGTATTCTTCTGGCGGCGTTCCGAGCGCCACACCAACTCTCATTTCGCTTCTCGAGCGACAGTAGGCAAGCGAGAGAGTGCGAGACAAGGAGAATGCTGCCGGCGACGCAGAGAGCACGCGTAATTGCTTGCGCTTTTCTCGTGCCGGAGGCCGTGTTCTTTTTTGTTTTTTCAGATCTCTTCTTCCAGTCAACCCGGTTTTTTCGAGTTATTTAAACGGAATATACGATTTCAGATGGCCGCAATTATCGGAGGGGGCCCACGGAGACCGCCGCGAATAATGGCGCGAAAAAACATAGTCCTGAAACGATTGCCACGAGGTAAACCAGTTTTCCCTCTCAAAAATGTACATAATCGATAGTTGAAGGTGCTCGAGACGACGAAACGGCAAAACTGAAGCGGCAGGGATACGAAGTGCAATCCGGAGTGCTCACAGTGACCTCGGTATTGCCATAAAATCAATTTTCATGCGTACCACCCGTTTTTGCAGAATCATCCCTCAAATTTCAAGCCGAAACAATTGCCCGGCATCGCCAATGACGTGGAATCGTATCCATGCCGATTCTGCGATGAAAAAGTGTTTTTGACGACGTCAGGGCTCGAGAAGCACGGAAGAGAGCATCATTTGCAGAACATTGATGACATCATCACGGACATTGCGATGATCAGCGGAGAATGGAAGAAACGAGAAGTGAATAGTGTTTTATAAACTTAAACATATTCTAAGCATGAATTTTTTGCAGTTCGAACGCCTACGCTCGCGAGAGAGGATATCAATGGACAAGTTGCGGCACGAAGCGCGCGCCCATCAGCTGGTAAGGGCCGTGCTCGCCGGCGGCAATCCCGATGGCTCCTCGTTGATCGGCGGCGAACAGTACGAAGCGTGCACGATCTGCAACATGCTCGTCAACATTGCTCACCCCACCGCCATGGAATCCCACCAAAGAGCTCACAAAAAGAATGACGAGCTCCGTCTCCAACTGATCGATCAGTACGGTCCGGAAGCCGTTCAGCGGCTCACCTGCGAGGCTTGCTCTCTCGTTTTTCCCGATCAGCCCAAGCTCAAGGCACACGTCGCTTCGCATCACACCCGGAGGAAAAAGTATATTTGCAAGTTCTGTGGGCACATTTCGCAGAGCATGTCGGAGCTGAATCTTCATAAAAGCGATGTTCACAACTACGTAAGTAATTATCTATTTTTTGTTTCGCACACTCATTTTACAGAGCGCCTGGAACAACGTGCCAGAGTTTCTGAAAGCTCGCCGCTCGTTCTTCCAATACGACGAACGACTGCAGCGGATGCGACGAAGGACCGCCGAGGAGATGATCCAAGACGTGGCGGTGCGGCAGCCGATGCTCGGAGGAGATTTCCGAAGGCGACACCGCCGGGAGAGTGACGTGTCCGGAGTGCGGTCTGAAGCTGAACCGACCACGGCTGCTCTTCAAGCACATGGAACGAGTGCACATGAAGACCTCGTTCAGCTGCATGGTCGAGACGGGTGGTCTGCCAACATTTGAGTCAGTTGGACTGTTAGAGTTACTCTTTTCAAAACAGTTTTCTTCAGAATCGAAGTGCAAAACAGTGAGATTTCGTGGAACTGCTGCGAATCGAGGTTCGACAACCGCGCCGAGTTCATCCACCACCGACGTCTTCACATTCCGACGCAGCAAGAAGAGGTGGTCGTGGAGAATCCGGAAGACCTTCAGATGCCGACGACCACTCAAGCGATGGTGGCGATCGAAGACGGAGGCGTCAACGAAGACGGCGTTCCGACGACACACAACATTCCGGCGCATTTCGTGCAGAATCCAGACGGCACCGTCCAAGTCATCATCCCCGAAGGCATCGAAATCGGCGGCGAGGTCTATTTGCTCTTCGATGATTACGAGGGTGGCAAAACTGGAAATCGGATACAATTGGTCCCGCAGGATGTCATTCAGCAACAGGACGACGAGGCTGGAGGATCGGGAGAAGTCCATCACATGTCACATCACTACCAGATCATGCAGCAAGAAGTGGACGGAGAAGAGGAGATGATGGACGCGCTGGGAGAGGAAGAAGTCGTCGAGGACGGCGGATACGAACAGTATCAGATGCACGACTGGGGAAATATGGTAGCGAGAAAATAGACATTTTGGATACCGACATTATATTTTCAGGAAATGATACTGGTGAACGGGGATGAAGTGCTCGAAGAAGAACCAGTGGAGCACCACCAAATGATGGAAGACGAGGTCGTGGAAGAAGAGGACGACGAGGGAGTCGTCCAAATCGACGGACAGCCTCTCTTTGACTGATTATTTTTAGAAATTTTGTAAAACTTGTAGAATAAACCGATCACTAATTTTATTGTTCATTTCTCAATCTCGCCCGTCTCGCAGAATGTCGGAAAATTCAAAAGTGGTAGTTTCGAGCAGTTTCAGTGACAGATTCGTGAGTATTTTCTGGAAATTGATTTTAAAACGTTATTTTCCCGTTTCAGTTCGACTTTTTGGATTACCTGGGTCTTTCGCAGCCGGCCGATTCGGAAGAATCCGAGGGAATCTCAAAAACCGCTCCGGAATCCGTGGAACCAACTCAGAGGACGTCGGAAGTGGCGCCGGAGGAGATGAAGGCGTGGGCGGAGAAGGAAAAGAGGGAAAGGCCGACGACGACGTCGACGGAGCAAATCCATCCGGAAGAAGAGATCGGGAACACGGAGCCGCCCGTCGAGGAGCCCAAAGCCACGTGGATGGATCGAATCCAGGCGACGATGTGGAGAGGATTCTCAAGAAATGCTCCCGGAGAGCCGGAGCAACTGTCCGCAGAGGAAAAGTCGAAAATCGCGCCGGAAAGCGCGGAGGCCAAGAAGACGCAGAAGACGTCGTCGGTGGGGAAAGTGGGCGAAGCGGTGGTGATGACGATGGAGTAGTTGCAGGCCGAGTCGCTGATCGGCTCGATCCCGCCGTCCGTCTGGACCAAGGATACTCCGCTTTGAACGATTCATAAACTTTTTGACATTGACACAACCTTTGGATATATACTGGCAACAATTCGTTTTAAGATCCAAACAAAGCTAGAAACCGAGCACCTAATAATACAAATTATGGCCTAAATGAGCAGAGAGATTAGTAGCAATCAATCGATATCCTTGGCTCGGCCGTCGATCCACGGCCGCAAAACTTCCCATCGCTCGGCGACGGGCCGTCCGAAAAACTCCATCTGAGTGGTCGAGTAGCGGCGGGTCGGATTGCCAAAGTCGCGGAATCCTGAGTCTTTCCAGTTGTAGTTGAACTTTTCGAGCGCGTTGCGGACTTCCGTGGGATCGGAGAGGATCGGACGGGGCACCGATTCGCGGTACTCGGGTATTTGGACGTTGGGGAAGATGAGCACGGAGCGGAAGGCGAAGTGGCCGCCGAAGGTCGGATGGAGACTGAGGCCGATGAACTTCTGCAAGGTTTCACGTTTGAACTTTCGAGTTTCTATCACTTTCGTGACCTTTCCCCCGGACCTTTCAGTTGGTGCCAGGTTTCTGGAGTAAAGATCTAGAGCATCTGATAAGGACTGGCTATAAAAGGAGGGAAAGTGTGAGGATCCTCACAGAGTCCCAACTCTCTCAACCGAATCGAATCGCCATGGCCCAATCCGTGCCCCCCCAGGAGACATCGCCACGCAGCCGAACGCGAAGATCGTGTTCAACGCGCCGTACGACGACAAGCACACCTACCACATCAAGGTGATCAACTCGTCGGCCCGCCGCATCGGATACGGAATCAAGACGACGAACATGAAGCGTCTCGGAGTGGACCCGCCGTGCGGAGTGCTCGACCCCAAGGAGGCTGTGCTTCTCGCCGTCTCGTGCGACGCGTTCGCCTTCGGACAGGAGGACACGAACAACGACCGCATCACGATCGAGTGGACCAACACCCCCGACGGCGCCGCCAAGCAGTTCCGTCGCGAGTGGTTCCAGGGAGACGGAATGGTCCGTCGCAAGAACCTCCCTATCGAGTACAACCCATAGATTTAGTGAATGTTTTAAGAATGAACGGTTTCAAGTGTAATTCTCTCTGTTTTCCTTACCAAATTCGGTCCCATGCGTCCGGAAGGCGGCCAAGCGACTCCTTGTTCCTCAAAGTGACGTGGCTGATAGTAAAATGCGGCTCCTGCCACGTGTCCGCACGTCTGCATTAGAATCTTCGGACGACGCTGTGGAGTCATCGAGTAGTCGTGGAGGATTTCAAAGTTCTCCTCGACTTCTTGCAATTTCTCACTGAGCGCCTCGAGTCGGTCTTCCAAAAAGCTCTGAATCGGCGAGGAAACCAGTTCGCCGGCCTGATCGAAAGAGCCAAACTGAAAATGCACGTTTTTGCAATTCGGCTGTGAGCATTACCTCCATAGTCTTCTGAACGACCCACTTGCGGAAAGCCACGTCGAACATGTCGGGAGTGCTGAGAATCAGGAGAGCCATGGTCGAATCGTCGTACGGCAGGGCGAACGGACCGTCGCCGACCGCACTGTTGTAGGCTCCAATCTGCGGGAAAAAGTTGATGAATTATAATTGGGTGACGATGGAGCCTACTCTGAACATGTGCGATTCGAAGCCATCGCGCGAGGAGAGCTGCTGATCGACGGCGTGTTTGATGGCCTGCGCGTGGCTCATTTCTGGAAGATCTTGGATTAGAACGATCAGGTAAGAAAGACGGAGATTCCGAATGGGAAACAGTTGGAAAACGATCGAAGAATAGGATAGCTGAGGAAAACGTGACACCAAATTCTCAAATATCCTTAAACACCCTTTCTTACGTGACCGGGGCGCCCTCAATACAATTCTACGTAAACGCGACACTCGCCCGCATTCCCCCGCCTATTCTAAAATGGCGACGTCGCAAACGGCAAAAGCGGTAGTAGTTCCGAAGAGAAGCATCAGAAAGGAGGCGATTGTGGCGGTGGCCGCCATCGGAATCGCACTCATAGTCTGGAACTGGCGCGACAAAATCGTAAGATTCCTTTCTTTTAAATTCCAGAAACATTTCTAGGCCGGATTCTGGAGTTATCTGGGATTCTCGAGTTGCTCTTCGGTGTGCTCGGCGGAAAAAGACAAAGAGCCGGTGAGGACTTCTTCGGAGAAGCCTGAGTCGACGGCGGAACCAGTGGCTCAGCCCGCCGAGCAGGTTGGCAACGTTGCTCCGGAAGCGGTCGCGGAGAACGGAAAAACTGTACGTTTTCCTTTTGACTTTGTGGCCAAAACATAAGAAACAATGAATTTCAGCCGGTTCAATCGGTCTACATGGGCCTTCCGAACGCGGATCCGTCGACGGTCTCGAAGAGTCTCCCGCCGTCCGTTTGGCCGGGAGCCACCAAGCCGTGAAAACACTCAGAAGGATATAAAAGTCCCATGAAGAAACAAACATGATAGTTTTTGTAATGAATATGGAATGTTTTGTGTCTACATAAAATCGGTGAGGCGAAGAATGATCAAATGGAGAGAAAAGAGAAAAAGAAGCGGACAATAATCGGGATCGCCCATCTTTTGCCCCGATACACATCATCTTTCGATGTGTGGTCGGCCCGGTCCAGAATGGCTGGCCAATGATTTTGTTATCAGTAAAGACACATAAAAGAGAGAGAGTTTTTATGATTTTTTTCAAAAGTTCTAATTTTCTAGCAGAAAACGAGAAACGAGGAAATTTGCGGCGGGCCCAGGGCAGCATGTTTCGTGCCCCTTTTCACGTATTTCTCTCTCATCACATGGGTGGTCCCTCGCCGATATCTCTGCGTTTCTCGCGAAGTTTTTTGAGTGAGAGAGTTAGGATTTAGACAGATCAAAGCATGGAAGCAAAGAAGAAACAATGGAACTGACTTGAGTATAGTGGTCAGTTGGTGTTGAAAATGTTACAACTTTAGAAGAATGATTAGGAAGCGCAGTGAAGAAAAGAAAAGATGAAGTCACATTGGGTAAATAGAAGAGAGAGGGAAAAGAAAAGGGAAGGAAAAGACAGCTGGCTTAGCGGTAAACATGACGTGGCCGCGGAACCACAGGACGCACGGCGCCCGGAGATCAGAGCAGAAGATCAAATTTATTTCGGCAGGTTTCAATATATTATAAAGATATGTCAATGAGATCGGATACATTCACGATTTGCTGCTACTCGGCGTCTTCTTGGAAGTGCCCTCCTCATCCGAACTCTCCGATGTGCTCTCGTCGGATGACATTTCGGCGACGTCGCGCAGTTCTTGCACTTGTTCCACGCCTCCTGGCCGACCCGGCAGTCCGGTGATCTTCAGTTTCACATTCGGAGACGAGGACGGGCTCTGGAAACGAGAATTGTCATTAGTTAGAATAAAGTTGGGCAAGGCAGGTGAAAAGCGAAAAAAGTGTAGCCAAATTTCGATGTTCCGTGCCTAAGAAGACGAGGAATGATACCAATGGCGTTGGTATGGCACACGTAATCGACGAGAGAGCCATTGAATGACAATATCGACTTTCTGCGTGCGGGTGTCGAACCAGTGACCGTGTGGACAGCGGCCGAGCGCTTCCCTCCCGCGCTAGCCGTGCATCGCAGTTGATTGCGACAAGAGGCCTACAAGTGCGCGCGCGCGAACCGACCTGCGACACGTGATGATACGGCGACTGCGACGAGAGACCGCCAGCACCCGTCGCCCCCGGGTTCTGCCATTGTTTTTCATTTGGCGTGGCTCCTTTGATGACCTGCTCCTGGATCGGAGGCGTCGGCTCGGATCCGTAGCCCGTTCGGGGACTGTAGTCGTCGGCGTGGGACGAGTTGACGAGCGGAGTTCCGACGGTGCGCAGCGGAGCGGATCCGTTTGACGCGGCAGCGGATGTGGATGGAGACACCTGGAAATAGACATAGATGCGGGATGTTTGAGAAACGCCAAAACATTTTTTTGATCTGGCGATCGGATTGAAATTTCCGAACCAGCGGCAACCATAAGACGTTTTATTGTAGTGGGTTCAAATGATTGGAAACTGAACAAATATGGCCCATAGAAGTAATTTAGAGTTGAAGCAACTTGGCAACCTATTACAGTCCGGGTAAATTGGGCAGCCTCGCGGCTGCCAATTTTTTTTCAAAAACAGGCCCCTCCCACACGCCTGTCCCGAACTGCCGGCGATCACTTTTTGAACTGACTGTGATGCCCTTATCAGTCTGATCACGCGCCAGACTGTACGGAAGTCATGTGACAGGGCTGGGCAAATAACCGGCCGCCCGGGCTTTTTTGGGCCAAAACGTGAAATATCTTTGGTCTAGGTTTCAGGCCGATCGGATTATTTCCTCTGAAGATACGAGCTTTGGTCTGAAACTTGGACACAAGATCCAAGTCCTCAAAAGTTCATTTTTTTAAAGCGCCTACCCCGTGCAAGTTCTGTCCGACCAACGGTTTCTGCGCGGCACTCTTGCCCGGAAGGAGCTGTGGGCCGGCACTTTGCGTCTTCGGATTCAGAAGGTGTCCGGAGCGGAACTCATGTTCCTGCGGGAACGGCCGCGACGGATCGCCGATCTGCCACGTCAGCGGCGCCGATATCGAGTTGTGCTTGCTGATCTGGTGCGCCAGCTTGATCAGCTGCTCGCTGTTCACCGGTCGCAGCTCCGCCTCTTTCATCTGCTTCAGCTTCTGGTTCGCCTGAAAGTGGCAAGTTTTGTTTCAACTTATGATTCAATCTGAAGCCGCTCACGTTGAAGCAGGATCTGGTGAGGGCGACTTCGCACGCCTTCAAATTGAACTCGACTTCTTGAATCACTTCGTTCCGCTTATTCACGTGGCTTTGAAGAATTCGAATGAGTTTTTCGCGCTCTTGGTACTCGGGAACCTTCCTCAGAAGCGCCTTCACGGTCTCTTGTTTGGCGTCGAACAATCGGATAATATTCTCAACACTTTCGCCGTTCCGAACCATTGCACTCTTTTCGCGATTGATCAGAACGTCAATGATCTGAAAATTGAGCATATTTCGGTTTTTGTAAAAGTTATAACCATCTTGACGACGTGCTCGAGATCGTCGGTCGATTCGAGCAGCAAATCTCGTAAATTTCGCTCATCCGTCGACGCCATTTGATCTGTGAACGTTCATATACACTCGTAGACGTCAATAGAAGAAGAAAATACTGAAGGCATAATCATACCAATGAAAAGTTATCAGAGACATTCAAAACAAACAATTTAATAGAATTCAAGGAATCAGAGGTAATGTAACAACAATGAAAAATTGAATGAAAAATAACAAAAAGACATCAAAAACAGCTTGAAAGCAAAAATAAATCCCGGAGTTTTACATGATACGTCCCTTCTTTCTCAACTTGTTCATCTTCCTCTTCTTGACGTCGTCGATGCGCTTCTGAAGGTTCGACTTGCGCTTCTCCTGCTTCTGAAATCAAACAAGGGGCAATTGGAGCTTTCAAACTTTCCCCGCCTACCGTCTGCTTCTCTCCCTCGACCTTATTATCTCTGTTCTGCCACTTTTCCTTCTTCCTGTCCTTCAGTTTGTTCTTCTTCGCCAACGCCTTCTTCAGCATCTCCAGATTGTCCTTCACTTTTCCGCCCGCCGCTCTTTTCAGCGTTTTCTCCCACTTCAGCTCGTCCTCCATGATCGTCGCCTTGTGCGGATCCGCTTCCCGAACCTTCTCGATCGTCGCCTTTGTCTCTTCGACCTTGGCGATCAGCGATTTGTAGTCGCGGCCTGTCAGCTTCAGAGCACGGTCTTTCTTGGCAGTCTGCAATGGAAATTTGGTTTTTACACAACTTTTTGAGCGCTTCACTCACTCTTTGCTTCTTTCCTCTCTGCTTGTCCTCCTTGATTTCAAACTTGAGATTATTGAACGAGATGCCCGATTTCTCCTTCTTTTCCGGCACTCCATTCTCCACTCCGTCTTCCTTGTTTTGATTTTGATTCTCAATCTCCTTTTTTACTTCCTTTCCCTTCTTCTCCTCGGCTCTTCTCTGTTTCAATTTCAGCTTGCTCTCTCTTCGTTTCAACCGCTTCTCTTCGGCCAACTTGTCCGCCATCGCCGCCGTCACTTTCGTCGGCCCCTTGCCCTTTCGCTCGGTTTTCATCTCTTTCAGCTTCTTCTGAAGTCGGAGCAGCGCGATTTGACGCTTGATCTCCGGCGACTCGTTGTCCTCGTCCTCCTCCAACTTTTTGATTTCTTTCTCGATTTTGTCGTTGGATTTGAGCACTGATTGCGGAGCGATTTTGATCTTTTTGGCCGCCGGCTCTTCTGTTTCCTCGTCAGTCGAATCGTCGTCGTCCTCCTCTTCCTGTCCTTCAGAATTCTCATCGTCCTCGTCGTCAGACTCTCTTTGTTGCTTCTGATTCTTTGGAGCTGGCTCTTGAGCCTTCTCTTCGCTCTCATCTTGATCCGATTCTTCAGAATCCTTCAATTCAGATGTTACCTTCTTCGGCGGCTTCTCGACCTTCTTTTCCTTCTTCTCCGTCTTCTTGACCTGCTCCTTTTTCACGGGCGGCGCCACGCTTCTCACCGGCTGAACTTTCGAATGCTGTTTGCTGTTCGACATCCATTCGAGCACTTCTTGCACTGTATTCGGCACCAGACCGAGTCCTTTCGCCAAATGCTGCTTTTGCTGCGCTGACATCGATTTTCGCTCCTCTGAAATTGGTGAAAGTTTGAGAGTTCCACGAAATTTCGCATTTTCTCACTTTTGCTGAGTTGTCGATTAACTAAACTGTGTTTTCGCATTTTCAGCGACTCCTTCACGTCGTCGTCAAATCCCCAAGAGTTGACGGGAATCAAATTGCAGAAGGAAATCATCTAAAACCGGATTTCTTCGAATTACTGCCCAAAAACTGTTGAGATCGATAACTCACCTCTTTTTCGAGAATATCCACGGCATCTTCCACGTTTTCTGATGGGTCTGGCATCTAAAAATTGAAAAATTGACGTCGAAATTGGGAGGAAAGTTTGAGAAATACGTTTAGAAAGTGCAACGAAAAAGTGGCTAAACATCAGCCCAAGCGTAATTTCGGAGTGTCGTTGAACAAAAGACTAATCATCATTTCCGCGCTTTTTTGAATAAATAACCTGTTTTGCTCAAAACTTTGCATCAATATTCTCATGAAAATTGTGTTTTCAGATGCCCAACGACACATATAATCCGTCAGTGCGCGCTCGTCTCGCGAACGCCTCCAAAACACGGGTTCTGAGTCTCAAAGACTCGGCTCTCCACCGAATTCCAGACGATGTGAAAGATCTGACGCTTCTGAAGCACTTGGATATCAGCATCAACTATCTGACTCAAATTCCAGCGTATTTCGGCTCATTCCCGCACTTGAAACATTTGAATTTGGCTAGAAATCAGCTGGGTAACTGGATTCGTGCAATGACAATCGCTAAAATTTCGAAAATGTTTAGAAGCTCTGCCAGTCGAGTTGGGACTTTTGCCATTGTTAGAAGTGCTCAACATTTCACAGAACAGGCTCACAGAACTGCCAAATCTCGGAAAATGTGGCTCTCTGAAGATCGTCGAAGCCATCGAGAACCAGTTTGTCTCGTTTCCGATCGGAATTTGTGACTGTCCGAGTTTGGAAACTATCATTTTTACCGAAAATCGCATCGAAACACTTCCAGACGAGGTAATTCCAAACTTCTGCCTCGAAAACCAGCCGAAATCACCGCTGACCCTCTAATTCCTTCCGCGTTCGCTTCAGATCCGCAAGCTTCGGGCAAACAGTGTGATCCTCAACAAAAACCGGCTTCGCTCGCTCAACACCGCCAATTTGCTGCGCTGCGAACGGCTGCGCGCACTCAACGTCGATGATAATCAGTTGAGTCGCGACGAAATCGAGAAGTTTGTGGCGAAATCACGACGTGAAATTCGATTCTCATTCAATAACAATGTGTCACAGAGGCATACGACAGACTTACAAGTGAGTTTTTCATGCAAAAAGTGCTCTTTCTCCCGAATTCCAACGAGAAACGGAGGAGTGTCGTCAGTCGATGCGCACGTCGTGCATTTTCTGTGTATGCACATCGTGGCCGTTAATTGACGACAACTTCCGTTTTCGGTCTCTCGCCACCGGTTCTTGACGGTTTTTTTACAGGATATGGGCAACGATTCGTCAAAATTTAGTGACAATGCGCGGAAGCTTATGGGTAAGCTTTTATTTTGCGAAAGTAGCTGAAAAAATCGATTTTTCAGGAAAATCCGGGCCCTCTTCCTCGACCGTCAACAAACATCTCGAAATGGCGAGCAAGAGCCGTATTCTTCAGCTGAAATGGACCGGACTGAAGAAAGTTCCCGAGGAGATCGAGCAGCTGGCCGAGGTGCTGCGCAATTTGGAGCTCAGCGAGAACAAAATCCGCGAGATCCCGCCGTTCATCGGGCTCTTCACCCAACTCAAACAGCTTCATCTTTCCAATAACAGTCTCGGTGAGCTATTTTCTACTATTTTCTCAGCAAAAATACGTGTATTTTTCCAGAATTTATGCCAGATGAGATTGGTCAGATGAAAAAGTTGGAAATTTTGAATTTGGCGGGCAACAAACTCGCTTCTCTGCCCGGCTCGATCGCAGGATGCACCGATTTGAGAACGATTGACTTGTCCTCAAACGCTTTTCCCACTTTTCCCATCGAAATTTTAATATGTATGCAGTTGGAGTTGCTCAATCTGAACGGAAACCAAATCGAAACACTGCCAGATGCGGTAGGTCGCAGAATATTCGCGAACAACTATTTTTCTTCAGATTTCCGAGCTGAAAGCGATCGAATTGTCCCTGAATCAGAACCGTCTTCGCTCGATAAACGCCGCCAACCTCGCCAAAGCGCCTCGTCTCAAAACTCTGCGCGTCGACGAGAATTGTCTAGAAAAGTCGGAATTCACGCCGGCGTTGCTCGAATCCTCGGCCATTTCCGTCATTTCCTACGAGGGAAATCGGTTCCAGCTCAAAGATTTCCAAGAGTTGACCGGATACGAAGCCTATCAAGAGCGTTTTACAGCCACGAAACGCAAAATCTGAAATTTCTGATTTATGTGCATAAATTCCAATCGATTTCTGTATATTGCTATATTTATTTCGCTTATTTTCGACCATTTTATATGCCGGTTTTGCTCAATTTTCTTTCCCCGTCAAGACTCGCTCCGCTCTGAATGAATTAGTTAACTATCTCGTTTCTTCACTCAAATGGTTCCTATGACCACTTTTCTATATTTGTTTCCATTCAAAATTGCAAAACTTCATTCACATAGACTGATGGGTGAGTCTGGGATAAATTGCACAGAAAAAGAGAGAGAGAGAGGGGTTAAATGCGAAGTCTGTCCATTTCCAACTGAATCCACGTGGCGGCCGCGTGTACATTCGCGTAGACTCCGGCATTCCGGGTCGCGCGCATCCGATTCCCCAGCTGACGACGCCCGTCAGTTCCCAGTGACCGTCTCGGGCGCACATCAGTGGACCGCCGCTGTCGCCCTGCAAACGTGCTCTAGATGACGTATTCTCGTCGGGGTGACACGGTAAGATAAACTAGTTTTATTCTAATTTCACTCGCAAAAACAATGTACTAGATCGAAAAACCGGTGGCACCACACGTCTTCTGGTACTTTACTCGGTGAGTGTACCTGGCACGAGTCGATTTTTCCGTAGCTGTAGCCGGCGCACAGCATCGAGGGCAGGTGAATGCGTCCGACGTAGCTCGGAAGGCTGCTGCAGAAGAGCGTCGAGATGACGGGCACGTGGATCTCACGCAGCGCCGGCGCCGCGGCCGCACTTCCTTCGAGCGTCGAGCCCCATCCGGTCACGATGCAGAGGCGGTTGTCGAGCGGCGGAAGATGTGGCAAACAGATCGGTCGGGCCACCGTCGACGTGTTCACCGGCGGGTGAATTCTGAAATAATAAGCGTTCCAGTGAGAAGTTTGTCTCCGCTCACCTCATCACAGCAAAGTCGTAAGAGCTCGGAAATCCGATGTTGTAGAACGGATGGATCGAAATGGCGGTCACTCGGTGCGGACTCCCCGAGCCCGATCGGTGTCCTCCCACGCGCACCGAGTAGGATATCGGCCGACGGCTGGAAGAATCGATTTTTGAGAATCCTCTAGTAGAGGGAGAGGGAGAGAGAAAGAGCGTAACAGAGCAGGTACAGTGGACGGTCCCTCGTACTTAGAATGTTAGTCTGCCTTGTTTCACTCAACTGTTTCTTTTTAGGGCTAGGTTTTTCGAGGCCTTGACTTTTGAGTTATTCATCATTGACCGATCGGATCCTAACTTTGAAAGTTTATAATTCTTGGTTTGCAGTATTCACTTTGAAAGTTTTAGCCCGATTGGATCATCTGATTTGGAGTTATATTGATTTGAAACCGAAAATCACAAATTTTCCTTTAAAACCAGGATATTTCAGCTTCAAATCAATACACCTCCAAGTCGAACAATCCTATCACCCTGGAACTTTCAAGGTGGATACTTCAAACCAAGACTGATGATAGTTCAAAGTTATAGATCAATTGGTTTCTTTTTCTCGTATTCTCGGTTTTTAAACTAACTCTCTGGCGAAGCAATGAGCCGCGGTGAGCACAAAGTTGGCGTTGATCAACGAACCACCGCATCGATGTTGGCCGAGTCGTGAAAGGAGCTGAACTGTCCACGGCCATGCGTGAGCATTTGATTCCGTACCACCGATGAGCCTATGGTCCAGAGTCTGAAAACATAGTATTTTGCGGAGAAAATTCGAGAAAAAGCTCACTACGTAATCGGCTGGCTCCTGATGAGATCTGGTCTGAGCGAGCTCGAAGTTGGTGGCGTGCAGTCCGCATGCTCCGTCGTCCTCCGAATACTCTTTCTCGCTGGCCGGGCTTGCCGAGCCGAACAACACAATCAGACAGACGGAGATGATGGCATTCTGACAGACAATCATTGGGCGGAGAAATTGCGCAGAGAAACGGAATTTCATCGTTCGCCTCAAAATGACAAATTTCTTAGAAACTTCCCGCCGAGTGTAGAGAATAGATCAAAAATCAAAATTGTGTTCATTTGACCTACCGATCCAAAGGCTTTCCGCCAATTTTCCGAAGGTGTTTGCGTCTGTGAATTTCGTTCTCATTTCCCGCGCAACACTTGCGAGCCAATCTTGCTCATCTCAAAACTTGCAGATTCATTTGACAAACCATGTTCGATTTGACGAACCACGAATCGGACGCGTCGGAGAGCGGAAACAAGTATGGCGGCGATGGAGGCGTCGGCACGAGTCGACGGCACTCGGATCTCGACGAGGAGGCGCTGAAGCAGAAACGACGCGATTTGGCCGATTTGGCCACTTGGGTATGGAGAAATTGAAGAATTCTTTGCAAAATGAGAGATCTCCTTTGCAGCTGAGCGGCCTCGGAGCCACCAAACTGTCACTGGATAATCCGCATGACTTGTGCGACGGTCGTGCTTTCGCAGAACTGCTCCATGAAATGTAAGCGAATGAAAAAATGCATATATATATTTAATGGATCCATTTTCAGCGACAAATCATTCTTCGACGACACGTGGCTCGAAAAGATGCCCGCGTTCACATCGAAATCGAACATTGTGGTGAAGCGCAGCAATCTTCGCAAACTTTGGCGCAAAATGTCCGACTACATCGCGCAAGAGCTTAACCGACAGATCTCCTCAGACTCTCGCTGGAAAGACATTGACGAGCGAGTGGACGGAATTGAAGAAACGGATCTTCCGGTGGCCGTGGATCTCGGAATGACCGTGGTCACTTTTGCTCACATAGGTCGGCATGCGGCCGAGTACGTGCAGTACTCGCAGGAGTTGAGCGCGAAGCACAAAGAGGCGATAGAGAATGTGGCCCGAATGATTGGGCTGGTGATGAAAGAACTACCGGAGGTGCAGTCGTTCCTCGAAGTCTCTGCGCTTCACGACTCACTCGACGACACGGCCGATTTGAACATTTCACTGCAAGAAACGGGCGGATTCTCGGCCAACACCTCGACGGCCAACAACGGAAACGGGCCGAAGAACAGTAGCAGACGACGAACGATGTCGAACAACAATCAGATGCACCTCGAGGCACAACTTGATGCACTTCGCCAAGAGAAAGACGGACTGTCCAGAGAAGTGGACCGTCTCACGAAGGCGCTCGACCAGGCCCAGTTGAACACCTCGGTCAGCTCCGAATCGAACGATTTGCACATTCTGGAGAAGCAAAACGAGGAGCTCCGAGCGAAACGACGAGAAGCGGAGGAGAGAGCGCACGAGCTGGAGGCACAGATCGAACAGCATCGCTTGTCGATTCAGGAGCTGACGGCCGAGAATGAGGTGCTCGGATGCGGGCAAAAAGAATTCGGCCTGCTCAAAAATGAACTCCAAACGGCCCAAGACGAGGTGGAAGTATGGAGGAGCAAAGTGAGCGGCCTGACGATCGACGCAGAGTTGGCGAAAAAGCGGGAGAAGGAGGTGAAAGAGCTGCAGGGACAGGTTAAATCACTGACTTCGCGACTCGAGCATCACGTGAAACAGTCGACGATTGACGAGGATCACAAGACGGTAACGACGCAGCTGCGGCAGCAGATTGGCACTCTGAAGGCGTTGAACGAGAATCTGGAGGTGAAGTTGTCGTCGAAAGAACGGATGATACTCGAGCTGGAGAGCCAGCTCATCCAGCAGAAGGAGAAGGTGAAGGCGTTGGACGATCGCAAGGATTCGCTGATCGCCGAGCGGAACCAACTACAGGACCAACTCACGTTTGCCAATTCGGTCACTCCGAGATCGCTGCACGAGTCGATGTTCGAGGGAGGAAATCTGTCGTTCGAGTGAGTCCCCGTGCCCCCGGCCCCTTTTCATCTCTCCCCTAAGATATTTCAGTGATAAGCCGAAACTTTCGCTGGAAATTGAGAACAAACGGCTCGTCGAGCGAATCGAGGAGCTCGAAGCACTCGAACCGCTGCAAGGAGAGATCATCCTGCTGAAGAGCCGAAACGGAGTGCTCGACGAAGAAATTATTGTGCTGACGAAGCGGAAGGAGGAGCTGGAGAAGCAGGTTGCCGAGTTGCAGGAGATGTGCACGAAGAGCCAGCAGCAGGCGAGCGGAGACGTCGTCGAACTGAAGGTGCAGCTGGAGAAGGCGACGGTCGAAGTGGAACGAATGCGGGATGTGGAGGCACGCGCCGAGACACGACTCGCCGACGTGGAGGATCTTCTCAAGGCGAAGACGCAGAAGGTGGAGGAGTACACGAATGCGCTGCAGAGGGCCAAAGAAGTCATTGATAACTTGGTATGTTGGGCAAGGAATTTGAGCAGTCCATGTTTCTCACTTTTCAGGAGGAACGCAGTCGACCAGTGGGCGAGGAGACGGGCACTTCGGTGCAACAATTCAAAGATCTTCAATCGGAAAACGAGCAACTGCGCAAGAAGCTGGAGAAGCTCGAGACGGAGCTCGTCACGGTGACGACGGCTTTGGAGCAGGAGAACCGGCTGATCACGACGGCCGCTCATCACATGGTCCTCAATCGATCGATCGACGACGTGATGAGCCTGCGTGCGTCGGCCGGAGCCGACTCTTCGGATGTGCACAACCAGACAGGGCCGCAGACTTTGCTGGAGACGCAGAAGATGAGCAACGCTCTTCCGTACAGGTAAGCTTTCAGACGAACGAAGATTCATAGGTCTCCCCGTACGTCCATTTCAGATGTACGTGATTATCCCCTTTTTCTTGCAAACAGTGTACGAGGTAAACGTGCACGTCGTGAAGTCAGTGTTGTGTATTTCATAATAAAATAGTGTGTGTCTGTATGCCTTCTCACCTCTTGCCCACTAACTCACCCAGCATGCTCGTTTTTTGTTTTAGATCGGCTTCGGGTGCATTCGGTTTACCATCGGCCATAGTTTGGTGAGTTTACGCGCGGTTACTGTAGGAGCTGCATGTCTTTCACCTTTTTCTGTTTTTGTGTTTTCACTTTTCCCTCTGTTTTCCCGCTCACACTTGTGTCGATTTTCAGCCTCACCGGATTGATGCTCCTTTTCGCGGTCGTCTGGATGCTCATCAAGATGTACAGCGACATAAACGCGCCGCCGAGAGCCTAATTTCCACTTCTTCTTCATCTATTCCCTCTGTTCTTCTGTATTCTCAGTTTAACACCCTGAAGCTTTCTACCATTGTCTTTTTCCAATTTCTCAATGTTTCTTTTTAAAATACGGGAGCCGTCACAGCGCCATCTAGTAGTTTTTCGCATCGAAATGAAAGTCGTCGACTGATTTTCAGACTAATATCATCTTGGTACAAACAGTGATTCGCCCGGCTGTGATTCTCTGATTCGAGTATGAATATTGTGTGAGTTTTCTCATATCGTTCTTCTTTTTCTCAATTTAATTTGATTTTATTGAATTTAATTTTGAGCACACTCCTCTTCTCTTCCCTCTTCTTTTCCCCCTTTTCACTTGTGAAAATGTCTGTAAATTGTGCAACATGTTCTTTTTATTCTGACTAGCCCCGCCCCTTCTCAAGAACTGTATAGTCTCAGATGCTTCTCCTGCCGCTGAAAGTCCATATCAGTTTTTGCTTCATTGTATCCTCTCGACCCGTTCTATACTCCTTTCCTGCTCTTCTTTACAGAATTTGTTCTCATAAAGGATGTGTTTACTACTTGACAGGTTTTCTTAACTTTTGAAGAACGGTTCCGCCCAACACCTATTGGTTTTCTTTCAACTTTAATAATTTAAATGAGATTCTAAATGAACGGAAATTAGGAAACTCGCCCGATGCACCATGCGGTGGCCGGTCGGAGTCGCTTTTGGAGCACTGGAAAGAGGTTCTTTGGAGCAGAAGCCAAAAAGAGGTTTTTGAAGGTGAGGACATTTTATCGATAGAATTTATAAAAAGTAGCAGTGCGCTAAGGCAATGAAAATTTGAAAAGTCACACAATTGTTTTTGCAGAACCTCTCGGCGGCACCTCCGCCGAAACACCCGCGTCTCGTGTCGGACGAGGATACGAACGCGGCGATGGCGGTGCTGATCCCGTTGGTTACCGTGGACGGGCGGGACTCGGTGCTGCTCACGAAACGGTCGATCCATCTGCGGTCGCATCGCGGCGAAGTGTGCTTTCCGGGCGGTCGGAAGGAGCCGGGCGAGACGACGACGGAGACGGCGCTGCGGGAGACAATGGAAGAGATCGGGCTGCGGGCGGAGGACGTCGAAGTGTGGGGCCTTCTGAAGAGTGTCGTCAGACGACAGGCCGACTTTGTCATCACCCCGATCGTGGGGTACGTGCGCGATGAGAAGGTGCTGGAGACGTTGAAAGTGAGCGACGACGAGGTGCAGGCGGTGTTCACGATTCCGATCGATGAGCTCGGAAGGACCGCCGGTCTTACCAAGTTTCACAGCAAAAGGATGAGATACACACTTCCCTGCTTCGATTCCACCGAGTTCAAGGTAAGGATCATCCTTTTTTCAGAATTCCTGACTCTACTTTCAGGTGCACCACAACGCCAGCAACGAGTATTTTCACTCGACCCAACGAGTCTGGGGACTGTCGGCAGTGATGCTCCATCAGGCGCTGACATTGTTGAACCCGGAGGAGTACAAGCACGACATGATCATTAAATTCTTCTAGTTCCAAGTTCTAACCGCATGCCATTTTTCTCAAGCCATAGGATTTTTGTGATTTTTCCGGGGGATTTGGATAAATGTATTTTCAATGGAGACAGAGAAAAATGTGGAATAAAAAATGGTGGGCGAGGAATAACCGGAAAAGGCTGAATAAATTAGGGGATAATCGGAAAGGGATATATACGACGCGTCGGAGATTTAATTTAGTCCATGCGAGCCTTGATCGTCGACACGTTCACATTGTCCTTGGTGATGGTGTAGACGACGGCTCCCCATCCGGAGGCGGCGTCACGCTCCAGGCACGACAGAATCGACTGGGCGGTCGCCTCGAACAGCTCGTCTGGCTTCATATTCTCGCGCCAGAAGTCTGCAAACGAACAATATTCAGAAAAATGAGAAATATGCGCTGAAAACTGACTCTCGCACACTCCGAGCAGGTACTCCTGTCCGGTTCCGACGGCGACGAAGTCACGCGGCGCCGAGACGCATCCGATTGTGTCCATGCAGCAGATGAACGGCTTGTTCGTGTCATCGAGTCCGGCGACGAGCGGCTCGGTGAAGTAGCTGCCGAAGCGGTGCTGGTAGGCGAGGTTGGAGATCATCTCGGAGAGCACTTGGGGCTTGATGCGACGGTTCTCGCGGAGTTCGTATAGATTTTTGCGGAACAGAATCTTCTCGAGAACGGTGCGCGCGTCGGATTGGAAGCCGGCGAGACCGACGTACACCTTGTCCGTCACCTTGTGCACCTTTTTCTGATCGGTGGCGACCGTCGTCATCTGCTCTCCGATACGGAGATCCGAGGCGATGCAGACGCATCTGAAAGGTTGATTTTGAAATTTATTTGCAAAAATTTCGAATTTTGACGTTTTTGTGATATTTTCAGCTTAAAAAGCTGCGTATTTTGCTAGAAATGGAATAGAATCGAAACTCACTCATCACCGGCCATGGCGACGACGGTTCCTCCAGTATAGCTCATAATCGACATTTTCGGCTGATGTGTGGGAGGCTCGAGGCGGTGAAAAAGCTCTGAAAACAGAAATAATACTTGAAGTATAATCAGTGAAAGGAAAAAGTGAAGATTTATCAACAGAAATCATAAGAGCAACGTTCAGAATGCCTTGGCGCAATTTTGCTTACAAATCTTGCAAGTGCGGCGCGGAAAAGTGGGCGTGGCCACAAAAGCATGCGAGGGTTGTGCAAAAATTTCAACGGCTTGAGAAAAAACCGATTTTTGGCAATTTTCCGACTCAAATTGATACAGCTTTATTTGAGGAAGACACGCAAAATGAAGACTGCATTACGGTTCTCAACGAAAAAAAAAGAATGAGACAGTCAAACTTGTCGACTCGATGATTGGGGGGAGGAAGATGAAGAACCGTCAGTTGTGTTCCGTGAATTGAATACGTTTCGAGAAGAGGGTCAACAAAAATGTAAAAGAAATAAATATAAAAAGAAGAGAGGGAAAATAATTAAAACAATTAAGTCGGAATATATCCGAAATTGAGATCCACTGGGAGAGAGAAAATTGCAAAAAGTGTAGAGGGAGAAAAAAGAGAACAAAAATGATCAGTAGATGACTGGAAAGTTCTCCTCGGGCCATTTCATCGCGCGCACTTTGCTCGTGATCGGCATCTCGGCCATCTCCCTCGGATTGTTGAACATCGGATCGTCCATCACCGCGTGCGACGTCGGGTTCACCGAGTAGTGGCGGGCTCGGAACTCGCGATGACGTGGCAGCCGACGGAGGTCCGCCGCGCTGTGCCGACGCGATCTGCGCAGTTCTCCCTCCTGTCCGAGCCCGCAGCGCATCGATCGTTCGAAGCGCGAGAGCCGTTCGCGTCCCTTCTTTCCGGCCTCGTGGAGCACCAGATTGTAGATCTTGTCGCGCATCAGTTCGGCCATTCCGTTCGCCGACGGGTAGCGCGTGGACCAGTCAAAGTCGGGGAAATCCTGAAGAAAGAGTAGGCTTCTATTTAGGAAATCAAAAGAAATCACTCACTTTGACAGTGACGGGCTTTTTGAGATAGCAGAATAGTCCCTCAATAAAATGTAGCGCGTAGAGTCCGCAGTCGAAGAAGTTGTCCTGGATCGGCAGGTTCTTCGGTCGCATAATAACAACGCGGTCCGGGTCGAACGTCGTCGCGCGCCCGTTGCAGAACCGCTTCCCCTCGGTTTTCGTGTTCTCATACAACTCTTGCAGATATATCTTGATGCAATGGCACATGTGATTCCTTTTCACCGGATCCAGCCCGCTCAACGGATCGAAGAACGCAATGTAGCACTTCGGCGCGGCGCGGGACTCTTGCTGGTTCTCCAGGTCCACAATGGCTCCCGACGGGTTGAAGACGGTGACGAGCAGCCAGTGGAAGTCCTCGTTGATCGGAATCACAATGTAGTCCTTCGCGAACACGTCGAACTTCTTCGTCCATCGCAGCACGCGGATGCAGTTCTCGACGAGCTTCTGCTCGTGGACCGAAGCGATCGGCTTGCGCAGCGAGAAGCAGAGCGGCGGCAGCGTGCGTGTCAGGTTCACGTAGAAGAACGTATTGCACAGGTGGATCGTGTCGAACAGGTCCTTGTCGATCATGTAGACGGCGATGTAGTTGAGCATGAAGCTGATCATGTTGTCGTTCACAAACTCTTTTCTGTCCAGAGTTCGCACGTCCTTCATCAGCACTGAAAATCGATTGTTCTTTGCTTGAACGGCGCCTAGCTTTTACTCACCGACGACCGGATCGATTCCCGGAATCGCGAGATCTTTAGGCGGGAACGAGAAAAGTTGCGATTCGGCGGTGAGGCGTTCTTCGACGGGCGGCACGGCCTCTGGGGTGGCCGGTGACTTCTAGAAGTTATGAATTGGATGAGAATAGTTAGTCGAAAGAAAGACGCCTACCGCTGAGACGTACTGTATCTTCTGTCCTGGTCCCTGGATGTGCTGCGACGGCGCATAATCGCCCTGAAAACGTGCAAAATGACTCAATGGCTTTCTTGATCCGATGCGAATCCTCAGAGATGACGGACTCGGAGCACAGTGTTCTTGATGTCAGGCACATAGGACAATTGAATAAGTTAGAGGAAACACAGAGGAAAAGAGAGAAATGGGAAGAAACCTGTTGCCGCAGGAAATAGGTGGCGGCGCCCGAAGACGTCATATCTATTTGGCGCGAAACCGACGGCGTCCAGGGGTAGCCGTACCCTGAAAAGGCATAGTTTACTTCGGAAGAACACCTAGCAGCCTTATTACCATTCGCATAACCGTTCTGCTGGTAATGATTCCGATAATCTACATATCGATGGTCTCCGTGCCCCAAATTCTGTTTCTCCGGTTGCCCGAAATCGACAGAGTTTCGATACGCTTCGTAGACGTAGTTGGAGCTCCCGTTCGAGGAAGGCGTCGCCAGGAGGGACGGTCGATCGTTGTCTTCCGTGCTCTGAAAAATCAACCCATTTTTTTTAGTAAGTTCTCGTTGTTCTCACCATTTTCTCCCCGTTCGGTCGCTTCTTCTTCGTCTTCGGCAGGAATCCCATGGCTCTAATTTCAGCGGTGAACGTGGGCTCGAACTCGAAGAAATCCTCCCTCGGAGCCCTCGGCCCAACGACCATCGCGTACACTTCTCGATCGTTTCGAACAAGCTAGAATCGAGATTAACGTTCCGGTCAAACCAAACCAAAAATATTAGCAAGAAAAACAGATGGGAGGTGAATGAACATGTGGTTAAGGGGAAGGGGGAAGCAAAAACGGAAGAACACTGTGCCCGGCCTAAAGAGAATTTTCAAAGTTTCTTGTAGTTTTCTTACTTTTCCATAGACTCGTGTCGCGGTTCTTCTGCAAATAAAATCGATAATTTCAATAAGGTTAACTCGAAAAGCTTACATTTTCCTATGACCATTCTCTTCATACTTCTTCTGGCTCTTCACAAACGACGTCTTCTTCGCTGCCGTATGTTCTAGAAAACAAAAAGTCACTTTAGCCTCCGGATTTCGAAAATCTCAAATTCTCACCCGATTTATTGGCTTTTAGTGCACGTCTTCCCAACGGATTGTCGTCCACTTTGATGTACTGAACTGTTCCTCGCGCACACGTGCTCTTCATCAGCTTCTGATCGGCCAGCCATTGGACCCACGCGCAATTGTCCATTTGAGAGACGAGATGGTGAGTGTGTCCCTTCGAAATACTCGGACGACGTCGCCACTGCTCGGAAATCATCTGGCGCCAGACTGCGTGAATCTGCGAGGTAAAATTGATTGAGAAATAGCAGATACTCTCTCACATCATTGAGCATAAGCGATTTTGCGACTTCGAAATCGAAATAATGCTCGGAGAAACCTTCTTCGAGTGAGCCGTACGTGACTTTCAAGTATTTGTCGGGCTCGTTCTCGAACGTCTTCAGAATGAACGTCATGTTCCTGGCGAGCGCCTTGTTCTCCCGGTACGGCTTCTCCGCGATCGGCTTCAAACCCGTCAGCGATCTCCACACTTTCTCCATGCACGTCGACTTGAAAGCAAACGTCAGCGCCGCCGGATTCTCCTGCTCTTCGTCTTTCAGCTGAAGCTTGGAGAATTTTTGAGTAAATTCAGCTAAAACGTACAGAGATATGTTCGATTTGTGTCAACGCCACTCCGAAATCACAACTTTGATAACCGACGAGCATATTCCCTTCGAGATAGAAACGAATGCTAGTCTTGTGCTGAAAAATTAGAATTTCAGGCGAATTCCGGGAAAATCGCTGCGAAACCTGAGCGCTCTGCTCGAAAATAAGAGGCCGGCTCGGCGAAATCTTCGCATTGTAATTTCCAATAAACAATTGATCGGGATTCAACTGAAAAACGACGGAAAATTGTCGAAAAATTGCGAAACTCTTCAATTCTCACCATTATTTTCAGTGTCCGCTCTTGACTTCTGCATCGATCTCGAATTTCTTTTAGAAAAAGCTGTTCTTTGTCTTTACTCATTTCGGAAGACGTTCCGACGAGCGAATCGGACGGAAAATGACGGTGAACAGGTGGTTGTGATGAGGTCGTCACGTTTGAAATAACGACGGAACTGGTTAGCGGTGGGGCGCGTTTGCATTGCTGCTCCGGAGAGTCGCCGGAATTCGGAGAGGAAACTGTCGGATTCAGATGACAGACTCTGGCAATTTCGTTTTCGAATGTTCCAATGAAACTTCTTTTTTTTTCGAATGTTGCAATGAAATTCAAAAATTACAAGAAGTCTCGCGCTTTTTGCAATGAGTCTCGCGCTTCATGCAACGAACCGCGCGCTTCTTGCAGTTCAAAAACTGTTTGTTGAGACTTGCGAAACGCAATCGCCAGAGGACGAGCAATCTTACACGAAAACGGAAAAGAAAAAATAATTGTTTTCAAATTAAAAGTTATCTTTAACTTTCACCACCTCTGGAAACCTTGGAAAGTCGACAGTCGGACACTCTAAAAACTCTTATCCAAAAATGTAGCTACACGAGTATACATATCTCCTAAAAAGTTGGAAATCACTTTTTGCCGACGGAAACACGCTCGTTTTCTCTTTCTGCAACTAAAAAATGTAATCGAACACAAATCCAAATCCATACACAGACCATTTTATCGATAATTATATTTTGCATTCGAAAATGGCTGGAGAATTATCGAAACTCCAATATGAAAACAACGAGTAAAAAGGCAATCAAGTTCAATAACCGTGGGCCGTTTTTGTTCCAGTCCGAGTCTTATTCCCCTTCTTTTTGTGTTGTTTCTTTTGCTTCTTGCCATGTTTCGTCTTGGTTCCAGTAGTTCTGGTGCCGGTGGTGCTAGTTCTCGTTTTAGTTTTTGTGCGGGTCCCCGTCGCCGATCCAGTAGTCCCTTTCGATCCAGTGGTCGTGCTTGCCTTTGTCGTTGTTCCAGTTGTAGTTCCAGTTCCACCATTCTTCTTGCCGTGCTTCTTGCGTTGGTGACTCTTTTTGTAGAGCATGAGGATCGTCATGAAAATGGAAAGAAGGACGAGTCCGCCGATGACGCCTATGATGAGAAAAGTGTTGTCTGCAGCTTCGGTAGTCGGTTCGGCCGTAGTCGTCGTGGTGGGGGTGGTGGGAGCGGGAGTCGTCTTTTTCTTTGCAAAACCACCGCAGAATGAGCCTACAATTATTATATTATAGGGGCACCGCACAGAAATGGCGCTCTGTTGAGAAACTCTTTTTGTAGTGCAAATGGAGCGACCTCGGGGCCGAGTTTGAAAAGTTAGGCCACGTTTTCAGTGGAAAATTAATTCGCGGTCTAGAAATTCGGCCAGATTGCTAACAGCGCGCCCTTTCTGTCCGGTGCCCCTATAATACGTTGAATTCCCACCGAATCATTTCCGTTCGAAAACTCAAGACGAACCTCCATTCTCCAGTTCAGCACAAAATCTCTTTCGCCCTTCCCTCACACCGAATTTGCACTCCTCTGCCACCTTCAGGTGTTTATCGCATTGTTCCAATGCTTTTGCTTTTTCTTTGGGACAATCAGCTAAAAACAGATTGTGCAGATTTTAACCAAGCAAACTACAATCTTTACCGATCGATTGGCATCTTTCGGTGTACCAATGAGCACTGAAACTTTTAAATTCGATTTCACTTTTTGCCGGTAAAGTATTTCAACTCACAACAATTCTGTGTACATCTCATTCAACGACACCGTCATTGTTGCGAAATCGGAAGCGTTCAATGAGATATTGTTTTTCAATGGTAGTTTGATGCGTTGGATGGCAGATGCCGCAGCCTTGGAGTGACATCTAGAACAGTTCAGGGCAGTTAGAACATAGGGAGAACTGATTGGGAACTGGGATAAAGGGTAACCGGGTGACCGCAGGTGACCGGATAACCTTAGTCTGAAACGGTATAAAAAGGAACAAAACTGAAAAGCGACAACGATGAGAATTCTCTTCTTGATTCTTCTTTCCGTCGCCGGGCACCAATTCATGAAAATCATCACATTCGGATACCTGTACTGCTCCCACAACAAACCTTTTCAATGGAGAGCTGAACTCCGCGAGGAAGATGATCGTGGGAACCGTGGTACGGACATTGCAAGTAGGAGCGGCAGCAGCAACACCGCAAAGGAGTTTTTCACTGTCGTAGGGGAGATAAACGATAAAAATAACGATCATGGCACGGATGATTATGAAATTGGCATGAAAGTCTGGCATAGCTGCACCGAATCGGGAAAGAGCGTATATAACACCGACTATCGATTTGACTTTAAAGTGCCAGTGACTGAATCGTGAGTCAAACCTCAGTCTTGAGCGTGCCAATATTAATTAATTACAGTGAAATATGGTACTTCTATACTGACGTCCTTCAATAATTCGCAAAGTGCACAGCTAAATCTGAAATCCACCCAACTCGTCGAAATTGTTCTTCTTTTAAAGGACCAAGGAACCCTCAAATTTTTTTGATTTTTTTGTGAAATTTTTTGTGTCTGTTTGAATTGTCTCTTATTGCCTCATACACTGGTGAAATTCTGACTCTCAGAAATGCCAATGAACGAAACGGCGTGGAGTTGAAGTTGTGGCTGTGGCCTAGGAAACTCCGGTGTGAAAACTCTTCCCTGTGAGCAGTTTGATGTTCTTGCATTCTGTATGGATGCTGATTTGTGTGAATGTTTTGCAACGTATGAAGATTGTGCCGAACGCAAAAAAAAATCCGGAAAAGATCACAAGGCCTAGAACTTTTCTGGGCCACGGCCACAACTTTGACTAAGCGCTGTTCCATTCACAGGTATTTCTGAAAGTTGGGGCTCGGACAGTGAATGTGGCAATAAGAAGCAATTCAGTCAGACACATAAACTCGCACGGTTCCCTGGTCCTTTAATAAATACATAGTTCGCTGGTCATCTAATTTTAAAATTAAAATCTGTTATTGTACACATATGACAAAAGGAACAAGTAAATTTTTTTAAGATTTCAATTTCCGGTTGCAGTGGTCGTCGTGCTAGTCTTATTGTTCTACTTGTCCTCCTTGCCCTGTTTGGTCTTCGTTCCAGTAGTAGTGGTACCAGTTGTGGTGGTAGTCTTGGTATGCGTCTTACTGTGAGTTCCGGTGGTAGTTCCAGTAGTACCAGTCGTCCCATTGGTCTTGACGGTGACACTTTTTTCGTTGCGGTTTTTCTTATTCCGTTGACGCTTTTTGTAGCACAAGAAGATCACAAAGAGAAGGATCAGGAGGGCGACACCTCCGACGACGCCAAGGATAGTAACAGTTGTCAAGAGGGTTGTGTTGCAGAAATAATCTTAATTTTCAATAATAGGATTCATGAACTACATATGTACAAAAAACAAACCAAAAACTGCCGTGTCTAATTCACAGTAGGTGGTTTTTGCAGCTTTCAAGGCTGCAACACACTGCGTGTTGTACGTGATCCGCATGCTACATGCTTCAGCCGCTTCATCATACACAGCATTACAATCACCTTAAATGATCTATCTAATAATATATAAACGAATATTTCTTAAACTGACTCGAGCTCGTGCATTCCCTTTTGAGATAACGAACGCTGTAAACAAAAGCAACTAAATTTCACACAAATCAAAACTTACAATAGTTTCACGTACAACTCATAGTGCGTGTACGTTGCCATGTTTGTTCGAAGGAACAAATCGGAGAGTTCAGGGGAGGTTTTGCTTGCAGGCGTGCAATGACTAGGATTTCGATTTGTGTTCGTGGATATGACCTTTGCATTGCATTGACACGGCCTTCTGTGTTCCTGTCAAGGTAATGGGTCAGGTGACCGGAATATAGCCCCTTTCTCTAGTACTTAAACTCATCAAACATTAACACAACAACAATCAGTTCAGTTTCATCTTCACCGATGCGAACCATCTACTGCCTTCTCTTTCTGGTCGCTGCTGTTCAGTGTACACAGTTCTGGATTCATGGAGCGATCTCGTGTGGGTACAAGAGACACTGGTGCATGTCCGCAGAAATCCTGGATTACGATGATTCTTTATTGAACGCGGACGATCCGTTAGCGTCAGTTCAAAAGATGTGCGGCGATGAAGCTATTAAATATTTCGATGTCGCAGGATCCATGGATACCGACGTTGAAAACACGTTTGAGTTCTACGTTATCTACAACCATGATTGCACTAGTAACGGAGCTAATACTGTTACGAACGCCGATGGTATCTCACGTGATTTCAACGTGGATTTACAGAGAACGTTAGTTTTGAGAACGGAGAAACGGCAAAAATATTTTTTTCAGGAAAGCTCGCCTTTTCTTGACTCAACCGCTATGACGGGGATTAGAGATGAATTCCGACACAACGAAAGTAACTTTTTATGAATTTGTTTGTAAAACATCTTATCATCGTCCCGATCTGCCGGTCTTCACTGAATTCAGTTTTTCGGCGTTATTATCGATACTGTGAAACGGAACACATGATAGAGAACATTTCAGAACATTCTGCCTCTTCTCCTCAATTCAATTGGATGAGAATCGATCGCAGCCTTCTCATTGAACGTTTTATTTGAAATAAATATTGTTGAATTAAATCGTGTAGGCTTCGCGGGCCAAGCTCAGGCACTTGCTATGATCCGTCAGTGCGAACATACGAAAGTTAATTGAATTTTCCGCCTAAAATCACCTAGGTTGACAGTGCCTACGAAAGAAGAGGGCAAGGAAGGAAGGGTGCGGATGGTGGTCCAGTAAATTTTTGGGATCTTACCATTTTAGACTCTCCAATAATCAAAAACAAAGAAAAAAGTAGATCTAAATGGATCCATATTATAGTTACGCAAAACAAACTTCAAAATTTTCGATAGGATCTCAATCATCAAAACCATCCAGAGCGAATCATTAAAAGTGGCTGTTTTTCAATAAGTTGCTTTGGCTTCTACCGCCGCGTCTTTATATTCTTGCGCCACGTTTTTACAACAACTACAACAACCTACCGTAGTTCAGTAACCCTATAAAAAGGAGCGGAGCCAAATGGTATCAACAAAACCCCAAGAAGAAAGTGGAAAGTGAAGTTTCGATAACTTTTTTTTATCCGTTAAAGCAAATTCGCACAGTGAGATTTTTGCATATAGGCCTAATTTTGGCAGAATGTAATGGCTATAGTCCTGTCTTGTCGGACTGTCGGACCAACATGTACTGGGGAGGTTGTTTCGATAGGCGGCCATTATGTAGTTGCCCTTAGGGCGCTGTATCTCAGTGGCAGGCCAGAATCTGGAAACACTACCTCTTCAGAAACTTTCATCCGCACACCCCACTGGTTTAAGTGGTTGCATGACAATGGTCTGCAGAGGTATACCAGAGCCAGCCCAAACTGTCTCTTCTTCTCCAGTTTCCCTTGTGACAGGGCCGTCGAATCCGACGATTACTAACCATTGCCAGAACTACCCGCCTGGTACCTCGCGGCCTTCCCGTCCGTCCTCGACTCTTCAGATGGGGATCCTGCTCTACTTTGTTCGCTGTACCCTATCCTCGTTCAGGGATACCGAATGTTCCTTTTTTAGTGGAACAGTGTTTGATGCCAAACGATGTCAAATATTCTGGATTCTTTGTACTGTTCACAATCTAACCATTACAATTCAGTTAAAAAAGGGAACAAGTAAATTCGAGTTCAATGTCCGGTTGCAGTGGTCGTCGTGCTAGTCTTATTGTTCTTTCCGCCCTTCTTCCCCGTTGTCGTGGTCCGACTCGTAGCGGGTGTCTTTGAGGGGACAGCCGTCATTCCAGACTTTCCGATCTCCAGATCCGGCTTCTTGTTGCGTTGACGTTTTTTGAAGAAAACAATAGCCGAAACTACGATAAAAATGAGAACGATTCCGATGACGACGGCGACGATGATTCCAATGCTGCCGGCTGATTCGGTAGTACTTTTGTCGGCAACAGTAGTCGCATTCCCTGAGGTACTATTCCCCGAGCCGCCGAATCCACCGCAGAAAGCTCCTGACGTGAAAGATTGACTGACATCAGAATCACCAAAAAAGAACGAACCACCGATTCGAGATTTCTTGCAAACTTTTGGTTTAGCGTTGGTCAATCCCTGAAGGCAGGCTTTTTTATGATCTTGATAGACGTTATGATTAAGACAGCCAGTTTCCGCCTCCTCGTACTTGGTGGAGCACTCGTCTGAAACAAGCGGGTGATTGCTGAAACTTTCTGAAAATGTGATCACCAGAAGTCGTGCATTTTCTGGTCAGAAATTCGATGCTAAAAATAAAACAAGACATATTGGTCTCTGGATATCACACTCACAAAAGTTGGTCATACATTTCATTGAGCGATGCCATCTTTTCTTCCGAAGAATAGCGAGAAGTGATCAGACGAGTGGTTCGTCCAGTCCAGTCTAGCCTTGGCCTTGCCCTAGCCCGGCCTTCAAAGGCTTTTTTTTCTGTCTTGTCTCGAACGATGAGAGCATTTGTTTTGGTTCTCATTCTGGCGGTCGTCTGCGAGAGTACGGTCTACAAGTCCTACGGAATTCTTCATTGCCCAGTTGCCCGCTTATAAAAAGGGGTGTCGGGTCCAATACAAGAAAACACAAGAAACAACGCGAGAGATTATCAAGCAAAGGTTTATTGCTTGAGGAGCAACGAAAGAAACGAATCAACAAAGAAAAGTACAGAAAGAACACCAAAAAGAGTGTCTCTCACAAGCAAACGTACAAAACCAGAACTAACTAAAAGCAGAACTCCAAACTCAGTCTTCAAAAATGCCACGCAGTGCAAAGTTCACGCGTGTCCCATAGAGCGTCTTTGCACCCGTTTGTGCGACTTCCTGGAAAGGGTTTGAGGGAACTGCCTTTGGCAACTTCCCCCCCCCGTGGACAAAAAGCCGGACCCCGGGCCGGCTGAAGTACGAGCACATGGGCGACTGACAGTCTGCTCCCGACACACGTGTCCCTCTGCTACGGACTTACAGAAAGACTACCACATTACCAAATAATACCTAAAGATCCTAGAATGCTAAAAGAACGAAAACAATATGATGATCGCATACGTTATGTCGATCGATTCGCTCTCTTGGCCACCTCCAACTTCCGGCCAGCCATCAGTTTCTCCACCGCCGCATTCCTCGGAATGAGTGAATCGAGGTATCCACCCATCATCTCCGCCGAGTCGAACTTCTCCGGGATGACCACAACCATCGGAAGTTGTTTTGGTCCAACGGGCGTCTGCGGATCGACGAACCGTACTGTGACAGGCGCTTTCGTATCTGTCGCTTCTTTTCCTCGAGGAGAGGTGGGTTTCTCTTGCCCTCCCCAACTCAATTAACCTTTCCAGAAAGTAATCCGTTTTCTACACTGTTAACACATGATTCCTGGCACGGAACTATCGTTCCGTTACAGCACGTTCGAACTGGTTCGCATCCTCTTTTTCCACCACTCCACTGAGTCACAGCGTGGACGTTTATCATTGAAGCGCACTTGCAGCGCACGCGCGGGAGTTCAAAAATAATAAATTTTCGGCGAAAATTGCGTTATTCCCCGTGTAAGAATTGAACGCCGTAATTTTTTCGTTTTTGTCACAGGCTATATTGTAGCTGGGAGTTAGACGGTCATTTTGAGCACACACAGAGCCAAATCGGTGCAGCCGTCGTGTTTCCTTGTGCAAAACTGTGTAGCGATGCGAAATAAGTTTAAAAGTTTGAGGTTATTTTGAATTGTTTCGCAGATTTATGACGACAGTGACGCTTGAATACTGTTATATAATGGCTAGAGACGCTGTACGGATGAAAAAAATCGCAACTCAATGCAAATAGACCGATTTTAAAAAAACCATGAAAGAGTAGCGTGAATTTCTGGCTGAAATACATGAAAAGCAGAAGTTTGTCAATATTAGAAGTTGTAGAGATGAAAGAGAGCTTTATCAAACGTAAAAATGATTATGTGCGCGATTGTTACGTCTTTTTGCCGTCAGAAATCTAAAGTGTCGCTGAAAGTGAGCTTTGTAGGCAAACTTCCGGCCACAAGGATCGAATTTTAGAATTGTAGAAGTGAGATAACATAGCGAAAAAAGAAAACTAAGAATATTTTCAATGAGCTTCATTCAGTAATCAAGCAAATTTAGTGTTCCGTTAAAAATTTGTTGCTGGAGATTCCTGGTTTTCAGTTGAATAGTGCTTTTTTCTATTCGCGTGTCCGCCGCAATCCGATAAAATGATGGGGAAAACCTGAAATTATTTATCGGCGAAGAAAATAACGGTTCTTTTTTATTCTAACCGCTACTCCGTGCCGCTCGGCAATTTCCATCAGCTTCGCGCCTTTCCAACTGCAGAAATTGTTGCAACGAGTCCTGAAAAATTCAAATTTGAGTTTTTTTGCAACAAATATTTAACGAAAAAAATTGCGTTTCGACATGTTTTAAAAAGATAAAAAAACGAGAAAAAAAGATTTTTAATTGCGAAACCAAAAAAATCCAATAGTGCGCCAAGTGAGTGCAAGATGCGCCAGCAGTCTCCTTTGGTCTCATGTCCACGCTGTGACTCAGTGCACTCCGTTATCCCTCCGACTTCGTTGAACTTGCATGCCCTCCGAATTGGCACCACGATCAGATCCTTAACGTCTTTGGCGATCGACTCGATGATTTCCGCCCGATTCTCGTTCTCGGTGGGATCGACCGTCCATTTCGCCAACATGACCACCTTCTCGACGCCCTTCCAATCGTATTTCTCCGTCCACGCCACGTCGGCCTTCGCTTTGATGTCGAAGTAAGCCGGCGAACTGAACTTGAGACGAGGTCCGATCACCAGATCTGCTTCGCGCACGACCGTCTTCTTCGGTTCCCGTCTCCCTCCAATCTCCTTCTCCTTCTCCAGCTTTTCCGCAGTCGATAGTTGTCCGGTGGCCAGCGTCCCGAGCGATTTGTGCGACACCTTGTCCACAATCACGCGCGACCCTCCGTCACGATCGAATCCATCCCGGTTCCGCACTCTGCAAGAATCTCCGTTTCCAACGTGATATTCCCTGATTTTATTCAGACGCGCAGCTCGTTTCCCCAGCTTCGCTTCATGCTTCCCGGCTCCAGTCTCCTCTGCTCGCCATTTCAACTCTACTCCCACACTCTTGAATGCATTCGTTCCGAGCAACAAGATCTCCGCCTCGCTTCGCACCAGTTGGAACAAGACTTTCGACTTCCTTCCTCTGATCTCAAGCAGCAGCTGCAACTGCTTTTCTACCGGCATCTTCTTCTTCTCCACATTCACGAGCGAAAAGCTTGGTTTCTCCAACACTTTCACTTCTTTCTCCCAACCTCTGCATCCCTTCTTGAGACGTTCCCACGCTCGCGTCGAAATGACAGATACGACTGCTCCGCTGTCGATGATTATCCTCCGTGCTTGACCCAACACCCTGATCGTCTCGACGGCCTCCTTCATCACGCCTTCTGCTGTCCCCTTTCCTCTGCACCCAACGTACATGACCGATTTTGAAGTGCAGTAATTAGCCACGTGGCCAACACCTCCACAGCGAAAACACCTCACATTGTTCTCTTCTGCTCTGCTCTCTTCGTTCGGTTTCACGTCTTCTACTCCATTCTCCGAATGCTGTTGACTCGCATTCTCCGTGATCATCCTCGATCCGTCTTCCTTCCCTTTCCACCCGCTCATCCTCTGCCTGTTGTCCCTGCATCTCTCGTTCTCCTGCTGGAGGACGACGTCTTTCAACTGTTCGTACTGTTCTCTTAACGGTATTTCCAGTCTCCGCATGATCAACAACTTGTGCAGCGTTTCGTCCTCTCGGACGGCTTTCATGAGCTTCGTGGTGCGCATCTGCGACAGAGTTTCCTCTCCCACCTCCGGGTACGCTTCCCTCGACCACTTCTCCACGTCCACCAAGAACTCCCACATCATCTGACCTGGCTTCCTGCTCAGATCGTCGAACTCGTTCAGCGCCTCCGTCTTGCGGTCTCCCTGGCGCTTCCTCAGTTTCCTCTCGAACTCCTCGAACAGCTCTTTCACCGGTCGGCAGAATCGTCCTTGCAGCGTCTTGAACAGTGATTTCGCTGGTCCCTTCAGGAATCTGTCCTCCAAGATGGTGATCAGCTCTTCGTCATCCTCCACCACATGATGGTATTTGAGGAGAAAGGCTCGCTTGAACTCTCCCAGGTCGCTGGTCCCGTCAAACTGGTTAGGCTCAGGTAGGGCTGATACCTTCATCATCCGACTCATGCAGAGGACCATGTCTCTTACTTCGTCCCTGGACCCCGACCTGCTTCTCACGCTCTCTCTTTTGTCTCCGACCTCCCATCCTGCGACTTCCTCGCGCCAGTCCACGCTTCTGTCTATCTTCCGCCCCGTACCTCGTCGGCTTTCCAGACCTCTTGATGTTGTTGTCGATGACTCCCTCGAACCTCTCGGTCGTTCGCCTCGCCTCCGCGAGCGCACCTGCATCGACTGTGGTTTCCTGTTCAGCAGTTCGTCCAGCCTACCCTGGCATCCCAGAAGGTTGGCTTTCGTCTGCTCCGCCGTTTTCCTCTCGGTTTTCACCGCCTTCTCGGCCTTCTCCAAGCGTCTTCGCAACGCCTCCTTCTCCGTTTCCAACCGATCGATGGCCTTGCTCAGCTTGTCCGTCTCCGCGGCCATTTCTGCCTGCAAAATGCCATATTCTTCTCTCAGTTTCTTGTACTCCGATGAGTTCTTCGCGCTTCTCCGCCATTTGCTTTCATCACTTTCCCGTGCCTCCCCACTCGTGACTAATTCCTGCAACTGCTCGACGGTCTCTAACTGCGCCGACTCCATCACTCGCATCACTTCCCGCTGCCACTTGTTCTCCCCGATTTCCTCGAATCGTTTCTGGAGTTCCCGCGAAAACGCGTTCATCGGCTCCGCGATAAACTCTCTCTCCCGGTCTGAGACGTTTGGCATATCCCGCAGTCTCTTTCTCGTCTCTGCCTCTACCGCTTCAACGTCTCTGACAACCCGACCGAACCTTCTCGTCCTGCTCCTTCTTTCCTTCCAGCTGACTTCGTTCCAATCCGTCAGCCATTCCTCCGTCCGAGTTCCGCGATTCACGCTCGACTCTCCTTCGTCGACTTCCCTCGGAAGCTTCCACTTCTCCGAATCCGTCGCCTTCACCTCCTCCACTTCCATCCGGTCGCTCGGCTCCGTGTTGTACGTGCTCGGCATTTCCTCTGCAAACTTTCGTTCAAAAGTTTGTGTTTTCCTGTTGCTCTCGCGGATCGTTCAATCACACGAGGTTATCGATTTTTCGCGTTGATCTCTTCGCGCCTGAGCAATGTTCTTCGAACTATTGCTCGTTGGCACGAAAAACACGAGCAAACAATCAAAAAAAACCGGTTCGGCCCCCAAGTTGCCCGCTTATAAAAAGGGGTGTCGGGTCCAATACAAGAAAACACAAGAAACAACGCGAGAGATTATCAAACAAAGGTTTATTGCTTGAGGAGCAACGAAAGAAACGAATCAACAAAGAAAAGTACAGAAAGAACACCAAAAAGAGTGTCTCTCACAAGCAAACGTACAAAACCAGAACTAACTAAAAGCAGAACTCCAAACTCAGTCTTCAAAAATGCCACGCAGTGCAAAGTTCACGCGTGTCCCATAGAGCGTCTTTGCACCCGTTTGTGCGACTTCCTGGAAAGGGTTTGAGGGAACTGCCTTTGGCAACTGCCCGCTCAAACAGAAATGGTGCTATGACGTCAGAGGGTTGGAGTTTGACGGCGATCAACGCGATGATCCGCTCGGACAAGCAGTCGACTTTATCGAATGTACCAACGATCAATTCAAATACGTCGAATTTCAAGGCTACGATTACGGCTCAGACAGTGATAATATAGGCACCAGAACTATCGGTTACATTATCGTGCACACCTGCCGAATCGATGCGAAAGAACCCGGCGTTCGGAACGACGTCGATAGAGCATTCTTTTTCAAGACGGCGATTGATGTTGCGTCAGCGAATATCATTATTATACAGTGTTCTCGTTCATTTTCAAGCAACTTGATCTATTTTTCGTTTTCACTCTCAATATCTCAGACTAAGCTGTATCATTGATTTCCTCCATTTGGCTCTGTCGGCAACTACGTTTTCTTTTCATTCAAATGAACATAAAAACGTTTTTTCTGTATACTCCAACTACGAAACGCATAGCACTTGTACTAAATGAACTTTCTTCAAAAGATGCATAAATCAATAACTGATTGAAATTAGTAACAAACAAAAAACTATTTGCAAAAAGAGATGAGATTTGCAATGGGCATACTTATTTTCGGCCTCCATACATCACGCGAGCCTCCTTGGCCAGACGATCGGCTCCGTCGTTACCTTCTTCTCATGAAAAAAAAGGCGCCACATCGGCGCCGGCGCCGTCGGTCGGCGCCACATAGGCGCCGGCGCCGTCGGTCGGCGCCACATAAGCGCCGGCGCCGTCCGTCGGCGCCACATAAGCGCCGGCGCCGTCATTCGGCACCACATAGGCGCCGGCGCCGAGTTGGAGGCGCAATTTCGGCGCCGAAATGGGGGGCGCGTTGCAAACAGAGCAGTGCTGACGCACAATTCGCTGGCGCACTTTCACGACGAATTTTGAACACGTTTTTGAAGTTTTTCAAATTTTTTCGAATTTGATTCGAATTCGATTCGAAAAAATTCGAATGGAGCAATTCTTCGAATTAACACATTGAATGGCGGTACTGATTGTCGGTCAATTCACGAGAAGAACGTAAGATTTGAATACCTTTGTTGAAGCATGCGTGCTTATGCATTTCAGCATAGAACCCTTTTTGCTGGCAGCGTTTTCATCTCAGGATTTTCGACGATTTCAGGGATACCAGAAGAAAATGGAGAGTAAAGCGGAATTCGACAACAAGAGGATCAATTTGATTGTGTCCGCTTCCTCAGGGGCGGTTTTTCGCAGACTAACAAGGTAACGGTTTTCCAACGAGGTGCTGATATACGTGAATAACATTTCCAGCAGTGCTTACTCATACCCTCATAAGGACTGGAACACACTACGGACAAAGTAACGATTCGTGATGATTCAGCGATCAAAGCTCCTGTTAGCTCTATTTGCAGTCTGCCCTTTTCATTGTTACTCCGTTCGAGTGTCTTCTTTGGTTGTTATCTAGGCTGTTGTTTTCCCGCTTTTATTGTCCAATTAGAAAGTTATCAATAAATCGATAATTTTCGCTTTATTCGTTCGAAAAATCGATTTTCGGCCCAGCCTTCCCATCAATTCGGCGCCGCATCGGCGCCGGCGCCTACCAATAGGCGCTACATCGGCGCCACCAAACGGCGCCGGCGCCGTTTTTTGGCGCCGATGTGGCGCCTTTTTTCTCATGAGTTGTCCAGAATGGCCGCGGATGTGACGGAAACGCACTTCCTGAAAATAATTGAATATTTTTGATGTGAAATCTCTCATCTGACAAACCTTCATTTGTGCGACCAGACTCTCGATTTCTTCGATCAAATCGCGGTTCGCAACCGGAACGCCGTTTCTATTGATCCATCCGGCCTCCTTCCACCCGTCGAGCCACAGGTACATCGTGTTGAAGATCAGCTTGCAGTCGGTGATGACATAGATCCGGAGGATTTCAAGGGCCAGGGCCTGAAAAGAGAACTTCTCGAGTTGTTGGTGAAGTCTTCCTACCTTTCAGAGCTTCAATGACGGCGGTGTACTTGGCGCGGTTGTTCGTCTGCACTCCCGTCACCGGGTACATTCCGTTGCGCGCATCATCGGGTCCCCAGAAGACTCCGGCCCCAGCTTTCGCGTTAGCGTATCCGTTCCTCGTGCACGATCCGTCGGTGTAGACGACCGGAATTCCGTTTTTTTCGAACATTCCGCTCTCCTCTGGACGGTCCGACATGGCCTTCTCTCTGGCCATCCAACGGGCCTGACGGTTATCCTTCTTCGGAATGTACATGACTTCTACTTTCTGAAAATAAGAAAGTAGGAAATAAAAGCGGGAGCAGTGACTGCTCCTAAGAGAGCAAATGGACCTGCGTTCAACAACCAGGTCGCACCCATCAGCAGTACAGGTTGGGAAGCGAGTAAGACCGATCGGAGAATGATCTTTTCAGCTACAACTGCTCGTAATCCTTAAAGTGCAAGAAGGATAGAGGCAACAACAATTCAAATAGAGCATCCTTCTGAATCAGGAGAGCCTTCCAGTTCAGCAGACGCAACGGCGATAGAGATGGAACACGTGGAGAATGTTCCACCAGAAGAGCCTACAAGTTCAGCAGAACAGACTCAATCGGATGCTCCAGCAGCAGAAGAACAGGCGAAGCCACGTTCTGCTGCTTCCCAGAGGTGGAATCATCCGAGAGAAAAAACTGGCGCATCAATCGAATTTTTGGAAAAACGGTGCGTTTTCACAGGAAATTGAGTTGTTCATTGGATTCAGCATGATCGATTACATGAAGTAAATCATTTTGGGTATGGTACTTCATTTGTGGACCTCAGTACATGGCCTCAAACATGCGCGCGCGAAGCTGGGGAGAAAAATCGGCAGGCCACGCCCCCTTTGTTGCGACCCCTTAGTATAATTTTGAAAAATGGAGCGTGTAAAGAATGAGACTGGATTTATTGGTACACGAGTTAGGTAGCCGGCCATAGTCACGCTCGTCGAGTTTTCAGCCGAGGACGATATTCTTGGTGAAGGTGTTGTTCTGGCTGAAAAAAGTACAGTGTGTATTACCAATATGAATAAAAAAAAATAAATATGCTTACTTCGCTCCAACAGGCACTTTCCACAAATTTTCAAAAGTGACAGTTTGGTAGGTGCGATTGCGGTTGCAGTTGTGCTCCACTGTGAGGTAGATCTCGTACACCTAAATTTATATTTCCAAATTGTAAAACGAACGATTTCTCACCTGGGATGTGTCGACAATCTGGTAGCCGTTCATCTCGTACGGTTGATGCTTCTCACCTCGCTTGGAGCAACCCTTAGCAGAAGCGATGACGTCATCAACATCCAATCTAGTAGGGTCGGATTCCATGGCTTCGATAGTCCAGCACCAGGTCTTCCCAAATTACAAGTGAGGAACCCTTCGAAGTCGAAGTGATCGGTTTGAAGACTGCCGGAGACCAGCAGGAGGAGAGCGAAGAGAGTCGCTTGTTGCATCGTTCGAGATTGAACTGATTGGTTTTTCGCCGCAACTTTCTCCTTAAATACAGTACTGAAAGGCCGGCCTCTGTGCCCTGACCGTCACCTTTAGAGCAGTAGGCTAGTTCATAAACCAGCCCCTGTGCCCTCGTCGTCGATTTAAGTGCACTAGGACTAAGGTTTCTAGACAATCTGTGTCAGGGAATCTCAGATTTACTCCAGAAATTTTTTTTTTGAAAAATAACCAAAAAAGTTCGAAGATTCAGAGTTTGAGGCAGTTCGATTGCAACTGACGTCTCTCACTTTTGTTACTTTCGAATAGATACAGAACAGAAAATTTGTTTGAAAACTGTGAAAATCAGTTAGAAATGCGAAACTTATGCATAAAATTGCAATTCGCCCCATGTGGGCCGAGTGTGCTGGGCCAGACCATGACAACTATGGTAAAAACAGTATTACACACCTCTAATAGAAGAGCACCGATATACTTTTATCACAAAAAGTGAAGAATAGGGAGAGATATCGAAGCTCCACATAAAAAAGAGTAAGTAAACGGTTAGCAACGAGTTCAATAGGCGGAAGCAGTTTTGGTTCCAGTGTGCTTTCCTTTTTTCATTTTCTTATCTTTCTTGTTCTTCTTGTCCTTCTTGCCCTGTTTGGTCTTCGTTCCAGTAGTAGTGGTACCAGTTGTGGTGGTAGTCTTGGTATGCGTCTTACTGTGAGTTCCGGTGGTAGTTCCAGTAGTACCAGTCGTCCCATTGGTCTTGACGGTGACACTTTTTTCGTTGCGGTTTTTCTTATTCCGTTGACGCTTTTTGTAGCACAAGAAGATCACAAAGAGAAGGATCAGGAGGGCGACACCTCCGACGACGCCAAGAATAGTACCAGTGCTATCAGAAGCTTCCGTTCTGCTAGCTTCGGTAGTGGTGGTAGTGGATGAGGTAGAGGGGGTCATTGTCGAGAGGGTTGTGTAGTTGTTGCAGAAATCACCTTAATTTTCAATAATAGGATTCATGAACTATGTGCAAAAAACAAACCATAAACTGCCTTGTCTAATTTACAGTAGGCGGTTTTTGCAGCTTTCAAGGCTGCAACACAATTCGTGTTGTACGTGATCCGCATGCTACATGCTTCAGCCGCTTCATCATACACAGCTTTACAATCACCTTAAATGATTTATCTAATAATATATAAACGAATATTTCTTAAACTGACTCGAGCTCGTGCATTCCCTTTTGAGATAGCGAACGCTGTAAACAAAAGCAACTAAATTTCACACAAATCAAAACTTACAATAGTTGCACGTACAACCCATAGTGCGTGTACTTTGTCATGTTTGTTCGAAGGAACAAATCGGAGAGTTCAGGGGAGGTTTTGCTTGCAGGCGTGCAATGACTAGGATTTCGATTTGTGTTCGTGGATATGACCTTTGCATTGCATTGACACGGCCTTCTGTGTTCCTGTCAAGGTAACGGGTCAGGTGACCGGAATATAGCCCCTTTCTCTAGTACTTAAACTCATGAAACATTAGCACAACAACAATCAGTTCAGTTTCATCTTCACCGATGCGAACCATCTACTGCCTTCTCTTTCTGGTCGCTGCTGTTCAGTGTACACAGTTCTGGATTCATGGAGCGATCTCGTGTCAGTACAAGAGACACTGGTGCGTGTCCGCAGAAATCCTGGATTACGATTATTCTAAATTTGACGCGGACGATCTGTTAGCGTCAGTTCAAAAGATCTGCGGCGATGAAGTTATTAAATACTTTGATGTCGGAGGATCCATGGATACCGACGTTGGAAACACGTTTGAGTTCTACGTTATCTACAACCATGATTGCACTAGTAACGGAGCTAATACTGTTACGAACGCCGATGGTATCTCACGTGATTTCAACGTGGATTTAAAGAGAACGTTAGTTTTGAGAACGGAGAAACGGCAAAAATATTTTTTTCAGGAAAGCTCGCCTTTTCTTGACTCAACCGCTATGACGGGGATTAGAGATGAATTCCGACACAACGAAAGTAACTTTTATGAATTTGTTTGTAAAACATCTTATCATCGTCCCGATCTGCCGGTCTTCACTGAATTCAGTTTTCGGCGTTATTATCGATACTGTGAAACGGAACACATGATAGAGAACATTTCAGAACATTCTGCCTCTTCTCCTCAATTCAATTGGATGAGAATCGATCGCAGCCTTCTCATTGAACGTTTTATTTGAATAAATATTGTTGAATTAAATCGTGTAGGCTTCGCGGGCCAAGCTCAGGCACTTGCTATGATCCGTCAGTGCGAACATACGAAAGTTAATTGAATTTTCCGCCTAAAATCACCTAGGTTGACAGTGCCTACGAAAGAAGAGGGCAAGGAAGGAAGGGTGCGGATGGTGGTCCAGTAAATTTTTGGGATCTTACCATTTTAGACTCTCCAATAATCAAAAACAAAGAAAAAAGTAGATCTAAATGGATCCATATTATAGTTACGCAAAACAAACTTCAAAATTTTCGATAGGATCTCAATCATCAAAACCATCCAGAGCGAATCATTAAAAGTGGCTGTTTTTCAATAAGTTGCTTTGGCTTCTACCGCCGCGTCTTTATATTCTTGCGCCACGTTTTTACAACAACTACAACAACCTACCGTAGTTCAGTAACCCTATAAAAAGGAGCGGAGCCAAATGGTACCAACAAAACCCCAAGAAGAAAGTGGAAAGTGAAGTTTCGATAACTTTTTTTTATCCGTTAAAAGCAAATTCGCACAGTGAGATTTTTTTGCATATAGGCCTAATTTTGGCAGAATGTAATGGCTATAGTCCTGTCTTGTCGGACTGTCGAACCACCATGTAGTGGGGAGGTTATTTCGATAGGCGGCCATTATGTAGTTGCCCTTAGGGCGCTGTATCTCAGTGGCAGGCCAGAATCTGAAAACACTACCTCTTCAGAAACTTTCATCCGCACATCCCACTGATTTAAGTGGTTGCATGACAATGGTCTGCAGAGGTATACCAGAGCCAGCCCCAAACTGTCTCTTCTTCTCCAGTTTCCCTTGTGACAGGGCCGTCGAATCCGACGATTACTAACCATTGCCAGAACTACCCGCCTGGTACCTCGCGGCCTTCCCGTCCGTCCTCGACTCTTCAGATGGGGATCCTGCTCTACTTTGTTCGCTGTACCCTATCCTCGTTCAGGGATACCGAATGTTCCTGTTTTAGTGGAACAGTGTTTGATGCCAAACGATGTCAAATATTCTGGATTCTTTGTACTGTTCACAGTCTAACCATTACAATTCAGTTAAAAAAGGGAACAAGTAAATTCGAGTTCAATGTGCGGTTGCAGTGGTCGTCGTGCTAGTCTTATTGTTCTTTCCGCCCTTCTTCCCCGTTGTCGTGGTCCGACTCGTAGCGGGTGTCTTTGAGGGAGCAGTCGTCATTCCAGACTTTCCGATCTCCAGATCCGGCTTCTTGTTGCGTTGACGTTTTTTGAAGAAAACAATAGCCGAAACTACGATAAAAATGAGAACGATTCCGATGACGACGGCGACGATGATTCCAATGCTGCCGGCTGATTCGGTAGTACTTTTGTCGGCAACAGTAGTCGCATTCCCTGAGGTACTATTCCCCGAGCCGCCGAATCCACCGCAGAAAGCTCCTGACGTGAAAGATTGACTGACATCAGAATCACCAAAAAAGAACGAACCACCGATTCGAGATTTCTTGCAAACTTTTGGTTTAGCGTTGGTCAATCCCTGAAGGCAGGCTTTTTTATGATCTTGATAGACGTTATGATTAAGACAGCCAGTTTCCGCCTCCTCGTACTTCGTGGCGCACTCGTCTGAAACAAGCGGGTGATTGCTGAAACTTTCTGAAAATGTGATCGCCAGAAGTCGTGCATTTTCTGGTCAGAAATTCGATGCTAAAAATAAAACAAGACATATTGGTCTCTGGATATCACACTCACAAAAGATGGTCATACATTTCGTTGAGCGATGCCATCTTCTCTTTCGAAGAATAGCGAGAAGTGATCAGACGAGTAGTTCGTCCAGTCCAGTCTAGCCTTGGCCTTGCCCTAGCCCGGCCTTCAAAGGCCCTAGCAAGAATGGGCTTTTGAAAAAAAAATCATAGCTCTGTCTTGTCTCGAACGATGAGAGCATTTGTCTTGGTTCTCATTCTGGCGGTCGTCTGCGAGAGTACGGTCTACAAGTCCTACGGAATTCTTCATTGCC